CTTTAATCTATCTCTGACTATTATTATAACCTTGAATAATAACAGCGCATGCCACACCTTGTTTACTTTTTTTTATTTTTTTATAAAAAATTAATTTTTAAAATACCATTCAGCAAATTAATTATTTTGATAAAAATTGCAAGTGAAATAATTTAAAATAAAGAAAGAAGTTTAAAAAAGTTTATGGGAAAAACAGTATAACAATAAGGAAAAAGCTTAATGCAGTACAAAGATGTGTTCAAGACTCGTGAAATTCAGCCAAGTGTAAGATTTCCGTCATCCGGAAGAACTAAGGTTTTTTTTTTACTTTTAATACGTGAAAGATACTGAAAAATGTGAACTCTGAAAACTAATTACATATTTTTTTTCCATTTTTTTGTTTTAAAACTGATCATTTTAATTAAAGTATTCTAATTATTTCAGTCTTTACTGATTTGTATGAATAATTATTAACTTTGTTTTTATACAACAGAAAAAAATTTTTTTACTATCATTATATTTTTTTAAAATTTTAATTAAAAGGATTCACTGCATTTGATGAAAAAATTAAAATTTATAAAAATTTTTTCTATCTTAAAAAAAAATTGAAATTGTTTAAATATTTATTTTTATTCTGAAAATTTTTTTAAACCGAGACTATTAAAAATGAAAAACTCTCTTACATATAACTGTGCTAATCAAAAACAAGACTTTAATCGTATCATATGATATTGTCTTCTTCTAAATAATATGAGAATAAAGAAAATTGTCAAGCTCACAAACTGTAAAATTAAATTTCAAAAAAAATATAAATTTACAAATGAAAAATATTAAATATATTTACTAAATATGTTAATAATAATAATTACTTCTTAATTTTTAATTATATTATTCTTTATTTAATAATTTATCAATAAATATCTAAATGCTTTAATAGAAAAAAGAACATCTATTATATTCAAAACATATTTCATTAAACTTAGAAGAACAGATTTAAAAAATGTAATATTTTAATAAAGTAATAAAGAAATAAGATTTTACGTTTTTTAGTATTGGAATAATATGTATGAAAGTTGTATTTTTAGAGTTAAAATAAATCTCAATAATACTTTATAATATCTTCTAGATAAAAAAAGAATAATAATATGTAATTATACAGAGTATGTTTTGTTGCTGTCAAATGGAATAATAAATGAAGTGCATACACAACAACAATAGAACACTAGCAACATATAATTAACTGCATATAAATAAGTAAATATGATACTAAAAAGTGTATATATTTAATTAAATTTATAATACTAACAGTAAATCACTATGCTACGTGACAAGACAATTTGTAAACATTTCATCACATTATCCAATTTTACTACTTTATATTAAAAAATAATAATTATAGTATTATTTTATTTAATGAATATGGGTGCTAATGATTACTAAATAAGAGTACAAAAAAAACCCAAAGCATTTCAGATGCATGTAAAATTATTTTTAAACACGAGTAACCACCACGCCCATTCCCCAATTATTTCCGTGGGGTTAACATTGAGGTCGTCGACTTGGAAAAAGTCAAATGAACGACTGCACAAAGCTAATATAAAAATTCATATTATTACTTTATAATAAATTATCATTTTATTATAAAAAAAAAATTTTCAATCTTTCTACTAAACTCAAACTATTAACAACAAAATAAAATATATTTCTTTCTTCTTCTCAATTTGTTTTTATATCACATCATTTTCATTGCAAATAGACTCATCTAATTATAATTACCTTAGTATATCGTTGCATGTTGTTTATTAATTCATTAATAAAAGAAATAATGTGCAATGGAATTCATACTTAATTGAAGTAATTAGAAGAGTAAAATAATATATGCTCACATGTATATAATTATTAGTCAAATTTATTTATCCCTCAACATCACTGTATTTACGAAATATTTAAAATGCCAGTGATTCATTTATTAGACAAGTGCACTGTGAACATTGTAAATATGTTTTTGTATTCCACTTGATAGCAAAACAAAAAAGAGACAATTTCATCTTGCATACAAGCCACACCTATTTAATTTAATGTAGTTTAAATCATCTTGGTGATATTCGGATGAATGGTTACATGGATGAAACAGGTGTAGATAAACATCTGTTTTAATACTTTACTCTAGGTTACTAGGTAAACACGTAATTCACTTAAATTCAGTACAATCCTATTGTTACTTGTGGAATGCTTGGAATGTATAGTATAGCATTCGAGAAGAAATAGAAGTGTTAAAGAGAGTTGAAGTGTAATAGATTGGATTCTTTATCGTCTCGTGAATTTTTTTTTTACTCATAATCCATTTTAGTTGATTTATATTTAATTGGTAATCAAATATACTTAAATATAGAATAGACAATTCGATAATACGAAAATTAAGATAACTAATATCTTATTTTATATAAATTATCTTATTTTCATTCAGCTTTTATTTATAAATTAAACAAAAAACAAAAAAAAAACTTTGTATAACTGAAGAGCTTTTAAATTTTTTCTAAGAAACGAATTTGACGTCAAAAAATCATTTAAATATCTAATTTTAAATAAGATTACTTTCTATTGGCTAATAAGTAATCATGAGAGATTTATTTTTATTTATTAATACGATAGTTGATGGTATAAATACTTGAAAAAAAAAAAATGTTCTGTTGCTGCAACAGTCTTATGGTCTACCCTGTTTGTAGATATTAAATATTTAAAAAAATCTATTAATAGGTCAATTCTTGGAAATAAATTGTATCGATAAACAATAATAGAGACAATGTATTGAGAATAAGTTCAAAAAAACAATTCTGTAAATAAGAAAAAAGTAAATGTGTATATATATACATATTTATCAATTTTCTGACAATTGAGAATATAAAATTGTCATTAACACCACTGATATAAAGATAAAAATGTTTTATCTGCCTCATTAGAATTATGGTAGTTGAAATTTGGATGACATTAACACTCGTTGTGTATTGAGAAAGAAATGTATTGAAATTAAAAAGAATTTTATTGAGAAAAAATTCTTTGATTAAAGAAAATATTGATTATATGAAGTGAAATAAAAAACAAAAACTCTCATCAATAATTAAATTAAACGTTATGATTATTTTAAAACTTTTATCACTTAAAAAACTAATAGCAATAAAATTTCAATCTACATGTCACTCAACTTTATCACCATCATAATTTTCAATTTACTTTTAATCATTAAAATTCTTAATTAAAACATATATTAATGGCATGATTTTTTTTTTAAATCAAATCATATGTTATAATAATTATTGTCAATCATATACATAAAAGGATTGCAAAATTAAACAACGACTCATCAAGATGCAATACAGGCAAAGCGGAAATACCAGTGGCTCAGTCGATTGTAAAAACATCTCAGTGAAAGTTTTTTTATGATAGACTTCAGTGTATTACTCACTTACAAAGTACAGTAACACTTAATGGAACGATAAATACGATAGTAATGAGATCACTAAATTTAATAGAAAAAAAATAAATAAAACTATGATTGAAAATAAATTCACAATATTTTTTTTTTTTCATAATTCAATTTGAAAGGTGATGGAATAAGGACTTTTCTTTCCGCTAAGTGACTCTGTGAAAACTAAGTAAAAAAGATATACAAAGATATAAAAAGTTTAACTTGAAGAAGCTTCAAGTAAATCTACTCTAGTGATCTGCAACAACCTGTCTACTGTGAAACAAAAAAAAGAAAATACAAGAATAAAATTGAAATGATCAACTTGGAGTTCAAAGTACATAGAATGGCATAGATAAATTTATAACGGTCTTTCTTAGCAATATGTGAAAATAAAATGTATCAAACAAAATGTCCCATGATAGCCTGAAGTTCTATCAAGGTTATACGTATTTTTCTCTTCATTATTGTTTACGACATCTAGTCATCTGCTATAGTGATGGTGGAGGTGGTTTGAAACAAAAATATATAAATTGTACGATTAATCAATATGAAAGATTCGAGAAGCTCAATTTAAATTGTAAATGAAGAGTAATCTATAACTGCAGAAACGGGAATTTAAACGTTAATCTGAAAGAAAAAATTGTAGCGAGAGTTTAACGGTTGCTTCACCGCTTAAATAAACAAGCAAAGATGTACGGAATAGTCTTTTATTATTATCATGATTATTATTTATCACCACAGTTATATTTCACAAACATGCTTAGGAGTATATAACCACCAGGAAGAGTACCGTTAGAGTATTAATTCTTGGACAAAAAAATTATTATACTTTCATGGTAGGTCAACGAGTTATTTAATTGTTCGGACATCTTCAGTTTTGGAGAACAGTCAAAACTATTATGGAATAAAAAATGAGCAATTGCGTGTTGATGAATAAATAACTTATGAATCACTGCTAAAAAATTCAATAATCTGAAGTTCAGAGATTGTAGGTAGTTTAGAAGAATTTTCAATTCACTGTAACATTTTTACATGAAGATCAACAAAAGTATGAATGTATGAGGGGTATTTTCTGAATGTCATGTTGACATTTTATCAATGATTAGTTTTGAATAAAAAAAAAGAACAAAAAATCCAATAAATATTATGGCTCCATACACATGAGTCTTTACTTTCTCGCCACATGTCAAGCTAGTTTGTGACGCTTTGCTCGTGTAGTCGACGCGTCAATGCCGGTGTGACCATGTGCTACAATCCATTATCAAGTTGTTTTGCAATAATCGTAAAGTTACTACTACGGAATTACCCGAATAATCATGGTTATAAGTTCTTAGACATTTTAACTCAGTCAATTTGTTTTTTTCAAAACATTCACAACCTACTTGACACTTCATACAACTAGTAATGATTAAAATAACAACACCGAACACATAATCATTCATGAAAAAATATATTTCAATTTCGGATCCGATAAATACTATTCCGAAATCAATTACTTCTTTTTGGAGACGAGAAAAAAACTTAAAATTATCAACAAAGAATACACTAGACTTACCATTTCTTGAAACATCCAACTCCACAAGATTTTCAAAATTCTGGATGTCTGGTGGCAATCGATGTATTTCATTATCACTGAGTCCAAGTTTCCGTAATCTTTGAAGTCGAAAAAAGTTCTAGGAAGAATAAGAAAAGATAAGAATTAATGTGAAGTTCACAATAATTAAAGTAACAATTGTTAGTAATTAAGTGACAATGTTAGAATAATGATACTATTATTTTTATGTGGTGTATAGTGGGATATATAGGTATAATTGATAACCTTTTCAATCATAAAATCAACCTCAACGTGGTAAAAGACATAATAAACACCTTAACATTGAGATGAGGGGAATGAAAATGACTAATTAAGATGAGACTGTGATTAATATTATACCTTAGGTAGATCCCTGATGTGATTGGCGTCCAGCAAAAGTTCCTCCAAGCTTCTTGAGTACCTTAGAATATCATCAGGGACGCTCGGCAGCGAGCAGTGACGCTTGTCAACGTATTCCACCTGCCTGTTACACCCTTTAAAGATTGGAATGCAGCGAAACATGGTATTCACACAAGTATCACACCGTTCTCAGCACCAAGCATAATTGTCACACTAAATATCACGCACCCAATATCAAACTACTATTTTAACATATTTATACGTGGTCCTTGTCCAATTTTAAGGATAACAAAATTACGGGCGGCACGACACACACTTTCACGCCCTGCTTGGCTTCAAACGCGCTCGCTTCTGTCTCACTATATCTGACGTCATCATGCTCGCAGCTCGCGAAACATTGCGATCGAAGCGTCACTTGTGGCTTTTTCTTGAACTATCTCAATGGCGGGTCATTTTTGAATTAGCTTTGAAAATTTTTACAACCAATCACATAATATTTTATTAATATTTTTAAAATTTATGTTAATAAATATATTTTTATTGTTACAGTGATATAAATAATTAGAAAAAAATTATATTGTTATAATTGAAAACCATTTATTTTAAATGTCACAATTCAAAAGAGGTTATGGATTACATCACAACATGATAGTGGTAATTGAAGAATGCATCATTTTTTGTCAGATTTAGTTGAAATTTATTCTAATAATGTCTTTATATAAAAAAATAAGTAAAAATGTTTTCAACGACTCTTTTAGAGAATTGAAAAGAATTAAACAGTAACTGTACCTTACCAATTTTGATAAACTCAATGGATCTGTATTTTTGGCCAGGTAAACCTAAAATATCTAATAATATACTGTAAGTATAGGAGCTAATCTAAAAATTATTTATGTGTTTTTTTTTCAGAAATTAAAATGAATTATGCTGTATACTCATATTTATCAATAACCAATCAATGGTAATTCGTATTAAAATTCCACTTCATTTTCGAGATATTATCTTCTTTTTATACTTTTCATATTAATAAAGGTATAACTGGTTTTTCTCATTATTGTAAATAGAAAAACTTCTAGTCATTTAGTTTTATTACAGCATTATTAATAAACACTTGTAGAAATATTTAATCAATCGTAATCATGGAGTTATTATCGGAGTATTTGGAGAGCTACGAAGGACGTGATAAATTTATTGGAATTTTATCATACACTGCAAAATTAGCTACAATTTTACCACTATCTGATAGTACTATGAACAAAAAATTAAGGATATTTGGAAGGCAAATGAGTAACTGTCGAGTTATTTATCGACTCCTTGATGACATTCCTGCACTGCATTATGCTATAAAATATGGCTGGGGAGAAAAGGTAAACTCAACTAATTTTTAAATGCCATTTTATTATTTCAACCACAAATATTAATTTTTGATCTTCTAGATACTTTTAATTAACATATGTACTATAACAGGAATCTGATCGAGTTATCCGATGGCTAGAATTGTTGTCAAGATGGACTGATGTTATCAGTTCACCAGTAGAAACAATTAGCTGGCTAGGAGAACACAAGTTAATTTCAGTAAATGATGATAAGTGGGATAATATTTCAACATGGTTGTGGATTATTTCAATCAATCTAACATTATTGAAGTAATAATAAATTGTAATATATTAAAATAATTAGTAATTATATTTTCCAATCAATAATTAAAATTAATTACTTTGTAGATCTCTGAGACATTATTCAAAACTAGTGCATTATAAAAATAAAAAAGTCGATAAAGAATCTTCTTCTGTAAAGAAATACAATTGTATGATAAAAAATGAACTTATAAAATGCACTCGATCAGTGTTAGATTTAAGCTATGCAGTAAATTACTTACCGAAAGGAACTCTCTGGGGTGGTCAACTGTTAACTTGGCAAGTTGGAGCACTGGGCGTATTGTCTTCTTCTATTGGATTATATCAAACATTGAGTCGACGAGCATCACGTAAAAGTACCTGATTAATTTGTAAATATGTACAGTACAGTATTTGAAATATATGAAAAATTATAAAGGTAATTTTTATACACAAATTACTTTGTTATATTAATAAGAAATAACTATTAAATATTTTTGATAACTGTTTTATTGATTTCAACAAGATTACATTAAAGTTAATCGAGTTTTAAAAATTACATTAAATGTAGAATTATTTGTTGGATATAACCATTGTATTTAATAAAGCAGTTGAAGGTTGTAAGTTAAAATGTTTTATTCTAAAAAAAAATTTCTATTTTTTTCTTGTTCAAGCACAGCAAGAAAAGAATAATTAGCACTTTAAAACTTTAATAGTGGTTTGTGTAAATAGGTTTTTTTGCATTGAAATAGATTGCATTTATTTCTAATTAGTAGTGTTACTTTTAGAAAAAAAAAACTATTTAGAAATCTAAAAATTTTTGTAAAATTAAAATACTTAGATTTTTAATAATGTAATGGTGATCATCTATTCAATTACAAAGAAACGTAAGATGCATATGAAAAATTAATTTATAAATATTATAAAAACATTTTCATTGGAGTTCCTAGAGAACTATTACCGACTAATTAAGAAAATAGTATTTTAACTGAATCTCAACAGGTGTCAACACTCAAATATTCGCAAATTTTGCAAGTATCCAAGTAGAAACACCTGTCAACTTGCTACTAAAAATATACTTTTTTTAAACAACACTAATTTTTGTATAAACATCTCGTTTTTTCAAAAATAACTTTTCGATGGTATAATTTTTTTACTTTGATAAAAAAAATTTTCTTGAAAATGGTTGAATAACATATGTTTTATAAATTTTGTCTTAAACAGTGAACTAAATTTAAACTTGACAAAAAATTGAATTTATTTATGTTATTTATATCACATAAAAGAATTATTTTTCATTACATTTTTAATCATTGAACGATTATTCATTCGATAGTTTGAGAATAAAATCTGCAGATTTATATTTAAAACGCACGACTTATTAAAAACTGAGTTAAATAATTTTAGATTAAAGGCATTTTAAAATAGTTAATATTTGAACAATGATTAATCTGCATATTTTTGTAGTTGTATTAATTATTATAATATCATATATTTTTTGATAATTAAATGTATTTAAAAATTCTTACCTATAAATAATGGATTTATTTATTAGTAGAATTTAAAATTGGAATATTATTGTATGTTAAGAACCTCTACACATTTTTTTTAGTGTAAACGATGTGAGAAAGATAAAACAACATAAGGATAAATAAAATAAAAGGATAATAATCGTAAAAACTAAATGTTTTCAAAATTTTGAATTTTAATTTACTTGACAAAATTATTTCAAAAATGGAAATATAATGTTTCTTTAATTGAGCCAAAAATGTTTCAATTTTTCAAAATTTTTTGGAACAAAAAATACAAATTTTTGTAACAAAAATCACAAAAAAACTAATTAAAATAAAAACATTAAAAATTTTCTAGAATTCTCTAAAGAATCATTGATCATATTCTTTTAAATGTTTGTGAAACTAGTCTTTGATATTAAAGACATAAGTTTACGCTTAATTAACGATAGAATCGAAAAAGATAACTTCATATTATGACAATGAATTCTACAATCGTTTTTACTTATTTTTGGCTTCATAAATAAACACTGACTAATTCAATGTAAAACAAATGAAATAATAATTTATATTATTATTGACAACGAAGGCACTGCTTATTGAAATATTTTGAATGAATTATTAATTCATTGAACATTTAACGTAGCTTATAAGTTAATGTTTACACATGAAAAGTTTTGTTACGAAAATAATAATCTTAACTATCATAGAATCGCTATGACAATGATTAGTAATCGATTCAACAAACTAAAACTTACATTATTTTAGTTCATTTTTATAAATAAATCATTGCCATTAAAACAATTCACTGTTACTAAAACATGTGTGATGGCTTTAAAAATTAAATTAATATTTTTAACAATTTGATGATGAGTAAATACATGAAAAATCTTTACTCTCTTTCAAAAGCCAAAAATAGAACAAATTAATACTGTAAAAGCCACGTTATTTCGTATCCTAAAGTACTTATTATGCACCTTCGCTATAAATTTTTACCGTTTACAATATTATTAACATTGAATTCGTAATTCTATACATTTAAATGTATAAATTTCTATCTAATGTGATAAAAAAACGAGAAGAAAAAAGTTTATACACTAAGTAGAAAGTTAATAACCAAACAACCATGAATAAAGGATTTTTTTTCCTGATTACGATGATTTTACCCTTCGATTTTACGATGATAGTATTCAAGAATACGATAGGTAACATGATAGTTATCGACTTAATCACTAGATATTTCAACGTTTCTCGAGATTTTGAAAATTTTATAATTTTTTTTGTTAACGATGTTCATATCGTTGAAACTTTTTTCTTTTAATGTTTAAAGATCCGTATTTTGAATAAAGATTTATAGATATCTCAAATCGAACAATCAACTAGTTCGAAAAAACAAAAATAATGAGATTCAATTCAATAACTTTACGGATCTTGTAATAATATGCAATTATTTCCAATGAAAAATTAAACATTAGAGCGAATACGGTGACCAGCGCCGTTCTTTCCCGGTACTGTTAATCCTAACCCTTGGCTTGTTTTAGTACTGTTCGCCCAAGGAACAGTTAATCCAACTACTTGATTCGTTTTAGAAATTCGAGTCATTGGTTTATGTGAATACAACCCTTCCATGGAGTGTCGCCAAATCCAGCAATTACGACACAAATATCGGAAACAAACCTGTTCATAATAATGATTATATTACAAATATCATTCAAATTTCAATACTAATGAGTAATCAAATGAAAATAAAAATTTACTCACTTCTTCACGACAATAATACGGGCCCTGTTGTACAAAACAGTTAGTACATACGGAATCTTCAAGATACGGATCAATCTGGACAGTTTTTGTAAACTTGGAAGTTTTGATTTCAACAAAAGCCGCAGCTACTGCTTTTTCCCAAGAACGTTTGCTGCTAAATGTTACACGAGCTGAACCAATGGGATACTTATGCTTATCAGTATCAATTCCTGTATAAGAAATAAAAAATTTTACTTTTGAATTTTATAAATTTTTAAAATAAATTTTTTAAATAATTACCAGCATAAATAACTTCGTCAAATAAATCATTCATAATTGTAGCGAGTCCCTCAGCAGTCAACATACCATGAAGCGCACCAACAAATACGGTTTTTCCTGGATCAAGTTTTTGTGATGCTGATTTAGAATAATTACTGTCACTCAATGACCATGGAATAACTTGGACATCTTTTCCTTTAATGCGTTTCGATGATATCTTATAGTACCAACGTCCACCATTAGCAAAATCATGAGTACAACAATTAAGCAAAGCTTTAACTTGCTTTTCAGACTCAAAAATAATGTAAGCAAAACCTTTAGGTTCTGGTGCATTAGAATGCTCTTTTTTTGGCCATTCTACAGTAATGTCACCAAATTGTTTAAATGTTGCTATTAAAGTATTTTCAGTAATATCCCATGGTACTCCACCAAGAAAAACTTTTGATGAATATCCATTAGATTTTTGAGAACGTGGAGGAAGAGTTCCACTCCATGTGTATGTTGCTTCACACGATGAAGCACTTCTGTGAATTTTTGCAGATATATGAGGTTCTGGAATTGTAGGTGGAACACTTGGAATCATGTGATTTCCAGTAGAACAGCATTGATGATGTCGAAAAACTGGTGGTGGTTGATGATGAGATGAAGAAAGATATTTTTTCATTGCCATACGTTGAAGAGTAGCAGCTCGGTTATTTTGATACATATCCATCTCCGAATTCATCCAAGATTTCAAAGAATGTTGATAACACGAACGTGAAGGAGATGTCCATGATAGACAGTTCATGATGTCTGATAGAGATCCATCTAGACTACTCACACCGCTAGTCTCCGAATCAGCTGGTGAAATAGATCGTGATCCATTGCATCTAATATGAGGATATTCTGCAGTAGGACTGCTGCAATCACTATATGGTGGTGATCCTCTAATTGGACGACCATAACAACCTGAACGAACTGACGGTGAAGATGGAGTATCGAAATAAGAGATATAAGACCTATTAGCTGGTGATGAAGTTGGTAAATGTGTGCTACTACTTGCACTAGTTGAATAACTGTAAGGATTTGAAAAAATACTGCTTGGAGTACTTGGACTTCCTGGTGTAGTTACTGAATTAGGTGTTCCTGGCATATCGATATTTGGCGATGATGGAAAATATCCACGTCCACCATCGTAGTGCTAAAATTTAAGAAGAAAACAGATTTAAGCTATAATATAATAAATAATTGTAAATAGTCTTGGGATGTTACTGTGAATTAGCTTTCCAGCACCAACGTTGGAATATATCCAAGATACTATCGCGTAACGTCCACTGTAATCTTCATCTTTTGATGACATGAGATGGCAAGAAAATGAATAAAGAAGATGAACTAATAGTCTTTTACACAATGGAGCTGTTTGGCTCAGGCCTGAACATTCTTGGCTCCATTAAAAATAAGGTCGTTTTAACGTGGCGTTTTTCGATAATTTATAAGATGCCATTGCATTGTGTTATACACGATCTAATGTGGATATTTCGATGTTTATTACATTGAAATAAGATTAATGTTGAAATTTTAAGATGTTATGCCATCTTTACTGGATTCAAAAAATACTTATGTTAAATTTAAGTATCTATTTTTGTTGATAGAATAATATTTATAAATAATTAAAGTTCAAAAATGATCATAAGAAATTCAGAAAGTTAGATAAGCTAGTCAAATCGTAATAAGTTATCTTAAGGCGTTGGATTTACTGTATTGATAGAAACTTCAATAGCTTTTAGCTTTTCTATATTTATATAGATATGTATTGCAATGTCATTTTCAGATATAAACTTATAAAGCTTTTTTTAATCTGTTGCGATATAAAAAATCAGAAATCTCAAAATTGCAATCCACATAGAAGAATTTTTTAATTTATTATTGAACAAATTAAAAAATGAAACATTCACTGGAGAAAATAGACATCAGTTATCTCAAATAAAAATCTATTTAGTTATCGATTTATTATATTTATGAAACGAGTAATTATCCACAATTTTCTTGAATTTCGTGAATTAAAATGGATGACAAATGAAAGTATTTGTTATTTTATGGTTGTCATAGAATTTATTTATAAAAAATTTTATAATTTAATTTCTCGAGATTAATTTTTCAATTATATTTAGATTTTTTTGCATTAGTAATTTAATATTCTTTTTTATGAACATCAAATTTTAGATATGGTTAAAAAAAACTGACCTGATATTTTAACTGTCGAGAAACATTTGATTCATGATTCTGTCCATGATGCTGTTGATGATGTCGATATCCTGGCGAGTTTATGGACGATTGACTACCCATCAACGATCCTCGAGGTAATCTAAGTCCGAATAAATCGGAAATAGACATGTCTTCTATTGAAATGAAAATGTTAATTTAAGTAAAAATGAAATAACTACCAACACGAATAGTTGACTTATATTGAATGTTTCATAACAAACGAATATCACTGTATTGTAACTACCATGAAATTATTAATAAACAATCTAATAATGAACTTTAATAATAATAAAATTAATAAATTGAATAATTTTTCTAGATTACATAAAAATAATTAAAATACCATCTATATTAATTTCAGGAATCGGTTGATCAAAAGTCGACTCATGATTCCTATTCTGCGAGAATGATCCTAAATAAACTGGCGGAGGTGGTACATCAAATGGTAAATTACCAATAGGTTTGGGTGTTTGATGTACTTTATTATCTCTAAGGTGTTCTCTTTCGCGTTGATGAATTTGCATCTGTTCCCTTTCATGTTGTTGATGGAACTGAAGTTGTTCTCTTTCACGACGTTGAGCAACTAATGGATCTCGGTCGCGAGATGCAAGTTGAAAAGAATCACGCTGCTGTTCTCTTTGTGAATGTAATTGTAATGATTCACATTGTTGGCGTTGAGGAGGATCAGTTTGCTGCTGAAGTTGAAAATTGTCCCGGTCACGTTGCAACTGAGTATGAAGAGGATCGCAAGATATTGCTGGCGAATCGTTGATTGAAGTATCTAAGATACTACTGTTCTCCGTCTCAAAAGACATAGCCAACTGAAATATATTATTTATTGTGCTTATTATTAATTTATTTTAAAAATTTTGGTAACTTCGCATTAAATTATGCTTTTAATTTGAAATCATAATGAAAATTATAAATATTGGTGAGTTTAAAAAAAAAATCAACAAACCGTATCCCAATATCGTGAATCGTCCATTGTCTTGGGCACATTGATTTTCACTGCGTCGTTCATTACTGAATCCATACGATAAATGATCGAACCGTGGGAATCGTAAGTGCGGATTAGATAGAAAACAACGAGAAAAGTAGAGAGAGGGGTATCTAAAGTATCGCACCTAGACTAAATTTTCCAAGAATTCGTGAAAGCAATAAAGGTACGTCTTTGGAGATACAAAATCTTTTTTTCGTCAATGATTATGGTATGAAAGCTCAGCACTTCTCAGAATTCGACCTTACTTTAATGCCGAATCAACAACTTCCCCTTAAAATTCATATTTTATAAAGACCCACTGACGTAAATATACACAAATTTATGTGTGTAATTTAATTACTTTCTTAGATTTTAAAAATAAATAATCGTTTTCAAAACAGGAATAAAATCAATGTACTGTTTAAAGATAAATTTAGTAATATTTTAAGGATATTATATTTTATTTATCCGAAAAGATTATCAAAAATATAAAAGTATCGTAAAATGGATGCCTGTAAAGTAATTTATTTCCGATACTTTAGTGATGTTTTTGTTTGTAGGATACCGATACGAATAAACTACCAATCAAGGACACTCATACGTGTGTTCACAAAACCCTCTGATAAGGGGAATTTTGGGACAAAGAGTTTGAAAATATTAAACTTTTTCATACTTCAATAAATATAATTAAATCAAATAAGATAATTTATTGTATAAAACTAAAAAAATGTAAATCGTAATAAATTATTTTATCGCTTTACCTGTTGTATCAGACTCGACATTTTCGTTTTCTTCGTAGTTAACTGTAAGAATCAAACAATTTGCAGCACGTGCGAATTCCCTGTTGAGTTTTATTACTTTCTTGTTTTGCACTTTTCACTCATTCGTCAGTTAATGATATTTAAAAAATAGTTGATTATTTTTTATAATTATCTTTTTATAAAGATTTTAAATTTTTAATCACTAAAATAATTTTAATACTTTCCGATTAATTAACTAAGTGAAAAATTAATGAACAAATTTTACAGGAAATATTTTTTATTTATTTGTTTTAATATGTATTTTGTCAAGTGCAACAATAAATAATTATATGAAACTACAACTAACCCAACTATAATGTAATATTATCAAGATTTGATGTAATAAAACTATAAGAGACATTCTTTACCACATTGTCGCACTCGACAAACTGAATTTAATATTTTTTCAGTATCTTCAATACCCCGCGAATCTTGTTCCTTGCGCATGCGCATTCAAATTTTTTTGAAAACTATTTTTAATTTTTTATGATTTTTATTGTAAAATATAAAACAGAAAAATAAAATATAAATAAGGATTAAATCATAACACTAAAATTAGCAGTAATAGAAAATAATTTTTTATTCAATAATAATTTAATATTCTATATGTGCAGTTGATGAGTCTAGCATTTCAACTTCTGAGTCCATCTCATTTGGAGACATTGGAGAAAAATTAACGTCTCGAGATCGATCGCATTTTTGCGATAAATTTTCATCTGCTTTACTTGAGTCTTCACCCCAAGTTGAAAATAAATTAACTCTTAATTTATCGATATCTTCTTCTTGAGCAGATCCTGTTGCTGGAGTTTCTGAAGATTCTGAAACTTCTGGAGGTTGATGAGTTTCAGAGAATTTATACTTTGGCATTTCACTAGGTGCTTCTGTAAAATGTTTATTTATAAATTATGAACGTTGATTATTTATTTTAGTCTTTATGGTTATACCTGGGAAAGGTGGACCTTCATCTATCAATTGTTCCAAAACATAGCCCAACATCGTAGTAGTAAATGTATCATCTCTGTGAATACCTAAGGCTCTATGAAATGCATCAACAGCTTCTTGAGTATTACCAATCAACGCATGGATAAACCCTATCGCTGAATATGTTGATGGATTCAATGAATTTAACACTAATGCTTGTTGATGATAATCTAATGCTTCTTCATATTTTTTTAGCTTCCTACATGTATGTCCTAAATTATTTAATAATGCTTCCCATTTACTGGGTAAAACAACATTTTTCAATCCATTTTGAATTCTATTTAAAGCTTCTTTAAATTGCCTTTCTGCAGTTTTATAGCTAAATTTAACAGAAACACAGGCAAAATAAGAAAATATATTGTAAAATATAGGGGAATAAAATAAATAATTGGTAATTGAAAGAAAAATACTTACTCAAAGTTGAAAAAAGATATAACACCTGTTTCATGAATGACAAATGGATCATTAGGAGCTATATTTTGAGCTTGTTGGAAAAATTTATCAGCTAATTTCAAATTATTTGTTAAACCACATTCAAGACCAATGTACAAAAGAGGAAGATGACATCCTTTCATCAATTGAGAAGCTTTAAAATAAGCCGCCATAGCTTGATCATGTTCATTTTCAACTGCAAATGAATGACCATATGCTAACCACGCTGGACCAAATAAACGATCGAGTGCAGTAGCTTTTGCTAAATACCTTCTTGCATGATCACTTTTTCCTAAAAATAAATGCCATCATTTTATTCAAGATTTTTTAAACAACTAATAATTTAAACAAAATATATACTTACCAATTGCAAAGTAATAGCAGCCAACTGCAAACCAAGCAAGTGCCATATCGGGATATAAATCAACAAGTTTATGAGCTAAATAAAATAATGCATTCGTTTTTTTTAGTTCTACTAAACAAGCAATATGAACTGGTAAACAAGTACTATGATATGGATCCTTTTTTAAAATACTGAAAAAATAAAATTTTATTTAATTCACTTAATTATACTTTTGTTTTCTTTTATTGAAAAGATAAAAATGATTTAATTTTCTTACGCTTCAGTCAGTGCAAAACATTGTTGGTAATCACAATTATAATATAATCTTTCAGCTTTAGCAACTTGCATGTCTAAATTATTTTGTAGTCCATCAGACACAAGTATTCCTTTCATTCCCATCGTTATTAACGCCAAATCTTCAGATGGAGCTTGATATTTTTTCAATTTACTTTCGTATAATAATTTCAATAAATCTCTATCTGATTCAGAACATTGTTCATTGAAGGGCAAAGAATCTAATAATTCTCTTTCTGTTAATTTACAAAACATGATAATATAACATTTAAATTTACTTAAAAGCTTATATAAAATAAATTATTCATTTCTAGTACGTTTACCTTCAGAAGCTGAAAGCATTTGATTTTGAACAAGAGCTTCAAAAGCTTGATAAGAATATACATCATAGTGAAGAGCCTGTTTGTAACAATCAGTTGCAACTGCTCTATTGTCAATCGCTTCATAAACTCGACCTTTAACGTATAGTATTGCACTCTGTACCTGTTATAAATTTTATAATAAATATCTTATGCAATTGATTCATCACAATGAGTTCTTACATTTTTGGGAGCGTCTGTTAAAATATTTGTATGATCTATAAAACTGACACCTGACTGTGAAATGTTAGAACAGAGTTCAGATTCATTGATAACTTGAAGGGCTTCATTGAACTCTTTGGCCTCTAGGAGACTCCTAACTGTTAAATAATGGCACATATAGTCCGTCTAAAAACAATGATTATAATAAAATGTTGTTACAGTTGACAGGAAAAATATGCATTCATAGATAAGATGATACCTTTTCTAAACCTCGACTCCGGATGCAATGAGCTGCTCTGTGGTATTGTTTCATAAGGTACATACATTGTGCTAAAGTACAAATATCCTTAGGGTCTTCATTACTTAATGAAGCTATTTTATCAGCCCAAAATAATGCTGCACTATAAAGATGCTGGAAAACAATAAATTAATTTTATTTATCGATTTTTAAAGAATGTAATCAGCTCATTTGTTGGTATTTAAATGAACTTACAAGATCTGCATACGACTTCACTAACTTTCTATAGTTGTCTAAGATATTTTTTGTATCAGAAATGTTTTGCATTCCGTTACAATCAACATCAGAATCTTGTCGCGCCATACTTCATTCAAATTTCAGAAACAATTTAGAGGTTATGTGTGTTTATGTGCATGCAAGCTTATTTCCATCATTTTCAGCATGTATGCATACGTCATGCAATGTAATATAGGTATGTTATTTAGCTGCTTTATAGATCATGAATAAATAAATAAATTCCTTTGTTATCTTCAGATGGTGGGAAAGAATTATTTTCAAAAAAATATTGCTGCAAGAAATTAAAAAATCCATTCAGGTAATATTATAAATATTCACTCAAAATTAATTAATCATTTCAGGGAATGAATATTTTTTGAATCATTTTTAAACTGTATTCGATCGGTAGTAGTCGGACAAACTGTCAGGGACAGAGTTTTAAGGAAATTTATGATGTTTTTTATGTTTCTTGCATACTTCTCACATTTCCAACAAGTAAATTTAATATATATTTTATAAATTTATTATATTTGGAATTTTTATTCTCTTTTCATATTTATTTAATCATTTTAGGGGTAGAATAAACCCAGCTACTGTTACACTGTTCCTATCTTTTGTCTAAATTTTACATGAAATCGATGATGGACACGAGTTATTAAAAAATAATAATTCATATTCTTATCAAAATTTTATTATCAATGTAAATCCATTTGTAAATACAAATTGGAATTGTAATTTTTTTTGCTTATTACTTTCAGCATAATTATTATCTAAATAATGTATCTTCAAGCTCAAGTACACTTGTATATTTGACTAATTGATAATTAAAAAATTGTTCCTAGTTTCGTCACTTTGCTATTATTTCCTTAAATCATTTTATTACATTTAAACTATTAGACTTTATCATTAATCAGATATTTATTAGATTTGATGCTTAATCATATGCAGATATGTGTCATGTTGAAGTCTCTAAGCAAGGGTAAAATCTAACTTTATCTAACTTTCATGATTAATCAATGACACATTATGATCAACTTTACTTTCTAGTAGATAATAAATACTCGTAATGTATAAATTAAAGTTTAATTTTATTTCGATAATGTTCTAATACTGATCATTTTTAGAAGTTAATAATATTTCATTTTCAAAACAAAATGTTGTTAAAATACACAATAAAATTTCTTAAAAACACCTACAATATTAAATTAAATCATTCTATAAGAAAAGTCTCGAATCAAAGAAAGCAATTTCAAGAAGTGACAATCAAAGTACCTTGGGGAACGATAAGTGGTAAGTGATAATAAAAATATTTTCTTCAGAGACCGTGCATCAAATTGATTAATCGTGTTGCATATCATGTGTTTGTGTATCTTTTTAAAAATAATATTGACATTATTTCTAATTATTAGTGACTGAAATACATTGATATACTTTATCATACAGGAAAATTTTGGGGATCTACTGATGTTCAGCCAATCATTGCAGTTCATGGATGGCAAGATAATGCAGCTTCATTTGATCCATTAGCTGCAACATTACCTAAAGATATTTCTCTACTTGCCATAGATCTTCCTGGACATGGACATTCAAGTTGGCTACCCAATGGTTTGATGTATAATACTCTCATCTACATCCAAGCGCTGCACAGAATAAAAGATTATTATGGATTGGATCAATTTGGATTAATTGGACATTCTTTGGGTGGCGTAATTACATTTTGTTATACATCCTTATTTCCAAACAATGCTAAATTTGCAATAGCATTAGATTATTTCAAATACCCATCATTAAATTTAACTAAAAATTTTTCAACTTTCAATCAAGAATGGAGCAATTTTTTTAAATATGAAAAACTACAAACTAGGGTTCCTAGTTATACTAAAAAAGAACTTATTGACAAATGGATTAAATCTTCAAGTAATTCTTTAAATAAAACTTCATGTGAAATATTGATGAAGCGAGGTGTTAGAAAAAATCCAGATGATACAGTTTTCTTTTGTCGAGATCCAAGAATTAAATTCTTTCTCAATGATATTGGATTTTCCCATGATCATTTTTTGAGAGGATTAGCTCACCAAGTAAGTTGTCCTTTTATGATAATCAAAGGAGAAAATTCACACTTTAACGAACCAAAAGAATTTTATTACAATACATTAAAAATAGTTAAACAACACTCACAAGATTTTCAATTTTATACTACACCTGGTACTCACCATTTTCATATGGACAATGCTAAACAAATTGCTCAATTTATTAATCCATTTATTTTAAAATATTCCAAATGATATATTCAACAATAAAGAGAACTTTTTAGTTAAAAAAAATTATTTATGTATTTTTCATTTGTTTTTACAAACTCTCTACTTTTATCAATCATGGTAACGATACCTACATTATCGACATGCTCCTATAGATAACTATAGATAACTATGTACATAAGTAATAGCAATTATTATCACACGTGTGTTAACAACATATCAAGAAGTGCGTTTAATTATACATATTTTAATTTTATATCTCATAACCTTGAATGTTTATACGTAAATGGATTAGTAATTGTATCTAGTTCAGTTTCCAGTTTTTACCACAATAGACTGAATGAATAGTCTATTCATTTTACACTATTATGTTTTTTTTACACGTATGTTTCTGATATTTTTTCATTGTCACAATGATTTTTAATTACTTTATATGATTTTGATTTGTTAATGTATTTCCGTGATTCATCAATAATTATACTTAATCATTACGTCATTTACTAATGCAGAGTTCAAATATATTACAAGCTCAAAGTCTAGTCAATAGAATTTGACAGAAATCCAGTAATTAATATTGCTTGTCATAGAGATATAACATATTTTTAGAATAATTTATTGCTTTATAAATTACCATGTTTTTGAATAAAATTTTTAAAAGTCAGTTGTTACAATTAAATATATTAAGAAAATATTTATCAACAACTAAAGCAACAAGTAAAGAATATAAAGAAGTTGAAATAAAAGTACCTTGGGGAAAATTAACTGGTATGTAAAGTATAAAAAAAAAAATTTTTATTCTCTTTTTTATTTAACAAAATACTTATTATTCATCAAGGTAAATATTGGGGATCATCTAATGTTGAACCAATTCTTGCACTTCATGGCTGGCAAGATAATGCCTGCTCATTTGACCCACTGGCACAAAATTTACCTGATAATGTATCTCTATTGGCCATGGACTTCCCTGGCCATGGCTTTTCTAGTTGGATACCAGATGGTATAATGTATAACACTCTGCTTTACGTTCAAGCAGTTCACAGAGTCAAAGAATATTATGGAATGAATAAATTTGGATTGATGGGACATTCTCTAGGTGGAATGGTTTCTTTTATGTATACATCTTTATTTCCAAATAATATCAAGTTTGTTATAGCCTTTGATTACTTCAAATATCCATCATTGAATGCTGCCAAACATTTACCTTTGTTTGCTAAAGACTGGAATAATTTTTTTAAATATGAAAAATTATCAACTCCAACACCAAGTTACACTGAAGAAGAAGCAATTAATAGATGGATTAAAGCTACCAGAAATAGTATTGATGAATCTCTATGTAAAATTTTAATGCAAAGAGGAGCAACAAAAAAACCTGATGGTTCAATATTTTTTCACAGAGATCCAAGAGTTAAATTATTTCTAACTGACACTGGATTTTCTCATGATCATTTAAAAGTATTAGCCATGCAAATTTATTGCCCTTGTATGATAATAAAAGGTGAAAATTCTAGACATAATGAACCTAAAGAATTTAGTGATGATGTTCTAAAAGTTATTGAAAAACATTCATCTGATTTTCGATTTCACACTGTGCCTGGTACTCATCATTTTCATATGAGTAATGCAAAACAAGTAGCAGAAATAATTAGCCCTTTTGCTCATCAGTATATTAATTGAAAAATTCAACAATTAGATGTCTAAAACATTGTAAATAAAATTTTATTTATATAAAAACACCAAAGTGTGCTGATTTATTTATTCATTTAATCAATTAGTGATTAAATGAGCCAACAAAAAAGCATCAATGTGAAAGAATGTTTGATGATGGAAAATAATTCTTTCAGGCTTATTCTTGTTAGGTATGTATGTAAAGATAAAACTTGTGGCGCCAAGCCGGAAGAAAAAGAGTATTATAAGCAGCAATATATTGTGACGTAAGCATTAGAACTTGTCGAGAACGTCGCGTGATACTGTGAGGCTTCGGAGTGGTCAGTAAAATCGCCTGGTTTAAGTCGGTTGATCCTTGTTACTGCTCGTTTCATTATATGTATATCGTGCTTAGTTTCTCTTTAAATTAAATTTTATAAGTAAAGTAAATTTATTGAATAATATTTAAAGTTAAGTTATTGTGTTCATTTATCTTGATATGATTCATTGACATAATTGTCAGTCGCGTTGGAAAACTAACCAAAGTTTCCAAGTGTTCTACAAGTTAACAAAAAAAAAGGAACCAGCTTAATACTAAGTTTAAGAACGAATTGCGTTTGCGCTCGTCAGTTCATCTACTATCTCCTAACTATTTCATTATCATTTGATTATTAAATATACATATAATTGTTGCTCCTAAATGCGCGTGCGTATTTTCGAAAACTCATCAGCTCACCCGTCTACTGAAAGCTGTCTCCACATTCTTTGATATCGCAGTTACTCTCTCATTATTGTACTAAGAATAACGTGTGATTTTAATTGCATTATGACTTGCTGCAACTTTGGTCCTTGAATAATACTCAGAGGGTTCTGTTGCACCTGTTTGTACACTAGATTGTTTAATTATCACATCAATCTTTGGAAATTTTATTGTACAATTGACCAACCTTGAAATAAGTGCTATTTAGTCAGCCAGTATTTCAAGTGACACTTGTTTCGAATGAGAAAAATGACTGATCGTAATACTGAGATGCATTATACTCCACCAACATCCGATACTATTCAGACCAAACCATTTCCAATAAGAGGTAAATTTATCATTAATATTTATTTTATTTAATTTCAATATAACTCACTGATATTTTATGAATTAATTGACTTTTTTTTCATGCATAATTTGTTTTATTTAAAAAGCAAGAAAACAAGTGATTACGTGTAATATTGATATTCAACAATATTTTTTTATTGCGATGTTATTCTGACTAACCTATAGCCTCACATTGATACTATACCGAGGACAAATAAAATAAAATGTATAACGATAATGGCCCGATGAGCGAATTATCGCAATAATTTATTACTTTGTGATATTCAATAAATTCATAAAATATTATTAGACCTTTATCTTGGTAATGATCTTATCAAAACTGGACATTGGAGCCGTTTATTTATCTTATTGAGGAAAGTTTAAGCTGAGACATCAGTAATTGAGACCATAAAATAATATGATATATTTATGATGCATTCAGATATTTTATCTGATATATTCAGATATATAATTACAAATGCTTATTCAAAAAATATAGACATTATAGTATTGAATTTAATACAGATATCTATATTATTATAATGATGATATAAATGATTTTTCTTTATTTATTGTTTCAGGGGAAAGAGCAAATTTTGTAAATAAACGACATGTAATTGCAATGGTTGGCTTACCCGCACGGGGTAAAACATATATCTCAAAAAAACTTTGCAGATATTTAAATTGGATTGGCATAAATACCAAGGTCTTCAATTTAGGAGAATATAGACGACATGCTACTACTGCATATCAATGTCATGAATTTTTTCGACCTGATAATATTAAAGCAATGGCAATAAGAACTCAATGTGCTGTTGATGCTCTGAATGATGTTTGTCAATGGTTAGAAAGTGGTGATGGAGAAGTTGCTGTTTTTGATGCTACTAATTCAACTCTAGAAAGGAGACAAATGATTTATAATATTGTTGTTGAAAAAATGGGCTTTAAACTATTTTTTGTTGAGTCTGTTTGTGATGATCCAGAAATCGTTGAACAAAATATTATGGAGGTAATCAATTAAATTAATTTAAAATTCATATGAGATTAATATTTATTTCGTAATTCAAATACTTGTTTGTATTGAATAATTCTAGGTGAAGGTTAGCAGTCCAGATTATGCAAACATGAATAAAGAAGAAGTTTTAGCAGATTTTATGTTGAGAATTGAACATTATCAAGAAAAATACCAACCACTTGATGAAAAATTAGAACGTGATTTATCGTTTATGAAAATTTATAACACAGGCGAGAAAGTATTGGTTTTTAAACATGAGGGTCATATTCAGAGTAGAATAGTTTATTATTTGATGAATATACACATTGTGCCACGAACTATTTACCTAACAAGGCATGGCGAAAGCTTAATGAATCTTGAGGGAAGAATTGGCGGTGATTCAGATTTGAGCGAAAGAGGTAGACAATATTCCAAAGCTCTTGCTAAATACATTGAAGAACAAGATATCCAAGGTTTACGTGTTTGGACTAGCTGGTTAAAAAGAACCATTCAAACAGCTGCCGATGTTAATGCTCCACAAGAAAGGTGGAAAGCACTCAATGAAATTGATGCAGTAAGTATATTTTTTTATGATTGAATATTTTTTATTAACCAGTAGTTTCTAATCAACATCAATATTTGAATAGGGGATTTGCGAAGAAATGACATATGAAGAAATTTCGAGTAAATATCCCGTCGATTTTGCTGCGAGGGACCAGAATAAATTTTCATACCGATATCCAAGAGGAGAAAGTTATGAAGATTTAGTAGCTCGTCTTGAGCCAGTAATAATGGAACTTGAAAGACAAGGAAATGTTTTAGTGGTTTCTCATCAAGCTGTTCTACGATGTCTATTAGCATATTTTCTTGACAAAAACGCAGGTAAATTTCGATCACACATTTGATTAACACTTGGTTTTATTTCAAGTTCATTACAATAACTATTGATTACAGATGAATTACCCTATTTACAAGTACCCTTACATACAATAATGAAATTAACCCCTGTAGCTTATGGTTGTAAAGTGGAAAGAATTCGGTTACCCATAGACGCCGTGGATACACATCGACCAAAACCAAAGGTAGAAGCAAATCATTATATAACACAATTGTAAATAGAACAATAGTAGTCTAGAGAAATTTTTATGATTTATCATGACTTGATATCATGACGAAAAATAAGAAACCTGAAAAAGGCGATCAATTGGTATTTTAAATTTTTCGTCATAAGTTCAAAAATATTCCATGCTAATAAAAAACCTAATCCTTACCTCTGCTTGTGTTTTAATGCTCCTTAACTGCCTGTTTCATTTTGATTATAAAATATCGATTTCTTTTCTCGTTCATTGGTTGCTTTTTAATGGTTTCATTGACATTCTATTATTTATATTATATCGATTGCTCAATTTATTTATGCATTCAATTCAGTAGAAAAATTTAACTTTCAACGAGTTAAATATTTCTTTCATGAAACTAATTCTTTGCTGGACGATATTGGGATTCGATCAATAGTTCATACTATTGATTTATGTGTGTATAATAATGGAACAATACATATTGATAGATTTATTATTTTATTGATACTTCATATGTGCATGGTTTTCACGGCAACATTGAGATAATATTTACAACAATTGACGACTGACCTTTTTTATGCAAACATAGCCATGAGATTATGTATTATGATATGCGATTATTTTCAGATCCCTGGATATTTGGAGCAGCGATTCAGGAGCATAGGAAAAAATCTACACACTTGATAGCAATAATTAGTCACTAAATAAATAATTTTTTTTCTAGATGGACATTTTTATTATTATGATCGTAATTATAATTACTATGATTGAGACCTAGCAGCATTTTTAAGGGCAGCAGGCTGCCCCGTGGGAGCTTATTATAGTGCCAAATTATTTTTTATTTCATTTTTACTTATAAAAATTATGAAAAATATATACAAATGTACATCAGTTGCCCTCTTAATGTGCTGGTGTAGAAAAATATGATTATTTTTTTTGTATATTGTTGATAATGTGATATGAGTGCTCAAAATGATAAGTGCGTAACTTTAATTGGGTAATTTTAATTAATATCATTTATTCAATAATTTTTCAACCCTGAAAGTTCCATAAAAATATTATTAACAATATTGTGTTCTTATAAAAAAAAATTCATTAATAAACTCACACTTTTAATCAATATTCTTCAACTAATGATAAATTCATAAAGAAAAATAAGACAAACAATATTCACCCAGTGTATATTTATAACGTTAAATGACAATGTTTCTTAAAATTTTAAATACATATATGTAAATACGTACATATATATCATTCGAAATATTATCTATTTTGCATTACTTTATTCTATTCAATAATAAAACTTTATCATCTTTTTCTCCTGTAACTACAATGAAAATATTAAATAAAGTATTAGAATAATTGATTTTTTTAATAAATGTCCTGTTTATTATCGAAATTTTTTATAAAATTAATCAATTATGCTTTAGATAAATTTGAAAACTCAGTGTATAAACATGAAAAACGGATATAAAAATTCAGTCAAAGACTTGAATCCAAAACGCAATAAGGTAAGCATTTTTTATTCATTAAAATGTAAATTAGTAAATACTAACCTCATAGAAGTTTCTGATAAATATACATAATTTCTCTTGAAACTTTCTTCAATTGCATAAAAATATAGAATTATAATAATTTTTAATAAAAATTTTATGAGCATAACATCTAAAGACACACCAATTGAACGGAGAATTTGCGCGCGATCTCCAAGTATATTTTTTATTGTATTAAAGTATAAAATAATGATTCATATGTTAAAGTTATGATTAAAATTGTATTAAAATATTTATTTTTATACAATGACTGATTATAATGACTACAAAAGAATCATATTACTTTAAATAACAATAACTAAGAAAACAAAGCGGTTATAATTGCGAGTTAAGAATGATCACGTGATTATTTATTTAAACTACATTACCTTTAGAACTGATAAAACAGAAATATCTAATCAAATTATCTGAAGTAAATATTGGCAAATACACTGCACGCCATCTGTGCATTGTTTTTTTTTCTATCAATTCAGAACATTCAAAAGATTCGTTATAAAATAACCGCTACAAATATTCTATTACAAAATAATCCAACAAAATTAATAATATCAATTTCTTTAACTGCTACATTTATTTTCTGAGTGATAAAATTTACTAAGTGAGTGAAAAATAATTAAATATTATTTATTTTGTTGTAAGTTGTCTGTTTTGATATGAAAAATAAGAATTGATTATTTTTGTTGGTTTAGTCTTGGTTATGTAAGAATGTAAACAACTAATATTAATTTGTCCAATGATAAGAAATATTGTTTTTTTTTTGCAGGCATTATCAAAGTTTTGTAAATACGTGTGAATAGTATAAACAAACTATGGAGAATTTAGATAATTCACAGTGGCGTTCTACAGATTCTAACTCTGATAATCTTGATGAATCGGCTACAGAAACTATCAATTCATCTTTTTTGTCATGTAATACACAAAAAGATAATGAAGATTGTGATTCTGAAGATGGATTATTAAATGCAATGAATAATTTACAAATCACAACAGTTGAAAAATCCGAACAGCTTGATCATTTAAATTCCACCACAAAAATTAATATTGATAAAGAAAATAACTTTTTAGATGAAAAAGTAGATCATACTCAAGAAAATACTCAAATAAATAATACACTGAATTCATCTAAAATATTTAAAAAGCCTCCAACTCCTATGAAATCGAAGTTAGCTGTTCCAACGAAAACGAAAACAATGTCATTACCACCTCCTGATTTATCAAAATCCAAAATAATGAACGTTTCGTTAAATTCGTCAATATCAAAAAATAAAAATTCCAAAGAGACGGATAAACGTATTATTAAAACACTAGTCGATACAGATGAAGGGATAGAACTAAGAGAGGAAAAAATAAATCATTTTTCGATTCCCATAATTGATGGTAAAAAGAAACGTACAGAACCTATTGGATTCAGTTTTTTAAGTAGAATTAAGAAACCAGTGACAAAAATCAATAATAATGAAGCAGAAAAAAACATTACAACGGGAATACAACAAACTAATAAAAATGTTTCATTAAATAATCAACGTAAAACAGTGATTCGTAGTCGATCAGCTTTAACAATTAATAGTAATGTAGCAAAAGGTAATGAAACCTTAAAGACAAAATCTACATCAGCAACTATGAAACGTTCTATTACGACATCAACTCTTTCCGCAGTAAAAAATACCAAGAATGTAAAAACTAATGTCAATACGTCAACTCTTAAAAGAGCAAATCAAGAAAATAAATCACCAAATGAAAATAAAATCAAGCCACGAATACAGCATCAATTTTGTAAGGCTTTACCTCCGAAATTACATACAGACCAAAGAGCAAAGAAAAGACATGAATTTGACGTTAAATTAAAACAAAAAGAAATGGAAATTGAAAAAATACGATCTGAGTTAGAGAAAAAGCAACGAGAAAAAGAAAAACTCGAAGAATTAGCATTGAGAAAGACTATGGAACACAAAGCAATTCCTGTGCCAGAATTTAAAGTACCTGCTCCTATTCGTTCAAAAAAGCCATTGACAGAACCACAGAGTCCAGCATGGGCACTTAAAATTAAGCAAGCTAAATAATTATTAGTTCATGATAATTTTTTATTATATTTATAAACTAAAACAAATAATATTTTGATGAATCGTTTTATAGATAAATGTCTTTCAATTGACGTAATAATTTTTAATAAAAAATAAATATTTTTAGTGAAAAAATATTTTTAATTAACAAACATTATTATAATTTACATAATATTGTATACTTTTATGCAAGCTAATTTAAAATACATTAATAAATTTTTTTAGGTTTCTTAATTAAAGTATTTTCATTTGAATTTGGTGGTTAAAATTCCCGAAAAGAGAGTGGCGCTGCTGTGATGTTTGAAAACAACATGGCGTCTCTTCGTGTATTTTTATTATTTTTTATTAAATGAAAGGGTAATTCCTCACTTCGAAGATAACTTCAGAAAAAATAAAAATCATCATTTGGATGTACTCATTATGGTATAAATATAATTTAATAAGTATAGAAATGAATAATTTCTAACCATGGCATTGGCATCAACGAATGAATTCGGGCCTGATTCTGGAGGTAGAATTAAGGTTAGTTGTTTTGGTGTATGTTTATATTATCCGCTCTAAAAAATTGAGTGAATTAATTAATTTCATTTTTATAATAAGGGTTTAACCATTGTTAAACCATTAGTATATGGTAATGTAGCACGATACTTTGGAAAAAAAAGAGAAGAAGATGGACACACTCATCAATGGACTGTTTATGTTAAACCTTATCACAATGAAGATATGTCAACATACGTGAAAAAAGTGCATTTTAAATTACATGAAAGTTATAATAATCCAAATAGAATTGTAACTAAACCACCTTATGAATTGACGGAAACTGGCTGGGGAGAATTTGAAATTGTTATAAAAATTTATTTCCACGATCCAAATGAAAGGCCGGTAAGTCATAAACTATCTGATCATATCAATGTATTTGCTTTTCTGTAAGTAATTCAATGTTTACCTCGTTTTAGGTTACAATTTATCATATTTTGAAATTATTTCAATCTTCGCCTGAAATTCAAATGGGCAAAAAAAATTTAGTTTCTGAATTTTATGAAGAAATTGTCTTCCAAGATCCTACCGCTTTGATGCAACATTTGCTAAGTACAACAAGACCAATAACACTTGGAACATGGAAACATGAAACTGATTGTAAGTATTTAATATCAAAGTTATGATCAATCATAATATATATATATATACAATTTATTGTTAATTATGCATGCAATTAATTTTTTTTCTATGAAAAATTGATAGTATTTTGGTATGATGATTGAAACTTTTTCAGTTGAAGCGAAAAAAGAAAACACTCTGAAGGCAATAACTGAAGCGAGAAACAAAGTACGATTAGAGATAATTGATCTCAAAGAAAAATTAACTTTAGCAAAGGAAACAATCGCAAAATTTAAAGAAGAAATTGCAAAAATATCGAAAGTTGGCAATCCTTTATCGGCGGCACAATAGAACAACTGATAAAACAAAAAAAGAATATTTCTAATAACTAAGATGTACAAATTTTTATATAATTAGTTAATTAATAAGAATATAAATAAACGATAATGACTTGAATATATTCTCGCTCTGTTTGGTCACTACTATAATAATATGGTTATTATAGTCCGCAAGTCACGAGAGTCTTTTGAACCGTGTAATAATAATTCACTATATTGGATACTTCATTGCATCATCTCTGTACTAATATCTTCACTGAAATGAACTATTTAATTCACAAATTAGGAGAGATTTTCAGTATCATAAATAATTTAATTAAAGATCATATTATTATCTTATCTGAAAATTTCATCGAGTTACACAATTAATTACACATGAGTTACAAAATAGTCTTCCAAATACTAATATGACGTCAGAAAACATCAAAAAAAATAAATCGTAAGTTTTTCTACTACAATACACTTATTAAAATTATATAATTCTTGAAACTTTTAAATATTATCGATTGAAATCATTGTTCATGCTAACATTAACGCACGTTCAATTATTTTTTTGTTTTTTATTGAAATCGAGCCATTATTATCAGTGGTACATACTGTATATACACTTTTTATCTGAATACCACATATGTGTATATATGATTTATTTTCAACATTTTGCGCGGCAAAAGTAGACTCTTATTTGAATTAATCATATCTATGCTTTTGAATAAAATGATGCATGATAAAACAAGTTTAAGTAGTTTTTAATCAGCTAATATATTGCAACATAAAATATATTTTAGGATTGGTGTCGAGTTTGGAATTGGAGCTTTAGCAGCAGTAGGTGCTGGTATATTTACAAATCCTATTGATGTAATAAAAGTAAGACTTCAACTGCAAGGGGAATTAGAAGCACGAGGAACGTATAAAAAAATTTACAAAAATACATTTCATGCTGGTTATATAATTGCTGTGAATGAAGGACTAGCAGGACTTCAATCGGGAATTGTATCAGCATTGGCTTTTCAAGTTGTTCTAAATGGAATAAGATTAGGATCTTATAATTTTGCTAAAAATTATGGTTTAACTTTAAATGATGATGGTCAAACAAACGTAATAAAAACTATATTAATAAGTGGAATAGCAGGATGTGTAGGAGCTGTTGCAGGAAGTCCATTTTATTTGGTAAAAACTCAAATCCAATCTCAATCAGCTGCAGAAATGTTAGCTGTTGGTTACCAACATGGCCATGCAAGTGAATGGGCTGCTTTCAAATCTCTTTGGAAAGAAGCAGGATTTGCAGGACTTTATAGACGATGGTATGCTAATGTTCCACGATTATTTTTTGGATCAGCCACTCAGTTAACAACATTTAGCGTTGTTGGAGATTGGTTAAAACCATTTAGTGTAAGTTAAAATGTAATAAAATGATCAAATAATTTTAATTTTATTCCAAAGTGATTCATTCATCATTAAACTTTCAGATCTTCGATGATAGACCTTTATTTTTAACATTCTGTTCAGCTGTAATAGGTGGGAGTTCTGTAGCTTTGACTATTCAACCATTTGATGTAGTTTGTACGCGTTTGTATAATCAAGGTAATTTATTATATGATAATGATTTTATTATATTTCCTTACTTACTTTGATATTTATCAAATAGCTTCTGATGCTAGCGGACGAGGACTATTGTATAACAATTTCTCTGATGCTTTTATAAAGATATTTAAAACAGAAGGAATCACTGGCTTATATAAAGGCACTGTTCCCACTTGGATAAGGATAGCTCCACATACTGTTTTATGTTTATGCTTCTATGATGAATTAGAAATACTGTATTTTCAATTAATTAAAAAATAGATATTTCTATTAATAAAAGAGACCTAACAACTTTGTAAAACTAAATGAATTTATTATACATATGACTATTTTCGAATACTTTAAAGACTTTTTATCTTTCTGATAAAATATGTATTTATTTAAAATTCATTAACATTTCATTATATTTTATGAATTAAATTGTCATTGTAATAACACAGAGTAGATTAAAATTTTAGTAATTTGACCTTGTAAATAAGATAAAATTACCGTGTCATTTAAATAAAAATGGAGCATCCAGATGCTACATGAGTCATTATTTAGAAAAATACTGTAACAATTAAGTTTTGATGTATTTAAGATTTTCGATAGAAAAATATATGATTATTTATTGAGAAGCATTATTATGATGATTAAAAGATAAATTTGTATATAAAAAAATTCAAGTATGACTCTATACAAAAAGTGAAAAATATTTCTATCAAAAATCGATACAAGTTTCGATTACCAATAAGTACATATTCATGACATTTATGCAAATATTTCAAATAGTTGAATAGAAAAGAGTTTAACTTAATTAATGGGCCGCCGACGCAAATGAAAGCCTTGACTTAAAGCAGCTGTGATATCTGTAGTGTTAACACCACGCGTTTCAGGTAAATAAAACCTGAAAAGAAAGATTTAGATCAACATTTGAAGATAAGTAAATCAAAGTCAATATTGATGTATAATTAAATTTAAACATACTTAACAAACATAGCAACAATAATGATAATAAATACAAATATTAAGTACGTATATGCTCCCATAATATTTGCAACTGTTGGAAATAGTAAACCAACAGCAAAATTTCCACCCCAATTACATACACTTCCTATTGCCATTGCGGCTGGTCTTGAAGGTACATCAAATAATTCTGAGGCAATAAAATAAGGAATAGGTCCTAGCCCTAGTCCATAAAATAAAACATAAGCTTCAACAGCTATAATACACAGCCAAGGTACGAAGGAACCATATTCCTATAAAATTAAGATTGAAATGATTTTTTAATTATTAAAAAATAATGAGATAAGTTTTCTTACAATAATTACTTACTATAACACTTAATCCAATGCACAAAACAGTTAAACATATTGCACTTGCATAAGAACTACAAAGAAATAGAGTACGTCTTCCAAATAGAGACATTATGCGAACAGAAATAACAGCCATTGCAATGTTTATTACACCAGTTCCTAGGATCCCATATTCCGAATCATCTTTACTTAATTGAGCAGCTTCAAATATTTTATGCGAATAATAAAAAACAGCATTTATGCCACTAAGTTGTTGTCCAAGTTGCAAAGCAGACACTAAAAGAATTGGTAATCGTACAGAAGAGTCTTTTATAACACGACCAACTGTCCATGAATCCATAGATGAATTTATTAAACTTTCTTCCTGTAAGCTACATATTTCATCATGTAATAAATTAGGATGAACATTCCGTAGTCGTGCGAGTTCTATAAAATGATAAAATTGTTCTGTTGTAACCTATAAGTTCTAAAACATTGATAAACGTTATTTATTTTTGAATAACTAACCTTGAGTAGCTTTCTCTGGCTCCTGTCTGATAATATATAAGTACTTAGGACTCTCCGGCAAGAAATAAAACAATACAAGACTTATAATACATAAAGGAGCAAAAGCAGTAAGCATAATATGCCAGGATTCTTCAGTACCCAAAACATTTTCCAAACCAGCAACTTGTCCTAAAAATACTCCAACAGTGATACCTAGTTGACAAAGTACTCCAACGGCTCCTCTTTGGCCAACTGTAGCAATTTCCATCATATACATTGATAATAAACTTGTGGCAATGCCCCCAGAAAATCCTATAAAAATATGTTATCATTTTTTTTAATCTACAATATAGCTTTAAAAGAGAATAATTTATCTGATAAATGTTTTATTGAAGCAAATTATTTTTAATGATGTACCTACTAAAAGTCGACCCAATATAAGAATTTCAACTGAATTTATTATAGGAGTTAATGAAAAACAAATTGCTCCAAGAACTCCAAAAATATTTCCTACCATAAAGGCTCCTTTTCTACCATACTTGTCAGCTAGCCAACTAGCACCAAATGATCCAATTACACCACCAATTAAGAATATTGACACTATTACAGACCAAATGAATTCTAACTCTCCATGTAAGAGCTGTTTATTGTACTGTGATCTAATACTTTCATTTATAAAATTTTGTATGAGCTGTAATAGTTAATTAATTTATATTAAATGATTTTGTTTAAACAAACACTATAACTGATGCAATTTAAATTTGATCATTAATTGGTTTCAGAAATATAAACAATTAATTTGTAATAAGTTTATGTAACTTTGTAATTACTTACTTCAGCTGGATTATTAACAACACCAATATTATATCCTGTTGGAACTGCAGATCCAAAGCAACACGTGAAACCGGCGAGAATTAATAATGGGGTCCATTTACCAGAGTCTTTCTTACTATGTGATTGTTTTTCATTCTAAATAATTTATATGTGAAAAAAATAAAATGAATTATTATCAACAATATCTATGTTTGTTATTAATAAGTACATATTTGACCAATAAATTTAATCTCACAGTAATTTTTTATGTCATATTATATTAATTGTTTTACAATTGCTCATGAACTTTAAATGAAATAGTTAATATTTACCTCATCTTGTGAATTTTGTTTATTTAATAAACTTGGTCGTGTTGAACTCTCAAGACATAAAGTTGATGCATCATTTTCTAAAAATCACAAATTTGAATTTTTTATTGTAATAATATTTCAAACATTTTTTTCATAAATTAAAGTATACATGAATGAAAGAATAAATAATAAAAAAAAATTGAAAAAGAGTACTATAAACTTATTTACCGGGAGCCATGACTCGCTAAAAAATTTAGAATTAAAAAAATCAATTATAATGAATCTAACTATCATAAAAGAGACTAAAATGATAATAAGCTCGTTGAGTGCTAGTTACATTTATGGAGGTTCGACAGAATTGATAACTATCAAAGGAATGTAAAACTAAACTCGAACATAGCCTATAGAAACTCGAGTCATTAGATCTAACCAACAGAATTAGAGAAAGATTACGACTATCTAATTGTAATAAAAAAATTACGGCCTTTGCCCAAATCCATTAACTATACAAAAATTTTTTATTAATTAGAAAAACCATTCATATTTATATTTAATCATATGAATGAATATTTTATAATTTATTCACTTATCATGATGTTTAAATTTGATACAATTTTTAATAGTGAAAAATACTATTATTTAACCAATTAAATCTAGATATTTAATATTTTTATTTTTTAATTAAAAAACAATAACATTGAATAAATTTAACTTCAAGTTTTATGACTGTTAAGCATACAGTAATAGTAAATTTACTTGAGGAAGTAGTCATACAAGTTTTAATATTTATAAACACATTCAATTGTTGCGCGCCAAAAATGAAATTATCCAACTGTTTTGTGCGCATGGCTTATTTTTTTGTTGATGTAATCCAAACATAAAAATAGTGTATATATACGTGTGATTGGCTAACTCGTTGATTTGATAATTCATTATTCAGTCTCGTCTTCTTTCCAGACGGTTCTTGTTTCGATACAAAACGAATTTGTTAGTATTTACTAGTTAATTCGATTATAATTTTGATTCATTTAAAATTATCGGCAAGTGCATGGTGTTAGTTAGAATAATTTTACAATAGAGAGCATACTTCTCTCTGTTTACAAGTAACTTCTGACCCAATCAACGAATGGTAGATTAGATACAACGGTATGAACCAATGACAATCATTTATTTGCATCGTTGAAATTGTGCGAATGTTCATCGGGCGATAAAAACAGGAGCGCTAGTGTCTCTAGTGACAGAAAAAGAAGAGCTCGAAGCAATCAATAAAATCCCAAAACTGAAATAAATACATTCTTCAGAACGGTTACTTTATCATATTCGATTGCATCTTTTATCAATCTATCTATTCTCAAAAAAATTCAGGAATATATTTCCATAAATATATACATTGTTGTATCAAATACATTGAACAATTTTATGGTTAAAACTTAACAATGGGAAAAGGTGAACAGCAAATATATACGTTGTTAAATGTGATATTGCATCATTTGTTACAACTATACAATATAGATAAAAAGTTCAAAGCTGTTAGGTGGTAACTATTTATTTAATTTTTAGGAAGAAAAGGTAAAAAATCTGGAGGAGATGGTGGTAGAGAACAAGACGGAGGTAATCAACAACAACAGCAACCACCAAGTTCTTCTCAACAAAGACCTCAACAACCTCGTACAGACCAGCATCAACAATCAGGTCCAAGAGGCCAGCAAGGATCTGGTCCACAACAACAATCGGGTCCAAGAGGCCAGCAAGGATCTGGTCCACAACAACAATCAGGTCCGAGAGGCCAGCAAGGATCAGGACAACAACAATCAGGTCCGAGAGGCCAGCAAGGATCTGGTCCACAACAACAATCAGGTCCGAGAGGCCAGCAAGGATCAGGACAACAACAATCAGGTCCGAGAGGCCAGCAAGGATCTGGTCCACAACAACAATCAGCTTGGGGCCAATCGAGGCAACAACAACCATCAGGTCCTAGTCCTCCTCAAGGATCAGGACAACAACAAGCAGCATGGGGCCAATCGGGGCAACAACAACCATCAGGTCCTAGTCCTCCTCAAGGATCAGGACAACAACAAGCAGCATGGGGCCAATCGAGGCAACAACAACCATCAGGTCCTAGTCCTCCTCAAGGATCAGGACAACAACAAGCAGCATGGGGCAAATCGAGGCAACAACAACCATCAGGTCCTAGTCCTCCTCAAGGATCAGGACAACAACAAGCAGCACGGGGCCAATCGGGGCAACAACAACCATCAGGTCCTAGTCCTCCTCAATCCCAAAAATCATCTTTGAGTCAATCTATGAAAAAACTAGATATTAAATCTGGAAAAACACATGAAAAGCAAACAGATAAAAAATCACCATCGAAATCAACTGGGTCTACATCTACTGCGTCAGCTGACACCGGAGAAAATCTTACACCTATAGTAATTCTCAAAAATAATTTATTTAAAATTCTAAAACTACAAATCATTCAAATTAATCAATTATTTTATTCTAGGAACGATTAATGAATGTAAAAAAATCAAAACATCCTCTATCAGATGCAGATAAACACAAATGGTTAAGTTTGATTCCTGTTAGAAAAAATTTGAATATTTGTGGTACAGAGGGTAGAAAAATTAGAGTTTATACAAATATGGTTTCTCTTATATTTAAATCTAATTTCAAAAGTTTAGTAACTCATTATGATGTTAAATTTGACCCTGATAAACCAAAGTTTATTAAAAAACTTGCTCTGGACGCTATGCGAGAAAAACATTATCCAAAGAATTGGCCGGCTTTTGATGGACGTGTTAATCTTATTTCAGCTGGTGATCTGCCATTTGGTTATAGTGTATGTATTCATTAAATATCATTTATCAATGTAATATTGACACCCTGTATTCTAATATTGAGAAACTCAATATGTTTTTTTCTCAAATTTTAGATAACCGATTCGGTAGAAATATTTGATCATGAACGTCAAAGTACACGTCCTGTTACTGTTACATTGACAAAAGCTAACGAAATAGATATGAACTGGTTGAGAAATAAAAACTATCAAAATGATTCGGACGGAATTGAAATAAGTATGCAAGTATTAAATATCATTTTACGCAGTGCACCATCTGCTAATTCAATCTCTGTTGGACGTACATTTTTCAAACAACCACCTCAAAGAATCGATTTAAGTGGTGGTATGGAGCTTTATACTGGAATTTTTCAATCTGCAGTGATGGGATGGAAACCTTTATATAACATTGATGTTGCTAACAAAGCATTCCCAAGTTCAATAAATGTAGTTGAACTTTTTAAAGAACTTTGTGCAGATCGAGGAAGAGTTCCAAATGAAGTAACAGCGGACATGATAAAACATCATTATGATGATATTTCCCGTTTTATAACTGGCTTAAAAGTAATTTACCAACTACCAGATAAACCATCTCAAAAACGCACTGTCGGAGTAAATGGTCTTGACAGATCAGCACGTGATGCAGTATTTGAATTAGATAATAATGAGAAAACAACTGTTGAGCGGTACTTTTTGGGTTGTAAACATTATAAACTCCAATATCCTGATTTGCCATGTCTTTGGGTTGGTTCAAGAGCCAAAAGAACTCTACTACCACCAGAAGTATGTTAACATCTTATAGGAAAGAGCATAATGATGATGAGTAAATCATTTATTTTTTGTTGTTAAACTAAAATATTTTTTTCCAGTTATGCAGTATTGCACCTGGATTAGTAACTAACAGAAAACTAAGTGAAAACCAAACTCGAAATATGATAAGAAATACTGCAAAGCCTGCTTATGAACGAAAACAAACAATTGATAGACTTGTGAGTAATAATTATCAGTATATTCAAACAATAACAACTAAATTTTTATCGACAAATTTATTATTAGTTCCATGGAACAAATTATAATGAAAATCAAACATTACGAGAATTTGGAGTATCTTTAAATGGGACTTTTGAAGAAGTAGACGCTCGTGTACTGAGCCCGCCAGAGTTACAATATCACCAACAAACAGTTAAAGTAAGCAAAGGTGTATGGCAAGCTTCAAAATTTTATTCGGCTAAAGAAATACCTTCAAACACATGGACTATTTTGAATTTAACTCGAATAAATGAAGATTATTGCCGGCAATTCGCCAATTTTATAAAAAATTCAGGTAAGTTATATGTTGTCAAAGTCTTATCAGTCACACGTTAATCTAATACTATATTATGTTAAAATAATTAATTTAGAATAAGAAACATTATTTGGTAATTATTTACTGTTGTAGGCAGATCCAATGGTATGAATATTGGAGAGCTAAAAACTCCACTTGGCCATTTTAATCCCCGTGATAGAGATTTTCTTAAGAGAGTTATATCTTTCTTGGAGCAGAAAAAGCAAGAAAACATACGTCTTGTGGTTGTTGTAATTCCGCCAAATCCACCAGATATCTATCGTAAGAATTCAGTATAAGCTGTTTATAATTTATATATCCATTTAATATTTCATGTTTACAAATATTATTTTCAAATATACAGAAAAAGTCAAACAATTGGCAGAATTGAGAGTTGGAATTTTAACACAATGTATTAAAGATAATACAATAAATAAGATAGTTGAAAGAAACGACAGGGCAACGACCGGCAATATTCTCTTAAAAATCAATTCCAAATTGAATGGAGTCAATCATGTAATTTCAGCTCAAGTTAAACCTGAATGTTTGAAAGTACCTACTATAATATTTGGTGCTGATGTTACTCATCCATCTCCTGATGCTGAGAAAATTCCATCGATTGCTGCGGTAAGTATTTTTTGCATAACATAAGTCATTTAATATAAAGTCAATTAATATTAAAATTAACTTATAGGTCACCGCTAGTAGCTCACACGATGTTTTCAAATATAACTTTGAGCTTAGAATTCAACCAGCTCGAGAAGAACTCATTTTAGATCTCGAGAATATAGTTGTGAAACAAATAAACATTTTTCAACGAATGAATGGCAACAGAAAACCGGAAAATATTATTTTCTATAGAGATGGAGTTGGTGATTCACAATTCCCTCAATTGATGCATTTCGAACTTGGTGCTATTCAAAAAGCATGCTCAAGAATTTATAATTCCGGAGAGCCTAAACCTAAAATTACATTTTTGGTTGTTCAAAAACGGCATCATATAAGATTGTTTCCTAAAGATCGAAATAATTCAGACGATAGAGGTGGAAATGTGCAAGCTGGAACGATTGTTGATACTCAAATTACCCATCCATCACATATTGACTTTTATCTCGTATCTCATGCTAGCATTCAGGTAAAACAATTCCAATTTTTAATTAATATTTTCTTGAAATCGTAAAGTATGAAGTTTAAAATAAATTTCAGGGAACTGCAAGACCAACTAAATATCATTGTTTATTCAATGATAATCCTAAGATGTCCGAAAATGAGATTGAAAAATTGACGTACCACTTATGTCATATGTTCTCTCGTTGTAATCGCTCAGTGAGTTATCCAGCTCCAACTTATAATGCTCATTTAGCAGCATTTCGTGCTCGGGCACTTATATTTGGGTAAATAAAATGTCATATTCTAATTTTTTTTACTAGATTTATGTATATAATATTTTTAATTTATTTTATTTCAGAGTTGATATTCCAATGGATAATATGATCGAGGCACAGAAAAAAATTACCATCCATCGTGATTTATTTGATTCAAATCCAATGTTTTTCGTATAAAATACGTATATTACTAGTTTTTCATAATTCAGAAAGACTGTTCTTTTATTATTTTTCTTATTCTATATTTTATTACATATATGATATATTTCTATGCATTAATATACTATTAATAAACATACATTGTATTTTTCGTTAAATTGATTATGAATGAAGATTTATAAAAACGAGATTCTCGTTTGTATATCTATAACATAATAAAATCTATCTAACAAAGTTTATAGACTAATTGATTTCTACTTTTCAAATAAGTCATACAAAGTAATTTATACAATAATATCACATTTTCGCATTACCTCGTGGCAAATCGACGCAAGTCAACGTGTGTCTCCAGCTATTGATCTACTTGTTCTTGAAGGGGATGCATGCGCACAAAAAATAAAAGCATGATTGTAAGTTGCGTTGCGAAGTTGAGTTACTTAGAGGCCGTTTTAGTTCTCACAAGCGGTTTGTGAGAAACTAAAACATCATAAAAACGAAATCATTCGTTTGCTTACTTTATCCACTTAATCTTCTATATTTGTGATAAACTTGCTCTTAAACTTTTGTATATATATTGATGATATCTTGGGCATGGATTTCATCGACGAACACAGGTATTTAGTTGTTACCAATATTCTTTTTTTTTTTTCGTATTAACACATTCAGGTTTATTTTAACTAGTATTCTAATCATTCATTACGGTAGATAATTTGTTTATTTAATTATTTTTATTAAAAAATTAATTGCTATTTTAATTAAAAATATTGTCAATAAATTAGCAATGACAATCAATTTTTAATTCTAACTTGACTTAACAGAGTATAAAAGTTCATCAAGAAATGAAATATTGATCAAGTGATAATTAAATAAAAGTGAGAAAAAAAAAATATTGTATGTAAATATTGTCGGTTAGCAACGTTTCTGGAAGGTTCTGCAGATGTCCACGGCATTGAACGGTAGTTTGCATGGTAGTAGAATTTCTTTAGCGCATTATCGTTAGAGAACATGTAAATTTATGAATGAAGAGTTAAATTCTAAAATTTTAATTAAATTAGTAATATAACACAAATTATAAATGTTTATTACGTTATAATATTAGAAGCACCATAAGTGTTGTTAACTATCGATTTATTTAAGTACATTGAATACGATGCTTTGTTTCATCATACTAATGATATTAAACATTGATATTGACAGGAGAAAGACGGAAACGAGGCAAAAGGTGGATTAAGGAGTATTGAGAGCAATCGAAGGTAGTTGGAAGATTAAGAAGGAAAGAAAGTGAAACTGAAGACTCCGAAAGAATACACGAAACAGTATAGCAGTAGCAGTAGCAATAGAAGAAGGAAGAGAAGAGCAAATAGCAGTAGAAGTAGAAGATTAGAGAAATGTTGGAAACAGAAAGTTATTAATTGGTGATTAGTTTGTTGAGGCTTTTAGCTAAACGTGGAGTAGCAAGAACAAGAACTAAAGTCAGGTTCTGTGCTACCCTCGATGCTTACTCTACGCCTCGTGTCGACACACTTCTTGAAGCAACCATAGGGAGCTATCCGCCGCCTCGGAAGCGTAAAAACAAAGCTTTTGTATGATGTACCGTGATAGGGACATGAACCCAAAGCTCTTTGTAATCTTCCATGAATTCTATTTCTGGTTGATCAGAGCAAAATAATTAACAACGTGTACCTTTCTTCCGCGAGCCAAACAGTTTATTGCACCTACTAAAAACGTCAGCTTGTGGGATAACTTGTAGAAATTACTTAGATCAGAAATTTGTTAATTACATTCAAATATCTTGTTGATAATTTCACCATTTGTACTTAATTCATTTTTAAAAAGTGAACAAAAATTATTGTTCAAACCAACAAAGACATTTGTTTGTCTAAAATACTGCTTGCCGTTGAAATACGGCATCGAGACTGAACTATCTATATTTCAATCTGTGGAGAGCTGCGAAAGAGTGCATTGTAAGTATATAAGTTTTGAATATTTTATTAAATTAATAAAAAACAACTGATACTTTATTTTATTCTTTCTTCTTGTATATTTAAAAATAACTTTAAATATTTATTGTTTTTATTTATTATCAGTGCGGCAGTGGGTCGCGAGGAAGACGGAGTGGGATGAGACGTCCTCAGCAAGAAGCTTTTCAAGAAGATCATCATCAACGTCGTCATCATCATTTTCTTCAACGTCCAGGTTCATCAGCTTCAATTGAACCTCGTCAATCTAATGAAAAGGTATAGTCAATTGTATTTTTCACGAAAGAGAATAAAGTTTTAATGACAATAATTATTATTAATTAGGATGAGTCACGATTAGCACGAGTGAAACGTGTTTTAACTGGCTCACTGCTAGGCCGTTCAGGGAATACTGGAAATTATAATCGAGTTTTTGGAGCACGACTAGAGCTCGTTGAATCATATTTGGATACTGGTGTCCCCTATGTCGTTCATAGGCTCTGTAATTATATTGAAAAATATGGATTCCAAAGTGCTACTCTCTTTCGTTTATCAGGAGGAAGTCCAAGACTTACTGAACGTTTGAGAGCAGCATTTGAGAGAAAAGGTGATGCTGATTTAGAAGGAGCAGCATGTCCATCAACAGCAGCTACGTTGCTAAGACAATATTTAAAAGAATTGCCGCAACCTCTAGTACCTTCTTCACTAGTTGCTCGACTTCTTCATGTTCATTCTCGTAAGTTTTTATTTTTAAGTGCTTCATCTGGACAATTTACCAAAAAAATTATTAAACAATTAAAAATAAATTTATTAAATTACTTCATAAATCTGTAAAAAAATTGTTAAGTTTATTTATCTTATTTTCAATGAATATAATTGGATAAATATTGGAAAATAAATTAAATATTTACTGAAACTTTTTCTTCTTTTTAAGAAGAGTACGCTGATAATCGTGAAACTTGGATTGAACAAACACAACAACTTTTACTGAGTCTACCGCCCTCGCATTATCGTCTACTGGGTTACCTTGCCAATTACCTCAGCAAGTATGAAGCAAAACATGGTCGAAGTTCTGGAGTTTGTGGAGTTTTTGCACCTGTCGTACTCCCTCATGTTCCTCCAGCTACGACTCTTCTTCGAGACATTCTAACTGAGGCCTCTACACTATTTTCTAACTGGTTAGTACTCATCAATTTATTACAGCTATGGAAAAAGAAACAATCAGATGAATAAAAAAAATATTGCCTATCATAAGAATAAAATTGTCGAGCTTTTAAATTTATCAGACTATTTTTGTAACTTCAATTTCGATTAATGCCGGTCAGTGTTTGAAATTCCTTAAAGAATGACGACTGCTTACTGCAATGTTATGTTTCCACAATGACGCAATGCATGGATGACGTGAATATTTTTTAGAACATCGTTTTCGGCTTTCATATAACTTGTTTACTTAAATAAACCAAGACTCAGCGACGTCTATGCGGACTCGATACGTATATCTAGCTAGCGCAGCTGTATCCACACCCAATTCGATCACCGTTTATTGCAAGTATCCAACGAAATTGTATTTTCGTAACTAAATTATTTTGATTATATTTACGGACCAACTGCGTAGATTCTCAATGTGACGTCCTAAAACGTGTAATGGACAATTTGGCATCTAGCCTAATATGTAACATTTCCACCTTTTTCGATTTTTATTATGTTTATTTTTTATTTATCAACAAAGTTTGAATAAATACATGCTGAGTAATTGAAATAATAATATCTCTGTTCAGTACAGAATTATTCATTCAATATTTATTTGTTTTAATAAAACTGCAACATTTATTTAAAAATTGTTTAGATTTTGGAGTAAAAAATAATGAATTCATGCCAAATTCTATTTTCAACTTTATTTGAATTACAGTTCAAAGTCAAAGTTATTTTCATGTCTGGATTATTTCTTTGGTAGTAAAAATTTGTTTGAAAATTATGAAAAATATTATATAATACTTTTAGAATAGAATTATTTTTACTATTTTTCTTGCCAATAATCAGTTAAATGATTGATTGTCTATTCATCAATTTTACTCTTTACTTTGAATACATTTGTTTTATTTATGTGTCCTTCGAATTAAAGTCTTTACTCGTTTACCTTGAGGATATGCCATGAAAAGAAAACCGTTGCTAAAATTTTTCTATCATTCCAAGGTAATAGGTCACAAAAAATCATTTCTGTTGATTTTAATTCTGCGTAATAAGAAATATATTTACGTATAATACAATAATATTTACTTACTTCAAAGGGTCTTATGTTTGTAAAAATGTGGTTACTACGAACCGGTTTTATAGTAGAAATTCTATGATGCACGAAAGGTTCCAACTTATCTGATCAATTGCTAGGGAATGTCATCACATTTTTACTATCCAAGTCATGACAATTAAGAAGATGATAACTATAATAATAAAAATCGTTTGTTTTTATTGTACCAATGATGAAGGAAAAGGATGAGGCCTCATGTACATCATGATGATAATTGACCTGATGTATAAAGATCTTCATGAATGGCAGGGTTAATCCTTGAACAAACACGGCCCTGGCATGTAATTTACGTGGATATACTGTCGATTGTTGAGCATATTTTATTTCTTGCATCATTTACTTTTTAAGCAAATTATCAATCGATAATTACTGAAGTTATTTATAAAATGTAAACAGAGCTCCAATGAATTATCTATGTAATTTGATGCTCCGGCTATATAATCATAAAAATGCAATTGAAAGACCGGAAAAAGAGCTAATAATCCGGATGCATCAAACTTTCAATATTATAAAGTAAAGAAAAAATATCGATCAATGTAGCAGTATACTTTCATGGTAAAAGTTGAATTGTTATTATTATTTAAAAAATTATTGGAAAACTAAATGGATAATTTCCAATAAATTTTTCTATAAAAATATTTTTACAAAGCAAAAGAGTCTTTTATCTTTCCAATAAATTTTTTCATTTATGTAATATCATCATAAAAATATTTCTAGTCCTTATTCGACCTTTTTGAATGATGCTTTTATTTAAATAATAAATCGTTTTATATACGTTGATAGGAATTAATTGATTTCTTGGGTTTAAAGTTTTGCCATCAAATTAAGTGAAATTGAGAGAATTCTTGATAGATGGAATTAAATCTATCAGCTATTGTATTTATGACTGGATGATAGATCAATTGGACTAGGTACTATCAGGAACTTGAGCGTCCCTGGCATGCAGAGTTTTGAGTCGTGACTTCTTGCGTGCCATGTGTTACTTATGAACATTTCATGTGCTGTATAAGCATAATATGATAGAGGAAGAGAGAGAAGACCGAGAATGCATTGGAGGGAGAATCAGAGTTGCGCTCCAAAATTACTCTTTACCAGGCGGATATAGACTCGCGTGTGGAGTCACTGGGGACCAGTTTATATTGTGTCGCATTTCACTTCACTTGTCATTACTCTCTATTAGATAGTGATTTGGTTATAGTTGACTTATCTATTCGCGTATGTATGTATTTACATTCGTATGTACATACAGATGTATGCTAGTGTTGGTGAATTTTATTGACAGCTCAGAAAATATATTTGAACCGTTAAAATTTAAAATAGTGATTGATCATAATATTTAATATTAATATTCCGGACTTTTGTGCCAACGTGTTAAAGTTCAGGCACTGGTTTTATTAAATAACCTATAATAAATGTATCATCGAAACGTGGCGATATTCGACCGAGTCTTAGTTGAGTTTCATTGGAAAAGAAAGTTATTTTTTATGATCACATAAGTCATATAATTATCAGATGAATGTTCATCATTAATAAACAATTGTTTTATTTCATCTACCTTCAAGTGAATGGTAAAAATAAAGGTACCTTATTGATTATTATTAGATATTGAAAATATGATATCTTTTATAATGAACAATAAAAAGTTTGGTTAAATGATACATATACAATCACACTAGCCGGCTGAATATACTTGAATGCAAAGAACACAATATTCCACCACTTAATACTTCTCACAATGGAAAATTCCAGACTCAACCTAATAAATATCACCGTATATCACAATTTTTATGTCGACTTGATGATTCAAAGAATATTATTATGCAAATTTAATAATAAAAAAAATTATGCGATACTTTTTTAAAAGTATTTCTGTAAGATTTTAAGTCCTTTTTTTTTAAATAAAAATGATGAATATTCAGGGTCTTTTAGAATTGCAAATAATATAATCTTTTAATCTTGTTAATATCGGAAAAATTTTCTTCAAAAACTCTGATAATTTCCTAATTAACAGTAAATTTTTATTGTTTATCTAACATGTTTTATCTAAATGTCATAATGGATTAAATAATTTCCTTATTATTATCATCATCATCATCATCATCATTGTCAAAGAATTGATTGAATTATAAGTCATGATATATTTTGAAAAACACTTTTTGATAATCCTATACGTACAGATAATGGAATATTTGAATACTTATAAAGGAAACAAATAATTCTAATGTATTAATAAATTCATAAGGCACGCGATGTAATTAGATGATTGCCTCTACGTAATTGTATTGTATGATATAATAGGCATAATTATTATAACAGTACCCTAGGTTATAATAGTATCGGTAATGGCAATAATTTTAATTAAATTTCAGCAATAAGGATTCATCAGCTTATGTAGCAACGATACCCAACGACTGCGAGACCTGCTGCAAAGAACGAAAAACCGAAATAAGTGATACAAACAATAGCAAGAGTTTGCTTTGCGCGCTGAAACCGCGCAAACGCAAGGAACGTCGTGAATCCTGTTGTCAAGAAAGAAAATTAATAAGGTATTAAAATTAACTACTATTATTTAATCACGTTTAAAAGTATAGTGATTATTTCAATAAATTTTGTTATTTATTTTAGGAGCAATAGTGAAGAAAAAATTCTAGACAACCCAACTACATTACCCGAATCTATTAGAAGAGTCAGTAGTCACGAGGACTTTAATAGTGATAAGCATCTTCATATTATATCAAGACTTAATCAAGACATGGGACATGGAGTGGTAAGTTATTTTTCATTTTGTTGATTAAATTAAACATTTTACAAAGATAGCAATTAAATATAAAGAAAAGCTTATTCAATTTCATTCAATAAAAAATGATGAGGTACCAGATCTCTTGTTTCAACTGATAAAATATTTAACCAAGATAATTTACATTATAGCGGTGTACCAATTTACCCTTGCATGAGAGAACAAACGTTTCTCCCGTGTCAACAAAACCATCACCATTGCCATCTCCATGTGATCTTTTACTCATCACTGAAAGACCTGAATGTGATGTGGAACATGTTAGAAGTACTGAACGATTTAGCAGGAGTATTACACCACGTGGAAGACGTCAACCAAGACGAAGGAGAATTCATAGAGGGCTGGAAACCGACACGAATTCCAGCAAGGTAAAAATTATAATAAAATATATAAATTAACTTTTTATGTTTATATCAATAATTTATTGTTGATTATTTAAACAGGAAAACGAAGATGAAGAAACAGATTCCAGTTTGATAATTGATTCACCTGGTCCTAACCGTCGAAATGGTATTAGTGGACAAAGCTTTCTTGAAATGTTAAGCAGTGGACCGAGTAGATCACCATCACCCGTGAGACCACCGCTTTTAGATCTTGAAGATTCAAATAATCCTGTGCCAACAAACTGGATTTTTCCACATCGACCGTCTACTGTACGTAAATATCATTCTTCGTTGATTGAATATTGAATTTTCTTATTTTATTCATTTTAAATTTACAGGAGGAAGAGGAAGAAGAAGAAAATGCGAATGAGCGAGTTGAAGCGTTAACTTCTCCTAGAAATTCATTGCTAATACCACGAAGATTTTATACAGAAAATGATGTTCCACAAAACGTTCCGGCTTCTACAGAACTAGGTTTAAAAACTCTTACAAAACACATTAATGGACTGAAAAAGAAAATTAAAAAATATGAAGACGAATTTGAAGAAAATTTCGGATATCGTCCAAGTCATTCAGATAAAATGAGTAACCGAGATATCAAAAGACTTTGTGTAGAGTTGAATAAGTTAAGAAAAGAACATAAAATGTTGAAAGAAGATCCGATTGGTTTACTTAAAGCTACGGCTAATAGTAAAAATAATCTTGATAATTCTGTCGGACAAATTAATAATATTAATAGTCCAGAAAAATCGAGATCTATGCTAATGGAAGAAATGTTGAAAGACGTTGAGAGAAAGCTTACCGAGAAAAGATTAAAATACGGTCGTCCAGATAACATGGAAGAAATGACACATGAACAATTATTAGATGAAAAAACTGCTGTTCAAAAGGCTCTATTGCATATTGAAAATGCTTTTGGAAGACCGGTTTCTAAAGAAGATCGTGCTGTTGTCCGGGTTCTTTACGATCGATACAGAACATTGAAACGATTAATAATCAGAGCTGGAGCCAATAAGAATAAAGATAGTATTTCGGAGCTAGCGACTATTTTGGAGCATGAAGCAATGGATTTTACATCATCATCTCTTCCAGGTAATCCAATTGATACTGATAGACGAGCCAGTGAACCGGATATGTCTCATCGAGGAATTTTAGATTGTATTGACCCTTCTGATCAACTTCCTACTGATAGTGATAGTCAACATAGTAGTAGTGAAGGTAGTCGTGGACCAGGAGGTGAAAGTCTTCATGCTCTTCCACAGGAAGATCTTATTGCTCAACAACGAGTTATGCGAGAAGAAAAAAAACGACTTCGAAGAGCTTTAAAAGAACTCGAAGCACAGTTTGAAGCTCGCGCAGGAAGAAAAATGCAAAGAGAAGATAGAGGACCTCATGTTACGACTATTTATGAGTCATACAAACAAACAAAGGCTAAACTCAGACTAATTGATGCCCTCTTGTCCAAAAGCGCTTAATTAGGATTTACTATGTTATTTCTTTTACTTTTTATAAATACATATTTATTATGTAATTGATGATAGAGATTTCAAAAATATTTGTAAAGTATTCAAGACAGTTATTATTATAATTATATCGAGTGAGAAAATTGGTTTAAGATTAAAATACTTCCGTGGAGAAATTTATTTTTTACTTTTGCACAAATAGGAAGCAATAATTAATTAAATTAGTTGAAAATTTTTTTTCAATTATGACATTATGTCTTTAAAAATAATACTTATTTTTGAATAAAAATCATTTAAATATTTGATAGAAATTAAACCAAGTGTATTAATGATAGATAGATACGTATTTCTTATATATTATTTGTTTTAGTAGGTGCAGTATAAGGATAAAGTTGATTACAAAGTAGTTTTTTTATTTTTTCAATATATGAATGTAAATAATATATCGTCTCCAGTGACAATGACGTATTTATATGTGAATATATCCGAATGACGGATTATTTTATATTGCATCAAAATATCTATGAAGATATATCGAACGTTATGAATGCATAAAAATCTTATCAACTGTTATCGTCATGAATCACACGTACAAAAAAAAAGCTATGTACTTAAGAAAAGAGAACAGATTTTAAACAATTAGTTAATTCTTCAGTGTAGTTATTTTTTGAATTTGTTATTATAATGTGAAGAAAAAAATTATCACATAAACGGAGGATAAAAATATGTTTAGTTTATGTATTAATAATGAATAGAAGTTTTTTTTAACATGTTGTCATCATAACTTCTTCGTACCAAAGCATCTTTTAGTCTGTGATATAAATAAAATGAGGGATATTTGTGTCATAGAATTAAAAAAAAATAGAATTTCTTTATTAATAACATTTTTGTATGTGATAATTAAGTAATAATTATCATAATTATCTTTAAATGGTAAAATTAAAACATCTTGTGTAATAATATTCATCACAATCAACAAAAAATTCGCTATAATGTAGTTTAACAAATTTGATACAAATATTGCTTAATCAATATTTATATTAATTAGCTGATACGCTGTGATTTTCGTTTTCGATAAATATTTGGATATTTTTAAGCTGTTATATCATGTCTATGATGCATTAAGTGCATATGGGTATTTAAAAAAAAATTCCAGATTATTTGAATATGAATGATTATTCCATTGATTGACAAATAAGCTGACTAAATTATACCAACATATCTAGCGATTATCATGGATGGAACTTTATAGAAATAGTGAAAAGTTAAACTTATTTAATAATTGAACTAACATTATAAAAATACAATTGTCGAAAATCATCAATAATCATATTGAGTAAAACAGTAATTTCTCTGAAAATAGCTATTGCCTGTAGAAATACAAGAATAATGATAAGTTTGAAAAGATTTGCACGATTACAATAAACTTACAGTGTTAAAATCATTATAAAATCAATTTATTGTTGTTAATATTATTTTTAATAACAATTAGCAAATTTTATCTATTTATTTAGTATAAAATGAGAACTTATAAAAGAGAATGACATCTTTATGAATTTTACTTGTTTAGTATTTTATCTTTTTTAAAATATTCATATAGTCGTTAATTGATGTTGAATCGATTGAATATTTCGTAATAATCCTGCAAACACTTTTGTGGTTGGTGGCATTTTTTTACTTATTGGAGTTTTTCTTTGCTGATATTCAGTTATGTGTAAACTATGAGTATTTTGTGGTCTTGCGGTTGTTGAAGAATTTATTTTTGTAGAATTATGTGTTGAACATTTAGTAGTGATATAAAGAAGACTACTGTTGTGTTGCATTTTTAATTGCCGTTTTAGTGCAGCTACTTCGAAACATAAACCAACAATAGCATTTATTTCTTCTTCTTTTTCATTTAATTCATTCTCCACTTGAGTTAGTTTTTTTTTTATTTTTTTATCATTCGTTTTCAATAATTGATTTTGGAGATACTCATATTTTCTAAAACCCATATAATTGTAAAATTATAAACTATCATTAATCAATTTGTTTTTATTAAATCATAAATTTAGAATTTAACTTACTCATTTAAAATATTAAATCGATCATGAATTTTACGCATAGTATTTTCAAATGTTCCTGAGCTTGAAAAGTTTTGATAATTTGATAATGAATTTTTGTTTTTAGTTATTCTTATCTATAATTAAACAATTTATAAATGTTAATGAAGTTGATTGAATAAAGAAAGGTAATAAAACTTACATCTTCTGATAAATTTTTCGTGTTATGAATTATTGATTGTTTTTTCTGTTTATTTTCTACCGGTTTCTTGGATTGCTCTACTGTTGTTGTAGCATTATCTTCTTCTTTAATTGCATTTGAATAAACTAATGATTTCGATTGGATTATGGAATTAGCATTTAAAGTTTCTAGTAACGACTGAATGATTGAATTAAAAGTTTTTCCACTTTTATTAATGGGTTCATATTGAAAATCAGCTGTTATTTGATGTTGTTTAGTCTTCAGTGAGCTTAAAACCTATGATAATAATATTTAAACAAACAAAAATATCTTTTTTTAACAAATATAATAATACCTGCTGGATATTTAATCCAATATTGTGACTAGGAGTTATTGAAGTTCCAACAACAAATGGAATATTTCCAAAATCGAATTTAGTTGCTAAATAACATTTCTCAACTTTTTTTAATTTCGATGCAATCGTTGGTTGTTGATAATTTCTCGCAGTAGGAATTAATTCACAGCAATAAGAGCGAAGAGATCTTGAATGACAATTTTCATGGCGATGATGATGATGATCTTCAGCTCGAGGCTCATCAGGTCTCTCCTTTTTCCTATTGTTTGTTGAACTGTCACAAAATGAATACAATAAACTGATTCACTGTTTAAATAACCTGGAAAAAGAATCCTGAATGCCAACTTCTGAGAATTGTCCTTTTAAATCCAATTGATGGAATTTTTCCTTGGGAGAATTAAAAAAATTTAAATTCATTAAATTTGTGTTTACTTCATTTTGGATAAATTTCATTGAATTTTGATTTTGTCCTAAATCTTCATGGTTCGTTTCATTTTGTAGTTCAATATAATGTTTACTTGATTCAACGGAAGGTGTTGTATTTTTAGTAGCTGTATTATGATAAAGTTCAACAACATCAGGAGTAGGATCGTATTTATTAAATATTTTGATTGTTTCTAGATTTTTAATATTAGATTTGAGATGAGAATTTTTCCCTTTCCGATTCATCAAAGCTAAAAATAAATTTTTAAACATTAGCCTAATTATATTATTTTTTATTCGATGTTATTTAATACTTACTATTACCTCGTCTTTTAAATTTCTTTCGACTTTTTGTCACTAAATTACTAAGTGCATGTTTAGATTCTAAATGATCAATACTAGCTTTTTTTAATTTTCTTACTTTTCTTATAATCATTGATCGATTATGCTCACGAACTTTATTTAATTGAGGCTGTTCATTAACAATCAAATTTTCATGGGATAAGTTTTTCTTCATTTTATCAAATTTTTTAATTTTACATTGTTTAGAAGTTTCTTTATGTGTACCATTAATTTTCAATATTAATTGTGATTTTTTATCACTTTTTGATGTTGGTGGAAATGGTTTAAATATTTCTAGTAGCTTTAAATCATTTAATTGATCTAAATTGTGACTATTACTTGACAATTCATCTGTCGAAATCGACATTTGTTCATCACTATTATTCAATCGTTTGTCACTGAACACTTTCATTGCTATTTTTAATGAAGATGGTTTTTGATCTTTAGAAACATATTCTTCTGTTTGAAATTCATTTTCAAAAATATCTAAATCAGCACCATTATTAACAACTATTGATTTTATACTATTTGCCGTAGACGTGTATGAATAAATTTTCCTGATCTCTTCATGATCATTTTTTCCATTACTCAATGTATTATGAGATATTTTAAACTCATTTGTAGATGAACAATTAGATTCTTGAATAGAACTGATAACACAATTAGATGAGTTAGCAGATGAGTTAATAAATCCTTTGGAGTTAATAAATCCACGCTCTTCACAAACATTTTTCATATGAGCTAAACGTTTTTTAATATAATTAAATTGTTCTTGAGCATTTTGGAGTTGTTGCTCTATTTCTAAAAAATATACATGAAATTTTATAAATACATTCTTTCAAACAAAATAAAAATAATATGTATCATTGAAATACCTTTTAATTTTACATCAGCTCGACTCATTTTCTTCCGTATTGTTTTAGTTTCATCAGCTATATCAATCCATAATATTTAAAAATATTAAAATAGGACTATTAGAGAAAAACTGAAAATTTTCTTTTCACTTACGTAGAGTTGAATGCTTTATAATTTCCATTATGATACACTAATTTTTTATGACATTACACACTTACTTTTATTAAAATGAATTCTGCAAATAAAAACAAATTACATGAAATTAGATAAAGTTTTATTGTTAATTTGGTTAGTGATAAAAATTATAAAGTTACTATCATCATAAATTAAAATCGGTATAATAAAATACTTGACACAAAATAAATACAAACCATTCATTTGTCATTTTTAGGTATTTGCTAAATTCATTCATATGTAGGTACAATAATATAATTATAAATATCTTAACAATATTGTTTTCAAGCTGTACCGTACATTTTTGTGGAAAGGAATGAAATATAAAATCAATATTGATCATCAAATAAAATCATGAAATACAAATAGTGAATCTGTGCTAATGCCATTCAATGAAGTTATCTAAATGATATAGTAATTTTTAGAATACATGAATAATATTTTATTCAAATATTTAAGATATGGAAAATCGTGTTATTAATTAAAATAAAACAGATAGACTTGAAAAAAAATTCTATCTTACTGTAAGCTATTATTGATATAAAATAGAAATGTAGGATTTTTTGAAAATTAATACACGTATATATTTTCAACCAATGGAGCATGGTATAAAATAATCCATTTCAATTGGATTCATGAGAAACTCTGTAACAAATTGAAGTAATTTACTTAACTGCTTGTAAGTTATTGAATTAACTGTTCATATATATCTTTCGGTCTGCGCAGGATTTTCTATATATATACAGCAACTCTTAGTGAGAAGACAGTAGTGATCGACTATTTATACTACAATCTTCTAATGTTTTAAGACAATAACTCTAGGAAATTTGTTGAAAGAGTGTTTTTGATACTTCAAGTGTTCAATAAATAATAAGTTTCAAATTGACCAAAAAATTGTAGTAAAAACTTTATAACTTCAATTATTTGAAATTGATAATATTAAATTTTACCAAATATGTCTTCAGAAAATTTTGTAAATTTAAACAACCTTGGTTAGTAATTAATACAACTGACATCGTTTTCTTACACTTTGTTTATTTTTGCTCTTGTGTTGATTTTGGTAATCTTTTGATATCTGTGTTGAAAGGTTATGTATTACAAAGTGACATTAATTACATTGTTTGTTTTACAGATGAAAATATTCAGCAATTAATTCGTGAATGTGTTGAAGCACGAAAAATGTCATATTCACCTTACAGTAAGTTCAGTGTTGGAGCCGCATTGAGGTGTAATGATGGAACAATTTTTCGTGGATGTAATATTGAAAATTCATCTTATCCCGTTACACTTTGTGCTGAAAGAACAGCTGTTTCAAAGGCAATTTCGGAAGGGAAAAAAAATTTTCAAGCAATTGCGGTATCAGCTGATTTAGTGCATGATACTGTTAGTAGTCCATGTGGAATGTGTCGTCAATTTTTGTCAGAATTCGGTAACATGGATGTGTATTTAACGAATCCAACAATGGATAGAATTTTACATACTTCTGTCATGGAATTACTACCGTTGGCATTTAAATTTTGACTTAATTATAGCATATTGAAACATTTTTATAACGCAAAAATGGATGCAGAATTTTTCCTGCATCAGGAAGAAGACTTTTCACTCTATGTTAAATAATGAAGATGAAAGTTGCATTTTAAATGTAATTTTTTCAAGTAAAATTATAAAGACGAATTAAATTTTTAATGCAATTTTTTTAATTATTGTGTGAATATTTAATAGAAACAAAAAATATTACATATTGAAATTGAGAATTTATACTTAATATGGTTTCATTATAAAGCCGACTCTATCATATTTTGGAAACTTTATACTTAGATAATACTTTTTAAATATATTTGACTTATGTAAAATGAATTATTTTTATAAAAACACGTATGTAAAAAAGTATTTGGCTTTTATTAGAAACAAAAATATTTCATATTGACTGTTATATTGATACAACCATGATAGTTTTACTGCGGTAACTGAGGTTCTAGGTTTGAGTCTACAACTGTTTCGTTAATTACCTTAAAAGTTATTTTCAGCATTAATGATGAGGCTATAAAATACATTTAATTTTTGACTCAAAGGAAGGGAAACAGTTATTTTAAGTCTGTGCCTTCGGCTTGAGCTAGTGAATCACGCCTTTCAATACCTCCGACCGAATCCTGTCATATTGGCCAGAAATTTTTCACGTAAAACTCTTCCTTCATACTAGCCGCTGTAGATCTTAATCTATCCCCTCTCTCTTTTTCTCTGATAAGGACATTGAATTTAATTCTGTGTTCAACACAATTCTCAAAAACTCTAATTCCATTTCAAGCTTACTATTGTGACTGGTGGAGATTTCGGAGTAAGATTGGGGTATAATTGAAGATATTTTTTTTTTTTACTGAAAAGATTTTCTGAGGGAAGAGGTCCACTCTGCCTCTTGATCGCCTAACGAAAGAGTTGCTACGTGGAAGTGAAAAGTAACACCGTTACTTACCACATACATCTGTGTCCATTGACCTTGAAGACCTCTAAAGCTAATGAACCCTTTTCAGAGTTTTTTTATTTAGGGTAGTTAAATTGAGATATTCGAGTTTCTTACCATACATGAATAAATGCTTTTTTTAGTTTTTTTTCTTTTAGGATGCAAAGATACCTTTTAATACTTATTGAGCTCCCTTCTTCCATACGAGTAGGCTCTTTTAATTAGAATAAGAGGTGTTTCACTTTCGATTGAAGGACTGTTCAGGGTTGCATTAGTTCGTAACGTTACCCGAGGCCAAGGAAAACACCTCAGGACCTGGATATACTCCAGGAGTTGAATCCAGTTTGTTGATTCTGCACGATAAATAGCTGGACCGGTTTTGCTAAAAATCAGTTGTAAGTTTCATGATTATGTGTCTAATGCAATTGGTTCCACGTTGATATCATTTTTTAATCTCGAGATAATAGCATACACTGATGTCCACCTAAGAACTGTCGTATTTGACTCTTGGGACCTTGAAACGTGAATATATATCTTTATAAATTTGAGATTCAAAAAGTCGAACCTATTCGACCCCTTCGAAATCCTCGAAAATTTACTTGTCGAGCTCCAGCAATGTTCTCCAACATTTCTTCCATATAAGTATACTTAAAAATTATGGCAAATAAATGGCACCTTCAAATTATGAATAATTGACTAAAAAAGATCAGAGAATATATCAAAGGGGGAGTAAAAACAACTAAATAAGTAGTACCTATTATTAACTATTTTACAGATAAATAATAATCAATGCCTTGATCCTTACCACCCAATCTTGATCCTTACTACGAGATATCTCCACAATCTTCCTGGACATGAACACTAATGGAAGAGTAATGGGTCATCTGTATCTTTCTACTTTGAAATATCAATTTGTTTTAAGATACACTAATATTGTTGAATATTTTTTTTTAGGTACCTTTAATCAGATGCAATCATGGCTTATACCATTTAGTACTTTTGTTGATATTGTTATTATAAACGTAACAATTATTTAATACACTGGGTTTTTACTCTCAGATCTTTTTTTAAACATATAATTTTTTTGTATTTTTTAGTTTAAAATTGGATTAATTTCCCAACAGTACAACAGTCCTTAAGTGGACATCTGTGTGTGCGATTATCTCAAGAATAAAAAATGACATCAATGTGGGACCAATTGCATTAGAAACATAATCATCAAACTTACAACTGATTTTCAGTAAAATCGGTCCAGCTATTTATCGTGCAGAATCAAAAAACAAAAAAAAAAGATAAACCAGCTAAATTTTGTAATTCATGAATTATACTATCATAATATCATTATTGTACGTTAAAAGCATTTGTATAAAAAATATGATTAGAATATTTTATAAATAAAATAATAGCAATTACAGATTTTTAAACTTTTATCAGTATTGAGAGTAATGTTCCCACTCTTTCCACCGGTAAATTGGTCGTATGGATCTTCCGGGTAGCACCCAGATCACCAGACCGATATTTTTTAAATTTATTTATTCACTTATAGAGATATTTATTTATATTAAAATTAATTAACCAATTATTTATTAATTTTTATATTTTATTAATTATTAATTAATAATTATAATTAATATTTTCATAGTTTACATAATTAAATTATAAGATATTACAAAGAAGCTATATACATAAAAATTATTCATAGTATATTTGTATATTTACAGCATATGCAATTTCCGTGAGGTATTATAATTTATTTTATCAAACAATGACTCTTGCAATGTATAGAAATAAGACTTCGTTGATTTATCACAAGCAGCTAATATTTTCTTTTGTATTTCCTTCACCAAAACGGACACCTAGAATTACAATCAAAATTTTAATAAAATTCTTAATACTCATACGTAAAAAAAAAATTGATTATAGTACTTACCAGCCGATATAACATTGGCAAAGATTTTCATTGTTTGTTGCTTGTTGGATCAAGAGTTGAACTTGTCTTTGAACACTCAAAGCTTCTTCATGTGAGAAATCACGTCCGGTTAATTTATCCCGAACTCTATTTATAATCGCTAAAGCTTTATCATTTAACGCTTCAGGTTGATTTACATCTCCAGAACTTTCAATACTACATGGAACTCCCTTTTTAGGCAACGTTGAATTTAAAGAGTCTAAAATATCACCTGGCTCTTGGCTACTACTAGTATTAATACTCTGAGCATTAGATCGTTTACTTTTATCTTTACTATTATTATCCATAAGCCGCCAATTAAGCAATGGATCATAAACAAATGCTTCAAGCACAGCCATCAAGCTATCTTTATTTCTGTGAAGTACTGACATAACTGATTCACAAGTTCTTCTATATGTTCCTTCAATTCCGGTAACTTCCATAGCATTAATTAACATCCTTGTTAATCGGAAAGGAATTTTTTCTGGGAATTTTTCTCTTGTCATTGCTACCTCAAAACAATCTCCAAAATCAATATGTAATATTTTTCCACTTAGTCGATCTAACATTAAATTTGATGGGTGACGATCTCCAAGTCCAAGTATGTAACCAACCATTGACATAACTGCTAAAGAGCGAGTATAATTTGTTCTACGATCAAACCAAGCTTCACTCGATGGAGACTTCAACCAAAGTAATCTTGATAAATCATCTCCATGAGTATGCCCTAGAGCATGCTCAAATACTTCTACTTTTTGCATCAACATTAAATGATCGTAATCAGGAGCCATTCGCAGCATAATTCTATGTTCGATATTTAACAGAATTTTCTTTTTGTCTCGATAGTCTCTGATTAAAGTGTGAAGAGTATCACAATGAGGTACCCAGCCGATTAGTCCACTGTTTGTTGATAGTGGAATCACAGCATACCTTTGAATTGTCAAATTCCTTCTAAATGTATCAGGATCATGTAATAATAAGGTATTAACAAGCCCAAATAGTTGCATCACACGTTCATCTTGTCTTAAATCTTCGTGGCCTTTTAAAAGGAACATATAATCTTTTCCATTACTTCCTTTGATACGTAACTTTCTCGGCCGTTGTTTGCTAGTAATAACTTGCATGGAGCTATGAATACTAGCTATTCTCACTACAGGCTGACCTGGAATGTAACTACCAGGAACTGCTAATTCCAAATCCCTACAATATAGTAATTTAGGACTGACGTATTGTAACTCCAAGCTTGTTAATTGCGGTAATTGACGAGATATTCTCCTGAAAACATGGTAGTATAAATCCCAAGCTTGATTTAAGTCTCTTACATTTCCTGATACTTTATATCTGTGACACCAATCTTGAGCCTCCATCAAATCATGTCCATAAGCTTGATTAAATGAAGTTTCTTTCAATGTTTGAGCTCCTCTTTCTAACATTGCATGAAGAGGTTCTAAAGTTTCAAACATGCCATTAACATTTCTTTCTCCAAAGTAAAACCTACTTGCTTCTTCTAAGCCTTCATGCCATAGCTCATGCCACAAAATAGCAACTCGAATAAGTTCATCACTAATTAAGTTGGCTTGGGCAACTAAGGTTGAACTGTGTTCACCCATGTTTTTGAGTATCTTATAAGCAGCATTTTTTCGTGCATTACTCGCACTTTTTGAAGCTACTGTTAGTGGATATACTAATGCTTGAGGATGAGATTTGCCTATGTCAATAAGCAAATGATGAATACATCGACTTACTAAAACACGTGGGGTATCAATTCTTGCTATCAATTGAGGAATCACTTGAAGCCATGTATTTATTTCAATCATTCTTATTCCTTCTGATATTGCATCGTAAACTTCTGGCCATTGTCCATAGTCAAACCAAAGCGTTAAGAGCCGAAGAGTATCTTGGAGAGAGTTACCATGAGATAAGTTAATTGATCTGAAGAAACCTTTAACAGCAGGAACAGTGAAGCGCGAAATATATTGAGAGCTAGAGAGTGACTGTGATCTAGAAGTTCCATTGCTATCTGGCACTACGTCCCCTTGTTGATGTTTATAAAACAAAACTGATTCAAAATTAGTATATGCAAATGCGTGCCAAGCTTTATACCAGCAAGGATCATGTTCAGTAGCTTCTTCATAATAATTTAATATAGCTGGTATTGAGTGTTCATGAATACCTTGAAGAGCTTCTAACCATTCACCTAATTTGAGATAACATCGAGCAAGAAGTCGCCTACGTGCATCATATTGATGTTGTTGATGTTCTTCTTCACCATCAATTAATAATCCCGGTGGTGGAGGTTGAAGATAATTTTGAACGAAAGTTCGTAATTGATTATAAGCTTCTTCACGTTTGTTAGCTACCCACATATGTTTACAGTACGCAAACGTTACTTGCGGATGAGTCGTAGGAAGAGGTTCATCTGGAGTTTCTGAAGGATCTACTCCAAGAAGCATTACCAATGTTTTATGACAAAGCATTAAACTACCATTTTTTCTACACAAACTGGCATATTTTAACCAAGTGTACATATCATCTTGAGGAGAAATAACAAGTGTATGCACTTGAATAATTTTTTGCCAATCTTCAACTATTTTTTGTCCACCTTGTAATCTGTCCCACCACATAGCTTTAATAGTAGATCTTCTTTCTGGCACAAGTTTAAACTGAATAACTTCCTCAAGTTCTGCGAGTTTTTGCACTTCAACCATTGCATTGTAAGCTCTTTGATAACTCTCACCAGCCATAGCTGTCAGCTCAGTATCTAGAAGGTCTCGTGCACTGTTGATTAACTGATGAGCTACATTATATTGTTCTTTATGAATAGCTAAAACAGCTCGATAAAATGCTCCATCTTGAGTATCTTTTGGCACTAGAGATATATATTTTTCCATACTTTCCCACTGACCAAGACCCCAGGCTGCAGCAGCAGCCATCCGAGCCATTTTTTGCCGCATTTCATCAGTTTGATTTGACCACTGTTTCGTTGCTACTTCATGAAGTTGTCCCCATTCTCCTAATGCTTCTAAACATCTCATTTCTCCTAAAGTTGATTCTATATCATTAGAATTTGTCTCTAATCGTTCTCGATACAGATGAAGAGCTTTATCCCAATTGTGAAGTTTTTCATACCATCGCACTTGAACTTTTAAGTCTTGTTGATTATTTTGATTCATAACATATTCTAATAAACCTTCTGCTGCTTCTTTTTGTTGTAATTTATTATTTATCGATATTAAAGATTCAAATACATTACTATTTCGGCTTTTATGAAATTCATCTTCTTTATAGTGCAATGCTTTGGCATATGCTCTGCAGTTCATTGCTCTTTCGCCAAGAATTTTATTATCCAAAGGTAAAGGACCTTTATCACAATGCTCCATAAACTCAGCAAGATTTAAAATGGTTTGAGTTATTTCTGGAATATCAGGAACCATTAAGGCTTGTTGGAGAGTTTGAATTAATTCTGCTCGATAGTTATCGTTAAGTTCAGTCCAACAGGAAACAAAAGCTGCATTAAATAAGTCTCGTGGGAGTTGTGAATACGTTTGAGCTAGAGCCCAACAAGATCTTAATGCTGGAGATGGTGATTCTTTTAAAAGTCCTATGGAAAGACTTCTTAGCCATTCTAACCAATCATCTTTAGATACTCGTCGAGCTGCTGTCCAAGCCTTTTGAAGATTAGATGCAGAAACATGAAGTCTTTTTATCATTGTAGTATCAGATGATGTTAAAGAAAGATCTCTATTTTTATTTCGTGAATGACGATGTCTCATTAAAAGATAATCGTCACCATCAACTACAGACGTTTCTGTTAAAATTTTATCAACTAAAATATCATACTGAGAATTAGAAATTTTATGTTTCGTCATGACTTTTTGAACAAGAGGAATGAAAATCTGGTATTTCTTTCCCAACTGCATTAATAATGAACATAAAGTATCCATAGCAGTATTTCTAAGTTCTGGACATTGATCCAAAGTTCTTACCAAAGGATGAACAATTCTTGATGCAAAATCAGTAAAATCTAGAGTGTCTGCTAGATGATCAATTGTTTCTAGAGCAACTTTATTGACAGTTATAGGACAATCAGATGCATGGAAGAGCTTTACAATAGGTGGTAAAACAAGATGAAGATAATTATCTAAATTATTTCCAAATTTCTGCAAAGCTAGAAGTAACTTTACTGTCACACATCTATCTTTACTGGTATCATGTGTTAAAACTCGTAAAATTTGAGGCATCAATTGGGGTAAATAAATTTTAAATTCAGCACCTAAAGCTATAGCAATATGTTCTACCAGTAGAATCAATGTACTTTGCAGTGGACTATTAATAGTCCAAAACTCTTTAATTAAATTAAAAGTATCATCAAGGTAATTTCTAATGTGTTGTTTCACGATGGCAATTAAAATAGCCAGCTGTTGAAAAAGGTACTCTCGAAAATTAACGTCTGCTGTTCTAACGACGTTCAAAAAACTTGGCATTACTTGAGAAATATAAGGAACACATTTAATTCCAAGACTTTTAAAAATAAATGTTACCGCTTGAACAACCATTGTATGGTGTTGAGATAATGTAGGATCTCGGATGATTCGCATAAGTGTAGCAATTGCTATTGCTGGGTAATATTCCTCTAAGCTTGATGATGACATATTTACCAGCATTTCACTTGTTGTTAAATCTTGATTATTTTCCGTTTCACTTTTCGTATCAACCATCGATGTAAGAGTATCTAATTGGCAATCGATCTGGCCAAGATTCATTTTATGTTTATATGGATCAAGAGCACCAAGTAATCCTAGAACACGAATTGTTTCTCTTCGAATTATCGGCTGTTGTTCAGTCTTTAGAAAATTTATCAAGACTTCAAGAAGAGTTGGATACTGAATGTAAGGTTTTACTACGTGCCCTGTACTTCCTACAAGCTGTCCTAGAACCCAAAGTGCTACTCCTCGTTTTTCTGGAGAACTTGCGTCCACTAGCATTTCTAGAAGAATAGAAAGAAGCTCTGGCATCCATTGTTGTGTTTCAGCTCCATTTACTTCAGCTAAATCACCTATTGCACGAAGAATAGCTAAAACGACAGCTGGATTGGGCTCTGGTTCTTTTAATTTAGGCACAAGGACTTTGAGAATTGGCTCCATATATGGTCTAATTAATCTTGGTGCACTTACAACTAAATGATCAAGCATTCTTGCAGCTTGCTCTTTATTGCGACCCATTCCTGAATGTTCTAATTCTGTTAAAAATTGTATCAATGTTTTTCTAAGGGATGGCATGACATATGCTGGATTCATTGTGCTCAATCTGCCAATAGTTCGAATAGCTAACTCTCTAATCTCAAATATTTCATCGTTCATTGCTATAAATAGGGCTGATAAACTCTCTGCTTGAGCTAAGTGGATGTCGAAAGTATCATCTAATGATGCCAGAACAGAAATTCTTACATCTGGATCAGTGTCAGTGATTCCGACAACTAAAAGTTTTCCAAGTACTGAAGAAACAGTATTTGTAACTGTCGGTCCAGGCTGACTCAAAGCTAGCCTTAAAAGCCTCGAACATGTTCTCACAGCTTCAAGACGAACTTCTGATTGTTCTGAAGTCAAAAAGTGATCTGCACATCGACGAACAAATTGTAGTAAAGGATTACCATCGAAATTAAAAGTTCCAAGAGTTCGAAGAGCAAGAACAGTTGATGGAACATCCATGGGTTCGTTGGGAAGTGTTGCTAATATTGGACTCGTGGCTGTCCAAGGAGCTCCAGGATGCCGTAATGGTTTATGCATCAAGACTTGAGATAGCATTCTTAATAATCCTTGTGAAATATCAGGTTTAAGTGAAGGTACATTTTGTGCTAGTTCTCGTAGACATGTTGTGAGAATTGAGCTTAATCCAGTTGCTAACATTGGATCTAAAAGATCTTTTATAACAGGACTAATTCCTGATTTGACAGCATAGCCGAGAAGTGTAATGCATATAAATACAGAAGATTCAAGTGATGCACTTCGTTTTTTATTGGGTGTTTCTTTAGCAGGTAAACTACTTTTAATAACTTCCATAATTTTTGGTAAATAAGGTTTTATTGCATCACCAACAGCTACTGCTATTAATCCAATTGTCATAAATGCTGCATTCCGATCTTTCTCTCTTCCTCTTAGAGCCAATAATAAATAATTTAAAATTTCTCGAAGATATTCTTTGTTGAATTTTTCAGTGTTGAATGCTACCAATCGTGGAAGCAGAGTCATGAGTGCATGTTGAATATGAGGGCTTCTTGATGATCTTTGATTCATGACATCAGTGTAAAAATCATCTAATCTTTCTTGCATCAATTGTCGACAAGCTGCACTTTCGTGAAGCGGATAGAGACTGTTATGAGGATGTGAATTATCATCAGAAGAATATCCAGACCATTTTGAAACAATAATTGTTTTCAATCGTGGCATCAAAGCTAGAATATCATTTTCATTATTTTGATTTGAAATGTTTAATCTTTGCATTAAAGACTCATAGTCTCTTTCCCATTGAATATTACTACAACGAAGAAGTTCATTTAAAACTAAAAGAGATCCATGAATTCGATCATCACGATTATAGCCTCGTTCTTTAATATTTACTTCTTCAAATCCAGCTACTACTTCATCATAACATTGTTTATACCATTGAGATTTATGCATCTGTTTAATAGTTTCTCTCTGCGCAGTAACAACTAAAGCAGCTCGAAGAGCTTCCACTGCTCCTTCACGTATTACAGCTTTAGGATCTCTCACAGCATTAAATATCAAGTCAAAAAATTGTGTAACTTGTTGAAAAAAATATGTCGGCATTGAAACAGCAAGCTCTCGAAGCACTAAAACAGCCGCATGTCGTTTTCCTTCATTTCTGTCACCACCAAGCCATTCAAAAGCTCTTTTTACTTCGAATTCAACATATTCAGCAGTATATGTACCAGATACTAAAGCTAATTTTCCAACAGTAGTTGCTGCTAATTCCATTACCCCAACATCGCTTGATGGTAGTAAATTTCTTAAATAATTAGCAAATCTAATGGTACGAGTATTAATATTTCCTACGTCAGCTCCTATGAGACAAACTATTGCTAATATTCCTCCTTTCTTTTCATTCATGTCAGAGCCAGAAACCATTTCAAAAATGTGATGATTAAATTCATCCATAAATGCCGTAATTTCTTCTTGAGATGTTTCTCTGAGTTCTGTTTCAACATAATGACAGAGATCGCGTGCTGCTTTATTTCGAACCTCTTCATGACGCGATTTAAGTCGCTGGACAAATTGTTGCACCAAACTTGAAGTCATCTTTTTTCGTATCTATAAAACTGATAAATATTGAAAAATTTTAAATACTCTTTACTATTTTCAATGATTTAATACTAATCATGTGACTTAACTTTACCTTTTAAATAGTGAAATAATAAACCATCATTGAGGTTAGACGAAGGTTTTTATTTTAAAATATTTTTCAGTTATAACATTACTGAAATTATGTGTAAAATATTTTACTTTTTAATAATAGATATTTTTTATTCAAATGGCCTGTGTATATAAATAATATGCATTTAATTAGTGTGTTCGTTTTTTTATTATACCGCACGGTAATGACTTTAAACTATGATTTACACTTTTGACAACTTGGGCTTGTTTAGCGGATACAACGCGCTTCGATGCACACCGACGTATCAGCCATTTTTTAATATGCGCAAAAGCGCCAAGATTGAACGAAAATGCAAGTTTCATGCAAGTTTTTGCATTTGATTGTAAAAAAAATAAAATTTTGGGAAATTAATCGACTTTATAGAACTAAAAAAATTATTTACATGTGAAAAGAATCGAGTATCGATACATGAGCTACATAAAGTATCGATATCAAGGACTTGATGTTTAGAAAAAATATCGATGTATCGATACATATCGTTCATCATTAACTAACTCACTCCATTTAAGTATTTCGTGGAAGTCGCATGTAAAATTAGTGCATGAATCTGAAATAAACAACACATTGTATTTAAGATGGCGTTTAGCTTGGCTGCTTTGGCCTATATTGTTGCATTAATTATTGATGCTTTTCTCATTTTTTTCGCAATTTATCATGTAAGTTTAAATATCTGTTTAATTGTTATCATATACATTTTTATAATTAGTATTTTTCCTATAAAAAATTCTTCATAACCTAAAATATAAAAATTTAAGTTTTAACTCTTATTATTAAGCATAAATAATAATAAAATTATAATAAATTTTTTTACAAAAATATTAGTTTATGTATTCATATTTTGATTACTTTTTCAGGTGATTGCTTTTGACGAGTTAAAAACTGAACATAAAGATCCCATTGAACAATGTGGAAGTCTTAATCCGGTATGTATTATATTTTATCAAAATTATGTGATAAATAATAAAAGTAGAAATTTTTCATGAAAATAAAAACCAAATAACAATGATAAATATCCGTAATTTTGATCAATAAGTTATTGAGTTTCTTATTCATGCTTAACGCTATATGTTAGATCGAATTGCTCAGTACATTATTGTGATTTGATGTTTGATCGATCATTAGGAAATGATTTAAAAAATTTGAATCACTTATTATAAATTCTATAGTTAATCTATTAAATACCAAATATATAATAAGTGATTTTGATAAAGCATTGAACTTTTGAACTTTTTTTCAATAATAAAATCATGAAATTCCCCAAAAAAAAGCTTATCTAATTTTTGGTTCTTATCAGATAATGATACAAATTCTTTAATAAACTTTATGACCATAGTACAAAAAGTAAATGAGTGAAAGTATTCATATCATAAATACCTTAATTACGTTATGTTTTTGAAAAAAATATTTTAAAAATCAAAAATAACTATCTGTTAAATATACTCCAAAAGTGAAATTGAATCAAATATTATAAGTATTTTATTTTTTACAGTTGGTCCTTCCAGAATATGGGCTTCATGTTTTTATAAACATCTTATTTTTAATAAGCGGGGAATGGTTTTCTTTGCTACTAAATGCTCCTTTAATAGCATACCACATAAATAGGTACTTAACAAGGCCAGTTATGACTGGTCCCGGATTATACGATGCCACGAGCATATTAAATACAAATAATTTGACTAGATGTCAACAAGAAGGATGGGTTAAATTAGCATTTTATTTATTATCATTCTTCTATTATTTATATGGGTAAGAAAATTTTTTTATTACTTCATTACTGCAAACCAATTTATCGAAATTATATTCAATTGTAATCATAATCAATTAATTCATTTCAGAATGATAAGTTCGTTGATTCACTGAAATCTACCTCTTCGTTTGTTGTCAATAAAGCAACAATGTCAAAAATTTTTCACGTTTTTGAAAATTTTGAAAAATAGAAAATAATGAATCTTCCTAAAATCATTGAAATAATATTTTAATTTTAATTAATTCAAAGATTTTAGTCAGCTATAGTGCCAATGTATCATATTTCCTTGATTAAGTTAATTGATAAAGAGTAAATCGAACAATGTTACTAGTGTAAAGTTTCACACAGTGGTAGATATATAAATAATAACTTTATAATAATATCATTTAAAAACTGCTATTTCAATTAATTGTTGGATACGTTGTTAACGTAATTTTACGTTGAATATCAAAAAATATGATAATACACTGTGACGAGGGCTCTTTATTCAGTAACAGTTTAATAATAATTTTAAATGAAATTGAATTACATTATTGTAGACATTTCTTGACTTGATTGTAAATCAACGAGCATTCTTAATGAAACAATTTCTGAATCGTTAATATTGAAATATAAACAGTACGTAACTCTAGTCATCAACATACTGTTGATTCTGTTTTGTATAATGTTTACAAAATACTTGATTAATTTCATTTTTAATGATTTTTTATTTGATTTTTCGGATTTTTCAATTGAACAATATTTTATATAAGATTCTAAAAATGTACTCATTATGAATTTTTTACCATTTGATAGTAATCAATAATAATGATCACATTAAATAGTAATTCAATGCTTAATTATTATTAGTTAAATCAAACATTGAATATTTCAATAAAATTCATGTAGTTATTTTTTTTTGTTTCAATTATTGGGCTCGAAAGTTGCCCTTTTTGATAATTGTTTTACAATTAATAATAATCCAGTATAAAATGCCTCTTACAAAATTTTAAATAACGAATATTGAATAAATGAATACTGCAAAATACATTAATCTAAATATTGAAAAGAACCATTTTAATTAAGGGAATTTTTCGCTTTAACGATACCATTATTTAAAAATGCAAATTTTTTACAAAAAATGTATCAATGTAGCAAATATTTTCGTTGATAAATGATTGTATAATTTAGGAATATTTTTAATAAAAATTTTTTTTGTATAAAAATGACTTTGCCATTAAAAAAATTATTTTCTATTTCTATATATAAAGTAGAAGCGAAGCAGTAAAATCTTCAAATTATTATATAAAATATTATCACTTAGACATATAGATAATTTATCTTTCTAATTTTTCTTTAAGCCATTCTTCAGTCAATTCCTCTAATTCTCTTGCTTCAAAACATCTTGTGAGTTCTACTTCATTTTGTAATACAAGTTTCATACTTGCATAAAGTACTTGTAACTCCATTTGAATATCTCTTGGAGTGTAAAATATAAAGCACATTGGATACGATATTCTTCCATCTGAATGCTCCATTTTATAACTGTAAACAATATATCGGGGTTCATGACTTGGTATTATTTCTTGTAATTGATCAATTTCAACATCCTGTAACACATACATACATGAAACATATTGAAATGAACTAATTTAAAAATACGAAGAATTTTGAATAAAACAAAAATATTGACCTCTATAAGTTCATCGACACAAACAGTCTGTTTTTCACGGTTAACTTTAATTATTAGAGCAGCATTTTTCTTACTTTTTCGAAATCTAAAATCCTTTATTGCCTTTCTTACTTCATCTTCAATATCACAAGTGGATCGTGAACCCTTAAAATAATTTATTATTTTAAATAAAATATTTTTTTGTTTTAAATAATAAAAAATAATAATATAAATGTTGATTACCATTTTCAATTACAAAAGAGAATAAGAACTTGATTGAATTGTTGTCTGTTAGTATCCAGATGTTATTTTGGTATGAATCAGCCTATAGGATGTAACGATAAAGGGAGAGTCACCAACTACCAAGGCTACACATTTATTAGATATAATGTGTATATAATCCTTTAAAGAAAATCAAATACAATACGAATGAAAAGTTTCAAGTAATGCTCATTTTTGTTCTTTCTACCGTTAACCGCTGATTTTAATCAAAGAGAACATCCTCTTGCTCCCATTCTCTTATTATTCTGAATTAGAATTCATATTTATGTAGTAAAATCAACCAATGGAATGATGAACCTGTTCAATTTAATTCATGGTGGGAAAATGTCATTGATGTCTGAGAAAGTGAGGAAATTACTCTTCTTTGGCTAGTCTAACTATACATTTCATTCTAGTTTTACTATACAATGACTGGAATATACTTCACAATTACGGTGATGCATGTTGTCATCAAGTTTTAACATTTAAACTCAAAGATTTCTATGTAATTTTTAAATAATTTCAACACAAATTTATGACAAAATGAAGACAAATATTTTTATTTTAACTTTTGTTATTTATTGTACGACATTGTGTATGTATTATTATATTGAAACAAACTATTTTTATTTCATTTTCGTACAATTATTATTGTGATCTATCATTGAATCATCATATTTTATTTCAGGCAACGCCCTAGAATGTTATGTTTGTGATAATCAAGAGGGTAATCGTCACAAGTGTTTGAATTCTATATCAATATGTGAACAAGAAGAAGATACATGTTTGACAGAAGTTAGATGGGGAAGTGAGTATTTTGTGTACCAAGGATTTCTGGTACTGTAATCAACAACATTGTCAATAATGATATTTACGCACTTAACTACTCCAAAATGAAAAAAACATTACTCATCATTTAAAGCCACAATATTCATCAATAAAAACTTTTTAGAATACAGACAGTTATGGAATTAATTGTTATTTATTTTAATTAGGTACTCCTTATTGGTCTGAAGGAGCTCCGAAACAATACTATGTGTCCAAAAGGTGTTCAACCAAAAGAGAATGTGAACGATTGAAAAATAAAAATATGCCTTTCTGTACATATATTTGGTATCAAGATTGGAAGTGTTCAGATTGTTGTCAAGGAGATCGTTGTAATTATTACATTATTGTAAGTAATTTTTTATAAATAAATTTTAATAGTTTTGTTGACACTAGATTGAATGCGATGACATTCATTTTGACATTTTCTTTACAGTCATCTGCTACTAAGTACAGCGTATCTATCAGCAATATGATAGCAACATCAATATTAACACTTTTAGGGCCCTTTTGGATTCTAAAATGAATATTCTAAGTAAAAGAAAAATCAAGTTTTAATCTCTGGCGTTATAGTCAGAAAATTGATGAAACTGTATCCGTCCTTATTGAGTTTCTTTTCTATGGTTGACTAGTTAAATGCATACAATTACTCTATTTATTATCTGATAGTAAGTTGCTAATTGTATCCATTTATTAAAATACTTACATTTTTAGAATATGCTAAATAACTAATGAAAGTATTTATTAAGAAATTTTTGAAATTCTCTCACTGCCTAATTGTTGACTAAAAGTAAAAATTATTTTTTATGTTTTAAATTTATATTAATCGAAAAAATTTGTTGTCAGAAAATAATGTTTTTAAATTATGTTTTTTTTTATAAAAATGGTAATAGAATTATTATACATTCGTACTAATTTAACAATTTGATTGTGAAAAAACTTACCGTCCATTTTATAAAAGTTGATTTTTTTATATGAGAAATTTTTTAATAATTGTTAATAATTATAAGTTTTAAATCCATTTCATCAAATGATTATAAAAATAACAATTTTGATGTTAATAATTTATTAATGATAAGTTTCAAATACATTCCGTCCAATTATTGTATAACTTGAAATTTTATATCAGAGATTTATTAATGACTCTTTAATAGTAATAAGTTTTGCATATACTCTGTCTAATAATTGTAAAACTATAAATGTAATTGAATAATTTTAATAAAAACTACGTTGTACGATTACAATTACAAAATAAGTGTTATGATATTTTTTAATTAATTAAAACCCTTCAAGGCTGTTTAAAATGAAATTTGACTTATCTCTTAGTTAAATTCATATCAGCAAAAAAAAGATAACGATTTACGATGAATTAAGTCATTAACGTTTAGTTTATCAGATCTCAAACTCCAAAGACATTTTATCACTTTCATCGTCAAAACTTAATTCATTAGAATTTTTAATTTATTTTCTCAAACCTGATATTTACTAATAATTTTTTTTGTTTCGATTATCTACTAATCGTCTCAACGATTTAGGTAAGTACTCATTAGTAATTTAATTTCTAAAATGCTCAATGATATCAGTTATATTAGTAAATAGAAGTAGTATACTTCACAAACAAGTCCCACACTGATCTTTTATTGGTGAAGGAGCAAAATTTATTTGATCAATTGAATCTGGTGAAGCGTGACACAATAAGAACATAAAGACAATTCATAAGTTAATTTAAAAGCGTCTCAGTAACTTATTAAGAGAGTGTTGTCTTTCTGTAGTTAAAATTACTTTTATTCAAATTCATAACTATTTTTAGAAAAATTTCTTTTTCTAATAAATCCCAAAAAATGGAAACTTATTTCACTAATTTGGAAACTGTAAGTAAAAATTTGTACTTTGTTTCATAATAATTCTTCAAACTAAATTATAAAAAGATCTTAGATATAAATCATATTAGATTCTAAAACAAAATAGCCAATTGATTGACAAATTATGTGTTTTAGATCGTTAAAGACATGAAGGCGATGGATTTCAATCAACTGACCGGAGTACTAACGAGGAAAAAAAAGCTAGAAAATTCATCGGAATCAAATTTAACCCGGTATCTTTCAACACTGGATCTTACAGCTTTGGGAGTAGGATCAACACTTGGAGTTGGTGTTTATGTTCTTGCAGGATCTGTCGCCAAAGAAACTGCTGGTCCAGCTGTAGTTATATCATTTGCAATTGCTGCTGTTGCTTCAATGTTTGCTGGTGAATATTTCATCTTTCAATCATATAATTATGTAAAAAAATACTACTATAATAAAGTTGTTTGCGAAATTTTACATCAAATCTAATACAGAGTTATGTATTAATGTATTATATAAATTTAGGTCTCTGCTACGCAGAATTTGGTGCCAGAGTTCCAAAAGCAGGATCAGCTTATGTCTACAGCTATGTAACAATGGGAGAATTTATTGCTTTCCTCATAGGTTGGACTTTAATTCTCGAATATGTCATAGGATCTGCCAGTGTAGTTCGAGCATTAAGTGTTTATGTTGATGCACTTTTTGATAATTCTATGAGCCATGCATTTGCATCAGCAGCTAAATTCAACATAAGTCATATTTCTCCATATCCTGACTTCTTTGCATTTGGAACTACAATAGCTTTTTCGGTGGCTTTAGCATGTGGAGCTAAAGAATCTTCGATAGCTAATAACTGCTTTACACTAGTTAATTTAGCAGTCGTTCTATTTGTGGTGATTGCTGGATCTCTAAAATGTCAGTATTAATTTAAAATTAAGTGATATGATGAATTCTAAAGAAAGAATAATATAATTTGAAATAATTATCAAACAGCTAACGTATCAAATTGGAAACTTCCAATGGAGTGTACAAAAGCTCATTGTCCCTATGGAACTGGAGGTTTCGCTCCTTATGGTGTTGTTGGAATTATTACCGGAGCAGCAAGATGTTTTTATGGATTTATTGGATTCGATTGTATTGCAACTGCTGGAGAAGAAGCAAAAGATCCTAGAAAATCAATACCAATAGCAACTATAGCATCACTTACTGTGGTATTTCTTGCATATTTTGGAGTCTCAGCTGTGCTGACAACTGTTCTACCATATTATCAACAGAATGCTGAAGCACCATTTCCACATATGTTTAATTACATTGGCTGGAGTTGGGCAAAATGGGTAGTAACAATTGGAGCTATTTGTGCTCTATGTGCTAGGTAAATAAAATAATTATTAAAAATTACATTTATAATTTATTAAGGATTATTTTATGAAAAAGTAATTGATAAAGAATTTTCAATGTAGTCTACTTGGAGCCATGTTTCCTTTACCAAGAGTTATTTATGCTATGGCTTCAGACGGTTTGATATTTAAATGGATGGGAAGAGTTAATTCAAGATTCCATACTCCCATAATTGGAACTTTATCTGCAGGTTTTCTTACTGGTAATTATTTATTTGTATATTCTTTTTTCATATTCATAATTATTGTTATTTTACCTTTTTAAGAATAATTGATAATTGATGTATCATTGTAGGTATTCTTGCTGCTATCTTTGATCTTGATCAGCTTGCAAGAATGATGAGTATTGGAACTCTTCTGGCTTATTCCATTGTTGCAGCCTGTGTTTTAATTTTACGGTAAATTTAAATAAATAATCCATAGTGAAGGTTTTTGTTATTCTCATGAAATAATTTTGTAGGTATGAAGAAAGTGAAGCATTCGAAAAAAAATGTGATAAAGATCCTAGAACATTCAAATTTATTGCTATGCAATTAATTAATGCTAATAATTTAGTAATGTCAACAAAACTTACATCTCAAATAGTATCTTGGCTTGTATTTTATTATGGTATGTAATATTAAAATGTTTAATATAACTTATATATTTAATAGAATTCTTAATTTTTATTTAAATATATTAATATATAGAGATAATATATTGTTTTAGTTCTTTTCTGCATTGGAATTACCGGAATCGTTGCAGTTTATGGAGAAGAAATGATTAAAGGGTCAACATGGACCAGTTGGGTTGCTATTGGATTTGTTGTGGTTTTTGGACTTCTTCTTATTCTTACATTAATATTTATTTATTGTCAACCCGTTTCAGACAGGAAACTTACATTTTCTGTAAGTGAATTAAAGGAGTATAAATTGAAGTAATATTAATTAATTCATTAAATTCTATGAAAAAAACTGATATTATATTTAAGGTTCCTTTGGTACCATTTCTACCAGCTTTGAGCATACTTATTAACATTTATCTCATGATGATGCTAGATGGAATGACATGGATACAGTTCGCTGTATGGATGATAATTGGTATGTGTTAATTCAAACAGTGAATATGAACTTATTTTTTTTTCTTAATTACTAAAATTTATTTTTTGTATTTATAGGATTAATTATCTATTTCTTCTACGGAATTTGGAATAGTATACATCGATAAAAAGTATATAATATTTTTTTAATTTTAATCCAAGTAAGCTTTTTTTTTATTCAACTTTATGGCTCTAGTTAAGCATTAATTATTTACAATAATTCACTTTTGTATGAAATGTGTTCTTAATTAATAAAAAAAAAACCTTTGAATACAATTTAGATTAAAGATACTTAATTCTTGATATTTTTAAATATCGGTTTAAATAATAGTTATGGATATTAAATTTTATCTTACATGTTAAACAAACTTCTGAGATCAGCTAAAGTGAGTTTAGATGCCACTTTACCACTTCCACCCAGAACATTAGTTGCAAGTGATAACTTACGGTCTTGTAAATTTTTTATCCTTTCTTCAATTGTACCATTACAAATAAGTTTATAAACGAAGACATTTCTTTTTTGTCCAAACCGGTAAATTCGATCTTGAGCCTGTGACTCAAGCTGTGGATTCCAATGAATGTCAATTAACATCAAATGATTAGCACCAACGAGATTCAAGCCAACGCCACCAGCAGTTAATGATAAAAGAAGTATTTGCGGTCCACTAGATTGATCATTGAAATCGTCAACAATTTGTTGACGATTCTTGATAGCAATTGAACCAGTGAACATTTTATAAGTAGCACCTTTGATGCTGCTTAAAAAGTTTGCCAAAATATTTAAATTTGTTGTCCATTGAGAAACAATAATTAATTTTTCTTTTTTAGCTAAAATTTCTTTAACTTTTTTTATAATAATTCGAAACTTGGAACTCATTCTATCAGGCTTAAAAACTGGATTTTCCGCTGTTAATAAATTTTCTTTAACTCGTTCATCAAGTCCAAGATCTTCATCATTATCTCCTGTTGATGCATCATGAAGCGTCAATTTATTCATCTGTGATAATAAATCACCTTGACCTGTTTCATTTTCCAAATCATTTGATTCAATATCATCTCTATCTAACATGGAATGAATTAAAGATGGATGACAACAGACTTGACGTAATCGTAAAATAAGTGCTAAAATCATATGCGACTTGACTTCTTTATGTTGACGCATGAGCTCAAGTTGTGCTTTATTGAACTTTGTAGATATTGTAGAGGTTTCCATAAATGGTCTATCAAACTTCCCAGCGCCCATTTCAAACATATGTTCTTTCTCAGCCCGCTGAGCTAAAAATTGAGCAAACAGTGTTTGAGAAAAAACTAGTAGTTTTTCATAAATTAAGCGCTCTTCAGGATCCAGATCAATACTGATTTCTTCGATAAATTTCTCTGGTAATGTTTCAAGTTGACCTTTTATCATCAATTCTTGTTTAGTACGTCTCAACATCAATGACTTCATTACTGTAGCAAGTCGTTCATGACCAGCAGCATTTTTATTATCAACCCATCGTTTCCAGACTTTAAGATCATCGAATGGAGAACATTTGAGGAATTTTAGGATAGAATATAAATCTAATTCTTTATTATGTATAGGAGTGCCAGTTAATGCCCAACGTTTTCGTGCATATAAATTACAAACTGCTTCACATGTTTGGCTCTTGTGATTTCTTATTACGTGAGCTTCATCTAATATTACTCTTTTCCATGTGATGGTTAGCATTTTGTTGTGTGCATTGGCTTTCATTTCTCTAGCAAGAAGTTGGTATGTAGTAATAACAATATCATTTTTAGCTAAAGTCCGAGCTGAGCTAGTTCGATTATTTCCATGATAAACTTCAACAAGTAACTGTCCGGTATTGCAGCGATTTTTCACTTCAGCGGCCCACTGAGACACTAATGATGCAGGACATACAACTAGAGTTCCTCCGGAAAATTTAGTAGATTTTTTTCGATGAATCCATTCATCATCTTCGTTTTCTTCATCACTAAGACTATCATCTTTCGTAGCCATGACCAAAGATATCATTGTGAGAGTTTTTCCAAGCCCCATGTCATCAGCTAATACCCCACCAGCTGGTTTTTGATTCTCTCTCCACAGAAGCCAAGCTAATGCGTGTTTCTGATGAGGCATTAATTTAACACGAAGTCCTCGAGGATCTGGAGCTTCTTCATTTTCTGTAGGACGAGTAACTAAAGAACCATGAAGATCTTGAAGTCGGTCAACTGTTAAAGCTTGCTGCGTTTCCAATGTTTTTAATGCTTTTCTTCCAAGATTATCTATGTTATGATCTAGAGTTGGTTTGCTTAAAATTTTTATACGAGTTTCTTCTGGTGATTCCAACTGAGATCTTGAATATTCAGCAGAAGATCCTAATGGTGTTGGAGGAGAACCATAACTTTTTTGTAAAAGTTCATCTCGAAGTCTCGATAAGTTACTTTGCGGTGGAATAGTATTTGTGTTTTCAAGTTGTTCCAATTTTTCTAGTTTAGCTCTCGTAACTTCACGTTCTTTTAATAAACTTTCAATAGAGGCGAGCAGTTTTCTACCTTTATCAGGAAGATGAGACATTTGCACTTTATTTGAAGCAATTATCTATAAAATTTAATCAATAATGATCAATTAAATACGATGAAGATTAATTATTCTTAAAATAAAATTAGAAATGTATTTTATTTAACTCACGTTCATATGTTGAAGGTCGACATTAATTTTATTCAATTTGTGAATAAGAAGGGCTTTTTTCTGTGCAGATTTATGATCCAATGTAGTCCCATTTAGTTCTTCTTTAGCTGCATTAATAACTTCTGGATGCTCTTCTTCATTAATTGATTCCTCAGTAGCTAAACGATGGATATTAATTTATATTTTTGCTCAGTTAAACTTTTTTAAAACATATTTTACCTGAATCTATGTGTGATGTTTCGAAAGAACTGGCAGAGAAATCGATTCTTTTTTGATTCGATTTGGGCCTTATTACTTCAATTTCAGAAGATGATTTTTCTGTAAAAAAAAAAATTAGAAAACATATTTAATGTCAACGTTTCTCATTTTAGTGAATACTATTATCAAAAAATTTACCGAATTCTACTGCAGAATTTTCTGCCGATGAATAAGTGCCATCTAGTAATTTAGATGTATCTTTTGATGTATTATGATCATTTTTTTCTGCTGTATCAATTTCATGAGATTCTTCTAGAAGACTCGAAAATCTATGAGAGCTGCCAGATTTTCTTTGTTCATTTTCGTGAAAGGAATCTTGTGTTAAATCAATGTGTTCATGAGAAGACTCCGAAATTGATCGCACCGAATTAACACTTGTTTCTCGAGTTTCTTTATAATTTACTTCTTCGTCATCTTCATTTTGTGATTGTTCTAAATTATAACATTTAGTTTATAATGACATTAAGAAGAAAAATCAATAATATTGAAAGAATTTCTTTTACCATTATCATCACTGTCTCCCCTGTCATCATTTTGACTTGTGGCATCTAAATAACATAAAAATCACGATTAATATAAAAGTTAACAGCTGATACCAATCTTGTAAATCTTCTTAACTCAATAATTAAATATCATAGATAATATATACTAAATATTCACCAGAATGATTTTTATTATTTATGTTTTCTCCTATTTCCTCATCATCAGTTATTTGATCTGAATTTGACAAACTTAAATTAAATATGCTCCGTCTAATAGCTTTTTGAATACTAGGTGTTAATCGTCCATTTTTTTCCAAATTTTCCAGATTCTCATCTTCTTCAGATGAACTAAAATTTTTATCACAATAAAATAATTAAATACATTAACTGTTTTAGTTATTAAGTGTTACCTGTCAGGTTCATCTGATTCATCTATAATTCTGTTAGTTTTTTTTCTGTTATTGCCAAATCTCTGAGCACGCCACACTTCATCTTCAAAGTCAGTCTCTTCATCGTCATCGAAAATAACGGAACTGTCACTTGAAGACATTATTTATTTTTTATAATAAAATAGATACAAATATAAATTGTCCCAAACTTTCAACATGTACTAACTTGTTCCTTCTTCGTGACGGTTACATTCAGAATGCCATGAAAATTTTGAACTAACTTTCGAGAATGATCTTGTGCTGCGCTCTTTATTAGATCATATAGAAATTACAAAATTCAATAAAATAGAATTTAATGACAGATTCAATCGATAAAATCAATTTATACCGACAACGGCTTAAATCGTCTTTTTTTAAATAATATCAACATATAATCGGAGCAGTTTATCAATGTTCGGGTGTTTCCGGGCCTGCCCTGAGCAGCTTCGGGTCAGAAACCGAATACGCTAATACAAAACAATTACCATAAAATTTTAATTATAAACAAATAAAGTTTACAATAAAATAATTGAAGACGATACAATAAATTTTAAATTTTATGAATATTTATTTGATATAATAAAATATGATAAATACAACTTAATGATAATTTAAGTTATAGCTAAAATTATAAATAAAAAGTAAAGATGAAAATTGATAAAAATTTAACAATAATTATTATAATTTTCAATAAACGTTCAGTTAATTTAAATAATAAAGTAAAATTTAAAAAAAAGTATAATAAACAATAAAAATATTAATTATTAGTTAATTAATTATAACTTTTTGGCAACACTCTCACTGTGCAATATTATAATTCTGTGATATTGTGCGATGTATAATCAGTGAGGGTTGGTGATTCTCCGTCATTTTCTGTAGACGGAATTTTTGCATCTAATGGGGGTTCTTCACAGGTATCTTCCGGTGCAGGTAGGCGTTTGTTTATGGCTAAGTTCAAAGGCACTTCGTCATCCATGTGTCCAAAATGTCGGATTTCTATCGTGGAACAGTTGGCACCTTCTAGGCTTGTATGAAAATCTCCAGATATCCCTTCCGCTCCACATTGTAATTCACCTTCAATCCGAATTACCTTGTACTGATGATTGCTCAAAGTCTCCTCCACATTGAGGTCACAATTGACGAGTTTACGTTTCTCCGATCTTCTGATAAATAGATTATTACTATTTTTGAAGTAATGATGATATGGATCAGCTTTAAATCTTGTTAAATCAACCAATTTAAAGTTTGGTTCATTATATCCAAGAGCTTTCTTTTCGTGCGCATCATGTGCAGTATTGTTCAAATCACACTGTGTGTATCCCAAAAGGAGCCTCTTTTTGTAATGACGGGATTTGTAAGCTTCATCTTCGTAGAATTTATTCAAACTGTTTTCTGAAACACACCAAATTTTTTGTATTTTATATGATATTCGAGTACTAGAGACAATCATACAAATGTTTATAACATAAATAATTGAAATATTTATCAATAAAAAGTAAATTTTTACCTGATTCGTACGATAGATGCGACCTTTCTTCAGCCGCCATTATTACTAAACATTAGTGTAGAAACTTTGTTGCTTCGACCCAGCGCCGTTAGGTTTGTCTAATAACTAATTTTCACTTCCAAAAATCATTTACAATGATCGAAAAATTTTTAGCGGTAAATAATATTTTCTATAGAAGTATCCAAATATATTAATAATATAAGATTTATGATTATTTATTCAAATCAAATATATTAGAAAATTATTTCAACAGTACAAAAGAAACGAAAAAAGATAATTATTTTTTATAAATATAATATAGCATAAATTATAACTTTTAAATATGATGTATACTTAAATTAATTTTTTTTTTTCTATGAAAATATAAATATTTTTTAAATAAGAAAATATTGTTTTTTAAGAGTTATTAAATAACTGAACATATTAAATAAATGATAATCAATTGAAACCAAATAAGGTTTTGAAATCCTCGAGGGTTAGTTTTGTACTAACTCTGCCAGTGCCGGCCAGCACATTTTGAGCAATATCTAACTTGTACTCTTGCAAATTCTTTATTCTTTCTTCAATAGAATCAGTACAAATAAATCTATAGACATGGACATGTTTCTTTTGTCCAAATCGATAGATTCGATCTTGAGCTTGGGTTTCAAGTTGCGGATTCCAATGTATATCGACAAGCATCAGATGATTTGCTCCAACAAGATTCAATCCTACACCTCCAGCCGTTAATGAGAGCAATAAGATTCTTGGATCTCTATCTGGTGTATTGAGTTCATTAACAATTTGTTGGCGATGTTTAACAGGAATACTTCCGTCGAATGATTTATAAGTTGCACCCTCGATGAATTTCAAATTTTCAGCAATGATTTTTAAATGCGAAGTCCACTGAGATACAATGATAATTTTTTCATTTCCATTTTGGATAATTTCTTTGATACGTTCTAGTACTGCTCGATGTTTAGAACTTACACGAGATTTATTAAACACTGGATTTGTACGGGTCAATAAATTTTCAGTAACTCTTTTACTGATTCCTATCTCTTCTTCATCAAGGTTTTCAATTTCTATTTCACTTGTGGTCGTACCAGACGTTGATGTTGTTGGAGGTCCAGCTTCTGGCTCTTTGAAAGTATTGATTTTATTCAATAAATCAAAATTCAAAATCGCGTTGTTAGAAGTCTTTTGCTGAACATCTTCTCGGTCCAACATCGTATGAATTAACGATGGATGACAGCAAATTTGACGAAGCCTCGTTAAAAGAACAAGAATCTCAGTAGTTTGGATATCTGCATGAGTAGCTAATAACATCTTCTGAGCATCATTAAATTCTTCGAAAAAATCTTCAACGGGTCTGTAATATCCAGCACCAAAAGCCATTTGACGTTTCTTCTCAGCTCGCTGACGTAAAAATTGAGCAAATAATGTTCGAGAGTAAATCATAACCTTTTCATAGACTACTCGTTCATCAGGATCCATTTCTATCGGAATAATTTGCGATAACTTGTCTGGTAATGGTTGAATCAATTTTTTTGCAATTAGCTCCTTCTTAGTACGGCGTAATAACAAAGTCTTCATCAAGGTTGTCAATCGTCGATAACCTGCTTCATCTCTATTATCCACCCATCGTCGCCAAATTTTTAAATCATCAAAGGGAGAACATCGTAGAAACTTGAGAATCGAGTATAAATCCATTTGTTTATTATGAATAGGAGTTCCAGTTAATGCCCATCGATTATCAGTCACTAACTCACATACAGCTTCACACATTCGAGTTTTATGATTTCGAATGACATGAGCTTCATCTAGAATTACTCTATCCCAATGAATTTTAAATAGAGCATTTTTATCATATTGATGGCTTGCATGAGCTAGTATATTATAAGTTGTTATAATAATATCCTTTTTAGCCAATTTTTTCACAGACAGTTCTCGATTAGGTCCATGATATATTCCAACTGTTAAAGTTCCTGGTGTGCAATGATCGAATACTTCATTTTGCCATTGGGCGAGTAATGATGCTGGACACACAACCAATGTTCCTCCTCGATATTTTACAAATCGTCCTCTTCTTCTCAATTTTTGTTTTTTCTTCTTCTGAGTATTACGATAACGAGCCAATACAAGTGATATCATTGACAGAGTTTTACCCAATCCCATATCATCAGCTAGAATACCACCGGGTGGTTTTTGTTCTTCTCTCCAAAGTAACCAAGCTAAAGCTTGCTGTTGATGAAGCATCAATGGGGTGAAAAGACCTGCTGGATCTTCAACTCGATCAGTATCTGATGGACGAGAAACCAATGATCCATGGAGATCTTGTAAACGATCCATCGTTAATTCTTGTTGACGTTGTAATGTTTCTAGTGCTCGTTCTCCTAGATGTTGATTAGAATGAGATGTCGTTGGTCTTGCAAATAATATTGAATCCGGTTGTTCATCATCATCAGAGAATCTTGAAGTATTGTCATAATCACTATCATCACTGGACGAGAAACAAGAAGATTCGCCATCATCGAACAAGTTGTGCTGTTGTACGGCGGCTTCTCTTACCATTACATCTGATTGATTGTCAACTTCACTCATTTCAACGTCAGAGCTAGCCGGTGTTAAAGTCGAAGACACTTCATATATCGAGCGGACACTTGGTAAACTTTCTCCATCAACCCCGTCTTCTTTCTCTTGCTTGATTGTTTCAATTTTAATTTTTGGTCGATCCTCCATTGGTTCATCATTTCTTGTAGAAATAGCTCCAGCATCTTCATTCATACTCTCAGGTGAGTATGCCGCTTCGAGATATTCATAGTCAATAAATTCTGCATTGTTCTGCTGAGAATTAGAATCGACTTCCATGTTATAGATAGGCTCACTTTTAATCATTATTCCATTGTTAATTCCGATATTTTCTTTATTCTCAAGATGCTCTGATAAATAATGATTATTCTTGCTTCTCTTCAATGCTTTTTTGATTAATACCTGCATTTTTCGATCTGGCTTGAAGAGCTGTAAAATATAATATGATAAATATAATTAATAAATGAATATTTGAAACATAAGTTCTAATTTATTTTTATTTAATTAGACACAAATATGCAATTTGTATTGATATTATAAAAAAAATATATTTACCTTCACTTTTAGAACTTTACGGCATTGAGGTTTGGGTTTTTCGTCCAAAAAGTTCTTGATTTCTTGAGAATTGTTTAATATTTCAGCGCATTTATCGTGTACAGCTGGAGGAACATCCAACTCTTCCAGCTTAATCTTTTTCTTCACAGGCTCGAGGATTTTATAAGACATGTTTCCAACGCTACTGGCATCCATTGAATTCTCTGTAAAAGAAATATCAACGAATACGCATTTAGTATGTTAACATTAATTAGTTAACATTATTTTGATCCTTAGTTTAATCATCTTACCGTCGCTAATGTTTGTATCGTGATCACCACTTTCATTCAACAGCACCTCATCACGTTTCCTTTTCTTTTGTTTCTCCCCATTTTTTTTAGAATCATCTCCAGAATCTAAATCACTATCTCGGCCAATACTCAAGATGCTTAGTCGTATAGCTTTCTCAATGCTCGGTGTAAGACGAGTAAGTTCATATTCATCATCATCATCAGAAAATTCGATTTTCCTATCAACAGACAAAGTGACATGATGAAGGGAAAAAAGAAATTGCGTCGCACGTAAAAAATGAAAAAACTAATGAGAAATATAATTAAAATTAAAAGGATATTAATTACTTACATTATATCAGTTTTCTCTTCTGCTTCAAGCCATTGTTGACTTCGACGACTGGTGTCCTGGCTGCTTTTATTAGAATTTTCATCAACACTAACAACACTCGGCAAGGAGATATTATCTCCTAGATTTGACATAGTTTTTGTCTAATATTTATTATTGTTTATCGCAAATCGAAATAATATATTAGAACATTTAATCAACTAAAACTAATCACAAAAACAGCACTTCACAAACACAATCTAATTCGTTGTCAACGGAAATATGTTATACCAAGAAATTGGCTATCATACAACAGTCACTTTTTTTTAACGCTTTCAATGTACGCAGAACTGAAGAGATTTAAACTTTTCCCACGACATTCAAATCAAAACAAATGATAGAGACCTCTGCAATTTGTTTTGAACTGTTCAACTAACGAAACCAGTCTATTTATGCGGGGTAAAATGTCCTATGGCGCATGCGTGACGACAAAGCACGAGGGAAAAATTACATGTGCATGTCAGAAGTGGGAGTAGAGAAAATTTCTATCTATTTTCTGATTGGTTCCCCGCTATTACACTGTCTCCCCGCCAAAACTTGTTAATTTAAAGGGAGAAAAGTGTTGTGCACACACAATTGGTTTTTTCTTGTTTTATGATTTAATCTTTTTTTGAATAGAGATCAACGTAATCTTAAAAAAGTAATTGCAGTTTGGGTGTATATATACATATATACTAGTAACTATAGATGTACATACACAAACCCATAGATATTATTTGGGAATATTTTTTATTTAGGAATATAAAAAAATGACACATGATGAAATTTCCACCGGGAAAATATTTTAGCTATAAAAGTAATCTTAAAAAAGGATTTTTAAATATTAATATAATTCGTTGATTTCATTTTACTAAAAGATTAAAAATGTCCGCGTAAAATCTAATTTTAAAATTCTTTCTTTTTCTTCTGTGGGGAAATTGAATAAAAAATTTTGACAGGAATTTCTTATCTTTTTATGATTGATATGGAAAATATTATAATTAATTTTATAATCAAGAAATGAAAATAATTGATTGCATCTCCATTGGTGTTGATTTTTTTTTCAGTTAATTGTAATACAGCTTAATTAATTATTCATTAAATCAGGTTGACTATAAATTTCATCAAGAAAATTAGGTATGTATTAATTATTTAATTGATTTGTTATAGCTTCAAATCAATCAGGAAAAAAACACTTGTTGATTGCTCTGATGATCAATCTCATCTAGCTGTATTTCATTATAATTATATAATCATAGTATTGAACATAATTAATATTAATTAGGAATAATTTTGAATGACTATCATCAGTAATTTCTCTTTGTTTATAATTATACATCTACAAAAATGAACTCCATTTCCATTAAAAAATTTCATTTATTTATCATTTTGATTTAAATGGAAATTGTTATTACTTAAATAATATAATAATAAATGTAAATTAGAACATGAATTTGATTTCTTCATCATATGCACTATTATTATAACTATATTTTCTATTTTCATGATTTTTTAATTGACTAATACATTAAAAATATCCTATAATAAATAATAAAAATTTACAAGTTACATAGTTAAATTAATTAACACACCAGTGTTATGATATTTTTATACATTAAATTATTAAATTAATAAGTAATATTCAAGTATTGACATGTCATGTCAATATTTTTTATCTAACAATCGAATTCAATGTATTTTAGACACTCAAAACAATTACTTTGTTTCAGATTAAAATCATACCATTACATCTTCTTCAAAAACCCACTCATTTCATGGAATAAATCTCGCCGTTAAATACATCATTCAACTAAACAATTCGCAATTAATCTAAATAAATTCATTTTATTTATTAATTAACTTATTTATTAAGTTTTTAAACGATGAGAATAATTAAATTTCTCAAGCGAAAAGAAATTTGATAAAAATAAATACATTTTTCATGGAACAATTTTAATTGTTTTTACAATATATATTTTATGAATAATAATAAATTGTAAATCGATATTTCATGATCAATACTTACATAAATAATTAATAATATTAAGTATCTACATATACAATGTCTGGTTTTATATTTCTTCAGTGAAATGTTTTGTTACATGTGTATTATTATTGTAGTGGTTTTTATAACCTCCATGTATAATAGTTTTAAATTACCAAAATAATTTATATTTTTGTTTATCTCGAACTGACATGACATATGGGCTAAAAGGACTTTATTGCGAAGTCGTCGAAAGCTAGAACCATATTAACATAAAAAAATTAGTGAGTAAACAGACGTGTTTATGCCTGATCTAGACTCTTTAAGAAAACAACAATACATGTGTGTCTAAACACGTGCTAATAAATCATACAATCTTTATTTTTATTTCGTTGCAGGATTAGATTTTAAATTCAATATTTTTTATTGCTCTTTATGGTGATACATACATATATGTACACAATACCTGCATGATCTTGAAAAGAATAGAAACGGTTAGGTTAGGTACTACGTCATACATCTCATACCATGTGCACAGCAAATTTTGTGTTTTATAGCTTTAAGCTGTTTTAGAAAGAGTTTAGCAGGAACTTAAAAAAAAGTTAATAAGAAAGATGGTAATAAACATATGGAAATAAGATAAGAGATCCGTTGTTCAAAGAGTCCATTGAAATAAATGAAATAGTGTAGGTACATATGGGAATTTTCGTTGTAGAAAAAAGAAAATTCTATCCAGGTCCTAGGAGATTAAATTTAAATATATAATAATAATATAATATAATAGTTATATCATATGTTTTCAACATGCGGTTTGATACTGGCACAATACAATGGAAATGTTCTGCAATATAATTTTACATAAAATATGTAGATAAATAAACCATATTCAGTTTATGTTAAATCGTTTTTATTCTTGATATTTGGTAAGGAAATTCGATGAACAAAAAGATATAAAAATTATTATTCATCATAAATTAATTGAATGAAAAAAGGAGCTTAAACTATACAATTCGCAATATGATGTATTTTAAATCGAATTATGCCGCGTTAACCTAAAAAAGGTCACATAGAGGGCAGTGAAATGAAATTTTCTGCCGGCTTGCGTGTGCATAATAAAACATATTTTCATGACTTCTCTACACACAATTGATTTTACACGTACGCAGTTTCTTGTCTCCAAAGTTTAGAATATTTTATTTTAAGCATTATTTTCTGTATCATTAAATGTAATTATACACACGGTCATCAATGTTGATACCAATATCCTCTTCTGGTGATAATTGCTCTAACATATTACTTGAAAGTACATTGGCTGTTTGTGTTATTTAAAATAATATCTTTATTTCTAGGTTAAAAAAACTTATTTGATAACGACAGAGATAATCAAACATTATTTGTTATTTTCTCAATACCAAAATGAAGGTAAATCCGCGAGTGTTTTTTGATATCGAAGTTGGAGGCCTCCCAATGGGCCGAATAGTTTTGGAGTTATTTGTGGACATTTGCCCGCGTACTTGTGAGAATTTTCGTGCCCTTTGCACTGGAGAATTAGGACTTGGAAAGACCACGGGAAAACCATTACATTACAAGGGAACCGTATTTCATCGTGTTGTCAAAGATTTTATGATTCAAGGTGGAGATTTTTCAGTGGGTAATGGAACTGGTGGAGAATCTATTTATGGGGGAACTTTCTCAGGTAATTACAATGTTTAATCAATAAATCAGTCAACTGTTTAATTCTGAGCTTATTTAAAAACTTTTACTATTATTATTCATATTTATATCCTTATAATTTTTATTATATTTTCTTGTAGATGAAGACTTCACTATCAAGCATAGTAAGCCTTTTCTCCTTTCGATGGCCAACCGCGGTAAAGATACTAATGGTTCTCAGTTCTTTATGTAAGTACAAAATAGTTAATAATTAATAATGCAGACATGTTGTGGATGCGGCTGATAAATTAACAAGGATTCAATCCAGTACGAAATTGCATGGTTAATTAAATCATACATATCGAAATAAACCATGTAAGTATGCTCGGATGAATCTGCATAATTATTCTCCGGTTGGAATATTCTGGGTTTCTACAGTAGACATAAATTTTGATAGGTAAATTAACTATGCCAGCTAAAAAAAAAAAAACATTCAATCATGGACTTCTAGTTCTCTTGCTAACCAGTGTTGACTGGTGTTTTTGCTAGTAAATGAGCAATATTCCTCACGACGTCATGATTAGCCAATTTTTAAAATAATTCTAGAGGAATGAATAACTTAACACTATTTTTGTGTAGTCGTGAGCAAGAGGTCTGCGCACCACTTCTACAACACAATGACTACTGAAAAACTGGCTCTTTGTCCGCATCACTCACCTCCTTAATCATATTTTGTTGTTGTAGTACAACGCAACCAGCGCCTCATCTCGACAAGTAAGTTTTTATAAAATAATTAATTAAAATTAAACATTTTTTTCAAACGTAAGATAACTAAATTGAAATTTGTATGAATTTTTTAGTGTCCATGTGGTATTTGGGGAAGTACTCTCCGGCCAGGAAGTAGTTGCACACATCGAGGGTCTACCAGTAGATCGGATGTCTCGTCCTTTACAAGATGCCAAAATCGTCAACTGTGGAGAATTGGTTTTGAAAACTAAACTAAAATGTACTTAAAATCATTATCAAATTAATTTATATATTTAGTTTAAAAAAAGTACTTGACTATGAACATTTTTACAGCAAAAAAACGAGAGAAAAAACAAAGCTCCTCAAGTTCAGATTCAGATTCTTCGGATGAGAAATCTAAGAAGCATAAGAAACACAAAAAGAGGTAAAATATTTTATTGGTAATAATTCTTGTATGTAGATTTATTTTTTCAATTCCATCTGGTTTTAATTTAGTAAAAAGAAAGAACAATCAGAAGATGGAGAGTTGAATGATTCTCAGGAAGAAGAGACTGGAGAAACTCATCCATTAGTTTCAGTTACCAAAATCGATCCAGACGAAATACCAGAAGTACCTGCAAATAAATTTTTATATCGTGCTGGTCCCACAAATAACGCTAATCAAAAAGAATTTAGACAACGTTTTGGTGGACGAGATCGGGGTAGGAATCAACGAAAGACTGGAAGGTTATTGAAAGGCAGAGGAATATTTGTAAGTATAAATACAATAACAATTGATAATAAAGTTTTTTTAACTTTAATTTCACAATTTAAGCCTTAATTAATTATTATCTAGCGATATCATACTCCATCTCGTAGTCGTTCACGCAGTGTAACTCCACCTCACTGGAAACAAGCTCAAAATCGAACCATAAAATTGCAAGACGTACAAAAAAATGAACGGACTAAGCAAGAAGATGATTTTAAAGATCAAATAATTCCAAAACAACGAAAATTTGTTGAAAATCCCGAAGACAATGAAGAAAATGATAAAAATAACGACGATGGTCATATCTCTGATCGAGATAAAACTAAGGAAAATAATAAATCTTTTTTGCAAGAAAATAGAGACAAAGAATATAAAAATGATAATAGACATTACAGAAATACTGAAAATAATACATATTATCAGAATCGCATGGATTTCAGACGCAGAGAAAGACGATCAATGAATCGAGATTTTCATAGATTTGGAAACAGATTTGCAGGTCGAGATTTTCGAGACTTCAATAAGCGAGGACGATCTCGTTCACGAGACCGCCGAAGATCTCGAGATCGTGATAATCGTCGTAGAAGTCGTGATCGACGCGATAGAAGAAATTATTCGCCACGTCGTAGATCATCTTACCGGTCTAGGTACGACAGACGTGACGATAAAGAATCATCTAGTTCAAAACCTCATTCATCAATTGGAAGTCAAAAAAATGAAAAAAAAAATTCATCTGATTCTGCAGCAACATTTAAAAATCGTTCACGCAGTTCTTCAAGTAGTCGTCATTCAAAAGATTAAAAAATGATAATATTTGATTGCTTAAATTTGTATATCTAATTGAAATGAAACTATTATTAGTTGACATATTTTTGGGTTTTAAGGTAAAATATTTACTTTACAACGATTAAATAACGACATAAAAGGATCATCGATGAAGTTTGAATTATAATTATTTTCAAGATAAAGACAGCTAAGGTTTAAAGAATTTTAAAAATAAATAAATCATTCATTGAAAGTAAATGAATTTGAGAATATTTTATTATTTATTTTTTCTTTCAATTAAATAGATAACATGTGTTTTCACTTTAATGTAAAAAAGATATTGTAGAGCCAATAAGCAGCATTTAATAACAATAATTATATTAATATTGAACATTCTCAACAAGATTTGACGTATCATTAAATTCATTAATAATTTTATGAAGTAATACAAATAATAATATTTTAATGATATACATAAAATTACCAGTGGTGATAAAAGATAGAAAAATAATTTCAAGCAAATTGTTTAAAACATGATTCTTTGACTATTTTTTAGTTCTACACATTTTAAGCCATTGACAATGACAAAAAAAAGTAATAATCACATATACGATTCCAAATAAATGTAATATTCTTTTTAATCTCTAGTCTATCCTTTAAAATTTTCCAATTACCAAGGATTTTGACCTGGAGGTGGTGGGGCTCCACCATAACGTGGGAATGTATTGTAGGTGTTAGCATAGTTTTGTTGAGGGTAGGGATAACTGTATGCAGCTGAAAAATGTTTAAAAAATTAATAAAAATTTCTAGCAATTACAGATTAAGTAAAATAGATCTATCAGTAGAAAAAAGCAATATTTACCTTGGTTTGGATAAGGCATTGTTGCGTACGGATTGTAAGTCGTAGGCATTGGTGGAGGAACATAAGTCGGATAAGGCGCAGCAGGAGTTGCTCCATAAGGTATAGGCATACCTCCTTGATACTGCGTTGGATAAGGCAATTGAGAGACACCCTCTTTCGGTGCTGAACTTCCTCCAGATGCTTGTTTTTTTTTTGCAAAAGTTTCAACATCAGTCGTTACAAGTTTTTAGTTTACTAAGATGGTATTTATTTTGGTACTAATTATTTACCTTCGTGATGAGCAGGAATAGGTGGAGTAGCTGCTGGACCAGTTTGACTCAAGTTTGTAGTTAAATCCTTGAGTAATTCTTCTTTTTCTGTTTTCCGAGCAAAACAAAAATCGGATATTTTGTTTTGGAAAACAACCAGTAGCTAAAAATTTTTTAAATTATTCAGTAACATTAATTTATTTTACAATTGAATCATTAAAAGTATTTCATATAACTTTTATTTTACCTGCGTAAGATCGTTGTAAAATTTAGTTCCTTCTTGCAAATTATTTTTCAATTCCTTAAATGCATCATAGGCAGCTGCCAATTTACATAATGTTGATTCTCGAGCACTACCTGAACCACTTTGTTCACGAGTAAATGCAGCATGAGCTGATTGAATTTCAGCAACTAAGCTTTCTTGACGAGCTGCACTATCACGAATTTGACTTGTCAGTGGGCCATAAATTTTTCCAATATTTTCTACCGACAAATTAGGCTCATCGATGGTTCCATCTTTAGCTAAAGCTGATAAGAATGTAGCTTTCATATCAGTTGTTGCAGATTTTAATTCACTTTCAATGACATCTCGTTCAGCTTTTAATGTTTCTACATCTTCCATTAATTTTCGTAGTTGAACAACAGCACTACTCTCTTGAACGGCTGATCCTGAAGGAATTGCTGATGTCAGTTGACCTTCATCCAAACTAAGGATTTCCATGCCTTCACGATGAGCTTCAAATTTTTCTCGAATTGTTGTATCAGCAGCAACTGCATTGTCAATAATTGTTCGATATTTTTGAGCATTATTCGTGAACTGTTCAGTCAATTTAGCACTCGATATTCTATTCCAACGTTCTTTGAACTGTTCACGCAACTGATTATCTGATTCACGTTCTTCTTTCAACATTTTTTCTGTTTCATCTAAAATATCTTTATTTCTCTGCAATAAATCAGGAAGTTCATTCATGGCTCTTTCCAAAGCTTTTATTCCTCCAGAATCTCTAACAAATTGAGCTTTTTCTAAAAGAGATTGAGGTACTTCTGTTCCACTCGTATCTTCTATAGCTGCTGGCAAATTTAAACTCGCTAAAACAGTGTTCAAAACTTGCGTCATTTCACGTAATTTAGAAATCTCAGTATTAACAAGTTCATTTCGACGGACTTCATAAGAAGATAGAGCTTGATGTACAGGAACTGGTAATAAATCTGCAAATAAATCCCTAAAGTTGGAACTCATTGGTTGGGTCATTGTTAATAGTTTGGCTACATTAGCTTTTCCAATTGGTGGAACACTTTTAATATCAGGAATTCTCTCGTGGTATATAAAATCATTATCTTTTTTTACTTCAGTCAATCGACGCTGAGCTTTATTTGCATAATCTTGAAACAAAGTTGATTTATTTGATCTCTGTTGAGCTGCTTTAAATAAATCTACAGCATACTAAAAATAAAATAATAATTCCATGAATAAGTTATAAATAAGCACTTCAGAGAAAAATAATTTTTTTTATATACATACCTCCAGTCTTGCAATTTCTTCACCGATAGCTGAATTGTTTTTGCATATCATCGATTGATATAATTCTGCCATAGCTCGATATCCAGATTGTTTGGCTGTAATCTATTGGATGAAGAAATAATGAATAATTTATATGCATATTTAATTAACTTCTTTCTTAAATTCGTATGCATCTATTTTATTTTATGACACTTACTAAAGGAACCCACTCTTTATCCCAAAATGATCGAAAGATTTCTTTTTCAAATAATTTTAAAGCATCTGCATATAATTCTTCTGCTTGAGAAGCTAATTTTGCAATTACTGCATCTTTCATTGAATCATGAATAGCTTTGTGAACGAAGATTTCCTGTGCTTGCGCTAACATTAAAGCTGATAAAGCTGCCAAAGTATCAGGACTCATGTCAGGTGTAGGTTCTTGTTGTATAGCCAGCATTACATGTCCTTTTAAGTAATTAAATATCCCTGCTGCTTGCTATAATGAGGAAAATAAATGAGTTCATCAAATTCGTGAACTGTTTTTACGTAAAACATTGAAATGTAAATGTAACAGAGATTACTTGAAATAACTTTGCAGCCAATTTTAATCCTTCATCACTATCAAGAGATTGTGAAGCAGCAACAGCACTTTGAAGTGCTGCAATATTGAATAGTACACACATTTTCTCATATGTGAGAGTGCTAATTGCTGTAACAATATAGAACAAATTGTATAAGATCTTGGATTATAAATCAAATTTCTCCATTCCAAGATTGATAGTAGATTAAAATCGTACTTAAGCTTAACTTTCCACCGAATATGGTTCTGTCAAAAGCATCTTTCCATTTAAATGGAATCTGCAATTCATGAGTAGGTATTTTTCCTTCCAAAGCACAAAGTTGGTCATAATAGCTGTAAAAATTAATAGAAAATCTCTTATCATCCTTACATAATGAATTATCAATCTGATTTGGGATGTGAGTCATGTATTTTAGTATCTTTTTTGATCATTTTCGTCATTGTTAATTCAGCAAAAACCGATTTTTTAATTGAATTGAACACTAATTCGTAAATTTAAATATCATTAGAATGATTTAAAATGAGTTTCGAACAATAGGAAGTAAGAAATCAAATCATAATTGAATGACTCATACCTGTAAATAACCTCTAATGAGCTTTCATATTTCTCGAAGGCTCGCCACAATGCATTATTACGAAGCTTGCTAAATTCATGAATAGCTTCTGTGTAATCTTTTTGATTTGATCCAGTGTTATACGTTGATTTTATGACATTTGTCAGAGGTTTAATGACATCTACGTCTGACGGTTTTTTTAGCGGCACCGAAATTAATTCAGCCATTTCGATCAACTGATTTAAACTGACTCAGTACACAAAAAGAAATAATATAGCAGAATGCGCACCAATTAATAAAATTCTGCTGTCTGTAATAAATCGCATAAAAACAACCGCAGGAATACCATGCACAGTAATTTCTATCAAGTTGCCTCCGTGTTCTATTCTATTCTATGTATTTGTACGGCACCAGCACCTAGGTGGCGCTTTACGGCCTTTGCCTCCGTGTTACTTGTAAAATGGTGAGAAAAAAGAGAATTTTCTTACAGCGCGCTCTTCTTTTCATTTAGGCGCTAATATTAAAAATTAATTATAAAAATAAATTTTCATTAATTCATTTAGAATTTGATACATTCAAATTTGAAAAGTTTTTCATTCATAACCTTATCATCTACAAAGTAAACTGATAATTCTTCTAAGATTCTTTTAAATTAATTATCCAACAATAGAAACAAACATTTTTCTTCTGATTTCTTGTCTAATGTCTGAATGTTCTTTGAAATGAAGTCCACGTGATATGAGCATGTGAAGGAACACCGAACTAATGTGTGATGCAAAACATTATGGCTTGTGGGCGTGAAGCTATTTTGAATCTTTATCGAAATTTACTACGTGAAAGCAAGAAGTGGAAGTCATACAACTATAGGTAAACAATCAATTCAAAAGAATATTTAATTAAATTGATAAGTATATTAAAATAACTTTAATTATAGAGAATATGCTCTGAGAAAAATAAGACATGAGTTTCGAAGCAACCAGACTCTGAAAGATGAAAAATCAATTGAAGAATGTTATCAAAAAGGACTTGAATCGTTAGAAGTTATCAAAAAGCAAGTGATAATTGGAAATTTATATAGTACAAGACCTTTAATTATTGAAACTGAGGGCATCGATAAAAAGAAAGCTCACACTGGTGTTCAATAGTTGTGATGGAATTATTTTATATTTATGTTTAATTTATTTAATTTCTATTATCGATAAAAGAATTTGTTTATAAATAAATTATACAATTGTTTTTTTAATGTACGAATGAAGAATTTTACTTGTGAGTAATTTTTATTTTAACCGGTGCTACATAACCTACATATGAATTGGTAAGACCCATATTGCTATGTAAATACGATAATATTATTTTGTGATGTTTTAGACAAGTTTATGTAAATTATTCAAATATGGCTTCAAAGTTATCTAATAAACAAAAAATACGATCTTTTTTAATGATATCATTTGGCGGAGCATCACTGTTCACTGGAATGTCTATATTCCAAGGGAATGAAAAATTTTACGACCAAGTAGTTATGCGATTGATAAAATCAATTGATCCGGAAATTGCACATAAAATGGCTGTAACTGCTGCCAAATGGGAAATTATTCCTAAACAAAAAACTCCCGATCCTGTAACTTTAAAACAGAATGTTTGGGGATTAGAATTTAATAATCCACTTGGAATGGCTGCTGGATTTGATAAGCAAGCAGAAGCAGTTAGAGGTCTTATAAAATCAGGTTTTGGCTTCGTGGAAATAGGTATGAAGTCTTTTCAAGTTTTATCATCATTTATTTAAATATAAATTACATTATTGTATTTCTAAATCAATAATTACTTAATATTTTCTAGGATCTGTAACACCAATTCCTCAAGTAGGAAACCCAAAGCCTAGAGTATTTCGTCTATCGGAAGACAAAGCTGTGATAAATCGTTATGGATTTAACAGTGATGGTCACGAAATTGTTCGAAGTCGAATAGCAATGTTGAAACAGGATCCAAACTTTCATGGAATTGTTGGAGTTAATCTAGGGAAAAATAAAACATCCACTGATCCAGTTAATGATTATGTTGAAGGCCTAAAAAAATTCAATGATATTGCTGATTATCTTGTTATTAATGTTTCGAGTCCTAATACAGAAGGTTTAAGAGATTTACAAGCAAAAAAACATTTAGAAGTATTATTAACTGAAGTAAATACAGTACGGAATTCAATTAATTCAAAAGTTCCATTGCTTTTGAAGTTAGCTCCTGATTTAACACAAACAGAAAAAAAAGATATTGTTGATGTAATTCAAAAAAAAAAGTGCAAAGTTGATGGATTGATCTTATCAAATACTACCATAAAACGTGAAAACTTGAAAGATCCGTATAAAAATGAAAAAGGAGGTTTGAGTGGAGCACCATTAACTGATTTATCAACATCCTTTATTGCTGATATGTTTAAACTTACTGAAGGAAAAATCCCAATAATTGGTGTAGGTGGAATTTTTTCTGGTCAAGATGCTTTTGATAAAATAAATGCTGGTGCATCTTTAATACAAATTTATACATCATATACGTATCATGGACCTCCAGTAGTTCAAAAAATAAAACGAGAACTGAATGATTTATTGGAATCCAATGGATATTCTTCGGTAGCAGATGCTGTTGGAAAAGGAAATAACTGATAAGTTATTGCAATGAATGAATATTGATAAAATAATTGTATTTTTATTTGTTACGTCTTGAAATGGAATATAATTTTATATTTAAACTAGTAATAAGATTATTGTAAAAAAAACTTTGTAGAAATAATTAAATAAATAAAAGTTTTAATTGTAGTAATTAAATTTATTATTGAAAAACAGATGAAAATAAAAACAAATTCCAAAATACCGCGCCTACATTGGCAAGTGTCGAGAAGCGCATGCGCTCGAATACTTTGCTGTGATTGGCTTATAAAGCGGCTCTGTCATATGATGAAATTGCGTGGCATCATGGGAAACGGATTGCAATTTTGCAACATGGCGAAGGTCTGAGCCGAAGTTGCGGTACTCTTGCTTGATAAAATGTCTATTTAATCATTATCTTGGCATTTTTTCACTCTTTAATACTAATTAACAGTTCAATACGTGTTTAGAAAACTACGAGACCTGGTAAAAGTGTATAAAAATGTGTTTAACAACGTGTAAACGATTAGGCAAGGTGACACCCAGCAGCTCGGTGTGGTGCATGAGCACGTATGGCAGAGACTAGAAAGCAAGATAAGAGAGCTTGGATTGCCCCGGTATCTAAGAGTTGGCCGTATTCCATCAAATCGGACGTTCGAGCTATGCTGCGGCTATCTTTCGTCGATGTTAAATGTGTGAGTGCACTGTTAATATATTGAAAAACGAACGACAGACTGTATCTTCCTTGTTTCATTTGATGCGTATTTCGGTAGTCAGCGTGCCCGACTTCTTACTTTGTCTATAATCGCTTTAGACCTGTTTCCTCAGGTTACCCCTCTGACTTGGAGCAAAAGATAACCTCAGTGGCACGCTTAAGCTTTAACCTGTGACCGGAATTCTTCTTCAAGACTCTTCGTCAAGTGTTTCCGATTTTGTTCTATGTTACTTGTTAAACATTCACTGTTTTATTCAAATTACTAATTATTTATTTATATTTATCGACACTTGCACTTTCAATTAACCAATAACTACACTACTTTGCTTTTGTGAAATAATATTTCGTAATCTTTAAATTAAATATATTTTTAAGTGACTTTCTCTAGAAAAATAGAAGCTTCATTTAACTCATAATTTACTCTAAAGTACCAAGAAGTTCTATATCCAGTTCTTTTTTTCAAGACTTGTGCTTTACCCAGTGCATGCTGAAAGCAGTCTATCGCTGGAAATAAGGTCACAGCTGTGACCAAATATTCACATTAGTCATCACTGTCATAACCAACGAATAGTTAGATGTTTTCTTTGTAAAGTAAACAATCGCAGTGATTTACATAAACTAAGTAATTTGAACTGTTTGTATTATTTTTTCATTTTCAGATATGCATCGTATGAAGAATAAAATTGTGATCTCATCACGCTTACCAATATAAAGACGCGTGGCATGAATTTTTAATAGACTGCCTCGCAGCTAACAAATGGTTTCCTGACATGATGGAAAGCAAGCTATATGTGAAAAATGAGCCGGGACTTGAGGGGCAATCACTTGCAAACTCGCAGGCGAATCAGCTGGGAGCAGATGACACTGGTGGAGGTGCAAGAGTATGTTTTGTCTGTGGTACAATAGGTCATAGCGATCAGTATTGGTTACGAGTTAAACCATTACCTGGTAGTGCTCCCAGCGAACCTTACTTTCCATTTTTGGAATCACATGAGCCACCTGCTGGCTATCGGGGAGAAGGAGCCCGAAGTGGTGCTGTTAAAGCTTGTAGTTTGTGCTATGCATTGCTGCTTCAACAATGGGAGAGTTACGAACGTGATGCAAGGCCACACAGTCAAAGAATTTATTGGTTAAAAAGATGTGATGGAGGTCCATTCACTGGAGCCGAGATGGCTCTTCAGGGTGAATATGCTGCTCAAGTTCTCGGTTTAACTAGTGATCAATCTCTGCAAAGACCGGAGCACCGTCCAGTAGGTATGTCTCCAAGACTTCCACCCAATTCACCTTCACCACGAGTCACTGAACAAACAAGACCACCTTCAAATTCAATTGAACTGCCGAGACCGCATTCAAACACGGCCGAAACTGCCAGACATATAGAACAAGTACGACTCACTATGGAATCTCCACATCAGCGATTACAATCACCACATCAACGACTTCAGAGTCCACGTCAACCTCTAGAAGAGCCTCGTGTGTCTAATGAAGCAGCTCTAGACTTACGACACGCTCCAAGAAGTTCGCCAGCTCCCCAACCTCCCTTACAATCCCAACCTCAAGGTAATTTACGTTATTTAATTATCAAGAAATTCGTAATGAACGCCAGTACACATTTTTGGAACTTGCGTTCGATATATTAATGAATCTATATTTAGATAATAGTAAAAATAATATATGTCAGTTTATTGACCTTTTGTACTGACGAGACATATGTACAATCAGTGACAGACGTGTATAAAATATTTCTAATTATTGAATTGACCTGTTGGAGTTTAATTGGATCTTTATCCGTAAGGTCAGCTGGTCAACTTGAGTGCAGATTCATTTCTGGTTACAAAATTATTTGTTTGAGATATGTAGAGTTGGAGAAGAAACCTGTCAAATATAAATGTCACCAACGTCTACACACTTATTTTAAGTTGAAGATAAGCAGTAAATTTTCATGACATTCTTCTGTGAAAAAACATTTCTTATGAGTCATACAACTGTCAAAGGAAAATATACCAATTTTATGTGGATTATGTAATTTTTTCAAACCAAGTGGTGTGCAAAATGATTGACAGCTGAAATATTTCACAATGACTTTTATTTATTTCATGATGGAAAATAGATTTTATAAGTATACGGTATATAGAGTACCGAGGTAAATCCGTAAAATTGTGTCATTAGCTACAACTTCGTATTAAATGGATTATCAACATCATTTTTTAACTTGGTATAATGATATAAACAATCAAATCTAATATTATTTACATTGGCCTCCGCACTTTCCGCCGGCAAATGTCAGCGATCGTAAGTAAAGGTCAACAGTTTAGCTGATAAAATAGTGGGAATCATTCGAGGGTCAATTCAATAAATACGACAACATGACATTATTATATCTCTAGTTTTGATATTGAAAATTCTTGTATAAACACTTCTCTTTGTTACTTTTTCTGTCGATAAACTAGGCCACGCACATTCTAACTTTAAACTAAAATATTTGACTGCAGTCATTGAATGCAGAATACTTTAGTAAAAAGTTTGAAAATTACTATTTATTTTTGTTATTATTACATCTAAGATTACTTATAGTAGTTTAAACCTACTTTCAATAAAAACTTACTCAATTTTTGATTTCTTTTGCAGGAGTTTACAGTGGAGGATCATCTTCAAGTGCTGGTACAGATATCTTAGATCTGTCTATGCCAGATAAAAATTCTATGACTGAAGTTTGTTATGTATGTGGAGATGAATTTAAAAAAGGATCACTCAGTCATATAGCAGCTAAACCACTGCCAACACCACCTCATCCTTCAAGTAGCCCACCTCCATTTTTTCCTTCTCTTATGCTACATCCAAGACCGAGTAAAAGTCGGCCAATGGACAGTGCTGGTCGTGTTCAGGTGAAAAAAAAATCCAAAAATTCAATTATATAAGAGTCTTTACAAGTCTTAATATATTAATGACAAATATAAATGTTTCGTAGGCTTGTACCGCGTGCCAAAATCATCTTTTACTTCAATGGAAAGCATATAAACGACAAGGAGTGCCACATGGAGATCGCAATTATACTTTAAGGAAACGTCAAGCCCCAGCTGTAGATCCAACTACATTTATTTGTTATACTTGTGCACTAGAATATCCCTCATCCAGTATTAGATTGCTCTACTGTTGCCCTAACCCAGAGAAAGAAGCATACTTTCCTTTTATTTGTTCTTTACGACCGCCTCCCGGAGCTAGTCCTATAAGTCCTCAGGGGATGGTGCAAGTTTGCTCCATCTGTTATAAAGCCATACCGCAAAAGCAACAAGTTTTTGGTGGTGAAAATAGTGAGATTCAACAGACTGGTGGACAACAGAGTGGAGAATTTCGTCAACAGGGTAAGTAAATAAATTAGTTTTTATTTAATTAATTTTTTCATTACAACAATTAGCAAGAAAGTTATCTAATGAAAATGTCTAAATATTTACAGGCCCTTCACCAAGACCTGTTGTTGCTAAATCTCCAGCAAATTCAGCTGGTAGTGATATCCGTTTTAAACCGTATGATTTAAATAAAACACCGAGTGTAGGAAGTAATAAACCACGTAGTGCTAGTGTTAAACTTCCAAGTTCAACTCAGAGAAATGTACCAAGTGGTGCGCCTACGGAAAATGGTAATGTAACACTCGGTCAAAATTACAGGTGCTATATATGTGAGCGACTGTATCCACGTGCCCAAATGGAGTGGTAAGTTACAAACAATGTGATAATATATCCAAGATAGAATATACCAGCTGTTGTAACTATTCAATACAAACTAATAATCACAATATTTCGTTCTTAGGTTATCTACCAGTCCCGAAGGTATGAATTCTCATGCGATGCATTTTCCTTGTTTGAGAGGGATGGCACGTACTTCAGAAAACGCCTGCATGGATAGTCATGGTAGAGTTTTGGCATGCAGTCACTGTGTTGATCATTTAGCCCAACAGTGGGAAAGTATGGATGCCGAGCGTGTTCCTCTTGAACGAAGAAGGTATAAAATTATAATAATCATTTTTAATCAATATAATTATAAATTTTAATGATTTATTATTTATTATTTTTTTAAAAGTGAATAATTATTTGAAATTAATTAATTAAAATAAAATATTTACAGATATGATATACCTAGTCCACATCCTAATGGTGATGTCAATCGTACTGCTGCTACACCACCAAGTTCAAATTCTGATCGAACGTATGTTAGTAACCCCGGAACATCAAGCAGTTCTATTTACTGTTTCTTGTGTGGTCTTCATAGTGACTTGACATTAGCACGGGTATTATATAGTCGTCCACAAGGGCGTAATGCTCCTTTTTTCCCTGAATTACTTCGCCATCAATCGCCTCAAAATGCTGAACAACTTCGTGAAGATGGTTCTGCTCTTGTTTGCACCTTTTGTTATCATACCTTACTGGCTCAGTGGCGAAGATATGAATCTTTGCCTGCTGGACAACAAGTTAATGCTCCAGAAAGACAGTATAATACCCACGATTATTGGTGTTATGTATGTGGTATTACGACATATCGTAGGAGAGTACGAGCACTTCCTGTTAAAGATTTCCCATTCTTGAGGTATCATCGTCAACCGGAAAAAAGTTTGTTATTAGAAAATGGTGATTTTGCTGTAGTTTGCTTAGACTGTTATGAAACTCTGCGTACACAGAGTTTAGAATATGAAAGATGGGGTCTTCCTGTTGAAAAGAGAGAGTATAACTGGATTGTACAACCACCTCCTCCGGAAGATAGTCCGGATGCTTCTATAGCTAGATTGCCTTCTGGAGAACGTTCTGAAAAAGTAGTAAGTCGATTTTAATTTCTTAAATCAGATGATAAAATCAAATTCATTCAATCTCTTTTTTTCAATAATTTTATTAATTCAGGTTCCGCCAACATTGACTGTGAGACCTGCACGTAAAAACTGTTCACCAAAAGCTCCGGAAAAGAAACTAACGCCCAAGTTACCAGAAAAGGAACAACCAGGCAAGTAAAATGATTGAACAAATTATTCTTTTCATATCTAAAATTTCCAGATTTCCATTTACAAGTTATAATTGAATATTCATTTGCTTTTTCGTGTTAGCAGATAACATGAGTATCTTAGTCTCTATTATTTAGATTGAATAATCTTGATTATACTCAAAATTTGCAGTTTTCAAATTAAAAAACGTGACAAGGGGAAAGAAAGTGTACTTTACACACTCCTTTTCATCCTTCCACACTTATCAACAATACCGTAGCTTTTCTTTAGTTGCAGTAAAGTAGAAAAAATTTTTGAGATACCAATATTTGTTCAAGTTATCTTGTAATATTTTAATGTTATCAACAACGTACAGACTGGTTACCCTTCAGGACCATTTTGACCCAAGCGAATATTCTATGATCCGCTGGGAATCAAGCTCCTTTTCTCTGATATACAAATGATAAACTCTTGTAGCTTTTGATAATCCTTAACCCGAGAGTTCAAAAGATAATTACCATTATTTAGTTGTTAAACTCTACACTTTATCGACAGTGTGATTTAATCGTTTTCTCCTTTATCTGGGCAATCGATTGTCGGACGTGGTTGAATAAGGAAATAAGATTGATAGATTGGAAGCAAGAGGAGGTGACTAGGGTAAAGAGACTAAATGCCCGCAACGTGACACCGCACTGCGCCCGCACTTAGCAACCCAGCCGACACCTAAATGCGAATTACGAAGGGAAGTTCTCGTCAACTCATCCCACAGCTTGTTGAGCTCAACCAAAGCACGAAGTGTACGTCCACTCTCCCTACACCGCGACCCTCTTTATCCCTCTCACATTACGACCACGAGGGGAAAAGGTCTAGTCGTTTCTGCCCTTGGCAATCGATATCACCGTCGGATATTGAAGGTTCACCGCTCGTTTTTTTCACCCTCTCACCATTTCATATTTATAACAGAAGGCTCTGGCTTTCATTTTTATTTTTTGTTAATTTTTTTTTTTTCAATTTTACCTTTGCTGTCGTTAATTTCATGGATTGTTTTGAAACATTCAATACCCTCTAGATATGAACAGTGAAATGCGGATTCTTTCATTACAATATGTATGGAAGGAAAAAATTAATAGTGAGTATTAGTTGACGTCATGGAAAGCAAGGATACCAGGAGAGCAAGAGTTGAGTGTGAAAGAAGGAAAGGGGTCGATGATGGTAGAGAGTGCGCTTGGAGGGGTTGATGCGGGCAATTCAAGTTAAAGGGGGGAACTTGGCTGTCGCTGGTACTAGGCATTGATTTTGCGCGACAGACAGCTACTGTTGGACTTCCTGTCTCTTCTTTTATATGCCGCATATGTTTCACCTTTTATCTAATGGAACATCTTGTATTTTAACGTTAATATACATATTATCAAAAATGTAAATATACCACACTATTTCACTTGATTAACAATTATTATTCTGTAGATATCAAACATTGCGTTCAATAGTCAATATTTTATGTTATTTTACGGTTCACTTGGGTCAAAAGGGTAATTCCAAGCGGATGAAAAAGAGATGAGGGTGTGTTTTATTGCTGGAATCAAATGAGACTCGCGGGAGAGCAAATGGGGAAAAAAAAGAAATAGAGGTTTAACTGAGAATAGAAGTCAACCAGGATCGAGAGGGGACTGGCTGATTGGTGGGTGTGTATGTCGTGTTTCAGCGCCAGATGTTAGCTGGCATGTGAGAGGATGGTTATTTAGCGGAAACAAGCCAAAAAGTGCTAGGGTAACGCTTCAAAACTCGTCAGCTGCATTATCGAACTTTCTCTTGTTTGATTAGATTTATAGAAAAAAAATCATATTGGATTATATTTTACCAATAAATATCACAAGATTATCAGGAAAACAAAAAGGTGATGAGCTGACGATAAATGGCAAGTGACAAGAAGCATACTTTAGTTGTAGATATCTATTTGTTGCGCAAGCGTTTAGTCAACGTTGTATGAGCTTTGGTGCTATCATAAATATTATTGTTATTGAGATAGGTATTGATTTAATGGTGTTTACTTCCTCCTTCTGATAACTTTATGATCTCCATTTTTATTGAAAATTTAAATGCTCTTGTATCAGACAATCTTTATGGTTTAAAAAATGGTTATGAGTGAAATAAGTAAATAAAATTTAATGTTGAATGGATTGCAAACCTGTGACTGTTTGTGTTAAAAACAAGCATCTATACTAACCAACTTCATCACTTTGATTCCCCACTACTTTGAGTACTCTGTATGCAGCACGCGCAACCCTGGCGCATGCGTTTTGAACCTTTCCCCTTCCAAGAAAGCCATGAAACCCTCGTCTACCATCAGCAAGGAGACTCGAAAGCTTCGCAGTCTCGCGCCGCGATTCACCCTTTCGCGCGCGATGTCACTCTTTTATGCTATTTACACCATATTTTTGTGTATTTAACATCTATTCTCCATTTTATATACATTATTGACCTTTTGTTTAAGTTCTGTGTAAAGTCAATTACTCATAGTGTCAATTTGTATAATTGTTCCTTTTTATTAATAGTGTTTGATGTATGTATAAGACAGAAATGCCGTTGTTTGATGATTGGAGGTTTATGTTAGTGGTATCCGTGATGGCTGGCTAAAAGAGTAATCGACCTCTTCAACCATTCGTGTCGTTCGTTCTTCGATTCCTAGTGTCTGTGAAAAGAAAAAAGTTGCTATGACTATTCAATTATTCAATATGTTCAGTTTAATTTTATGATAGTTTATTCGATTATCGGAATGGTGATCAAAAAAGTGAAATATATATTTAATAAATCGATCAATAAATACTCCGATTTATTAACACGATTATAAAATAGTGATTAATTGGTGTTTCAAAATATAAAAATGGATTTTCGTGCACCTCATCCACTTGTTCATCCATTACATACCGGGCATCCTTATTATTATTCAGGTATTGTTGATATAAAATTGTTTGTTAATTAAATTTTTTTTTTCACAACTGTATAAATATAATTTAAAAGTTATTTTCAAAAGTTATAGTTGTTAAAAATATATCCAATGTATATGAATAATTAATTTAATTAATATCAAAACTTTTGGATATAATAAAAAAAAAAAATAAATCCATTTTAATTCATCATGAGAGTGAATATAAAAAATTAATGGAACCTCCAAGAAGTAATTTTGTTAATTCAAGCAAACGCACATTCATCAATCGTCATATGCCAAGACTACAAAAGTCTATTCGTCAGCGCGTTCAACAAGTGTGCGAACTCTGATAAACAGTAAATGTCATTACTCATCAAGTCATCAATTATTACTGTACATTTATTCATTAATTTATTGCCTTAACAGTCTTTTGCTAATTACATCTAACATTCATCTTAATTCAGATACCACTGTTTACATCTAACCAAGTTAGAAAACCAAAAAAAAGAAAAAATGAAAATTCATTGACATCATTAGATATTGAATGAAAAATTTGGTATAATTTTTATCATGAAATTTATTTGAATTTGCTCTTTTATTTATTTCTATGGTCAGTTGAGTATTTATAGATGTACTTGACTTTTATTTTTTATCAAGATAATAATTAGTTAATAAATAAATACAATAGTCTCTATATGTGGTCTTCTATAAAATGGTCGAGTGAGTAATGATCATTAAATCATTAGAGAATTACCTTTTCTTGGATTCTTCTAAGGTTTTTGTCTCATCAAGAGAAAATAGTTTGTACAGTATGTTGTTTTGTTCATCCTCCCTTTTCTCACTTGGTTTTTCATCAAACTCATACAAACACTTAGGACATCTCTTGAATTGTTATCTATACCTTGAAGATATTCTTTTTAGCTTTAGAGATTTGCGATCTCTTTAGATATACTCTAGATACATGATGTACATTATACAAGACATCAATCTCAATTTTCTTTTCTTTCCCTTTGATTCCTCACTTCTTGGCGCAAATTACTTCCTGAGAAAAAGATTAAGTATACGTAAATTTCTCAAAGGTTCTGACAAGGCGCGGGAAAGAGCATGAATTAGTTATGACCGTCGGGAGCCGGTGAAAGCTAACCTCTCTTCCCCTCAATTTCGATCAATAGCCCAACAGTGGGTTTTATAGTCCCTCCACCACTTCCTTTAGTCTTCATGTCTATATTTCCCCTTATATTTTCTCTTATCCTCTATGTGTTTGTGTGTGATCTCCAATGAAACTCGAGGGTCAAAGCCGCATTGGTTGAACGTCCAAGTGTCGTCTTGAGGGTTGTTCTGTCACTAGTTTTTCTCCAACTTGATCCTCGAATAAATCAAGCCTTTACATAGTTTACTTCTTGAAATAACCGTCGGCAAATAAAAAAAAAAATATCAAACCAATTCGAAGAAAAGACAATAAATTAGTTATCACTGGCATTGTTTACATTCTAGTTTTTTGTTTCTGACAACCAGCTAAATCTTTTCTTCTTCTTCTTCTTCTTCTTCTTCTTCAGATAATCAATGAGATTTATGTTGATTATTTTTACATTTATTCTTATAAATTAATAGTAATAATAGAATATTTTATTTTTAATTTAAAGTTATAATAAAATGAATCGATAATTAATTGTAACATAAAGATTGACTTAAATCTTATCATGGTGTCAGAGAATCCATTAAAAACATTTATCTGTTTCATGCACGACGCACAATTTACAACTAATTCACATAACAATTGGAGTCACGCGAGGTGGGTGGTAGTTTCTGTATCTCTCTTATGTCGTGCATTTGTCATCGAATCAACACTAACAACATTCATATACCTTTCAATTACTCTGATAAATGTTGACGAGAATCGATGCTTAATTATTTCATTAAAATATTATAAACTTGAAGCTCCATTATGTACATGAATATCAGTATGGTCTTTTCATTAATTCCTTTCTCTTTCTGTCTTTAGTACGTTAAAGCACCTCTAAATGAGCATGCGCGTACAATTGAACGGGGGGAGTTTATCGAGCGTAGAATTCTTTTCGTGATAAATTGCGCGTCGTTAGCCAAGCGAAGGCCAAAGTCCTCTTCTTCGAGATCGACGACTGCATAAACGCATATCGTTGTCGAGTGTAGTGTCAAGATATTGGAGAGCTTGTAAGAAATGGAGATTGATGAATAAATGAATTGTAAAATAAGACAAAAGTAAAAATGGATGAGAGTTAGGAATCATCGAGTGATATGATATTAATTAGGTAGCAAGTAGATAATGCTTACGAGTATCGAGTGTGCGGTAATAAATGAGAGATGAAGCGAGTTTGTTTTCCAACAGGCAATTGGCTGTCGTCTTTTGACATGGTTGGCACCAGTTGGCACTCGTTGACCCGGCGTACGCCGGCGTTGTCATGACTCCGAGTCATCGGCTTACGAGCTTGTTAAAGGGAACCTGGCCCCTTGGACTTACTTCACTCGTTGTCTTCTCTTCTCTCTTAACTTGTCGACGTATTCTCACTCTATCGGCATTTCTCTGGGGCGGCTCCGCGCTTGTGCGCACGCACAACCCGAGATGGAAGCTTGATCACACTCTCTTGGCAATCTTACACAAAAGATGACTATACACCAAGGAGACTCACTAGACGTTGGGGTATATATTTAATTGATTCGGGCCACACAATGTCATGACCCTATCACAGAATAAATACTTCCATCTATTTTTCAACTTTGCCACCTTTCCATTTTTAGGTCTTTGATGGCATCATCTGAATGATCATTTCAGTTGAATCAATTTTGTAATTAAATGCCAAGTTATAGGTTCAATGGTTGGATTATTAGTTAACAGGGGAAATAAAAATGAAATCCACTGAATGATTGTCCGATCTACGATTTCACGGGACGCCGACGACTTTGTCATGGGCGAGAGGGTGAATCCCGTCGCTATGGAAACGTCTCTGTCGTGGAAAGAGACCTCGCCCTCCTTTACTCATTCTCTACTATATATCTATAGTCCCGTACAAGACAAAGTCGAAGAAGCTTTTATTCTCAAGTACGATATCAAGTACGAGTCAAGCGGAAATTTCATGTCAGAGAAAATAAATTTCCTCGATCTTGTACATCAAAGCTTCTTGACTCATTTACCCGTCACGTCCCCGGGATATATCTCTTGAGATGTCAATTTTACTATCGATATTCCTGGAATTGATTTTCAATTACTGTCAACTTACTTTTATACCATCATCTACGTCACAAATATTCATATAATTATTTTTTATTTTCATTTCTTACAAATACCAACAAAATTCCCCTCTCTCTCTCTCTCTAACTCTGGAGCTTGCTAGTTCAAGTTAGTTCCGGTAAACTCCTGGACGGAAATTAAAGTCCTCAGGAACTAAACTTTCGTAATGAAAGCATTGCCAAGTGTTTACTCGGCACATTTACTCAGAGTCAAGCGTACTACGAATCCAGTGGGATGTCGAGAACAGAGCAGACTATTCTCTCGTTTAACTTTGTGGTTACAAAAGAGGAAACTTTTTTTCTCTTGCCTCGCTTATTCAGTGTGCAGCTTTCCTCGGGCGATTAATCCGTCACGGAAAATAATCATGGAGAATTTCCGACCATGAGAGATAATAAAAGATGAGAAAATATACGACAAATCACTACATTCTTTTGGTGTAGTTGAAAAATTATTTGAGTTTGAGGGTGCTCGTAAAAGTGGACGTTATTTTTCTCTGACTGGGCCATTCCGGTCACCGGAAACTGGTGACTACAATCCCCTTCTTGAACTTCACCTCATGTTTTTTATAGCTATATTCTAAGATAAAGACAATAGCAGTTGACAGTTTTACTATTTTCTGTTCCATTATTATTTATTATTTCTATCATTTTTTTTTTTATTATCATCCCTTACATTCATCTAATTTATTAAAAAGCTTCTCTTACACTTTTATTATCTTCTTTTTTATATCAAACATAAATTATTATTTTACCTCTTTATATATCTTCAATTAATTCATCTTTAAATGCATTTTTTTTAATTAAACCCAAGAATTATTGGTATAGTTTTCATATTAACAAACTCTTGCTGATGCTTTTTATAGTGTTCGTCAATCCGATCTTACCTTAATGAAATCACGAACAAGCGAAATAAGATTTGATAAAAGAAAAAAAAAAGGAATTATCTTTATTACAATAGCAATGCTCGACCCTTGGGACAAATTACCCGTCGATCGGATAATTGCATTTTCTCCTCAATCCTCACTTTTTCCAAGCGATGAACTGAACGTGGACGAAAAGCACCCCCGGGAAATAGTAGAACGACTAGCGTTCTCTATGTATATTCCCCAGTGGAGTTATATAGCCTGGTATATTTTCGCGCGGTCGATGCAGCCACATCGTGGGGATAATTGAATATACACAGCCCTTGTATATGGTGTAGTGGACGCACTTTAGCCCTCAGGCTTTACTTTCACAAGCTTTTTCATGTCCATCGCTTTGTCCTATGCTTCTGCATTGACGCCGAGAAATTAATGAATGCAGATGTTTGTGTGGAGTATCTAGAACACTCTCTTCAATGCTAAATTTTATTTTATATACTTGGATAGCAGTTTTTTTTTATCAAAAAATTGATTTTTTGTTTTTTACGTTTTGGTGTTATCTACACAAAGTTACCAATACTTTTATTAACAGAATAGTTTTTTTTTTTTTTGTTGAAGTAAATATCATTAATGGAACTCAATCTTTTGATATTCAAACTGGTTTCGTGACTAAATATCCATGAAATAATACCCAGACACAAATAATTTACGTATAAAAATTCGATACTGAACGATGGAAAATAAACAGAAAATATGATATTAAAATTGGGAAAATTTTCATGCTAGAATTTGATGAATTCAAATCAAGTGAATATTATTTTTCAAAAGTTTATTTTATTACGTTAATTTTAAAAATAATTTAAACTTATAGAATAATTATCTTAAATTGAAAATGATGCTGATATTTTTAATGTGAAAATTTTAATAATAATCTACATGAAATAATATGAATGTAAAACAAGTATAGTTTTAATACGAATTCAATCAATGAATCAGGACTGCATTATCGTAGAAATTAATTAGCAATTTATCTCATTAATTATTCTCAATTCGTATCTAAATGGAAATTAAACCAGACATCATTCAGATAAATGTCAGTGTATCTCCGGCAAATTAAATATTCAGGATGTACATGATGTTCTATACATATTACATTTAATCTTGTATATTTACCATTTAAATACTCGTGAGAAAATATCATCTGACATTAATATTAAAAATCTACTGACATAAGATTATTTATCTGAAATAAGATCTACATCCTGGTTTTCTTCTATACTAGTTGAAAAAAAATCACTAAACTATCTTTTCATGTGTCGAGATATTACACAAAGTGTGGAAGCTCATAAAAAAAAGTGTGGGTGTAAAAACAGAGTTAGAAGTAATCCGGAGTTGGTGCAAACGAGTGGGGTGTCAGCGAGATGGTCGAAAAGAGTAGAACAGTTTGCGCCTTCCTCTGTCTATTTCTCTCTTGATCGTGACGCAGTGCTGCCATGGTAACCGACTGTAAGCCGCTTAAAATCCACCCTTCGAATCAGCCCCTCTAGTGAATGCAGTCACTCCTTATATTCGAGTAGGAAGGAGTCATCTTCCCTTCGAGAATCTTTTATCTTTTGTGGTTAACTCTATGTCTTTCTGTCTTCTCGATATTCTTCTCTCTTTTCTTACCTTATTACGGTAACTTTCTTGCATTCTTTTTCTCTTAATTTTATTCATCTAATTGGTTTTCATTTACTGCATATCTTTATTTAAATACAACATGGATTTTTAATCCAGTAAATATTTCTCAATGAAAAGAAATGATTTTTTTCTTAGGCAAGTTTTTTTAACATAAATTTTTTATATTGTTTGTGACAGGTCTTCAACCAGCGAGTACAAAAGCACAGACGAGCACAGTTGGTAAATCCCACAGACCAAGTTCTGGTGTATTACCTCAAGGACATACTCCAGGTCCTGGGCCAGGTCCAGGTGGTCAACAGAATAGTAGAAGTTTTGCTGCAGCTTTAAGAAACCTCGCCAAGCAGGCAGGACCGGCTCCTCAGGATGAGGAACCAAGAGCAAGTCCAAAGAATCGAGCGCCACCACCTCTTGTTCGAGGACCCTCTCCTGCTAAGGTTCGTTCTTTTTTAAGTCCCATGACCTTTAGAACATGACCTTTGATACTCCATCAGAACCAAAAGAACTGGAATACACTCGTACACATGTCCCAGCTGTTGATACCAGTTTTTTATTCCTGTTTCGTTTTTCAACTTGCCTACTTTCATAGTAACAGTCTCCCTACGTTAACAATATTAAGCTTTAGATCTGGTTTTTGACAAGTGTCAAAGGTCATTTGAACATTAAATGTGCAAAAACATGCAGAAAATTTTTTTTTGCACTCTACAAATGATTAATATACATTCAACTTTAATCTTTCTAACTGAAAATAACGTGTTTTTTCTTTTTCAATAGGAACGGTCTGCTCATGAACGTCGACCGGAGGAAATATCATCAATGTACACAACAGCAAGACCAGCAGAGAATAGCAAGCATAGTGTAACTGCTGCAGCTTCCGAATTACTTGCTCGTTCCGGTTTTCAGCCGTATCGGCCGGAACATCATCCAACACAGCCACCTCCGGCATTTACTCTTGATCCTGCAGCTTATAGTCCTTATCATCATGGTCTCTATCCACCACCTCATTTTCAACACGCTTATAGGTACAATTAAAAAAAAACATTGACTAGCATTCAAACTCCATTGAATAGCAAAAAAAAAGATTATTCCATCGATTAATATTTGTAATTAACTTGATTCAGGTTAGAGGAACAATTGTATTTGGAAAGAGTGGGTATGTTGAGGCCTCCATTATTTCCAGGACTACCCTCTTATCCTCTTTATGGATTAAGATATAGTCCTGACATGTTACCACCAGCTTCACTTGGTCTTATGTCTCCTGTAATGCATGAAAGGTAAATAAAATGAAATAATTCAAGTAATGATGTTTAATTAATGAAGAACACTCTAAATAGTAAATTTTATTTTTACTGGTAATTTGTTTAGGTTGAAATTAGAAGAAGAACATAGACTGAGACAAGCTAGAGAGCAGGCTGCTCTACGAGAGGAGGAAGAGAGGAGAAGAGCAGCACGTAATTCAGCTTCCACTGCACCTGTTCCAGCACCAGCTCCAGCGTCTGCGGATACTGCAGGTGAGCGAGTCGCTCCACCCCCTACTGCCTTCCATTGAAAACAGAACCGTCGTGTATTATATCTAAGGTTTACCAGATCGTCCACGTAAATAGTCTGTTTTCTACGTGATGAATTTAGGTATTTTTTATTTTATAGCAGGCTGTTTTTATTTACTTCATGTCTTCTTCTACTTCTTCTCTGGTAAACCTTACACGTTACCATTAGTAAGTGATAGTTTACACGGCGATTAGTTTTATAGAATAAATCGCTGTATGATTTTATAATACAGAGAAAGATAAAAATAGTAGGAAAAAAATAATTAAAATTATTAATTATGATACAAAATTACGAAAAGGGAAATTATAAATGAGATAAAATATTTATCGTGAAAAATGTGCGATATAATTGTTCTCTCAAATTTTCGTCCAATGTTGTATTAGTATTCTTTTTTTATTAATTTTAAAATGCGGTAAGTGCAGTATTTGCACCCCGTTATAATTAAACGAATGGTCGATAATTACATTCGTTCGTTTAAATTAGTTAATTGATTTCATTTTAATAACGATTTTTATTGTTTTATTCTTTTTATTTGTTTCCGTTTGTTCTTTATCCTCCGTAAGAACCAATGCCAAGCGATCGTTTTCTCATGGCCAAGTTTTGTTACCCTTAATAATGTAATCAGACTGAATTCACGTGAAAATAATAAAGTTTAAAAAAAAAATAAGTGATAAATTGAAGTCAAGTACTGCAACACTTATCGGCGTTTTCGTGTTGAAATTGATTATAGTTAACGGATAAATAAAGTAAAGAAAAAAGAATAAAATTATATGGAATTATAAAATAATAAAAACGTGTACTTGACTGTAAAAAAAAGAAAATGAAAAAGTTTGAAAAAAAAAATAACATACTACGCTTCTACTTTTAATGTAGCGATAATGAAAGTTATAGTCATAGTTAATCGTTTCTTATAAAGCTAGGTTTAACATTTTTTAGATAAGCACTTAATGAGGATCGAGATAATAGCGGCGTCGTCTCATCCAGTAACTTTTTAATACAAATTACAATTTAAAAAAAATAAGAATATTGAATATAAAAATTTCTTTACAAGAAAAAAAAATTACACGCGAAAATAATTTCATATTATCTTTAAATAGACAAAATACAATGCCGAGGCTTGTGGCCATGGATTATTAACGAAAAAAAAATATTAAAGAAAAAGTTAATTGATAAATCAATTAATAAGAAAATAAATAAATAAACTGCTCTGTAAGACAAAAGGGTGTTTTTCACCATTTTCTAGTGCCACTTTAGTAATAGATCCGTTAATTTTGAGGCACGAGTTAGCAAATCTTGACTGGATTAACTCGAAGGCTGACTTAAATATAACTCCATTTAATGACTGTATCACGAGATAGAAAAAAAAAGGAATAATAAGAAATAAATACAAGGATAATTTAATAATTAAGTTGGATTATCCTGATATTTATTTCAAAATTATGAGAAATAAAAACAGATAAACATTTTTGATGAGAAGCCAATTTTGTAGCCTGACTTTGTTCAAATGAGAATAAAAGCAGGTATAAAAACAAAAAAAATACGTAAACTTTTGTAATTAATTACATTTCAACGGCGCGACTTGAACATGAGAGTGCACGGAACCTAGTTATCTGAGTTCTTAGGGTGTTAATTTTAAAAATGTCTTTTTATATGTCAAAATTATGTGTAAATTGATATTGAAATATAAATTTACGGAATGAATGAATTGATAAAGTTTAGTCAAACTTTAGATAAAATAATAAATTAAAGTATTAAATAATTGATTATAATGAGTAAGTGATTAAAAAGTAGTTTTAATCTTGATAAATGGGTTTTTCATCGATTGCTAGGTCTCAGCACTCTTGCGTTAGTTCCCGTAACTGTTTTAGAAAGTCATGATCAATTTACTGGACTTGGAAGTCATTTTTCTCAGTCGCTGCTATAAAATAAAATGAAATACTGTTTTTTCTATTACACTGACTGAAGCCACTAATGTAAATAACTGTCACACATTACACATTCATTTGTCAAAATTATGCCATTTTTATATAATTTATTATGTACAACATGTATATTTGGACTATAATTGAAAATAAACAAATAATTTCAAAAAAGAGTTCAAAATTGATATAATTGATTTGGAATTATTGACCCTCAAGTCGTTTTCTGAAACAGTTTTGGGGAAGATTCCGATTCTCATATTGACAAAACAATGCAGTGATTGCTTATACAATCACTGTATAATCATTTTATTCGACTTTCAATTCGATATTATTAATACCATTTACCAAAACCTAGTATTCAATGAGACTGCGATCGCTTCGGTATTTTTTCCATGTTTATTTATTGTCTATTTATTTTTTTTTTTTATTAATTTACTTATTTTTAAATTATTATATCAATCATTAGATGCTTATTGTAATAATGTTATATTATATGGTTATATATGACAGAAATCATCCCCAATACTTGATAGTTATTATATTGAATAAATTATATAAAGTAATTTAAGTTGAAGTAAGTGGAGTAATTTATGATTGGTATGTAAGGAGTAAGGTAAGTTTATATTCATGTTGGCGATGATCCAAAAAAAGAATTCAATTTATTAAAACAATTACTAGTAGTAGAGCATTACCAAGCACTGTGTTCCGGATTTGTTCCAGCTAGGAAGCCGACCATAGCGACGCAGTTGCATAACGAGAGGGAACGAGACCGAGAACGAGAAAGACCAAGTTCGCAAAATAATGTCAATACCGACAGTGTCATCTGTAAAACAAGTCATAATCAAACAAGAAAAGAAGATCAGCAGCCAACGTTGGCTACTGAATCAAATACTGCATCTGTTTATCACCATCCAAGACTTGCTCCAACATTTTCAAATCCATCAGCGCCTCTTGTCAGTGGTTTAAACACACCTGCGATAGTTTCCGTCAGCTCGGCGTCTATAGCTCCGTCTCTTGGATCGACTCTACCACCTTTAAATCTTGGACCACCTTCAATTGCGCCACCTCCACCCCCTATTGGTCCCACTCCAATTCCTTCAATTCCATCTTTAGCGCCGGGAATCCCACCACAACCTCCTTTAAATATGCCTTTAGCTCCGATGATGGGCCTTCATTTGGCTCCTCCTCCCCCTCCTCCGCCCAATACCATTCATTCTAGTCAGCACTCGAACTCGTTATTGAGTAGCGTCAGCACATCCACAACCGTGTCATCTACTTATCCGGTATCTCACGCTCCTCCTCTTTCATCAGTTCAACAGCAGCATCAACCACTTCAACCACAGCATAATTTACCTAGTGGGTTTACTACAACTACCAATTCACTACTGGCTAGTGGAACGATGACAACCCATGCAACCGCCACATTAGCAACACCTGGTGCTGCTCCATCGGTTAATGTTAATAATGTGTCACATAGTACCAGCCATAGCTCGTCCAAAATCAAAGAAGCATCATTGCAACCAACTACTATAGTTACAACGTCTTATGCAACGTCTGTAGTTTCGTCAGCACCTGTGCCAACAACTGCAGTAACTACCTCGACTCCTACGCAACCTGCTTTTGTGCGACCTTTTGAGGACTCTTTTAGGTCTTCATCTAAACCTCCTCAAACTTGGTCAATTGTCAGTAATCATAACCCAACCATGACTAGTCAAATAAATCATCAGGAAATAGTTAAACCATCAGTCAGTACGCCAGGTACAAGTGCTTCAAATTTTCCTACAGATACTACGCCAGCAGATAGTTCAAAAACTTCTATTTACACTCACCAGCAGTTTCATTCTCACATTCCTGTGTCAAATACCTCGAGTCTATATAAACCACAGGCATTCTCAGCGTCATTGCAACAGCAACATTCACAGTCATCTGGAAAACAAACTACGCCAATTTCATTATGTTCAACGAATGGTGATACTACAAAAGTTGGACATTTTAACATTAATGGCACCAAACTATCCAACTCAATTTCTACTGATGGCCATGATACATTTGGAATTTCGCAGAAGAACGGAGTCCCACTTGATAATGGGATCAGTGTTCACGATAAATCATCGACAAGTGTCAATTACTACAACAGCGACAATAATTTTACTACAGCTACAGTCAAGCATGTCAATTCTAATCATAAAAATTCTCCTGATGTTCCAAAGGAAAATAAAATACACAATGATACTACATCAAGTGTACCGTCTAAACAAATTAATCAAACTCGACCAACATGTAATTCCTCTGATGAAAATCCAATTGTAAATGCAACAAATGAAAGTAATAAAGATCGAGCGAGTCCTGTATCAGTAAAATCAACGAGTTCAGTTAGTGGAGAAAAAAATGGAAAAATTGAACCTGTTAAAGTAACACAAGATTCATCGATTATTTCAACAACTGTAGCTGTACCATATCCACCAGGCAATTCAACCTTTCCCATCAATGACATCACTCCTAAAGATCCACTTGATGCAAGTCTTCTTCAAAGTATCAAATCCGAAGAGGTCTTGCGCACATGCCAGAATGTATCGAATGTTCTTCTTCAAATTCCAAAATACCAAGAAATATTATTGAATTTTTCTAATAATGAACTAAAAGGATATTATTGTTACACCGACAAGTGCAATAATTTGACTGAAATTTCCGTCAAGTGCGAACCACCTGTGCTCAATGTTCCTAATCCTACTAAAGCTCTTAATAAAGTAGATAATATTAATGACAAATCACGATTATCTCCTAAAAAGCCAAAGCAAATTACATCTTCTCTAGATCTCGCAGAGAAACGTCGAAAACGTAAGAGAGAACAAAATGCCAGTATTGCCTGTAGTTCAGAGTCTGAAGGTGAAGAAGAAATAAAAGATGTTGATCTATGGATCACCAAAGGACCACCAGCTAAGCTATCGTATTCTGAAGAAAAACTTTCTTTTCTTGCCATATTCGGCCTTACTACTCTCAGTATAAGAAATGGTGAGTATTTTTTTTTTTTATTCATTTCGCTATAAAAGACTTTCTAAATGATTGACTAATTGAATAATTCAAATTGACAGAAATCGAGCTAAGTAAATTGGAAAAACGCTACCGATTAAATCCAGAACCTCCAGAAGTTCCTCTTGACAATAATGAGTCTCCAGTTGAATCAATTTTACCTATTCCAAAAGAACATCCAGATGTATTGATAAATTGTTCAGATTTCATGCCTAAAGTTGGATTTCTCAGATCTATTGGACTCGATGTTATGCCACCTAATAAGAGGGATGGTAAGTTTTAGATTAAATTATTTATAAAAATGTTTTTTTTTGTAATTGAATTTTTTAAAATTGATTTAACTTAATTAATTGTTTATTCAGAAGCGGAAATTACATGGCAATACGTGTTAAGAGATCGAAAGAAGCGTAAAAGTACGAATACAGTAACAGTCTATTGTGACAGAATAGCTCAGGAATACTCTAAAAATCCTCCAGCTTCACCAAAACCACCCCAGAAAATGAGATTACTGGATAAAATAAAAGTAAAACCACCAGTTGGTCGAGCGCCTTTACTACCACCACTAATACCAAGCTTCTTTTCCCCTTATTTTTCTATACCTGGTGAAAATGGCATACGACAACCTTATAAAATAGTCAATATTCACGAGAATGATGATGATCAATTGAGTGAAAAAAATGAAAAATTAAGTTGGACTAATATTGAAGATATTATGACAGCTTACAACGAATATTCGAAAGGTAAGTTTTTCTCCTTAAAATACACTAAGGAATAGAGGTAGAAAAAATAACAAGTTGTCATGATGTAAAATTTTATTTCAGAAAAATCATTGGAGCGAAAAGTACTAACGGAACACATGTCAAAGTTAATAGCACGTGCAAACGCGTTGCGATCAGAAGCAATCCAATTGGAACGGGTTAGAAACGAATTGCTAGCTACTAAATCATCAATTGAGTCTGAAAGACGTAGTATCAGTGAACAAATCGATAGGATAAATGCACTTGCAAGGGGTTATAAAAAGAGATAACGATGCGCAACGCACAACACGGAAACTCTTTCATCTGTGATATTATCGGCGGGTTAAGGGTCGTCGAAGTGCGGATATCCACCGAAATAGTAGAAATATGTTGTATGTACTTAGCAGTTTCATATTATTAAGTTAATAAGCAGACAGTTAATTGACCAAATGTATGTACAGATTGCATATGAGTTTTTTCAATAATTATTTTTTTTTAATTTCATTGTTCTTGATGGAAAATAGATATGAATAACTTATAAGATTTATTGATAACAGACAAAAAGCACAACGATTAATTGGACAATGTTTCTCAATTAAAAACATGAATATTTCTCTATAAAAGAACAATTAAATACAAAAGAAAACAATACTAATACAGAGATATTTAAATTATAGGCTCATATCAATATTTGAACGTATGTATAAATTGTATAGTAAAGCAAAAGATGATAATTTTTTTCTATCATCAGTAAAAATGGATTTCTAATAAATTTTAAGTATTTTATAGATCCTCAGCTGACGGCTCTTATACCCAAAGTATAAATATTAATTGTAATTTGTATCATAAAGAAGGTTTTATCGCGAAAAATGATTACATACATCACGAAAAAAAAAAAAACGGTGTAACTTATTTTATTTTCATTACTGTGGGTTCTCAATTATTAAAAATAAACTGAGAATATACTGCGATATTTAACAAGAACGTCAGCGAGCTATTGCATACATACATAAAATATTATAAATAATAAAATAAACTATAATTAAGGCAATTTTGAATAACAAAATAGGCGGAGCTTGGTCATTTTATTACCAGTCAAAAAACAAAAAAAATGGTAAACAAACGACGAGGTCTAATTTTAATTATAATTTTGTATCTCGTTAGTAATAAAGAAAACTGTATATCAGTATCAATGGAAATAATTGTAAACTATTAAAGTTTATCGGCTTGGCGATAAATTGACTATAATAAGGGCATCCCGTCCTTTATTTATTTGTCCACAAACTTTACATAAGTGAGTCAAGGCCAGTTTTGATGTGCGACAAATTAAAAATAAAGTGGTCAGCTACTTAGTTTGATAATTAAACAGAGTATTATCTCTGTATTAGCTGAATAAATATAAAAAAAAAGAAAGCGAGAACAAAGGAAAATTTAAATAATAATGATAATAATAAAAAATGAAATCAAAACATTCCATCCTCGCAATTCATTGTAATCGGCTAGTTAAATCTCGCGATTAAAACGAATCGAAGGAATACAAACGGAAATTCATATAAATCATTTAATGTTTATATTTTCATGATAAAAATAGGAGAAAAATTTCATTTCTATGTCAATAAATGTAATTACTATTTAATTTTTAATTGATTGATAAAAATAACGAATTATGTGATTCTCATAATCTCGTCATTAGATTTTGTTAATTGAGTGCCTAATGATATTTTTTAGATTTGTTTGTATTATTTTTTATGTACGAATGTATCTTGAAAAGTGGAATTGAATGTGTTAGTTGGTCACGTAACAAACCAACAAACACGAGAAAACAAAAGTAAAATTTTTTGAAAAAAGAATATTGATGAGTACATTATATTTTTTTTCCTTCCCATTAGAAGATCATTTTTTTTTTTAATATATAGATATTATATACAATTATTTTAATATATTTTTTTTATCACTAATAATTCAACAAAAAATTATCAATTGAATAAATATTGCAATTTTTTCTATCCATATCACATTTCGCATGCTGTGTATGTCAATTTTAAATTCACTAGATGTAACTATTTTTGCCATCTTTTGACAATTATTAGACCTAATACTTTAAAATTGAAATAAACCAAACAATTAACTGATGTAATCAATATTTTATCAGTAAAGTCAATAGAAACAGTATATCTTAAAATTTTCACAGTTATTTTGTGCAATGATTTCAATAATTATTGCAAATTCGCGAATTTTCAGATACTTTCGCCATCGACTCACAGATGGGGTTAATGCAAAATTCTGATCCTGTAACTTGTGTATTTCGATTTGTTTATATATTCAGGAACAAGATGTGTGTAGTGTGAGGTACAAAAGCCGTAACGTAATATTTCAGTAATTACGTGATAATACAACTACTACACATAGTTTATCAACAAAGACTTTTATAATCTAATAATCTAATTATCACTTCAAATTATCATTTATTTTGTGAACGTTTATTTGGTTACTCGTATCAAGTTTATCCTATTTCTAGATGATTCTCTTCAGTGACCGTATATGTTTGCAAATAGAATATCGAGCAACTTTTCATGACATTATTGATTTTACAACAAATAGGAATTTATTTAAATTCCGATATGACAACATCAACTGTGATTAAATGACTATTATCGAGGTGAGCTTAGTCATCTTTATATTTAAACAAAAAACCCCTAACTCTATCATTATTACATAAACTTTAATAACGAATTATATCAATTAAGTGTATAATTGAATTTTTTTCTAGAACATTCTACTGTTTTTATTTATCTATTTTATTTTTAATACAATAATGGAGGATAGTGAGACGTGGTAATCTGCCCGGGTTACTTTTTTTTTTATTTCATGGAGAAAGAGACAGTGGATCGATATATAATCCAGCTATGCTGAGTTTATTTGTGTCTGTATTGGTACTGCAAACCGGCCCTCACTCACGTGCGTTTGCTAGTTTTTAATTATTATGTAGATTTAACCCTAATTTTCTACAGTATTTACAACAATTATGTCATGAAAATTATTAAAATTCTAATTCTAATCAGTGACGTTTGAATTAGACCTTTTGTTCTTTTTTTTTATGAAAAATTAATTCATTTTCAAATGCGCATCAGTATTAATTACGTCTTGTTTTAAATCCAATAAAAAACGTTTCCGTAGCAAGAAAATTGTACTTGAACTGTCTCAAGTACTAAATTTATACAAAGTAAATTTACTTTATAATCACCGTCTTGATATAATTACATATTATTAAACTTACATGTAATTTAACATGTCAATATTATGACACTATGACTTTTATCTGCCATCTTCCGATACATATCTTTATTTCACCTTAGTCAGCGGTTTTAATTTCAGTTGACTGACAGTGTGCATGAAGTCAAGACGTATTGTGACAGTGGCTAAATAGTTTTAATTATTTTGCATAAAGTATTAAAATTAGAAAATAATTTTTATACTAAACTAAATTATTTTATTAGAAATAATAAGTTTTTATAAACTAAGGTAATTGTTATTTGATAGCTATTTTATTTTTTAATGAAATTAGTTCAAATCTATTTCATAAATTTTAATTTAGTTCATTAGGGTAATGAATTACTTAAAATTTGATATTCTCACTCTCGAAAGATGATCATATAGAATTGTAATTATTTACATCATATAAGCTATTGTGAATATTTATAAATAGCTTAATTATTATACATAAGTTTATAAATAAATTTCACGCGTTTATAAATGTGATATCCATTGACACTGATTAAATAGTAACAGATATAAATATAATTCATGCAGATATCTGGTGTCATCAATGATGTAGAATAGTATGTAATTAAATCATATTGCGTCATAGATATGAGCTACAAACTTATTTCATGTGCTGTTTATGCTATAGTGTACATATAATCAATGAGTTATAGTATGTGAACAAGGTCAAATCAACATAGTATCGTTTGTGAAAGGCCGATTGTTAAGAAATTGAATAAATTAATGGAATATCTATTTGATTCTTTAATGAACTTAGTCACTCGATCATCGGTTTTTCAAAAAAAAAACAAAATCCACTTGTTTTCCTATTTGAATTCAAGTGTCATTGATGGTAGCTTTTAGTCATACTTCCTATCAATTCTTATCAGTTGCGGTTTTTAAAGAAAAAATGGTAATGAGATAATTACATACATTGTCAGAATAGGATAAATCATTACTACAAGTCATGCTCAATCATTACTTCATTGATTATCTCATTTATAATTTTTTTTCCAGTCAATGGCAGAAACGTTGTTATTCAAACAAATGCAACAATTATCGAAAATTGAAGAGGAAGAAGCAGTTTTATATAAAGATGTAGTGGTAGTAGGTAAGAGAATAAATTTATGTATTCTATTTTTACTTTAAGTTTCAAGAAAATTTTATTTTGCTTCATTGAAATATATGTATATATATATATCATTAAACTTACTAATTATTCCAAGAAGTAGCAAATCAAAGAATTTTCCTAATAATTATTTTTATTATCATTTCTGATAATTTTCCCTTCACGTATGATCATAACTAATAATAGTATAATTGTTCAATTGGCTTCTAGGAAATGGACCTGGCGGAATATTTCTTTCCTATATGCTCAATGGTAACTGGCCTTACTATACTGGTGATCCGCATCCAGGAGATGAAATGCTTACTGCAAGATTACACTTTATACTTAATGATCCAGAAAATGAAAGAGAAAAAAATCGTAAAGAATTGGAGCACCGAAGTACAAACAGATATACAGACGACGACAAAAAGCCTATTAAATCAGACTGCAAGATACAGACTGAAATAGAGAAGACTAAAAGAAAAAATTCGTTTATTAATAGTAATTTTGCAAAAAAGACTTTACTTAAATGCTCAAAAGATCAATTAAAAATTCTTGCAACTGGTATAGAAGGTCGAGGAACATCTAAACCTCTGGCTCTTCTGCTAGATGCGCTTCAACATCCTTGTGTTGATGCAGGATTAAATTTACCAGGTCTTTTGACATGGAAATCAGCCGAACACAATCCTGATCATCGAATAATTGACCATGTAGTGCTTGGAAAAGGTCCACCTGGTGGTGCTTGGCAATATATGGATCCTAATGTGTTGACGATTAGTCTCAGTCGTTGGATGTCTTTGCCAGAAATGGATTTGCAAAAGTGGAAAAGGCTGGTTGAAGCGGAACAATTTTCTCAGACGTCTATTTTATTACAAGATCTACATCTTTCATCGTCTGGGCCAAATCATAACACGCTTGATGCCATGGGACGAATTCCAGTCGGCATCGTTGCAGCTTACTATAGTGATTACGTTAATAAACAAGGCTTAGCAAAATATTTCAAAAGGTAGAATATAAACATCCAAGTTGAATTTATAAATAAATTTCAACTACCAAACATTAGTTAAAATACCGAAACATTTTTATCAACTTTAAATGAATTTTCGACTGTTGGTCATAACAAATTTTTCTAAGTATTATATTTTTAGCATAACATATTTCGTCTATTTAACAAAAGTATTTATTTTTCTAGTGGACGAACTGTGACATCAGTACGACCTATATTAGATTCAAAAGACTCAGAAGATCCCTACAACTGGATTGTAAAAGGTTATGAAAATTTGAGTGGAAGAAGGTTTCGATATAAATGTAAAAAAGTTGTAATTGCTACTGGAACAACAAATACCTCTAATCATCTGGGACTTCAAGGTGAAACCCAATCTAGTTGGGTAACTCATGATCTTAATGACCTTGAATCAAGACTCGATCGTTTGGTTTGCAAGTGTGGTGAGTAAAATATAAAAACTTCCATAGAAGTTCATTCACAAAAATATCATAATAAATAATCTTTTAATCGTTTAATTATAATTATTAAAATGACAGAAAAATCTATGGCTCAGCGAGAAAGTCAAGCATTAAGCAAAGTAGACCCGGTTCTTGTAGTTGGCGCTGGCTTGAGTGCTGCTGATGCGATAATAGCAGCTCGGTGCCGGGGCATACCAGTAATTCATGCATTCCGTGGATCAACACATGCAAATGATATGAAATTAAATGCTAACGTTTACGAGAGGCTACAATCTCTTCCTGTATCTATGTATCCCGAATATCATAAAGTTTATGAGATGATGGCCGATGGTAGATATCATCGGTTGTACAAAGCTCTCCCAGGCTACAGACTCACTGACCTTGGTGTTAAATCAAATGACTCAAATAAAACTAAAGAAAGAAGAGTAACTCTTCAATCGCCTAGTGGACAATTTATTACATTCCGTGTTTCTACTGTAGCTATTCTTATCGGTAAGTGCTGAGTCATTATTAATTCACAAGCTTATTTCTTATTATGTATTATGTATATAAAAATAATATCATTATTATAAAAAAGATACTTTATGCGTATTTAAAAAAAAAAAAAAAAGTAAATGTTCAATAAGTAGAAACAAAGAAAATTTTTTAGCAATTATTAGAGTAGAATAATTCAGTTTAATCTTATTTTATTCAGGTTCTCAACCAGACTTATCCTATCTTGGAAGTTACGCCAACAAGTTAGGGAAAATAGATGATAGTCCAATTAATAGTCGGTCTAATCCCATTGAAATAGATGACTTTACTTATGAAGTACTAAAATCACCAAGAAGAGGATTGTATGCAATAGGTCCTTTAGTAGGCGATAGTTTTGTGCGATTTATACTTGGCGGAGCTTTTGGTATTACAGCTCATATACTTCGAACCCTTGACACGAGTGATTATTGAATATTCTAAGAATCAATTTTCTTTTTTTTTTTCTTCGATCAGCGTTAAAACGTTTATCGGTGCTACATGCAGTGTCAAGATTATTCTCGTGCCTCCTTAATCATTTTTATTTACTTTTATAATGTATTTTTATATAATTTTTAGAGAAATATTTTTTTTAAGAAAAAGAAATTTTTAAATTTTATATTGTAATATTCTTTAATTAGTTTTGTTTGTTTTTATAATGATATAGTTATAATTATGATTATTAATGGCATAATTTTATGAAATAATTTTGTCTAGGAAGTTCGTTAAAAATATGAACCTCTTAAATAGTGATAATACGGTACTTTTAAAAAAAAATTAATAATCATTTTTAAAGGTCTATTTTTTGGTTAGTTGAATGTCAATTCATTTATTTAATGAAAAACCTGTTGAAGGTGCCTTTATATAAATGCAGGAAATTTTTTATCCTTATAAAACATTGAAAAGTCCATATAAAAATTCAAATCATCAATCAATTGATGATTATTTATTTTAAAAATTTATTCATGTTTACCGAAGCTTTATATTTTAACAATTTAATGTGATTAAAAATAATTTTTACATGGACATTCATAAATAAAATTCTACTTATAGCAAGTTTTATAATGATAAAAATAAGGTACAAATTCAATTGTACATAATGTATGAACTATAAATCATGTGTATATCACACATTTATTATTTAGTGGTATCCACTTTGAAAATATTCTCAGATCCTATAAAGAACATGTTAAATAATTTAATTACGTGACCTGTCTTTAAAACCATAGATAAAAATAATAACTTAAATTTTCAAATACTATCAATTATTAAATAGCCTGTGATATTGACATTGTTAATATTTTGAAATAAACTTATTCGCAATTTATTAATGTGACTATTTTATTAATTAATTGAATATCTAAAAACCAAATAATAACAGTTACTTTTATTTTACTGTATCGTATAATTTACAATATTCCACATTTAACACTTTTAATATATAAATAACAATACACTAGTTTCACTCTCTGAAGCATATATGAACAATTAATATATACATATACGTATATTAATTGATACATTCATGTAATACAATAAAAAGTTTCAGTCTTATGCTACGGTCCAGACCGTTTCGATCATCACAATAAAATAAAAATTAATTTATGGCCCAACAAATTTTTCTAAACAAATTAATGACCGGAAAGTTTATTTCTTTATAAATAAACAACTTTTTTATAAATAAATTAAAATAAATGATGGGATAAGATAAATTTAGATACCCGTTGTTTTAATTGCTCATCATGAGAGATCATGTTTCTAGTAATCGCAATATTTGACTAATTTAAGTAAAATTATTCAATAATAACTTACTAAATAATCATTTATAAATTTTAAGTTATATCGTAATTGATAATCGAATGGAAATATACTGAGTAGGAATAGTACGTAATACCCAAAAAAAAAAAAAATGCATTCAGGTTTTGAATAAAATAAAAAGAAAGCTAAGAAGTATGATAGCTGCAGCAAGAATAAATATACAATACAACTTTCGATTAGCTCTCTGATAAGAATCAGCTTTCTTCAGTTGTTGATAACCTTCATGAACTTGACCCTGAGTTTGTTCAATATTGTAATCAATACGATCGAGAATACTCCCTTGGTCGTGAACCATTGTAGCAAGGTCCTGATGGGTTAATAAAACTCAGCTTATCACCTTACAGTCCTTACATAACACATGCATAATAAATAATAAAAAATTTCTTTTTTTATTCGACTTACCTTAAAGATATGATTGAGATCGGCGATACTTTGAACTATATGACTAACTTCTTGCTCTCTTTCTTCTGCGTTTTTTATCGACTGTTCCATATCTTCTAATTGTACTAAAACAGTCTCTTGTCTTTGTTGTTGTAGCTGCCAAAACTGATCATTTTCAGTTAATGAAGATTCTGCTGGCCAAGAATCCATGGAGACATCAGGTATTAACATTTGGTCCTCTTCAAAAAATGGTCTATTTCTTTCCTCTCTTGAATTTATTTCTAAATAAATTTAAAAATTGATAAATATGTATGATTATTATTCAAACTATTTTAAAACATCAAATATTTTCTTACGTTGTAAATAATTATTTTGTGCAGTCCTATATCTTATTCCTAATTCCTGTAAGGCAGAAGACAGTGCAAGGACAGCACTCATAGCTAATTGCCTTTCTGCACGGCGTGTTTCATGCTTAGCTGCTGATTTGACAATTTGAACTTGCCGATGGGCGTAAGAAAATGCTCTTCCAATCTCTCGAGTAAGTTTCTCCATTTGTCTTTCTTCCTACAAGTTTAAATACATGTGGTTGTATGAAACATTCTTGAAATTAAGAATTTATTTCAAAAGGTAGAAATGTATCAATAAATAAATTACTTGTGAGGTATCATCGAGTGTAGGCCGAGCTATATGTTTAGCATGTAACTCTGTTAAATTTTCTATTATAATTCTTAATCGACTTAAAATATATTGAGTTTCCTCTAAAGCATCAGCCCAAGCTGGAGGTAATGCATCATTGCTGCTTATTCCATTAAGTTCGACAATGTCAGATGATCTATTTTCTGAATTTACCAATGCCATTCGATCAGTCATGTTCTATAAAATTAAACAATTATTATAAAAATAATCTCTTCTGATTATGGAACAAATATGACTTTTAAATCATTTTTAATTGAAAATGATCGTTAAATATCAATATATTTTGTTTATAATAGATTGATAGTAACATTTTTCTTTAAATAAACTAATAATTTATTATAAATTGTCAAAGATGTAAATGATTTGTAAATTAACCTAAAATGTACCTGTTCGGCATAAATATGTTTGCTTTGAAGAGCATTATTTCTCATGAGCACAAATGGCTCTGTTAAATTTCTAGTAGCCATAATTGTTGATATTTTCAATATTTTGGATACTAATTAAACAATAAAAATACTTCTGTCATAAAGAACAACACACAGATGTCCTGAACAGCTGATTGGAACATGGCTAACAGACATGGCTGCCATTATGACGTCATACAATATGGCTGCTGTTTTCTAAAAAATACCGGCATATGACACTTTCGTGTTTAAATAGTGTTTTGATGACACTAATGAGTGATTTCGAATTAAATGTAATTAAAATTATGTCAAAAATGTAGGGAAATTGTAATTATAGTTTAATTAAACTCAAAACTGAATGTGTCACCATAATTTTATTTCAGAACAGGCCACGTTTACAATTTTTATTTATATAATTTATTTTTTTTTTATTATTATTATGCCCAATGAGAAAGTTTTTCTTTGACTTGAATGTATTTGACATCATCAAAGATGTAATACTAAAAATAATTAAAAATACTTTAAAAATACTCTCTGCAGATGATCTTATTGAATTTGAGATACAACTGTGGTAAGTAATCTCGTTTTTTTTAACGTCTGCTGTTTAATTAATTACATTTTCATACCATATGTCTATATGATCACAAGTAATAATTTTCTTTAAATTTATGAACATTAATTCTATCGATATTCATATCATACCCTTATCGTTTAAACATTATCAGTAAACATTCAGGAATATTGATTATGAGAAAAATAAAAAAAAGCAATGATTATCATCACATGATGAATTCTCATAATGCAGGTGAATTCTCCTTAATCTAAAATTATTATCTAAGTATACATTGCATTGATGAATGACTATAACGACTGACATACTTCGTACAACTCGTCTATCTCTTTTTTTTTGTTTCTATTAAAAATAAAATCACGAATAATTTTGATAGTTTCATTTTAGTATTATTGAAATAATCCATTCATACATTTCTTCCATTACTCTTTCATTCATTTAAATCTAAACATTTTCTTAATTTAATTATCCGCATATAAGCAAGAAAAATGTACATTTATGCTGCACAATGTTGATGATTATAACTCTCGATTAATTTGTTATAAACAAATTAATAAAAAATTCACAAGTTGAAGTTTTTATCACTTAACTACAATATTTTATGAACCTACATTTAATTTTCGTATATGACTTATTATGTACATTTGTAAAATACATATATTTTAATTATCAGTAAGAAACGTCACAATCTTTAATATTTTATGAAAGAATAATTGCAATATTTATTTATTTGATATTTTCTGTTTTTTTTCTTTTCAAATTTCGAAAAATTTGATGTATTTAATTAACCTAATTTAATAAATACAGCTAAAGTTGCTCACAAAGACCGTAATTTAATAAAGAATAATAAAAAAAAAGACAAAAAATATATTGGTCCATTCATTTAATTTTAAATTACTAACATTTGCATTTTTTATGACTTCATTTTTCTTAAAAGAAAAATAAAACTCTCAAGTGTACAAAAACAACTTTGTACATAACAATTGAAGAAACATAAGCACTGAATAATTTTCTAATTTTAAATTAAATTGATGCTTAACAACACAGCTCTTGTATTTTCAAAAATATGCTTATTTTTATCTATTTCATTTCAAGAGTGAAATTGAAGTCATAAAAATAGTTAAAAGTAGTTAGTAATCAAGAATTAAATTCATTTTGAAAATAAAATGTCAATTTCATATGTTTATTCACTAATAGCACTTTTCGTTTTGTTTTCCTCCAGTAATGGTTTTAAGCGTTAACATGTAACTAATCCTATTCAAACACAAAAGTTAATCACAGCATAAAGATGTGCACAAGTAATTACATAATAATATGATAATAATAAACGAATTCTGTATCAATAGTCAACAAGTATTGGAGACAAGCAAAAAGACCTGTCTAAATATTAATAATGATATACTCGACGAAAATATGATAGATTGTCAAATTTTATGAATTCATCCATAATAATAGTTTAAAAAAGTTTTTCAATGTTAAATACATATTAATATAATTAATTAAATCTAAACAATATATGTAGATAATATTAATGATTTGTATATAAAAAAGATCACATTACTAAAATATCCAAAAAAGCTGACTATTTGTTTATCTTTTTATTTCATGATGAGATAGGTTCTATTCGAGCTCACGAGTTCGCATGACTCCACAAATGAAGATACGATAAATCTTGTTTAAAGTAGCAAATTTACGTCGCGTATGCTGTTCTCAAATAGCCTCATTGATCTCAGTATTATTATTCCTGTGGTTCGCTTGACTGATGACGTCTTCAGACTGGCTAATGCTCAATGTTGATACTCCATTGTCCATTGATAGCTGTTTGAAATTATGTTTGTCGACGTGAGCCAACTCTATCGGGAGATAAATCGTTCTGCAGTGATCGATATCAGCACGACAGAGAGGACAACGTTCACATCGACGTGCACACTCCAGACATGCTACAGCATGACCACAGGGGAATAATGCGGTGTCTAAACTCCGATCCATACAGATACGGCAGAGCATTGCGTCTAATAATCGCGTCAGACACTCTCGAGACTCCTGGAACGTAAAAGTTGAGATTACAGAATGATTTCAAAAATAAAAGAAAAGTAATAAATATTTTATGACTCCAAAAATCTTTTTTATTTTTGATGTCGTCCTTGATATTAAATCTTATATTAAACTACGAATAGGAAATATGAATAATAAAATGAAAGATAAAAGACAAGAGAACTTTTTGATTTTTAATGATTCATTTGAAAAAGTAAATAATCCAGTCAATATAAAAGTCTTTGCTCCAATTGTGGGCACCTTTTTTTTACAATAGGCAATTTTTAATTTTCCAATGTCAAAATAACTGCAATAATCTATAGAAAAAATGTGCCCAACAATGAAAGTGGGCTGATTTTTTTCCCGGATTTTTTCGCATTTCAGTGATTCTGTGTATCTAAGTGAAATAGCCCTATAAGCAGCGATACGTGCTAGAAAAGGACTAGCTCACTAGTCAAAATAAAGTATTTCTTATGAGAAAAGCCTTTTTTCTTTTTTTAGTGATTAATTTTCTATTTCTTTGTAAAGAAAAATATAGAATAATATAAGCAATAATCATTAAAAATGTATGTCACATGTAAAAAAGACAAATAAATAATATTCTAAGCGGTATCTCGCTTAGATACACAGGATCACTAAAATGCAAAAAAATAATTGAAAAAAAAATCGGCGCACTTTCATTGTTGGGCACATTTTTTCTATAAGTTATTGCAGATATTTTAGCGTTGGAAAATTAAAAATTGCCTATTGTAAAAAAAATGTGCCCACAATTGGAGCAAAGCCTCCTACATTAACTGGACTAATAGATGTGGTTATTCATTTGTATTTTTTGTCGAAAATTGGATATTTATCTCATGAATCTTAATTGAAGAAAAATTAAATAGACTATAAAAGTAAATTAGATCAAGATAACATTTTTACAGTAAAACAATGTGATTTCAGTGATAAATAACTGATTAGTTAACATTTGAAACAGCTGAATTTAATCAGATAAACTCTCGGACTTTTGGAGTTTTTTCTAATTGAGATAAAATCCTTTTACTATCTTCTAAAGTACACATTTTTCAAAAGATTTAAACTTCTTACGAGCTTCATAATAATTAACCTAATTATTTATAAATCTTGACTCTGTAATCAATAATAAATTTCTTAATATTACAATGTATAAATATTAAAAGATTATATTTTACCTTGCATTTAGAATTTTCACAGTCTCCACAGTTATGTTTATCCAAAAGATGACTTTCTTCTGGTAAACCAATGTTCACAGCCTCACAATAAAGCGCTCGTCGTGCATTATCATATACTTCTCGGCAAGTTCTGCGGATATCAAACACATACTTTTTTCCCAACGTCGAGTCTTCGTTGAAAATAGAAATAATAGTTCCCTGGAATGGCAAAAGATAACCGTTTAGAAAGTTCTGACCTTAATTTATTATTTTTAGCTTACGACTTTGTTTTGATCTTTTCTTTTTTTTTGTTGGTTTATCAACTTATCAGAATAATCTGTAATCACCTTGAGATCACGGATAAACTGAGCAGTAACGGCGCTTCTGACGGTTTCACAGCTATAAAAGGCATGTTTTTCCGTAATAGCCCGATACAATCCACTTGCTGACTGACTAGAGTCCAATTTAAAGTCTAGGGACGTTTCTTCACCGTCAAGAGATAAATAAATTAGGTGAAACATTCGTCTTTGTGATGTAGCACTTTGTATTGCCGTATATGGGATGCTAAAAAAAAAAATTACAATTTATTTATCTTTGGATCAGAGTTGTTTATAATTAAATCAAATATTTAAACTCTATGTTTGCTCCAAAAAATATGTAGGCATTGAAGTATATATATTTTAAACTTTATCAAAAACTCAGCTTAATGTAATCACTATTTATTCATTTAAAGTAATATTGTTGTAAATGAATTTTATTGAAGCCCAGTGAACTTTATTAGATAACGAAACAAAGAAAGTCGCGTTAATCAACATCAAAAAAAAAAAAAATTAATTCTATCATGAGATAGTAACGATTTTAACTAGAAATATTATTCTATTGTAAGCATATGAATAATTAAAACATTATAATATTAAACAAACTTTTGTTTTTCTTCATTATCTCCTCTATAAACAGTAATTCCATGTGGTCCTACACCAATCATTGATACAGTATTTGATCCAAATTTACTATGAAACATTTCTTGTCCAAATGTATCAAAATTAGAGACTTCTTTTAGTAGCCAATACTCTGCTGCGGATGTTTTCATTCCCTAGAGTCCAAAGAATAAATCAATAATTGGATAAAACTAAAACAAAAATCATTTAAATAAAAGTCAAATATTTACTTTAATTTCCTTATGTTGTAGAATTATTCGATGGAGAAAGTCGTGAGGTTTTGGTTCACAAGAACCAGCAGGTTGAATTTGACAGCATTGAGAATAAAGTCCATGAGGTGGAGACATTGGATCATAGTCTCCAGCTTCAGCTTGAGCTAACAGTGCAACTATTCTAGCTGTTGTAGTCCAATCTGAAGCTTTAAGTCTACCCTCAAGAAGCTCAAGACGTGAATGTAAGTAAAATTGATGCCTGTAATGAAAATCTGCATGTTAAACTCTTGAATTTTTCAACATTTAAATTAACTAAAAGTTTATTATATACCTTGTAGCTTCTTGCAAAAGCAGATGAGGTGGAACCCAGAATTTAACTCTCAATGCAAATCTCAAAGGCGCTACACCTCCAGTTTGCCTTTCGATTGGATTTCGTAAATTTAACCAAAGCTCTTCACCTTTTGCATTCTGATATTTAAGTCCAAAATAATCACACTCTTTACTGATCCCCAAACAGTTACAAGCCTGAAACAAAGGAGAAAAATTTATAAATTCCACGTAAAATATAAGTTTGTTTTTTCTTATGCAGTTTATTCTGGTTTATTTAATTACAAAAGAGATTTCATATTGAAAAAAAAACTATAATCTGGAGCTACCCTTATGGCTTATTCTGTTTTTGATGCGTTACAAAAATAAACCAATGTATACTAGAGTTTTATCTCTCTTATTGCGAACCGGTCTTTGCATTAGCTCTTCATTTTAAACCGGATGTGATGGCGTAAACAAGCTGAGAAAAATTAAGTCTTGGGCTTCAAAGTCTTACTTACCTAATGTATAATAAAATTTTTTATTTATTATGGATTTCTCAGTGGGTTATAAATTATATCATGACAGCTTTTCTAATATAAAATGGAAACAAGCTGCTGGTGAATTTAATTTATGGAATAATCCAAGATATCTACAAACTTAAAATTCTTTGGCTTTTTTTCTCACTTTATTCGACAGATTCCTATTCTTTGCACTAGCTCTCTCTGTTTTCTACGAGGTCATAGATTTACGTCAATCCAATAGTATATAGGTGTCATGATTGAACTTTAGATCATTTTTATTTCTTTGCAATATCCACAATAAATATTTGCCATGATTGATTTATTTTTTTCCTAGTTCTTGTTTTGCAACTTATTATAATACAATTTTATTACCTTTTGTTAAATTCTTATTGATGTTTTGTTTTTTAAATAAATATACATATATGAATATTATTTCATTTTAATTTAAATGCTTCATTATTGCTTTATAGTTTTGGTTTCTTTGAGTTTTCTGTTGTTAAAGTTCAAATTATTCTACTTACTTTGATCGTTTGTAACAAGTCCAAAAAATTCTGAATAAAAGTTAGATGTAATTAAATCGTTGAAACTTTCAAATTGTAAATAGAGTGACTATTTTTTTAATAGTGTTATTCAAAGTGTGATGAAAAAAAAAATTCATTAAAGTTTATACCCAAACTAGTCTTTACACATGTGAGTTGACATTAATCAAATATAAAAATTCATTATTTATCTAGGAAAAACGTGTTTTCTTTTTGAACTTGATATTATTTTTATTGATATTAACAAAGAATTTTAATGATTCATGAATTTTTTTGTAAAAAAAACATATATAAAGGTAAATTCCAAAGTTCAAAGTCACGTAATAATAATTAAAACATAATTTCTTATTGTTTCGTAAGTTGTTTAAAAAATTTATTGTGACTGAGAAAATTGAGCTTGTTAAGTATGGACCACTTAAAAGTTTAAAAAGTTTGTTGAAATACAATAAGTGATTTATCACCAACATAATATATGTATATGTGCGAAATAAAACTAAACCTTCTAGTAGAGTTACTTTACAAACAAGAAGAGTCATTCTATTTGAGTTACATCGTTTTATTCTCCTTACTTATTCAATATGTATTTAATTTAAATTAATATTAGCATTAATAAATAAATTAAAATAAGTAGTAAACAAAAGTTGAATTAAAATATGTTCTTCTACTAGTCAAAAATAAATATAACCTCACAAGTGGTGATGGAGTAGAGTTATAAAAAAAACATTGATTGATATTTGTAAATTTAAAAAGTGATACTTTATATTTTATTCTTTGTTGTAAACAAATAACTCCTTTATTTCATAAAAGAGTAAAATGACTTTTTTCATTGTTATTATTTTCCATATCTCTGTTGTTTTTTTTTTTCGTTATTTCTACAATAGTAGTTTTCTATTGAATCTTTGTATTCAAGTTAGATTAGTCGATGTACCAATTAAATTCGAAAAATTGTAAACAATTGTTTGGATAAAAAATAGCAATATAGAGTGATGTTTGAAAGGAATATTGATTGTGCACGTTTCACAAATGGAGATGCCAGTGAAGTATGGTATAACTGTTGGACACGACAATGTAGAAAAAGCAGGTATAGACAAAAAGGAGAAAAAACAATTATAAAGCAGTTTTGTATGGTTTGATGGAGCACTTTATATGATGCTGCAATAGTACAGTAGATGTATCGTATTATATTCCATTCCGTCTCATATAGTATAGTAGCTATTACGAGCTCCATTGTTAACAGACAAATACTCTCTATTGTTAATGGTTTACAGTGAGATTAAGCCGCCGGATACCGGCTGAGCATGGTCGCCAGTTTAACGCAACGATTGCGACAATAACTAAACATTAATAGGACTTTTATTATTTTAATTGGATAAAAAACATTCTTTTACCCATGTACAATTAACTACATATATTAAAACAATGTTTTCGAAATTACCAATTTTGTTTTATAAAGAATTAATTGATTTCAAATGTAGATTACTTCTCTAATGTTTTTTCAGATTTAAAAAAAAAAAAACAGGTGTGTTGAGAGTTTATTTTTACATATCGAGATTAAATTTTTTAATTTTATTTTATTCAACTTCAAACAAGTTTTTTATTTTTTTTTTTTTTAATTTATTAATATGAGTTAATTATTCTTTTTTTAAATAGAGTGTATGTTTTTCTAAGTATCATGAAATAGAATAAACCTGATTTTTTATTGCTTATTAATCGCTTAATTTATTACTTGGAGAAAAAAGTTGGTTGAATATTTGAAGAATTAATGACATTTAAATGACATAAAAATGTGGTAAAGTGTTTCACGATAGATTGATAAAAGAAAAAAAAAAACAAAATTAAGAACAATTTTATACTCTAAATTATATCACATTTTTTAGGAATAAAAATAACAATGAATTCACTGATAAAAAACTAGTCTTTGTTTTAAAAGGTGTTTCCTTTTTTTATTATAAGTATATCATTATTCATTTGATAAAATGACTCCAATAAATCTAGGTTACATTTATAGTAGTTGTAAATGAAATAAAATTATTTCTTCTTAAAAATTTTTATCATGTTTACAAGTAAAATTAATTTTCAAAACATGTAAAATGAATGTTACTAATTAAAATGATGATGATATTGATGATAATAATAACAATAATAAGGTCTATCGTAAACAAGATTAAATATCATTATTAATTTAAATGATAATTGATAATTTATTATAATAGATCGATAATATATGTATGTAAAAAGAGTAAAGTGGTTGGATTAAATGGATAATAATGATTATGTTGGTGTAAATTATTTATTTATAGGTATTCAAAGTTTGTCAGCCATACATAAGGTAATATAGTACATATGGGTAGTAAAGGACTGCAAAGTAAGATAAGAATAAGAGAAAGATGAAAATGACGAGATCGGGGACATCGTAAATATAAAGAGTGAGACACAAAGCAAGCTCTCGAGTCCAAAGTCCACGGACCTCGAGTCATTTTCTATACCTATACATACGCGTGGGAGTATGGACTTGCTTTCTTTCCTCTTTTTTATTTTTTAGTCGTTTTTATTTATTTCTACATGCATCATGTATAATCACATTTGTTCTTTTTTCAGGTTTATATTTATATTCATCATATGATCGATTTGAAGGTTGCCATAAGATTCCTGGGCATTTATGGCAGCTAACTCTGGCTAACTACAAGGATGAATTCGGGAACAAGTTTTTTTTAGGTCGGCCAAGACCACACGTAACACTACAAAGACGACACAAATATAAGAGCCAGAACATAGCACGTGTGTTAGCTTGGACTTTGGAACGGGAAAGACTCCGTCAACGTTCACTCACTCACTCATTCAGTGTGTAAATTTTATTTTTGTACATGTTCACAACCGGTCAATCACAATACCTATTTTTATGTATCACAACGATATCACTATTTTTATTTCTAGTTTATAATAAATGAACACACACAAGTGAATAATGCAAATAAAAACCAACGGAATTATATCATTTGTGATATTTTCAAGAAAAGGAGAACAATGTTAATAAAATAAAATAAACTTGGAACATTATTAGCTTGTGAAATAAATCGTATAGAGATTTTTTGTCAAAAGAATGAAATAACTTCAAAGAATATTATTTAGTTATTTTAAATATAATACATTGTTTATCTGCTTTGATTTTTTTAATGTACTTTAAAAAAGGTTTTCAGTGAAGAAATAATATGTTTTAAAATCATCTTTTCATTGAAATGTGAATAAGTTTGGAGTGCTTTTAAAAAAAAAAAACTAAACATTATCATAGAGATAAATTAATTATGTTTAAAAGAAATATTTAGTTTAAATTCTTATCTACTTGCAAATTTTCTTTTTTATCTTATGTTATATTTATTGTCTTGTTATTTAAAATGAGTGAGTGTATTTATCAAGATAAGTTGGAAACAATTTGACAAATGATGAAAATGTGTGACGTCCTTGGAGCAATTTTTATTTATTTATTGTGAAATATTTTGGAATAAAGGTTGATTGAAAAAGTACTGTAATTTTTTATCATGAAATGAAAGTGTCAAGGTACCCAGGTGTGTTATTGATGGAGATATGTACATAGGATTTTGAAATAGGGAAAAACGTCTACCAAGTTACTATTCACTTAAGGTCATTCGATTAATTTTATTCAACAATATTTATATTTATATTAGGAATTAATCGTTTGTTAGTTATTACAGTTGGTATAAAAAATATATAGCAATAAAAAAATATACATCAATTTATTTTTAGAGTAAACTTCATTCTATGTATTTCTAGTGTTTCAGATACAGAGTAAGAAATGAGTTTAACGACCTCGCACTCACGTGCACGATCGATGTTACACTCGTGATCTTTATTCTCTGTACCTGATACACCGCGTCAAGCTTTTCCATCTTTTTGTATATACACAAGTGTTGCACTGCATTGCGACTTAAACTTGGAATAAATGTTAGATATTTTCATTAACTTTTCTCTTCTCTATTTCCCATCTAACTGCCTCAATCTCCAGGGAATTATTCTAGGAAACTAGCGAGCATTTATCAAGCAAACTTTTGATCAAATAAAAAAGTTTCTGCAAATTTCTCCAATGTTGATACTAATAATTCAGTGAAATATTATGGAAAAATTGATTATTAATTCAAACAATTCTCAAATGGTTTTTTTTTCATCTTTTCAATTACATTATGATTATTAAATTAGGCAGTATTGAACAAAAAGAAAAAAATGAAAGTAAAAATTAGATTCTTCTTTTGAATTATTGATCTTTTTGATAAATTAAGTTTGTCACACTTGTATTATTATTCTAAAGATATTTTTGTAGAATGTAATATGTATTTGAAATTCTGCTTTTGTTTGTGGCTTTTGCATCAAGATTCTGGTGAGAACACAGATATAAGTTTGAACAAATTTAATATGTTTCGTCTTATGATTTCGATTCTAAAATAATACTTTTTTTATTTGTTCCAATGTTGTAGTGAACAATAAATTTCAATCATAAAAAAATTGTTTTTTGTTTGAAAAAAGAATTTAATGTATTTTAACAATTCTATTCAAGTTCTGAAAAAAAAAAAAATATATTGAAAATATTTTAAAAGCAATATTTTATTTAACAACTGAAAAATTTTATATTTTTATTCTAATAGTTATCTTAACAACCTTGAATCAATTTTATTGGTAATGGAATTTTATAAATAATTCACTGAAATCATGATTTCATATTAAATTATATTACATAACGGTTTATTTTCTGCATCAAATGCAGAAGCTGAGTGAAAATAATTTCCTTTGTTTTAAATATCATTATTAGCACTTGAGTATACTCCAAGTCAAATAAATGATATAAACATAATTATTAAACCTTTTTTTTTTTTTTAATTTAAACAAGAAATAGAGATGTTGGTTGTTGTTTAATATTAACAATACATTTTCTTTGATAAATAATTTATTTATTTATATTTAGACAAACAAAAAAATTATAACATGGTTAAAGAATTGTTCGTACAAGGTACAATAAAAAATTAGCAGTCTTATTTAAAATATTCCAGAGTAAATAATTTTTTTTTTTTTTTGCAAAAGAAAAAAAAACATTATTTCACTTGCAGAAAAAGTACGATAATTTTTTATGAAATTTATTTCATCAAGCCAAATATAATAAAATAGAATGAACTAAAAAATAAATAAATCCAGAAAATATTATTTCTATTCGTTGATATGTTTTTATATCTATTATTTTGTACAGGAAATTGATTTTTTTCAGCTGTTGATCCACATAATATTTATTAAAAAATTGAAATAATTATGATGATTATTGAATATTATAATTGTATTAAAAGTCGTTCATTACAACTCAACACTTGATAATGTCACATAATAAAAATTAACTAGATCTCCAAAGTAAACCTAATAAGATAATATTTACTCTAAAAACAAAAAATATTTTATACTGCCTCTAGATAAATTTTAATTATTTTAAAATATTCCAACACAAGCTCATCTAGGCCACCAGAATATTTTTTGAAACCTCATTTTTTTCTGCTTGATGTTTCAGTGGTTGAAAATGTGCTTGTATGTACGTAATAACATGGAAAAATTAGGTATGACCCACGATAAAAATTAATATGCTCCAAAATATATGATTACATGTTCATTTTTTTGTGATGAAGCTGAATGCATATGATGATATTAGTATCAAGCTTCCTAAGGATACTGAGATATATGGATGATATAAAACAGAAACACGTAGAATGATAAATAATAGAATGTCATGATGCTTTAGTACAATCTAATCCTAGAATTTAAATAGAAAAGCTGTGATATACAATGTTTTTGTCAGGTTCAATACTGTGAAATTGGTGCTTGCAAATCGCACCACAAGCTTTCAATTCGCTCTATATAGATGTTTGTTACAGGATCCACAAAATTAAATTTCGTGGTCTATGTTGAGGTGGTTAGCATTGTATCTAGCATTGTCCTGGTATTTAAAAATCTATCAAAAATTCAAATAAATGGTTGAATAAAATTGGTACGATGTTCAATGACAGCAAAAAAAGTATGAAAATATTGTGATTGGATACGATTTTGATCATCCATTTCAAATATCTTGATAGGGTAGAAATACCTTTAGATTCTGCACAGATCAATGTCTAGAGAAAATCTTTCTAAAGGAGATTTGCTAGTTTTCAAGAGGTAGAAGGATTCAACTAAACTTTTAGGAAAAATGTGTTACTTGAATGATGATGAACTCATGATTTGCAATGCTAGAAATTTTCTTTTAATAGATAAAAGGTTTTGTTAAATAACTTTAATGAATTATTATCTCATTAAATATTGAAGTAGATTATTTGTAGAACATCAAGATTAGATTTAATGAATTTTACTAAGCTGTTGGTAAATGAAGAATTAACCATTTTTATCAGATATAAGTGCTATGAATGGAGAAATTTGAGGGATGTTTTATAGCAAAATACATTGCAAATACACTTAATTAAAACTGTAATATATACATTATAAAGCATACATACATATTCACTTATTAAATATATTTCAAAGTTTTGAAATCAACTCTTCAATTTTTCTAATTTGTATATAACCTTCTATATCAAATTCACTTTATATATTCAAATTTAAAACGTTTTATGTTTTATTAAAAAACTTCTCTTTTCACAGTCTTGTTGAGAAAATAAATTTAATCTAACTTTCGTTCAGTTTTTATTAAAAATGAAGATGTTAACTTTGAAAGATAATTCATAAAACATAACAACTAATAATAATAATAATTAAATATTCAAATTAATTAATAATTTATTTAAATCTTGGACTAATCTATAAATCTTTATAAAGAAAATTAAATTACAATTTCACCTTACACTCATTATTTCTTCAATTTCATTTATAAAAATTTATTGCCAAATATTAATTGTTTTTCTAACAAAAAAAGCAATTGATATTATTTAGAATAATTTAACTAAATTTTTTATTCTCATTGAAATAATTTTTTTGGACATGAATATTTTTTTTTCTACTCTGAATGTAGTTTCTCAACAAAAAACACAATTAGAACAGAAAAACGGGCCATGTATAAATTCATATGCATCTGACACATGATATCTGCTAAAAATGAAAATATTGAGAAATCTATGAAATGATAACAGAAAAATGTTCAAATATTTCTTTTTTAACTACAGATATCTCTTAAATTATAAAACCAATGTTATTAATATTACAAAAGATGTTAATTTTAAGCTACAAGATAGAATTAAAAATAGGTGTAAAAAAAAATGAATGAACACTAATTGAGTTTGAACAAGCTCACGTGCAAGGTCAGTATTAATAACCAGCAATTACTCTCTAATGATATTCGATGACGCATGAGGAGAAAGATGATTACACAGTGTTACGCACTACATTACAATCATATAAAAATGATATATATTATATTACTTGTTAAGAAGAATAAAATTGGTATATAGGTTGATTAGTGATTGACAGTGTATTAAAAAGTGTGAAAACGTCAGAAAAAAGACAGGGAAAGTGACGAAGCATTTTCCAATCAACTTGGTATTATCAAGAGTATATATAACACAAGAGAAGCAGTATAATTAACTTGTTTTTGCTCATTATTGTCTTCAATGTAGCTTGAGACTTGAGAAAAGTTTCTTAATATAAAAGTAAGCAGCGAGGATCTTTTTCGATGGCCAAGTAATTAGCGTTTTAATAAAATTTCTTCACTGAGAAAAACGTACAGTCGATACTAAAATTTACTTTCATAACTTTATTTATTTATCAGCAATAACTTGATTTTATCTTAATAAATCCTGATTTAAAGCAAAAATTTTTTTTTGCTGGATATCAAGATTTAGGTTTTTAAATAAGTTTTATTAAGTTTATTGGTTATGTAATGATACCTGGTATATATTTTTAATTATTTGTAAAGAATATTAAATGTTTAATTAATACAAAAAGATGTCTATGAATTTTGTTATAATTATGAACATAAATTAGTTGGTTATCTATCATAATTTTTTTTAATTCTTTGTTTATGGAATATGCAGTTTGACATGACTTTATTACTGAACAAACTTGGAGCAAAACTTGTAAATAGTTTAATTAAAGAATTAATTAATCTATCTGCGTGATCAATTTTGAGGGATTTAATAATGTTACTTTTAAAGTTTCTTTACATTTTATAAATGGTTAAAATAAGTAGAGTATTGTTAAATTTGACAATAAATAATGGAGGGTGTAACAAAGAAATAGCTGCAATTAAAAAACAAATTAGAATGGAATGTATACACATTTGTATCTTGATTTTAGAATTAATGAATTAATTTAGAGGAATATTAAAGCATTTTTTTTTTGTCAGTAATTACTTTTTTTATGTAAATATTTTAAATTATGTTTTAATTACTTTTCTTCAAGTTGAATTAAAAATAATTTTATTATTAATAATTTGTAGTTATTGATAATGAAGTTTGATTTTTTGGAATAAAGTATCAAAAAAATGACACAAGTAAAATATTATTAAAACAAAATGTGTAAAAAAAATGGTAAGATAAACTTGGAGTACAAAATAAAATAAATAAATAAAAATATTGTTAAACTTTTAGCAGGCACTGTAAGATAGGAAAGTTTAATAATAAGGAGTAAAACTCTTGAGACGTGAAGCGATTTTTCTTTTCGATTGACACTTGGACTAATTTGAAAACTCTTAGGAGTTTTAGAATCTGAGTTTACAGTATAAAGTTGAAAATTTTTAAGAGTCATTTTATACTTGGTCCAATTATTTAGCTCATAACAATTTAAAACAAGTGATGGGATGACTTTGAGAGGATCAAACTAAAACTTCCTGTTCAACGACATGGCAACTACCATAAGGTTGTAGGCGTGCAACTGACCTACACGCACGAGCTAACTTATAGGACTGTACTGATACTGTGGTAACACCAAGTACCAAGTAACAGTGAACCACACGACCAATGTACGAGTAGTTATAGTACATAATAGTCAGCTCCAAAGCGCTGTATGTAGCTAAGCGTCGACGACCCATGCAAATAAATTGACCTTTGATTATTATACGACCTTTCTCTGCTCTCCACCCCATTTCATTCATATGTATTTTATTTTCTTCAACCTTTATGTATATTCTTTATGTTTTATCATATACTTGTTACTTGTATGAATTTTTTTTCATCCATGAATCACTCTGATTTATTAGACCCTAAGATTAACCACAGTGAGGGATTTGGTAACGGCTAACCACTTTAACAGGATTTTCCGCAACACTACAACATGTGGACTTTGTTAAAGCACCTGGAAACTACAAGAAATTTCACCATCGATATAGTAAAAGTGAATATTTCAAGATCCTTCCCCTTTATTTTTCATTATTTTATCAACACTCTTTTCATTTTAACATTTAACTATCATTTTTATTTTATCGACTATCTAAAACTCTTCTTACTCTTTTACTTTTAAAGATTAAAGAAATTCTTCAAGTATTCGGTTGAAGAAAATCTGCAAATAGTATATTGAGAGAAAAATTATGCTCAAATAGAACGAAAAAGTTCTACCTCCCGAAATCCACATTTTCATGAATAATATTGTCGTTCAAGTAATCATTTAGCTTTATCTATTTTTCAATTATTTTTTAGACATTTTATTAAATCTATAAATTGATTTTTTTAATTTTCAAAAAAAAAAAAACAATTTCAATTGTAAACAAAAAAAAAATATGAACATTTAACTGTTTAATTAAAAAATTTATCGAGTATAATTTTTTATTATAGCTTTTAATTTACTACTGTCAAGATAGGTTCATGTATTTTAATTTTTATCAAAGTACAAATGTCTTTTTGTAGAATTAAATATTTAGATTGTGGTTACAATAATTGTTCCTCTGTTTACTTAGATCATGCCATTGTGCCTAGAAAAATATTTTTTTTCCCCCGTTTATAAAATTGAAATTGTATTTTTATAGATTCTAACAAAAATTTAAACATTGAAAAATAGAAAAAACTTTAGTAACGTAAATTGCAGTTAATTGGTGTGTTTGTTAATGTTTGTTTATGCTGATAAATATTTAATAACGTTCAATGTTCTTTCGTGAATGTATAATACATATGAAAGTATGCAACAGAAAAATAATTTTTCAACAAAGAAACTATTTCATCAAGTATTCTAAACAGTAATTCATAACTATATTAAAGTGGAAAAAACTGTTTACATTTTTTGAATACAGTTTCAGTACGTTTCTAGAAATGAAAAATAAATCAGTCTTTTTAATGATAATTCATGACAATCAGAAGAACCAATGCATAATTTTTCTCTCGAAATTGCACAAATAGATCTCCGTAGAATATGATGCAAGACAAAATAACAAAGAAAATATTCTCCTTAATAAGAACTGCAATTTTTTTTTTTTCGTAACAATCAAGAGTAGTGAGTTGTTGATGGTTATTGACTGTACCAAAGTGCATCGGTTATTTGTTTACAGTAAACTTGAATTGGTAATGATTTCGAATCGTTTGCCAAACATCGTTCTTGACCCATATTGTTATAACCTGCGATATCGACAAATTTAAGTATATAAAAATAATGTTATTTTATCTTTTTTGATTCAAATATACATATTCTCCAGTTGCATTGTTTACATAATGTAAATGTGTTATGAATATTTATGAAACCTTACCTTTTCTAAACATTCACGACCAATAGCTCGTGGATCCACCTGTACCTCCAGGATCACCGAGTTTGCCTGACTCACGAGGCACCACATTGTTACGACCAAAACGCTATTGACAGCAGGTTTATATCAATTTTAACACTCTTTATTTGATCACTGACTAATTTTAGTGGCTTTTTTTTTTCTTAAGAATATAATTTACAGTAGGAAAATAAATAGGCAGAATAATATTTCAAGATATAATATTTAATTTAACGGTTTCCTGAATTTTTTTCAATGAATAATCAAAAGCACACACAACACACCTTTGAATATTTAATAAATTTTATGTTTCACGGAGCTTTAATCCTCCGGAATCGCAGCAGCCGGTTCTTGACGTTTTTTCTTTTGTCATAGCAGGTTAAAAAGCTCCGTTGAGCATGGCTGTCACTATTACTTGTTCGTCCACTGGTACAAGAAGAACCAGTAGCGTGATGATGCGCGAACTCAATTTATCCGATAATCCGATCTCTTCAGCTTCCATTTCTCAATGCTCGAGTGGCACGGACTTCTGCCGATTTTATTGTTACGAAATTTCGTTTATATTTCCAAGATTCTCTCACTTTATGTCGCTCACAGCGGCTGGTAGCTCCGTACTAAGAACCACCGACGTCCGTGAACCAACACGAATTGTCTACAACGTGAGACATAAATGCTCGGTTTCAGTGGAATCACGAACTTACCAGCTGATCATTCCCCACTTCTTCAACATCATTTTACCTCTTTACCCTCTTCATTCTTCCTTTTTCATCCTCCCACTTGTCTTAGATTCATTCTTCTTCAGCCAATCATATCGATGCTTTACTCTTAAATGAAATTGAACTTTAGACATGCACAACGCGGGAGTTTTAAATATTTTACACCATCATAAAACAATTACACTTGTAATATATCTCATAATCAATTAATCGATAATACTGCGATTACGTAAGTAATGATATTCATTGAAATAAATTGAATATTCTTGGGTAATTTGAGGTTTTATGAAAAGTTACCATCGTTGAAATTGATTAGAAAAAAATTTTTTTTTTTTAATTGAACGTTTTATTATTTTATAACAAAAAAAACTCTAATTTTTCGGAGTTTTATGATTTAAGAAGAAATAATTTTATTATTGATTTGATCTTAAATTAAAAACTTCTTAAAAATTTCAAGAATATTTAAAAAATTGAATTTTAAATTCAAACTGAAAAATATAACTTCAATTTTATTCCAATATTAAAGAAGAAAATAAATTTAAGTCAAATTAATTTTTTCACTATCTTTAAGTTGTCAAATACAATAGATATTGAATATTTTTTAATAAATGACAAATTATTTCTCCTAGTGTTTTAAAAATTTAACATTATTCATTATAATTTATACATGGTCATTAATTATTCAAATAAGAGATGTTTTTATTAAAATGATGTATTCTGATAAATGAAACAATGCGAACCAAAAATAGAGATTAAAAATTTGTTAATTAGCTGGAAAACAAAATATCTCTGGTGTGTATTTTATTCATATTTATTTTACTTTCAACACTAATACTGTACAGGCAGCTCAGCTCTACAATTAACACTTTTAATATGTTTGAATCTTTCTTTGAATTTTTGTAAAATAAATGAAGAGAATTATTAATTCATATAATAAGAACAAACGTACAGTGAATTGAATGAAAGTTCGTACATCGTCGCGAGATTTCCAATAAAATGGGAGCTGTTACGAAAATCTCGAGAGGTTGTACTTGATTTCTTTTTTAATATTTATAGTCCTCGATATTACAGAAATATGGAATGAAGCCTAGTAGCAATCTAGTATTATGAGATTTATAGCCACCACCCTAAAACATTAATTTTATATAATTCTGTATATATCATTTCAATATATCTAGGCCTGGATATATTAAGATGATACATCATCATTATCAATATTTTACATAATTATTTTTAAAGTATACCAGTAATTCTCAAACTAAAAGCCTATTTCATGAAAATAACTCGCAAAAGAGCAATGATATTTGGATATTTGTAATATCGTGTTTATTGTCAAAAAGACTTAGATATATCACCGTATAAATACAGTGATAATATTTTCATTTTACTTCTAAAGGTTTGAGTATCACTGTCTAAACTCTAGAGCTAATTAGTAAATAATTATTTTCAAATACACTTTAGCAAGAATGTAACATTGTAGAGATATAAGATACACATAGACATTGTTTAATTTACACTTATATAATATTTTTTTCTTTTAATATATATATAGGATATTTATAATTAATAATATATTATTAATTATTTATGGAGACTTGCTGTAGCTCTAAGCTTCAACGCGATAGTTCGCGTGTAAACTAGGTTTGATGTTGTATACCAATTCTAGTATTTTTTGGATTACTATATCCTTGTGAGCTGATACTTGTTTGTTCATTTCTTCAATTTTGATTTTTGTGTCGGCTTCGATACGAGCTGCGACACCTTCTTTGGAACCCATATGCTGAAAAAAGTGATTACATTAATTCTTCAATCAGATCTTGTTGAGAAGGTAAGTTATAAGCTGCTTTTAAATGTACAATAGATTGTTTCTTGAATGTTTTAATTCAAGTACCAGTCATTGTGTTATTAAAACGTTATTGTGCAATTTAAAAATTACCTTTGCTTCAAATTCTTTAAACTGTTTCTCTCGTTCCTGTCGATATTTTTCAATTTCATCTTGAGCTTCTTCTTTAGCCTGCTTCAACCTGCGTGCTTTGCCTGTAAATAAATAATAGGTAAATAAATTACTACTTAATTTCAAACTAAGTGAACAAAAAGATGAAATTTATAAAACTTTGGCAGAATAGCAATTTATTAAACTCAAGGTTAGATTTCTATTTATATTTCTAGTAAAAAAATACTCCTTTTACTCAAGTAATCACTGTTTTATTAAAAACTAAAAATAGAAGAAAAATGATTGAAACAGATAATTATTGTACAAGTCCACGCCCGTGTGAAAATTATAAGTCAGATGTTCAATCTATTTATTTAAGTGACACTCCCTCAGATCATACAGTTTACAAAAGCGCCGAACATCACAAATAACAGAAAAATTCTTAATTACTCACGTTTTCTTGCTTCAGCAACTTTATCAGCGGCCTTTTTTTCAGCAGCTAATAATTGTTGAATTCCCTGGGTCTGGCTTGCCATTTTTTCAAAGAACTTACAAAAAATTTATGCAGTGTTAATCACGAATCGATCATATGACTGTAAGAGCTTCTTCTTGTTGTTGTCGGAATCGTAGTGGCGCTGTCTTACAATCAGATGATTACAAAGTGGTGGAGGGTTTTTTAATTATGCAATGCATCATGGACACGATGTGTCAAAGGGCTAGCACCGTCTGTCGGATGTTTTCAGTACTATTGAGTATACTCCATTTTTGCTAACTTTGAGTATTACTGTTGATAGATGCAATTAACTTCAATTTTTACTAATAATTTCGATAATGATATCATCATACTTTACACCATTAATGAACAAAAATCTTAATATTTATAAAAATCAAGAATTAATGGACTTTTTCATGAATTCGTTTCATTTGAAGCTTGTCAACACTTGACATTTTAATGCATCACTGGATTAAAAAAGGTAAAAAATCCTGAATGACATTTTCTATTTAAATTTTTATTTATAAATATTTAAATTTAATGTCATCTAATAATCTATTCAATGGCAACTTGTCTAATTTTATGTTTTATAAACTACATAAGTACATACATAAGTTTATACATAAATTCTGTATAAAAAAAAAATAGAAATTATAGTACTGAAATTTGTTTGTTTTTGATATTCTTCATTGTATGTTTTGATTTTATAATAAGTTAAATTAATAATAAAAATTAATTTCAGTCAATATTAGGTCTTAAATCATTAATCTTCTTTAAATGCATTAGGTACTTTAAAAACAGAAATTGGTGGTCTATAAATTGGATTCTGCATAAGAGCATAAATAGTTTTCTTCTGTTCTTCTTCAAATTTAGCACATTCTCTTGCATCTTTTATCGCTGTCCAACATCTGTGTAAAAATAAAAACATTACAGTATTTTTATTAAATCGAAACAATATTTGTAATACATCATCTTACTTCCAAATCATTAGTGCTCCAATTCCAATAAGAAAAACTGCTAAAAATGCTACCATTGGTAAGACAGCTGCTGGTAAAGGTGTTTGACAAATCTAAATGAGATAAAAATTGAATTAATTAGAAAATAAATATATATAAAAATTATTTATCTAAAAATTTCCTACCTTATTAGCAATCTTTAAAAGAACTTTATTATCTTCAGTAAATTTATATACAAATGGAATTGTACAAATTGTAGTATCTATTACTGTTCTAACAAAACAGTAGTGATCACTACTTGCATCTACTTCGTCAACTCTCTGTATTTTATACTCATTTGATTTATTAAGATGACAATATTCTACAATATCATTTGATTCTTCAACAGTTGCATTTACGCAGTCTTCATACAATACACAAAGACTACTTCCTCCAGCACTTGCTGAAGATTCACAAAACGTTCCACGGTAAAGTAAACCATCGCTAGGAGCAGTAATGTTACATCTGTATAATGATAAATTTGATTTAATTCCAAAGTTTGAATAAATAAGTGAATTAATTGTGAATAATAAATTTACCGGCATTGCCCACATTCACAATAGCCATGATTGGCACACACTTCAGAACTTCCAGGTGCGATACAAAGTTCATTCCCGGTCGGGCATTCACAAGCATCACCCTCCCAACCATCTAAACACAAACAGATGCCACAATCACAGGTTCCTCTTCCTCCACATTCTACTCCGTCAGTCTGTAAATAGTATTCAACATCACTAGAGTATAATAGAGTCTTATATCAAACACCGTTATTCAAATTTGGGACGAATAAATTCTATTTACTTCTTCAGAAATAATTACTGATGTTTTAAGTGAGAATATCATTAAATTATTTATACCCTAAAGAGATAATTGCTTAATTGAAAGTATACATATATGTTAATTGATTTTAATTAGAGATATTTACTTTATCACATGGTGAACATTCACAATATTTTCCATTTGCACCAGGATCACAGTTACAATTCCCACAAATACATTCTCCACGATTTGAACAAACTTCAGTATCATCTGGTTTTATGCATAAAAGTCGATTTTCAGTCCAGTTACTTTCATCACAATCACACGTTTCTCCTAGATAGATAAATCGGAATTTAAAGAATAAATACAAATTGGTCTTACATGGTCTACATATTAAATAGTTAATGATATGCACAAACATACCAGACCACCCATGATTACACCTGCAAATCCCACACTCGTCTATACCATTATTACAATGTGGGCTTTTTTTCTCACAGTCGCACCCACATTGTAATTCTACTTCGATCATTGACTCTGATACTTCTGAAGCTAAAGCATCATCGATAACTATTTTTTGCCTCTATAAAACAATTTAATTATAACCATTTAATCATTTTGATATTTAATCAAATATATTTAATAAATATTTACCCAAAGGCTTTCATTTCGAGGACAATCATCAAGAGATAATACTATTCTAAAAGTGTAGACTTCACCTTCTTGTATTCCTTCGCATGTAGAAGTCATTTTTTCTGGATTCTTATTGTCCCCACACTTGGAATAGTACTTGATATTAATTAAATCTGTAGAATTATCTCTTAATACAACTTTTGTTAAAATATCATGATATGATTTCTCAATAATTTCAAGAATATTAGAACTATTAGCTGCAAGTGTAGCAACTCTGGCTTTTTCTTGCAACAAATAAGCTATTTGTTCATATTCTGAACGTCGATCTTCAGTAACAGCAAAAATTAAATTAACTTTCCGCTGCTTCAGTAATCTAGATAACTCTGCTAAAGATGGATAATCAAATGCTTTAGACATGTAATACTCTCCACTTTTATCTAAATGACATAAAAAGTCATGACGGTTTACAACACCACCAAGTTTTCCTTCACCAGCGAAATGCATTAATCCATCAGTCGCAACAAGCATTAATTTTCGAGCTTGTCGAGCCCAACCTACTTGATCCTTGCAAACAATTGCCTGCACTACTCCATCTAATCCACCTTCCAAGTTATCCACATTTCCGGTGACACGGCTAGAATTCACCTATAATCATTAGCAAGCATTAATCAAGTTTATGCGTCTATTGTTCTTGAAGAAATAATATTAATTTAAATAATAAAGTTTGCATAAGTATTAGAAATAGTTAAACCTGTTGAATGAATTGTAGAACATCTTCACTAAGTTGCATGTGATTTTTAAATGAATAAAGCGGAGCACAAACTGTATTCTGACTGCTGCATGGATTATTTTCATGTCCAGGAAAGACATAAGGCATAAGTGGTTTGTCTGCATAACTTCCAAAACCCAATCGAAAATTGCTAGTGAATGTACCCAAAGTATGAGCTATTTTCCAACCCAAACTGACCAAGGTATCTTTGTCATCATTCATGGACCAGGTTAAATCCATCAAGTAATACAAATCGAGAGGATAGTTCCTGATGATTCAATCGATTATTCCACCAATTTGCGTTTTTCTCAATGCTTCATGATTTTTAATGAAATGTTTTTATATTTTATTCAAGTTTATATTAGTTTAAAATTTTATTAATGATGAATTAACGATGTATTAATTTAAAATGATGATGAATACCTACTTTGCAGGTCTGTACTTTAGGTAGATTGTTTCATTACTATGAGGACGAAGCTTAACACGTACTCGTTGAGGCTTTAATTGAATTGGAACTTGGTCAGAAATTACTACATCTTGGAATTCGTCATCTTGGAGAAGTTTTATCGATCCCATTGATGCTCGATGAATTGAGTGCTTGGGGCAACCAAACTTTTCTAATCGATCTGCACTGCTGCATCGTAATTTACCCACTGTTGAATTCGCGTACGACTATCAAGTAAGTTAATAATTATATTTATCTGTGAATAACTATTCTCTAAGTAATTTAATTGATTCATGAGGATTATAACAATTATTTCAAATAACCTTTTTCTATGTCTATGATAGGTTTTCAGTGATGACTAATGTATAAAATAAACTCGAAAGTTAGTTTAATTTATTTATAAATTATTTATCGAAGAAAATCTTTGAAAGTAAATTCAAAAATTCCCATTAATAAGGTTGCTATGAATCAGTTAAAATTATTTATGGAGAATAGAATAATTTATGATGTTATAAGTGAAGTATTTTTCTTACCCATTCGCTACACCAGGCACAAACAGAACTTTTTTCAAGACAACTCTTGCAGGAAGTTTGGATTGCACACAGATACAAAGAATCATCAGAGAAAACCACAGGAGAAATAATGTGAACAGAGTTCAAGAGTATAAGCATGAAAACTGTGGTAATAATCTCCATGATACGTCACTTTTACTTGACACAATTTAATTTATTCATACGTACTATTGTCTATAAAACGTGTGGAAAATGAAGACATCGAAAACGTATAATCAAACAAAACAGCTGAATGTATGTCATTTAAAGTATATGCTTATCAGTTGGCAGATATAGTGATAACAAGAGATGTAGTGATGTAACATGGAGTAAGTAAACTAAAAATTAATTTTTATCGTTCATTAAAAGAATATTTTTCCATTCATTTGACACAGCCATTATCAAACTTGGTTACGAGTTGTCAGAATTCTTCCTTCAAGTTTTATTCATTTCTACTAGTGATATTATACTTGTTGTAATCACTAGTTAAATATGAGAAAATGATAAATATATTTCTATTATATTTTTCAATAACAGACACTAATTTTACAACTGCTTTTATTCACATTCAGTATTAAAATGATGATTAAATTGGTTTTCAAAAGATTTCTAATCATTTACGTAATGACTCATAGTACAGTAATAACAAACAACAGTGTTTATCATTAGAGAGACATGAACAGTTGGCACAAACATCAATACTCCCGATTAGAAGGAAACAGGAAAACTGAATAATGACAAATATACAGAGAACTATCGTTCCTCGACCAAAGCGTGCTCTGTTATCCTTTTAAATACGTCATGCTCTTACACACCTTGATGAGTTGACTACTAGTCCACAGAGGAATCAAACGTGTATAGAGTTGAATAGAAATCTGTGTGAACACTTGCCTACACGCTGATACTGGGTGGGCTGATATGGTACACGTGTTTGCGTTAACTATTATGTGCCGCTATCAGAATGCCGTTAACGCCGACACGTAATCTTTCCGCGCTTGGCCTATTTCAGATAGTACATCTGCCTTTGCACAATATAATAGAAGCTGAATGTTGATAGAGTCAATGGTGAATAACAATAATGCAATTATAGAGTACTGTAAGTGACGTTTACATTTTACAGCTGTATAATTTTTTCTAACTTTGTGAGAACTAAATGTAATAAAATGTATAAAAGATTTTAAAAAAAAGTAACTCCAGGTAAATTACACATTGAACTAGATTCTTATTGTAACTTTATTATGTTTATTCTTGCTGCTAGTTCAAGTTTGCTTGCTTGATCTTTACTTTCTGATAGCTTTCTTTTTATATATTATACTGTACTGTGAGTTTAATGCTTTCTTTGAGCTAAAAAATTATGAGCGCATGGTTTCCATGAATATAAATTTATCAATAATGATAGTCATTAGTTATTAATATTATCAACTCAACAACTAAGTATTAGAGTAGTAATTAGTATCACTTAATTTTATTTATTTTTGTAATTAAAAATATTAGTGATATAATAAAGGGATTAATTTCTAGAAAACGGAATTTATAATTCTTGAGTAAAACAATTTCTTATCAATAATCTTTATTTAATTTATGATATATAATAATTGTTTTTTACGATCCCATTTAACAAATCTTCTATTATAAAATATTGATGCAATGATTTAATTATAACATTTAAGGCAAGTGATGGCACTAGACCTAAATCTTGATTTTTATTAATATTATTGAAAAGTCAAATTTTTCGAAATTAAATCACATTTACATATTATTGAATTATTAAATTCTTAGAAAATAAATTTATTTACAAGTTTTTATAAATGTAAAAATTACTTGATAAACAATCAATTTTTCAAGGTGTTTTATCAAAAAAATTTACACTTGATAATTATTCAAAAAGTGTTATGTAATCCAGGTATTTAATTTTCTGGATCTCCTGAGGAAATTTCGACGAGTAAGAAGATGTTTATATCATATCCAATGAATGAGCGTTTATTATTTGTAATAATTTAGCCGAAAGCGTAGAGATCTTAGTAGAACTCTTTTCGTCTTTTTTGCTTTTTTTTAAACTATATTATAACACGTCGTACTCGTCATTATTATCATCACAACCATGCTATATCCACGTCACTTTCGCTGTCAGTGCAAGTGTCTTAAGTGGACCTCGTACCTTGTAGAAAATTCTTGCAAAGAATTACGGTTTTCTCTCTGAGCTTGAAACACGTCTTGTTAATTGCTGATGGAGAACTCCATTCTGGTCTTTTGATGGCTCATGTCCTTGTTGATTGTCAAGTGGTAACTTCTTTGGTTCAATAGGTGGCTTTGGTGCAACATCTCCAACTAAACCACGAAGAAGCATCGATTCACAATCCTTGGGAAAAATCCTAGAAATAAAATAAAAAATCATTTCTATTTTAATTCTTGATCTGTGAGTTCATTTTTTTTCTCTTCTCGAGATAAAAAAGTTTTTAAATATTCATTTATCCATTGTCTTCATTGTTTCTTTGATGAACTTATGTTGCTAAAATTACATATGCATCAGATTACATATAAGTTCCAGGGGAAAAAAATTATTAGGTTTTTCTCAATTTTATATATGCGATCACACTTCCGAGGGAAAGTTCAGTCTTATTATCGGTTATAGAAGACTATATAATGATAGACTTGGTTGATAGCTTCGTGGTTTCTGCCTCACGTGATCAGTTTGTTTTATAACGCATGTCATTAAGGTATCTCTTCCAAGTTTTACTATTTTATCTACACAATAAATAGAAATGAGCTGAAATCTGAAAATTTTCACTTACCATTTAGCTGCCAGTAAACCTTGAAGATAGCCTGGCACAATTGCATACTTTTCGTTACATCTGATCGCAGTTATAACCCGATCAGCAACTTCATTTGAGCTCAAGGTCGGCAGGAATCTTGAAAGTTTTCAAAAAAATATAAAATTAACATCAACATCATTAATGATCAGCTGATCGTTGTAAACAGTAATAAAAGACATTGATGGATAAAAAAAAATTCCGTTTTTTACCTTGATTCTACGTCTTCAAACATTCCTGTTGCACGGATAAAGTAAGGGCAGATGACCGTAGTGTGAATATTGGTATATCCATCAGCCTGAAAGTAAAAATAAATGAAACGATGGTGTAGTAAAGACTTTGAAAGACTTTTCTAAATATGGAAGATAATTTTTAGGAAAATAGCTTTTATATATAACAATATTGCATAATAATATTATGTAACAAATCAAATGGACTGTTTAGAAGAAAAAATCAATTTTTTATTTTTAATATATATATTTTTTTTAGTTATTTTCTAAGTTATTCAATTGAGTACTTAGATAACTTTTGAATAGTATTATATGATTTTTATTCATCATAATTGTTTGATTGACTTGTTATCTTTTAAAAAAGCATTTTCAAAAGAAAATTAACTAAAATATCTCTCATGTTATAATTTGATATAATTTAGTTTTAAACAGATTATAAATATTTTTTTATATGTAACAAAAATTATTAACTGATCACTTTGAATAAGTACCTCAAGCTCCATTCTCAAAGCTTCATCAAAGCCAACTGCTGCGAATTTCGAAGCACAGTAATCAACAAGCTTAGGGACTCCACAATGTCCAGCAAGACTGGCAATACTGACAATATGTCCTTTGTTTTTTTCCATCATAGCTGGCAAGAAAGCCTTTACTGTCTGTAAAAACAAACAATAGAGTTCATGAGATGTTTAATAACGAATGTCATTTGTTATTGTAGAGAGTTCTGGAGTGCTTCTGGTGATCTTTGCCTGTATTTGGAGGGTCTCGGTCGTTTCGTAATGATTGAAATCCATGCGAATGGAATCGCAACGGTAGAATGCAACTGTAGTCGACCGGTTTGCACACCTGACCAACGCCAACTCTTAACAGACACATGATGTGGTGCTGAAAACCGATACCTCTCACTGCGAATTCTCTAGTCAGAAACTGGTGGTCCTTGAATTCTTTTACGGCTAATCAGGGTTCCACAAAACTGTACCTTAAGGTAAGGCAAAATTATAATAAGATATAAATTACTTACCCAAAAGTGTGCCATTGTATTCACTTCCATTGTTCTTGTGATTAACTCATCTGATGTTTCCATAAACTTTTTTCCAGTTACTATTCCAGCATTGTTGATCAATAATGACACCTATAACAAAATAATTCACATCTTCAAAATGAAATGAAAAATTTTTTTATCTTCTAAATAATTAATTCTTAGATGTTTCATTGATGAATTAAGAATAGTACGCAATAGTTCTATATTCAAAATTTCTGATAAAAATATTGAAATAAAATAATTTAATTCCTCAGTTAAATAAAAAAAAAATACCACTGTCAGCTAGTCATGTATAAAAATACATTTTTTACATAAATTACAGTTTAGAACATATTATTTATATTCATATGTAGTAATGAATATTTCATCAAACTGAATTCTTAGGAAAATTAGCACATCATAATATAGAAAAACCTGAAGTAATAAATTTTTTATAACTCTTTTTAAGGTATTTTTTTTTCAACATAATACGTTTCTCACGCAATCAGTCATTAATGGAAAAAATAATATTAATTTAAGAAAAAAAACACTAGTGAATTAACAAGAATTTAAAAGTCTGTAAGATAAAAGTTTTCTGAATATGATTTTATATTCATCAACTTGACTTGTTTGATATATTAATACATGTATTATAAATTTTTGAATGCTTTGATAACATTTTTATGAAATTTAATATAAAATGATAAATAAAAAAGTATTATTCGTCTTTCAAATAACAAATGAGATAGATTGGTAAAACAATAAATTCATAAAAACTATTCAAGTATCTACGAATGATTTCAACTTCGAAGCTTTTAACTCAAACAGTATGTATCTACTTATTGCAACTTGATGGCGCAATATCATGGACTTTCGTAATATTGTCCCCATGATTTGTTCGTCATTGATGTGAGCGGATCTATATACTAACGAACCGAGTGGTTCAGTCTAGCGGCAAAAAAATATCTGTGTTCATGGCATGAAATGATAGACTATTTCTAGCTGACAGATCGAATGAACTTTATAAAAAGACAGGTATAAATATTAGAATTGTACGGATGATTTTGAGTACAATGACCGACCTTATGACGTACAGAATCCAACCTTTTTCTTTTTTATTTCTCTATCAATAGACACAGTATATTTACTTGTGATTTGCTCTAGGGCATTATTACCTGACCAACTTCTTTCTTAAGAAGATCAGCTTTCTTATAGACATCTTCTCTATTGCAAAGATCACAGACATATCCATAGCATTTACCACCAGCTGCTCTGACCAACTTGACTGTTTCATCAATACCTGTAAAAATATCATTTTGATTAATGTTTCTATTAGAGAAATAAGTGCATTATTAACGGTTTAATTTAGAAAACATGACTTATCAAATACCATATGTTAATCTAAGCTTCTAGAATAACTTGGGTGATGGGGAAATTACAATTCATTCTAGAAACGAAATAGAATTTCACGATGTAACAATTAATGTCAGGTATTACGTCATGATTAGCTTGCCAGAAGCTATAAAGTGTGCAATATAATGAATTATAAAAACCGTTGGTCTGTCTAGTGTCTCACGTGTCTAGACTCCACATCCAATGATGTGACAGTAAAAGATTACCGAAAATATTTTTGCTGGCCTTGAATAATTATATGGGTACATTATTTTTGGTAAATTAGTCATTCAATATTTCTGATTTATTTACTCTTCCAATATTAACTTATTTTTAATAACCAATAAATCTTTTTCGTTTATAATATGTCGACAGACATCAATTAGATTGTCAATTAAGTTTAATCTATTGATGATGAATAGCTACCATGCTTTTATCTTACTGTCTTTTATAAATATTGAAAGTCCAGAAGTACGATGAAGAATTAATTATAGACAAGAATGTTATTGTTTTATGCAGACTGGAAAACTTTGAATCAACTTGATAATTCTGATTCAAAGAAATCTTTTTTTTGTCATCTATTGAGAAAATTTTAGTATTTAATGAATGATAATTCAAGTCTACTTGAAAGATGATTGAACAATTTTCTGATTCTTTATTATCACGAGTGCCCAGTAAAATTATCTCGAATGTGAAAATATTTTAAGTAAAAACAGCATGATTTTTATGAACACATAATAAGCAAAGTATGTATAATCATTGCTGAAATAACAACTTTATATGTATGCTACTAGAAAGTTTCGTCCTGCTGGTGGTTTTGTGGATTACACAAAAGTGTAGCAGCTAATATAATGATTCTATCTCCTAGTGATAATGCAGAAGCATATCTCCATAAAACTTTCATGGAGTTTTGTAATTATCTTTTATCAACACCGAAAGAGAAAGGATCTTTCAATTGTAAAGCAAAAGAAAATATTAATTAGACAGAATCATGAATGATATGATGCTAAAATCTGTTTGTTGGATAAAAATAAGTAGAATTTGGAATATTTCAACTGGCCAGTTTTCACCGTTGACCGCGTAGACTTACGTAGGCTGGTATTTGCGTCAGGGCCTTGACTTCTCGTCGTGCTACTTCTTTACTACTTGTATACAATCTCCCGCAATAACAATTTACTAAGAAAAGCATAAAAGATTGAAATTTAACTAGGAATTTATTTAGTTTAACAGGAAAGTAAATATGAAAAAACTACCGAAATGGCAAAATAGAAATATCATTGAGATGTTTGACAGAAAACTCGTTTGTGCAGGATGCATTACAACGATATGTTTATGTCAATAACTTGTTGCGTCCTCAGGCGATCACGTTGTTCACTGGCGCATGATAAATTATTGCTCACCTATTAAATTTTGAAATGAATTTACGTGGTTTTGTATTGATAATACGCAAATATAATTCAAAAAGACATTTAGCAAATCTTTAAAAAGCTCTTGAAAAATTATCTTATCTATTAAAGATGGTTGTTTGAGATGTGAATGGCTTCTCAGTAGGTCAATGACGTTGAGTCCTAATCGAACATGGATTAAATGATTTTTTTATTTTCTGTCATTATCATTATCTTTAATTATTCCATGTTATTTATGTACTTCTTTTTATTGCTATTTTTATATTAGAATTTTTTTTTCAACTCTCATTGATAATTTTAATAAAAAATGAATGATAATTTTTTTTCTGTAATAAATCATTGATGTGACTTTCAATTTTAATTATTTACAGTATTATTTTATATCAAGTTTTTTTTTTTGACTTTAGCAACAATGTTATAAAATAATTTGATAAAATATTCATTGATACGATGAATAAATTTTAAATTGAATGAGAAGTGCATTCAATGATTTATATACAAACGAGTAGTAATATCTTGCATAATTTTGAATGTTGCAAATAATGCAAAGAACTCAGTTGTGTCATAAATTTAATTCTTGTAATCATAAGATAAACTTGAAACAAAAAATCGTATGACTTTTAATAATTTATTTGATTAATTTAAAAATTTAAAAATAATTATTACTTCGTATTTGGTATCTGTATGCATTGCAAATTATTATATGATTGATATATATTTATATGGATGATGAGGTTATCATGTTGCACTTGTCATATCACATTAGAAAAATAAAATTATTTCTTCAGGTCATCGTTATTATGACTTACTAGAGTTTTTTTTTCAACATGATGCGTGATATGAATTTTTTTTTTTTTCATTCGTTATTTCCTCTTCCATGTGACAATTTTAATAGCTTAATTAGTCATAAGAAATATTTCTAATATATATCATTATTACAAGACAAGTTTTTCTTTTTTTAAAAAATAAGGTTATTTAATAAATAGGATTGTAATTTATAATTTATTTTTTTGAATAAAGAAAAAATGTATTTAATCAGTAGCTTTATTCTAAGATAAACAATAATACACACATAAACATTATCTTGATGCATTCAACCTCTAACCTATACAAATTATCAACCAATAAAAATTGATTGAAATTTATTTTCATTTTTTCCGTCTTGGGACGATAAAGTTTTTCATTTATGATGATTTCAAGGTATAGTTTATTTTGAGAAAAATTATTTACATATTTTTTAGCTTATTTATAGTTAAAAGGTTTCAGTAGAAGAATCCATAGAAATAAATTTATGAAATTGTAATGGCGTAATGTAGGAAATATAAAATTTATAATTAGTTATATTTAAATAGTGAATAAACATTGAAATATATTTATGAGAATGAAAAATAAAAATAAAACACACAAAATAATCAGGAAGAGAATTAAAATCACTTACCAGCCTCATTGATGTCCCAGACGATGACAATTGCTCCAAGATCAGCAAGTCGTAATGAAAGAAGCCTTCCAAGACCACCTCCACCTCCAGTTACAAGAGCTATTTCACCCGCGACACTTTTCATTTTATATTTCGTTGGAATAAGTGATCTTACAATACTTTCAATGATAATATATACAGAGTACATTAGAAATCCAACAACATCACCTATTGATCGTATAAGAGACATTTTTCTAATTTAATTGGAAACTAATTATCAATAATATTTTCACTTTTTTAAAAAAAAAAAAAAAAAAAAAAAAACTATACAATTTGAAACTAATAATATTTCTTGGATCAATAATTTAATAGAAAAATGCTAATCATAGTTATTAATTTCATTGAAATATGAGATGAAGTATTATTAATCTGATGTTTTATTTTCTAGAGTTCTCAGCAGATTGGACAGGGTAAAAATGAAGCTAATGTCGGACTAACAGTGGTAGCAGTCAGCAGGAGTCAAACTGATGTCGAGGTGGTGGAAGCTTATAGAAGTAGTGGTGGTGAATGGTCGACTATACGTTTAAATATTGTTGTGTCAAGCTACTGGCCACGTGCTGATACGCTTCAGTTCTTTTTCTTTACTTTGCCGGTTGAATCATAAACCCAACGGTCACTACGACCGGCTTTCCCGGTCTTTTAGGTAGACCTTAAAAAGAAATAACTTCGATTATTATGGGATATAAAAACTATTAAATGAATGAATGAACAAATAAAAGCATAAAGATCAAACTTAGCAGGTGAAAAGAAGAAATGTAAAAAAATGTTAGTTATCAAAAAAAATTTTTAAAACAAATTTAATTGATAGATAATATATTTAGTTATTAAATATGAATAAAAAAGACTGATAAAAAACAAATATAAATGATTTAATAATTATACAACTCGTGCGAATGAATAGCTACTAAAAAAATGTCTTCTAATTATAGTTTTAGACTTTCCTGGATTATTTTTTGTGGAAAAAAAATTTTTGTAAAAAATACAGTTGATGACATAGACGTGACTAGATAATATAATTAAGAAAATTAATAAATTTGAAGGATATTAGATTTGATAAAAATAATGTATTGTTGCATAAAAAATAGAATAATTGGAAAATGAAAAAATCCGGTATTTCTCGTTCACAAACGTCATTCCAAGACAGTCAAGGCCGCGATTTTCTGACCGTTCTCTTTTGCTTCACTAACAGTTCGCGGATATGCGAGAGAAATCATGCGAATCAAAAAGTACTTTTTAGATTTAGCAAAGTGTTGATGAGAATGAAAGGAATAGAATTAAAATATGTTGAGAGAGAATATTGAGTTTATATTAAAACATTTATAGTTTAGCTATAAAAAATTGTATGTAAAATCATTAAAGTGATATGTAAAAGATAAGAATTATGTTAAAGTTTTATGTCAGGGTCAAATATCATCATCATCATCATCATCATCATCATCATATAATTTTTAATATTTTATCTTTTTCTATCTCCACCCTTACATTTTTAATTCATGACTGCTGGTCTCGTCACGTCTTAAAGTCGCTTTCTAACAATCTGTCACCAAATCTTGAATGCTTGAGCACTTTCATTTGTCTGTGGAAAAAGATCTTGCATTACAACTATTGTCCAAGTCTTTGTCGTCTTACAAGGCATATATACAATAACAAAATAAGATTCAGACTTGAAAGAAATAAATTTAAAAAATTTTTATCTCATCCAGTCTGACAGTTAAATAAAATGAATGAGACAAGAAATGTTTTTGCACTGTTTGTGACATGGTCAATAAATTTTCATAATATTCATAATGCGAATCAAAATAATATATAATTAGTTCAAAAAAGATGACTGAATTCTAAGATTAGAATTATGTTAATTCTATGTTTATTTTGAATTATTAATAATTTTAACATTTGTTAGTGATAAATCAAAGCAGCTGTATGTTACTTAAGTATTAAAGTTTGTCTACATGAGAGCTAAATGTATGTATGTCAAAGAATACAAGAGTTAAGTGACAATATGCACCGGTGACATACGCAACGATACAGTGAAAGTTCAAAGTATTCTAATGAGATGGTTAGACCATCAATTTGCAATTCACTGGTAATGTTTTAACAGTAATAATAAAAAGTTACTTATTCTTAGATGATGAAAGAAAAATTATTTATATCGACATCGTTATTTTTATTCTGTCATTAATACACATGACATATATTATCTACAAATCCTTTTAATTCTTTCTGAACATTGTATCAAATTTTTTTGCATTATTAATACAGCAACAATTATCAATAAAAAATGACGTAAATAATAATCCAGTTATGCTTTTAATAATTATAAAATAGTACTTGATTGGATGGATGTAATAATTATTGTCTTCATAATTATAAAAAAAAATATAACTCAGGGGAAAAAATATGTTGTTGGCATTGAATAATCAATTACTCTTTATTCCAATGCCTACTGAAAAAATAAATGACAACTTTTTTTCATGCTAATATTGAAGAGTTAGTTAAAGATATCAAGAATAGTTGATAGCTATTTGATGATAACAAGTTGAGTATTGAAGATATAATAGCTAATATGATAATTGAATATTCAATATTACCTGAAAATTTTTGGTATGTTCAATTAACTGTTATTCACGTCGGCTGCAATAATACAGTCCTTTCTTTGGCTGGTCAAACACGACTGAAGAGGACTGCTAAAGGACTCGGTCTGTTCTACTCGCGCGATGAGTGAACGCAAACGAGAGATACCACCTGGGGGAACGCGTTCACCTCGCCAGAAATCCGGCCACTGGAACTTGAATCGCATGTGCATGACGTTCTTGATGGTGCGAGAACTTGAAGAAGTCTGGGGTATCAACTTTCATCTAGGAAGGGCGAACATGCTAAATACTCGAGTGATAGTCTTACTTTGATCCAATCAAGTCGCTCATACTTGTATGGTATTGTTGTAGATTACATGATTGATATCTGGAAGTCACTTGATTATATATTCGTAATACTTATTTATTTAGCTGAATGATTTTTCATTTTGCTCTGATAATAAACTTAATCATTGATTACAATTAAATTTTATTATGTAATAAACAATTTTAACTTCTAGTTTTTTTTCATTCACTTATTTATCCTTTCTATAAGTCAATAATGCTTCATTAGAACAAAAAGTTTAGCAATAAAAATCAATTAATTAATATTTATAATCCTTCCAAAGTTATTCATGTTTTTGAAGAGGAATTTTTTTTTTATAAGGAAAATGATAAAGAATATCCGGTTAAAATATAGATTAATATTGACCTTATTTCATTATTATCTTTTTCATCTACCTGTATTCGTCATTTTGATCCATATATAAGTGTTGATTCGATTGATTTATTCAAGTATTTTTTATAATACTCAACTCCAGGAACTTTTACCACAAAATGATTTTAAATCAAACTCATTTATCTATTATTTATTTAATAGTTAACTTTTTAACAATTTATAATGTTCATAGTAAAAGGTTGGATGGAAATGATGAATTCTGTAAGTAATTATTCTTATTTATTTAACTTAAAGACTATCAGGAAATTGAAAAATAATCATTTGTTATTATCAGAAAAATCATTTGGGAAGTGTTACATTTTAGAAATATAATACTACCATTATATATAAGAAATTTCACTCAAAAATCAAAATATAAACTGTATCTACAATGAAAGAGAAATATTTGATTGATGACGTAATAGGGAAATATAAACACTTTTCAATTATAAGTAAATGAAGTTCCCTGTTATGGATATAACATTGAATATATAAATGTTGTTTCAGTATTAAATAAATAATAAATAACATTTCTTCGAAATATTTTTAACTTGTTAACATATCATTAGTCAACAATTATCAATAAAATCATCAATGATTGTAATTTAATCATTAATAATCGTTTCAGCTGATTTAAGATAATTAATTGTTTTTTATTGTTCAAATAATGATAATTATTGTCGTTCTACATCTTCAAAGCTTAGAGATATTAATAATTTAATATTAATTAATTATTTTATGTTTAATACATCATTCAACAAAGAAAGTATAAAACAATGTAATGGATAATAATTCAATAATGTTAATTTTTAATTATTTATTTTACTTGGATATTTTCTTTAAATTATTTTCACAGCAAGTAATGAAGCTGATGAATTTAAAGTATATTCAAGATCTTCTTCAAGATGGAAAATCCATACGTATTTCAAGGATAATGACGACGACTATCAAAATGCTAATTTTAACAATAGAGTGAATTTCAATAGAAAGCGTATTTCAGTACCAGGACAAAACCATACAAATCCTTCTGGAAAATTTTCAACTCCAGAAGAATGTGCAAGACCTTGTGAAGCAAATACCCAACCGTTGACTTGTTATTACCACTGGACTTTTGAGTATTATCATACATTGGGTGGGTTAGTAAAGGATTTCCACAACATTTTTCTATAGCAATTAAAGAATAAAGTCCATTTAACTTATTTCTTAATAAGATAATTTTTTTTCAATGGAGAATGTCATTAAGTAAATAGCAAACTATCCTTTATATTACTTACAGGGCTTGTGAATTATGCCAACCAACAACAAATACATCAATATACAGCGATTGTCAATGTATTGAAGCTGATGGTGTAGACTTATCGGGTATTATCGTAGCTAATAGAATGTATCCAGGGCCCGCCATTCAGATCTGTCTTGGAGATTTAGTTGTTGTTGACGTCAAAAATATGGTTCCTGGCAATGAGATAACAATTCATTGGCATGGAATTTATCAAAAGAACTGGCAGCATTATGATGGCGTACCTTATCTTACTCAATGTCCTATACCTGAAGCTACGACATTCAGATATCAATGGAGAGCTCAGAATATCGGATCACACTTCTGGCATGCTCACACTGGTCTTCACAAAGCACAGGGACTTGATGGTGCTATTATTATTAGGCAACCACGTCAAGATGATCCCAACCAGAAGCTTTATGATGTTGATGGGTTAGATACTATCGTATTTCTCTCTGATGTTTTACATCGAAGTCCCGTAGATCATTTCCCGGGAACTACTTATAAAAATGTTGGCCAAGTTCCTGATAATTTCTTGATAAATGGAAAAGGACAATGGACGGTATGATTCTTTTTTGAATCATTATTTGTTAATTTTTTTTTATTTTAACAATTTAATTATTTAAAAAAAAATTGGTTTCTAATTTAAAATCCATTGACAACAATTGAGATCCAAGACCATAAAAAATCGGAAAATTTTGGTTTAAATATTCAAGCATTTAGATATCTTTCATGAGAAAGTTTTAAAATGAATTGGTTTTGATGTAATTGAATACCTTTATTGTAGGATCCTGTAACTGGTAACATTACTACTACACCACTGGCAGTTTTCAACGTTCAGCAAGGACTACGTTATAGATTTAGAATAATTAATGCCTTCAGTCTCGGCTGCCCAGCACACTTAATTATTCAAAATCATAATCTTACGATTATAAGTGTTGACGGAGAAGATGTTAGACCACAACTTGTTACCACGGTGACAACTTTTTCTGCAGAACGTGTTGATGTTATTCTTAATGCAAATCAGAGTATTGGAACTTATTGGATACAATTGCGAGGTTTGAGTGGATGTTCTAATCATAATGTTCAACAACTTGCCATTCTTCGCTACATGGGTTCGGATCTTTCAACACCGTATGCCAATAGACCTGTTCACACTCCTGGACTTCCTCGAGGAGTTGTTAGTAAAAATATTATTAAGTTATTTTAATATAAATCTTAAAAAACAAATTGTAAACAATTTAGATTTTTGACATTATTGTTTTAGATTTTTAATGAAGTCAATCACGTTTGTGATGATGATAGTGACAATATGATATGTATCAAAGACTTGCAAAGCTCTGAACCAGTTCATGAAAAAATTCTTAAGAGAAAGTCGGATGTTCAAGTATTTTTAGCATTTTCTTTCTATGTTTATGACAATGAAGATCTATTTAAACCCAATACATACCAGCGATTCGTAGGTACATTGAACCAAGTTCTTGAATCATGAATGTAATCTTATGCTAACTAAACAGGTTTTTTTTTGAAGAATATTCATTTAAAAAAAAAAATATTTAATTTAATTTGTTTATTTTCTATTCCACTTGACTCAATAATTAAATTTCTTTCACTTGATGTTTTAGTTCCAAAACCTCATATGAGTCTTACAGCAACGGTCAACAATATTTCATATATCAATCCATCCTCTCCACTTATCAGTCAACTTGATGATGTTCCTCAAGATCAAATTTGTAATTCAACTAATTTACCAGCTCGTTGTTTAAATATGACTATTTGCCCATGTACGCACGTCGTTCACGTGCCATTGGATGCGGTTGTTGACATCATTTTGATTGACGCAGGTAAAATAACAAAAGTATCTCTCATCTTTTTATAAGACATTGACTTCTACGGTTATTAAACTTTACAGATCCAATAGGAATTTCACATCCCTTCCATTTGCATGGTTTTGGCTATCATGTAATGGGCCAAGGTCTTTTATCAAATGTAAATTTGTCAGAAGCTAACAAAAAAATTGCTCTTGAACTTGATAGAAAGGCATATCCTCGTACTAATAATCGACCACCAACGAAAGATACTCTAGCCATAGCATCCGGTGGTTACACCATTGTTCGTTTTATTGCTGATAACCCTGGTAAATATCTTTTTATAAAGCAATGTTTAATATTTTTTTTATATCAGAGAATAAATTGGAAATAAACCCTGATGTATTCATGTCAACTGTTTAATGAAAGTTGCAATTAGGTTAATAGTAAACTGAGATTTATCAATTATGAGTTAACCATTCACAAACGGTTGCTTAAGAGTTGATTATTGGTTAATTGAACCTCATATCAACTTATAATAAATTAAAAGGTAAATGAACGGTTTAAATTTGGTTAAGAGTTGTTTCTTTTGCAACTGTTGCTTTACATTTAAAAAAAAAGAAGAAAGGTTACATTCGGGTAAACAGTTGATTGAACGTTGCATGTTGGTTAAATAACTGTTTTTTTTATCGCACATTGTGATTGTTGTTTTAAGGTTAACAATTAGTTGCCTCAAATCCATCAGGGTAAACAATCAAAGTTGTATACTGATTGTTTTTTATTTGTTTTAGGATGGTGGTTTTATCACTGTCATTTTCTTTCGCATTTATACAACGGCATGGGTTTAATTTTCCGTGTTGGTGAACAAGAAGATCTTCCGCCTACACCAGAAAATTTTCCAAGGTGTGGAAATTATGTTCCTGAAGTTAACACATCCACTCCAAAACCAAGGAAGAAATTAAAACAGTATCAAAATATTTAAAAATAAATTATTGTCAGTTTGTATTTATTATAGTAATTAAAAAATAAAACATAGAAATAATAAAGAAAAAATAAAAATGTCTTCATACAATTGGTTACATGCATTTCATTGGTTTCATGATGAGGTAAAACAGTTCTCTTATGAAAGCAGTAGGCAATGACGAGATTTTCTTTAATGCTTTATGAAAGATGGAGTTACCTGAATGATCGTTTAAATGACATTATTTCATTGCATTACTCCAGTCCTAAATGTGCATCAACGTGTAATTTAAAACAATCTACTTCAAGGATAATAAATTCAATCACAGAAAAAGCTGCTTTAGTTTGTAATGGGTTCAAACGTGGATGTTAATAATTGTAAAGAACACGAGTCAAGGGTAACAACAATTTTTAAAGTTCTTTGACATGATGCAGAATTGTGGAACTTTCCATCAAGTGACCTAGTTTGCATGAACCTGCTTCCAGATAAACCTGGCTGGTCTGGATTGTTTAAACTTCTCATATACTTAAATACAATCTTAGGTCACGGAAATTTTTTTTACGTGACTTTGATGATTGCAAGAAACTCATTTGAAACTTTTTGTAAACAAGGAAATACGTACTTGCATCATAATAATTGTGCAATGTAAAAGTAATTGAGGCTCAGTATGTGATTTATAAAAAAAAATGAAGTACAAAATGCCTGTGATAAATGAGATCTTTACTAGAGTTAGTAAGAGAATGAATAAAAAATTTTATGGTACTTTAGCTGATTAAGATGGCGAGCTAGTAAAACAGCAATAACTAAATATTGCACCACAAAAACCTCATCTTAAATGATGGGATTTACTTCTAGAGATGTGCATAAAGAAATTATTTACAGAGATAGTTGACCGACTTATATAGAGAACGCAATAAAGGTCCTTTCACCCAAAATAAAATGATTTATTTAAATTATGTCTATTAATTTACATAAATTATATAATTTTTTACCAATAAAAAACGTCATTACTATTAATAACCATAATAAAACTAATGACCATACATAAAAATTAAAATAATAAAATAGATTTTCTATTTTGAATTTTTAGTTTATTTGTTCTGATAGCGTAAAAAAGTAAGGCCTTTCTAAACATTATAGTACCCACGATGCGGGGTATCCTCATTCGTGAACTTGTTGAATAAAATTGCGAGAAACTCCAGTCAACAACAGTCTCTGAAAGTGACTGCACTGACATTAGAGTGTTGTACAGGAGTTATTGTTAAGTGACACATTATTTTTCTGAACTCTAACTTTTTATATAAAAAATTAATTCTTCTTTTGAGTAATTTATTCTGAATTAGTGAAATGGATTTTAATTCAGATTAAAGAGAAAGTTTATTTGCTTGATGAAGATTAATTTTCAAGATTTACTCATTTTCTGAAATAAATTACAGAAATGGATTTCAAAGAATTCATTTTGATAATCTATGATATTTTAGTGTTTTTATGGCTCTCAATTGTTTATATAGCAGAAGCTTTAATCCTTTGTTTAATTCCACGACAGTATCTAAGTAAAGACATTAGAGGAGAAGTAGCATTAGTTACTGGTGGTGCAGGTGGATTAGGAAGATTAATTGCTAAGAAACTCGCAGCTCTCGGTGCTCATGTTATCATCTGGGATATTGATAAATTAGGTAAAGACATAATAATTTACATTTAACAACTTTTTTTTACTATTTTTCACTTAATCATCATAAATAATGTAATATTTTCTCATTTGATCTATTTAAATGTGGAACTGATTTTAATAATCATCACTAAATTATTCCATTGGCACTTTGATACTTTCCTAAATGTCATAAAAAATTATAAAAATGGATAATGTGCATACGAATAGGAATTTATTGTAATTAATATGTTAATAACGTTAATTAACATACTCATAAAATTTATTTCTTATTACTTTCAAACTATTGAATACTTTGTTATTTGTATTTCGTTTTCGTAATTTTGACTTTTCATATTTGTTCATTTTTATCTTAAATCAACTTCAAAGCTACTGAAAAAATAGTTAAATTACATTATATTTTAAAACTCTCTAAAGATCAGGTCAATCATTAACAGTTAACCAATAAACGGTATAGATTATGAAATTAATGTTTTACCTGCTATGAATTTTGATAAAAATAATAGTTATGTAAATGATTTTACGGATCATCAATAGTGTAATAAAAGTATGCTATTGTATGTTGATTTGTATCATTTGATGCATCGTTAAACAATGAACTGTAATTCTATAAACTTTAACATCGTTGAAAATGCTTTCTTATTTTGTTGCATTGCAATGTTGAAAAATAGATACAATACATTGGATGAAGTAATATCTGAAATATAAATTATACGTGAAGTTTCAATTTAATGACAGTTCCTACATTACAAGAAAATTAATTAGTCACGTAAATATTTACACATATCCGTTTGTATTTATTTTCAGGTATTCAAGAGATAGTAAGTGAAATACAGAGCACTGGTGGTAAATGTACTGGATATGTTTGTGATATTACCAATAAGGATGAAGTTTACAATACTGCTAAAACAATTAAAATTGAAGTTGGAAATGTAAACAAAAGATTCTATTTGATTATTCAAATATTCATTTTGCATATTAGACTTTTATATTGATGTTTTACTAATTGTTTTTTCAAGGTAACGATAGTTGTTAACAATGCGGGTTATGTTTGCGGAGAATTATTTATGAATCTTCCTGATAACGAAATTGAAAGAACTTATCAAGTCAATATACTCTCACACTATTGGGTAACTATAGATTATGATGTATCTTACAAATTTATTTTAGAAAATATTATAAATTGAATAGCTGGATAAATTGCTTAGTTATAGTATGCAAAGAATATTTATAATTATTGAAATTACTTTTTCAATATGGTGTTTAGATAAATAAATCCTTTCTCAAAGAAATGATGAAAGAAAATCACGGTCATATTGTAACTATTGCAAGTGTTGCCGGACTATTAGGTACATATAGGTGTACAGATTATTCTGCAACAAAGTTTGCAGCTGTCGGATATCATGAAAGTCTTTTTTCTGAGCTCCAGGTAAATATATGTAAAGTTTTTTTATCTTCTCAAGCAGTTAAGTACATTCAATTTTCACAGGCACATGGCTATAATGGAATTCATACAACTCTTATATGTCCATACTACATCAATACAGGAATGTTCTCTGGTGTAAAACCTAGGTAAATAGAGATGACGTAATTAGACATAATTTTACTTAGATGAAAATCCAAGATTTTTGAAATGATATTACAATAAAAATATGAATCTAAGTTAATTATAAGGTAATTAATTAGTTTTAATTTAACAAAAAATTATATTATTGAATAAAATCCTTTGGTATTGTAGGTTAATGGCAATGCTTGAGCCCGAATACGTTGCAGAAGAGATTGTGATTGCTATTTTGACCAATCAAATATACGTAGTCTTACCAAATAGTGCTAAATTTTTTTTGCCTCTTAAAAAGTGAGTGAGATTTATAAGCTTGTTAATATATTTACTTAAAAATTTAATGGTTTTTGAAAAGTGAAAAACACAATTATTAACGAACCGGTTTTTTAGCTGGTTACCACCGAAATTGGCCTGGGCTGGGATGTACAACCTTATCAAAGGTCCTCAATCGATGATGACATTTCAAAAAATAAAAAATCAATAATACCTACACTTGTACTTATTTGGCACTTATACTTTATTGCAAACAATAACAATTGGTCAAACACATAACATATGTAAACAATCATAAAGACACCAGTTAATAGTAGTTTATTACAGAATTAAATCCATGATATAAATAGTGTGATAGTTTTAGAACTTTAAAAAGTTAACTATTTAATTATCAAGAGTTTGTTTATGTACATAAAAAATAAAAATAAAAATCGTTTTATTTTCTAAAGATGAAAAAAAATTGAAATCCTAATTTTTCCACTTTTTTTAAAGAAATATGTTACAGTGCCACCTGTAGTGATTACTTGGTACTCTTGACAACCAAAATAATCATGGACATGAACCTCAATAAAAGCCAAGAGATTTGGCTTGTAAAAACTTTTCTTGTAAAAAAAAAAAGAAACACAAATTAAATTTGTAAATATTGTGTAACATCTAATAATATTCTATGATATAATTAATTTTTATAAATTTTTAATTAAATAATAATCACGCGACCTTGCGGACGACCTTTAAATTAGTATCGTTCGACGGTGTTCAAGCATTGCGATCCTTTATTGGTGATTAGTGTCCTGTTTTTAGAATAAATAAAGGTAAAAGTATTGAAAAAATATCTCCATCATCAGTAGGCATTAGAGGTGGAGATTCAAACAATCATTTAAAAATATTAATAGTAAAAATCACTTAGAATTTAACGAGAAATGTTGCTACGAACGACTGTTCAACTCCGCAATGATTTGGCTCGGGTGACACTACGTAATGCTGTGCGTATAAACGTCGTCAGAAGCCTAACAACGCGATGTCTTCACAGAAAATCTCTTCAAAGGTATCATCAACATCAAATATAAAGTTAGACTATAAATTCATATTTTGTTTGTGTTTTAATCATTCAAGTATTCAACTCTATCGAGCTTGAGGTTAAGTTAGTCATAATCATGATTATCAATTATATAAATTTATACAACTCATTAGGTATCAAGGATGCAGTTTTCGACAAACAATAGACCCCTGGAGGCAACAATTCAGATATTATGCAGACTATCCAGATCATGTCAAAGTTACACTGCCAGCTTTATCACCTACTATGGAAACTGGTACTATTATCAGTTGGCAAAAGAAAGAAGGTAAGTTTACAATTATGAAGATGGTTTACTCGAATGAAAGATAACGTTAATGTTTTTTTTTTAGGTGATAAATTAAATGAAGGAGATCTTTTAGCGGAAATTGAAACTGACAAAGCCACTATGGGTTTTGAAACTCCAGAAGAAGGATATTTAGCTAAAATAATTGTACCAGCGGGTACAAAGAATATCAATATAGGTTCATTAGTATGTATTATCGTTTCTGATGAAGGGAGTGTTGCTGCATTCAAAGACTTTAAAGATGATGGATCTGCTGCTGCAGCTTCATCAGCTCCAAAACCAGCTGCAGCTCCAGCATCTCCTCCACCTCCCCCACCACCATCACCATCATCAGCTGCTCCAACTTCTGCTCCACCTCTCATGCCTACTATTAGTGGAGACAGAGTTTATGCTAGTCCATTGGCTAAAAGATTAGCCACTGAACAAGGCTTAAGTTTACAAGTACGTAATAAATTAAATTTTAACAAGTCACTGTGGTTTTAAGAAAAACTAATTCTATGTTCTTATTAAAGGGATTAAGAGGCTCAGGATTATATGGATCCATAACTTCCAAAGATTTACAAGGTGCTGGCCCAGCAATGGCTATGGGATCTGCTTTTGGTGGTGCAGTAGATATGCCTGTATCAAATATTCGTGGTGTCATAGCAAAACGATTATTGGAAAGTAAACAAACTGTTCCCCATTATTATTTAACGATCGATGTAAGGATGGACGCTGCTCTCGCAATGCGAGAACAATTTAATAAAATGTTAGAAAAAGAAAAAGTAAAGATAAGCGTAAATGATATCATCATCAAAGGTATGGCCATGGCGTGTAAAAAAGTACCGGAAGGTAATAGTGCTTGGTTGGGAAATGTTATCAGACAGTAAGTGAATAAATGAAATAAAATTTATAATTGATAAGAAAAGATAATAACTTTTATATTTGATAATTAATCTTTTTTGCAATAGATATGATAATGTTGATGTGAGTGTAGCAGTGAGTACAGAAGCGGGACTTATTACTCCAATTGTTTTTGGTGCTGATTGGAAAGGTATTGCGCAAATCAGTCAAGATGTTAAAGCCCTCGCTGCTAAGGCCAGAGAAGGTAAACTTCAGCCACAAGAATTCCAAGGTGGAACAATTACGATATCAAATCTGGGAATGTTTGGTATTAAAAATTTCTCTGCTATCATTAATCCACCACAATCGATTATTCTTGCGGTTGGAATGACAGAAACTAGACTTATACCGGCCAACAATGAGAAGGGGTATGTATAGAAACGTGATTGAAATAAATCAATTTTTATCATCATTTGATTAAATTTATTCATTAATTAATAATCAATTTTTAGATTCACTACTGCCCAATTTATGTCAGTAACTGCCAGTTGTGATCATCGAACAGTTGATGGTGCTGTTGGAGCTCAATGGCTTTCAGCATTTAAGAATTTAATGGAAAATCCTACAACAATGTTACTTTAATTAAATAATGAAATAAATTAATTGGCATTGAATAGTTGAAAGCACGTTTGAGAAGTAATATTCTCTACAAATACTTGACGATACGTATTTTAAAAGTACCTTTATGCGGTAATGAAATGCTTTATTTGCATTAAATTAAAGGATTTATTTTCCTTTTATTTCGAACTTTCGTAAATGTACGGTTAAATTGATATGGTTGATAGTGTAATAATGACAGAGTACTAATTAGTATAAAATATGAAAAGGAAAGGATAAAAACTACTCAAAGTCATTGCAAATGAGAGTATTGTCTTTTCCAATGTATAATAGATCAACTTTATATAATATCTTTTAAACATGTAGAGTGATAAAAAAAAATTGCTAAGATGACTTTAATACCGTGAAAATGGTTATTTTGTCGATCAATCAGTAATTTTTATGTCCGTTATGGTGCTGATTAATTTGTGTACATAAAATATGTCGCGAAAAAATTATTCAAAAGATGTCATCGATAATGTTATTACTCACAGTCAAATACGATGAATCGCTGTATAATAAATGGTTATGAAGATCTATATATGTAAACTAATTTTACGTTAATTTTTCCTTGTTGCCAATAGTTTTTTCTTTTTGTATTTTAATTTTAACAATCCTAAAAAGAAAAAATAACAAAAATTAAAGCAACATATCGACAATGACTGAAATTTTAATATCAATAATATAAATCTGTAATTTATTCGTAAAAAATGAATTGAACTAAGAAAAAAAGTATTGTTAAATTTTGTTTAAAGAAATAAATTGGACACAATTAAAAAACTTTCTGATTCTTTCGAGAAACTACAATAAACGCTCTCTTCTGTAGATAAAGAAGATTTTTGTTCTGACATTTTCTTCCTGGAATTATAGCTGGCGAAATAATCAGTTTTGACAAAGAATACTAAGCTTCCTTAGTATTTTTTGATTTTGATGTTATTCTTGAATTGTAATTAATAATTTTTAAAATAATTATTCCATAAACATGTTAATTTCACGAGGAAGGGCTATTTTAAGACATGTATCTGCTTTGACAAAACAAAATCGTTTGCCAATGCAAATTTCTGTAAGAAATGGTGGACATGAGTGAGTATAAGTTATGTAATTTGATAAAAAATCATAGGTTAAGTTTCATTGAAAGAACAATAACAATATCTAATAATATTTACTCTGTTATAAGAATTGTGCGCTTATATTTCTTATACTCGTTAAAAATAATGATTACATTTACAGGGTTTTTTATCGATTTGTTCCTCGATCTCCAAGGTATGAGAGAATAATATCTGAATTTATGGCTGGATTTATGTGGTGGTGGATATTCTGGCATTTGTGGCATGATTGGGGGCATATTGTTGTAAGTATTAAATATTTTCGTTTATTTAAAAATGAAACAATCAATTATTTTACTCCAATATATAAAATATTTGCTAGAGGTTTATCCAATCAAGTCTATCTCTTGAAAAATCATGCACTTTTCTTACCGTATATTATTAAATTTTTTTTGTATAATATTGCTTATTTATTTGATATTTTTTAGGGAGAATTTGATTTACCTGATCCTTCAAGTTGGACTGACGAAGAATTAGGAATTCCACCTGATGATGCCGATTAAGTTATTTGTTATAAAATAAAAAGGTGGTGTAGATAAAGACATTATAGATTCATTGTAAGGAAAATAATAATTAATAATAATTAAGAGTAATACTGTTAATAATACTATCTACTATATTATACACAACACTTATTATCAGCTTTAATATAATAAGAGTTTGTATTTTCTTTGTTATTACGTTCATTCAATTAATTTCATATCAAATGTTATCATAGCAGTGATTAATCTAGCAATAACAAGTATTTATCATATCTAAGTAACCCATCAACGCGTAATATTTATCACTACTTCCCAATAACCTTTTAAATTCTCTCAGATCATTGTTATAATTATATTCTTCATTACGAAGAATGATTGACAAAATTTTCTTGATTCATTATTATATATAAAAAAAAAATGCATTCATTGATAACAAAAGGGAAGGAGTGGAGATGGAAAATGAAGTTTGATAGAATAACAGAATGAAATAACTGAACGTAAATTAAACATTAAAAAAAAAGAGTGTAGAAATATGTTGTCTGGTATCGTTTAATGAATTTGATATTTAATCTTTAGTACAACAGGTCAACAGCTTTTAGAAAATTAAAAAATTGGTGCATCATTATGACTGAATTGTTACTTTTTCGTGTGATAATAGATAACGAGCTGGCGCCGTACGAGGTCATAAAGTGGGGGGAAGTAGTACAGTCTGGTTTTCAAGCCCCTTTTTCTCCTTCAAAGTCTCATGATTCGGTCCCTCTCTTCAATCATTTTGAAATGAAAGAGCGAGTGGGATAGTCAATCAGGAAGAAGAGTGGGAGATTGGTGGCCTATAGTTATCACAAGCAGAGGCAGCGCCGCACTGCGAATCCGTGTTACCGCTTCTGTTTGGGGCAGTACTGCAGCTTACACGATTGCTGAACAAGCTGTATCGGAGTAACGTGAACACGCTGTATCGTGAATACCTGGAAGCGCAAGTATTTTTTAAATAAACAGCGTCAGGAGCGTTGGTATAGTTGTTGTTGGCGAAAGTTTTCTGACAATCAAGAAGAAGAAGAAGATTCAAAGCATTTTTCAACAGTAAACCGATGAAATATTAGTTGGGTGCGAATTAGCAATACTCACATCGATGAAGCAGCATAATTGTGGATGAATATTACGGGACAGTCATTAATTGTCGCGGTGTTTAGTTGAATAGACGATTACAAAGTGTCTTTGTATTGCCGCGACAGGTGGCCGATGCCGGTGTCTGCTCGCATGTGATCGGCATTCCTCGGTACTGGCGAATTCGCACGCGCGAGGTCACACACGCTCGTGCCATATGAACTCGAGAGTGTTGTGTATCAGTGAAAAAGAAGTGGAGTCGAGGAAGAGAGGAGGAGCGGCGTATTGTCGCTAGCTCACTCGCTCTCTTTCTCTGTTGTCAGCTGCGTTATCGAAGAAAAAAAGTATATACAGCAAAAGTAATTATCATAATCATAATCATAGTAATAATAATAATAATAATAATAATAATAACAACAATAATAATAATTGTCACAAGTAGACAGTATATAAAACGAGCGTTGCTTCTGTTTTAGCATCCTGGAATTACGTGCTTCCGGATCCCTCTTCATTCCCTCACTCTCCTCCTCTTCCTCTTTCCATACCATCTCTTCCATTCTTCCATCTCACTTGTCTTCTGCCACGAAAAACGTCTACGCGCTGTGATAAATCGCTCAGTATCGCGTAACGCGCATTCATCCAACGGCTCAACCGGTGCCTGACTTTTTTTCTTCCTGCTTTCTTCATAATCATGAGACTCTGAGATCTTAAAAGACAAGTATCTCTCAATCTTCAGAGAATCTTGAGATAATTTCGATTGATAGAGAAAGGAATTGTTGACGAAGGAAATAATAATAAGACAAAAATAAAAAAGAAGACGGCGAAAAAAGCGAGGAGAAGACATCGATCGTCGCACCCGAGCGAGGCAATCGGATGCGATCGAAAGCGAGTTGGAATTGCGGGAAGCAGCTGCGGGTGCAGCGCCTCAAGTTCCTACCGCGACCAGTAAGTTTTATTATTTTTTTCAAGTATTATTAAGATATCGACGTTGAATTATCGACAATTAACCCACCTACCTTGCTTACATTCTTTCTTTTTCTTGTCATTAATTCTCTTCATTCACTAAGTTTACCCGGATGGCAAATATTTAACGGTATATTGAAATAATTCAGGTTTTGATTTGATTGAAGAAGTGAAAATCTAATATATACGTGATTGTACTGAAGAAAGGCTTTTTGTTTTAATTTGTTTAATCTTCATTTGTATCTAGATGGCCTCGAGAAGTATATAGACAAGATCTTTTTCGTTGTCATCACTCATCAGCCCTTTTTTTCGACTGTTTGACGCTGAGCACGTATACGTCATTGTCAAGACGCCAGAATATTCTGATACATAGGACCATTAAAAGAAAAATTGATAAACGTCTGGCGTTTAACCGAGCCCCCAACCACGCGCCTTTATCTAAAAGTTTTTTTCTCTCTCTTTGGTAGCTTCTGCGACTTTGCAGTCTTTGGATGATGTTTTCGAGTCCGGTGATATGTTGGTCGAGTGTTTGACACAGGATTTTCGTGTATGCATACACGCACAATCATACTAACTCTTTACTAAGTACAGACCACATTTCCAACCATTCGAACATGCCTGCAAAAATATTGGTCAAATCCAGACTGTGCAACTAGCACGTAATCGTTGGTAAACTTTATTCTTTTTTCCTTCTTCTTGCTTTTAAAAATATCACATATACTTCAATGTACATTAGTTCTATCTTGGCAAACTTCCAAAGGAGATAGTAATTTTCTTTAAATTTTTATGACAAAATAACAAGTAAATGTTTATCTTCTAATTCATGATAAAAATCAAGCGGGAAAAAAACGAAAAACTTTACGCGTTATAAACATTTATCGTTGTATCTGTCAAGATATAAGTCTTCAAGTAGGTAATCTTTAGACAGTAGATCTCTGATGATAGTTTTTTTTACTTTTTTTATTTATATTATGGTTTGACATCTACCTTAATTTTTTTTTTTGCTCAGTAAATTTGTGATAATTTTTTTCACAGAAAGCTTCTGTGATTAAATCAATTGTAACAACCTTGTTCTATTTAACTTATTCGATAAATATTTAAAATTTGTCTATGATTTCGTTTATTGTCTTTTTAAATTTTTAATCGCATTAATATCATATTATTATTGTCATAAATCTTCGGATGATTGTATTTTACTATCATAAGATATATTTTCAAGTATAAAACTCTTAAAAACTTATGTGTTTATATTTTTTTTTCTCGTTTACTATACTAGGACTGATTATCAACAAAGTTATTTGTATAGTTTACATTTTTCCCCTAGTAAACATGTTGTATTAGATTTTTTGGAGTTTTTAATTTAATTTTATTCTAATCAGTCCATCCAAATATTTTATATCTATTATCTGCATAAACAGTTGACAATATTGACTTTATATATTTTAATGCATAAATCTTTTTTATTATTCGGTAATCCATTTAATTCTCTTTCCATTAACCTTACTTTTATTTATATTTATTATTAAATATTTGAAAAATAAATTCCTTCAAAATTTATAATCATAAACTTCTTACTCTCTCTCTCTCTCTCTTCTTGTAGAGTTTATTACTGTTTGTTTTAATTAAAAAAAGATCAAAGGCTTGAAGCTGTTGTACGCATTATTTTATCTTTATATTTCTTCGAATAATTTATAAAAAGAGAGAGTTTATAATATTAATAATTGATATTTTTTGCTAACCAAAATTATTATTTTGTCTTTGATTTTTTGTTTTAATTGTAAATTTTATTTTAATAATAACAATGAATTTGATTCTAATTACTTCTCACTAATAAATTTTTAATTTAATTGTCGTTAGATTCTCACGTGTTAATTAAATTTATCATATTTTTATCCTTTTGAAGTAGGTGAAAATTATGAGATAGACAAAATAGGCTGATTTAAACTTCATAAATAATGAATTAAATGAAATTGCTCTTTCAAATATGAACATGGTCAATATTATAATAACTCCCATTACAGTCATCCTTTTTTTAATAATATATATGATGTTATTGCTTATAATAATAATGCTAATGGGCAGTCCAATGATAATTAAAATAAAATTAATAATTATGGAAAATAATGCTTTTATTAAAATCTCAAATAAAATTAGATTGAGACCAAGAAAAATGTGAAATACAAGTAGGATAAAGCTGAGGCCTGAGAAAAATAGAATTAGGACGAATTTAAGATAAAATTAAAAAATTTTCGTCCTATTTGTCCTTTGTGAGTTAAATTTAAAAAAATACAGTTTTAGCATCAAAATAAGATGAAAATAAGTGTTATATTATGACCTAGGTAGTTAATTGTTTTTAAATGATATTTTAAAAATTAATTGTTTAATATTAATCATTTATTTTTATTATCTATACGACTTTTTGTCACGAATACCATTAAGTTATTTTTAATTAAGGGTTCTCAGTAAATATTTAACTCTCTTGTATTTTTAATTTAATTGTTTCTTCTTTTCATCCAATTACACGTGAGTGAAATTGAGAGTGAAAGAAAAATATATATTTTACATTATCGTTAAAAATAAACCTCACAGAAAAAAAGCATCTTCCTTATTTTCTACGAACTGAGAATTTTAAGTGAGGAAATCTGAGCTTGTGATGAAGAAAAAACGTATTTTCGGAAGGGGAAATTAGTGTTGGGGGAATTTTACCGCGTGTTAAAATGAAACTTACATTCCTCAGGGGATGTCAAGTCAGAGAAGGAAAAAGTATCGAAATAAATTGAAAGCTCTTGATTGGAGTATCAAAAAGGAATAAAATCAAGTTAAAAAGTTTATTATATATAGAGATATTTATGTATAGAAAAGAATTTATATATATATATATATATATACACATAAAAGAAGAAATAAAAATGCATTATTTGATAAAAGTTCTTAATAAAATTGCCCTAAAAAAAGCAGTTAGCTGGATTTCATTTATTTTAGTTATTTTTTTTATTGCTCTAAATAATCAAAAGAAATGACGAAAAAAAAAACATAAAATAAAAATGCTGTATAAAATATAAATAATCAATATTTTATATCAAAAATGATTAAACATTAATCAAAATAATAATACTTTACTGAATAATACTTTTTTAATATCATTTTAATAGCATGAATAATTAATAATCAATTTCTCAGAATAAAACAATAGACTTTTATTATAAATAAATCAAGATGCATTTTTAATTGGAAAAAATTGATTAAATTATTAAAAAGAGAAGGGAAAAATTAAAGTTTAAAAGTGAAAAAAAGTGTCCTTTTGTAAATATAAAATAGAAGATATTTATTATAAAAATATATGAAATATTAATGAAATATAAAATATAGAATAGATTGTTTTGGTTTGAAATAAAACTTGTCGAGTCTGGTTTGTAATTATGGTTCCATTGTCTATGCATAAACGCGAAACGTGCGTGATGTCTTGAATGCATTTTTTATATTTTTATTGTGATTCGGTTGATAGAGTAGGGGAATATGATAAGAATAGGTCCGGCCCTGTTTTCACCGGGGAATTTTTCGGCGATGACGACGTAAAAGACACGTACAAGTAATATAATGCGCAATACGTATAGATACTAAAACGTGCCACGATCAACTAGGAATGTAAATGGAAGTCAAGCGCTCAACTCGGCTTGAGAGTTGTCGGTCTCTCTGCTAAACCGGCGCCAAGACCTAACGGGCGAGAAAGATTCCCTCACTGTTTTTCTTCAACGTCCATCAATAAGAAATAATTTATTCCCCATGTATGTTGATGTTTGATAATTTATTTTATTCTTACCCACATGTATGTATATACACGCAGGTGAATGTAATGTTCATGTTTAAAGAAGTTGTTTCCAAGCAACCTTGGTAACAAAATGTCTTGCAATAAATTTTTAAATAACTCACCAAAATTCGAGGGTATAACTGACGTGGAAATAGAATGCTTGCTTTCAGTTTGTTAAAGTACGATAAATTGGTATTGTCTTACGTAATGTCTAGTGTTGTCGATTGAGATACGATCTCTTGAATCGAGAGAGTATTAAATTTCTTATACCTTTTCTTCGGTAAATAGCGGTAGAATCTTTCTTCTCTTATATATCTTCTATTCCATTTCCAATTTAAATTCAACCCAACTTCTTTAGTCCACCTACAAAACTCATAAAAAACTATTTATTCTCCACAGCGTGGGAGTCAACCTCTTTTATCTTCAATTATTATTATTATTATTATTATTATATTTCTACTTTTATTCTATTTTATTTTATTTATACTTGGGTATTACTATTTTAATCATTTGTCTTACCTGATAATAGAATTGATGAGCTGCATTTATCCTTACACTAAAGTGCTATCAATTGTCTTCTATTATTTTCAAGAATTTGATACTGTTTGATGATTATGACGAATTGTGTACTTCTTTATTAAATCACCTATTCATCATAATGTAAACTTGATATACCTATTGTTCTGAATAATAATATGTTGAATGTACTTGTTTTAAATTTTTTGTTTCTGCTGTTGTAAATAAATTATTTGTAATTGAATTTATGACAATTCTATTCAAGTTTACATTTCTCTATTTATCTTCTTTTTTTTCTTTTTGTTTAGATTTGAAATATTTCATTCTTCAAATCAAATACAGATCTTGTGGAATAAAAACGAGTGCTTTTGAATTTTCCATATTTATTGCTCGAATAAATATAGATTTTTTCAATTATTTTCCTTTCATCATATACTTTACTTGTAACCGTATAAAAAAACTTGCAAAAGGAAGTTGGAAAAAAAACGGTTATCAACCACCAAAAAACAAAACAGGAAAAAAACTTCCTCGGTTTTATTGTTATCAGTATGATGAATAATATATAGGATTTGCGGCTGGTTTTATATCATCGGATGCGAAAAAATTAAAAAACACTTGAAAAAACATACATAAGTTTTCAATAAATTATGTTTTTTTCCAATTTATTAAAAGGTAAAAATATATTCCATTTATCTAATTTTCTTTAACAGTTTATTTAATTGTGATTATAATAATTATTATTTTTCTTTTATAAAGCAAGATCAATTGTAATTCATTTGTTTATTCACGTAAGAAATTCATGTTCATCAGTAGTCAGATCTGTTTAAATTTAACCTTGAAAGATTCATTGAATATTTTAGCAAATTAGAAGATTTAGTTTAGGGCAAAAAGTAACAATTTGAATTTTAAATATAGCATTTACCAATAAGTGATAATAGAAATCAAGATTTCATTAAAAATTACTTTATTATTTCATAAGTATTACAAAATTTTATTTAAAAAAATACATAAATGTTACTGTATTTTTCGTCATACCCGCGTAGAAAGTTCACTTTTCCATTGGAGAGGAGTTGAACTTTCTACACAGGTATGACAAAAAATTATATTCAGCCCTAGGGAGGAAAACTAGACTAGCTTAAACCACGTGTTTACAATTACGTAATTTTACACGTGGTTTAAGCTAATCTACTTTTCCTCCCTAGGTGGGAAATGTACTATTTTGTCATACCTGTGTGGAAAGTTAAACTTCTCTCCAATGGAAAAGTCAACTTTCCGCACGGGTATGACGAAAAATTTTTTTACCTGCTACCGTCTTGAGTACCTTCAAGCTAACCGTTTTCAAAGCGATCTAATTTAGTTCCACGGGTTTTCAATCATCATTTTCGTTTAAACTATAGCATTAATTAGACTGGGGTGATGAACCACCCCACGTGCCCAGTTAAGGGTGAAGAACTGGTTTCATTCTTTATCTCAATTTCTTTCAATAATATTTCATTTCAATGTTATTTCCATTTTTTCGTATTTCCAATCAAATTTTTGAACAAAAAAATTATGAAAAGACTATTAGAAATTTTGCAAAATGTATAGTAAAAATTACAATTGGATGTGGTACTTTTTACACTATTTTACAGTAGATTTCACGACAGCTTCCTATGGTCCCCAAGTACTATGAGATATATTATTTTTTACCTAAATTTTTATACTAAAAAGTATAAGAATTTTTTTTTTCTATGTATAATTGAAACTTCAATTACTTGTAATTTGATGAAAAGAAATGTTTGAATTTTAGCATAAAATTTTTTTCCTGTTTAAATTGATTAAACCACTAATCAAATTCAATGGAAAAAATGAAAAAGTTTCTTTAAAATAAAGGAAGCATTTAATTAAACAAATATCTTTTAAAGTATTTATTCAACAGAGTCGGTACTTTTAAACATTTCCTTTATCATTGTATGTAGGTGTTATAATTATGAATCATCGATTATCGTTTAAAACACAGATATTTACTCAACAATTAAGTTAACTCATAATTCACAATTTTATAGAATGCAAATGTAAACATAATTTAACTTCAATAAGTAAAGGTCATAAGGATTATTTATTATTTATTAATTAAATGAAATGTTAGTTCAATACATGGCGTGTTTATCAAATTAGTTGAGTAGGTAATTTAAGTGTAATCATCTCTGTCTCAAGATTACTGATACAACAAATGATCTATGAATTAATTGCAGGTTCGCGGAACTCAGCCAAGCTGGCTGCCTCGGCTGGTAACCCCGCCTCCGCGCATCCTCCTGTACTCTGGAGCTCGCGCAGAAAGCCAGGTGAGTGATAATCACGCGCTCAATCAACACGTTGGATGCGTGTAGGTTTACCAATTTCTTTGACACCAACTCGTGAATTCGAATCAGACCGACAGTAGTATGTTCGCACGTGCGGGCCCTGCATTGACGATACATAAGTGACAGGCAACTCGTGCGCACGATTACACATATGTGGGCACAAGTGTTATGTGTGCTGATAATCCCTCAGATCACTTGTAATTGGCCCTTGTGCTCTCTAGGTTAACTTAAGAGCAACCATTCCACTTAATTTCATTCTCCTCTAGCTACTCATCTTTCTTATTCTTTTCCACAGTCTACATCCTTCAGCTATCTTGACCCCGAGCTCAGCAAATATGTACTCAAATATAACTCACGATTTTACTTAAAAAATACCGTCCAAGAGAAAGCTTTTATCTTACTCAGATTATGTTCGGATTCACGAATAAGCTTCAAGATAAAACATTCTAAAGTTGTGACTAATTTTGCTCAGTTTTAAACTGCTTCAAATTCAATCATTCACGTTGATTCATTTAACAAAGTTATCATCGTAATTGAATTGGTAAGAAACTCCTTGCCAATATCTCGTGCACCAAATGAACTTTGGGTAAGTCATCATTTCATTTAAACATCTTTATTTTCAAATTATTAGTTCACCTTTTTGTAGACTTTATCATTTGGTGTGAGTGGAGAAGATATTTGAATTAATTATCATCTCTTCGATATCTAGATACTTGTCGTAACTTCATAATTGTTCTGCAGACGCCTTTACAGCGAAAATTATCTTCATTATAGACTCATAAATTGGTTGTTTTATTATATAACTGTTAATAATTTATGATCTAATCTGTTTCCAAGTTTGTGCAAGAATTGTAAATAAATCAATGTTGATGGAATATTTCATGAACAGAGAACTGGGTTTAATCAGATAATTTTTAATTTGATAAATAGTTTAGATCATCAAATTTACTTCATTTAATTTTTTAATTTAAATCATCTTCATCTTATAATTTTAAATTGAGTTAAATTTTTTATTCCTTCATCAAGTACTATGTTCTCATAATCTTCATTAAAATGATAATAATAAAAAAAAATGCATGTAAAACTAGACTTATCTTATAAAATACATATTCATTTTTATAAAATCTTGAACAAATCCATGTGGAATAATTTTTCTCTCATGAAACATTGATAAGAATCAGTTCAAACTTGAAGATTAATAATTGAATCTATGATTTTTGTGTTCTTGGGATTACCCAGCTGTTGTCCTTGATAATTATCAAAGAATTCCCCCTTACTAATAGTGTTAGATATTTTTGTTAAAAAGACAAGATTAATCCAAGTAGTTAAGAGGAAGTTCCAAGAGCATGCGGATGTTTTGCTCCTAATGGATAATTACTCAAGTAGATACGCACTGGCCCCAATTGGCCTTTGTCTTCCAGGGTCAATTTGTCTGCTCTCGCGGCTTAATCCAACTGAGCCATTCGTTCTGGTCAGAGTATATGCGTATTGACCTTTAGGATTGTATGGCTTTTCATTATCTAATTGTTAGTATTACCCATGATGAATGTTATACGTAATGTCTATTTCCCCCTGAAGAATATTAACTCATTAATAGGAACTTATGGCTATAAAAGTCTTTGCCTGCAAGTCATCAATCATTCAACTAAAGGTAAAAGGTGCAAACAGTTATCCCAGGTCAAATTTAGTGGTGTATAGTCTTCAAAGCATTGCTCTAGGTAAATATTTAATAATTGCTTGATTCATCACTGTGAATGGCAAATGTCTTTGTAAACTAGAAACTAATAATTAATCCTGATGGAAATCTAATGTTCAAGCTTTATCACAAAGGCTTTAACCAACATTTGATCAGGAACTATGACGTGGTATAGTGGTGTGGTTTGGCAAAGATTCTGGAATCTAAGTAAGAGTTATATTTCTTTTAAATCAATTAATAAGTTTATTTATTTAATGATTCATGTGAAAATATTACGTTTAATAATAATTATTAAAATAAAGAATATTTTTTTTTTTTTGAGATTGTGGTATATAAGAAAAAGAATAAAATTGATAATATATAAAAATAAATCAAATATACAAATCAATATGTTTAAATGAATTATAAATTGAATTGAAATAGTTTTTCAGCCTTAGGCAGTAAATTGGTATATAAAATCAATATTTTGCTTTTGCAACCATTTTTTGATATCAATTTTCAATCATATCTGCATTAGTACTTATTAAATTTATTGACATGAAAATTTCACTGCTCTTTGATAATTATTATTATGATTATATTTATGAATGTAAAATTACTTTGATAGACGATTAATTGAAAATGATTAGTTGTGTAAAATAATTGATGTAATGAATAAGTTTTAATATCTAGAAGAGTTGGAGTTTTTTTTTGAAAGGTTTTAATGACATAGAATTAAATGAAAGTAAATATGAGCCAAGTTGAAAGTCAATTAGTGTAAAATTTGAGTAGCTAATGATGAACTTGTGGCTTAGGATAGAATGTTATGCCAAAGTTTGAGTGAGCAAGTGGCTCTGGTACTCATTTGATCAGAATATTTGAGTGTACAGTAGTTTGGCAACGACTGAATGCTTGGTGACGTCGTTTGCCTACGTTTGACGTTGCTAGTGGGTTCTCTTAGTGACTCGAACGAGTGCCTGTGGTATTATTATTTTCAACGTGCTTGCCTTAGAGCAATACTGGGTCTGTATATGTTCTCGGTCGGGTATAGGATAGCAAGAGACGCTGTTACGGTTGCAATTGGACGTGTGCGCGGATACAAACGCCATCACTGACCTGGCTGGCGCTTTCTAAACTTCAAACGAAGACCAGTTGCATTACTTGGTGATCAAACGAGACGTGTACTGACCTGTTTTGACAGTCATTCGATCTTAACATCTTTTTTGCAACTATTCATTATTTATAACTTACGTATTAATTTTTTTTTGCCTCCATTTTTTCAACTATTGTTTTCGTCAATGGCATAGCAGACGTCATTCAACTACGTCAATTCAGTTTAAACCATCATGTGATAACGGTAAAATACTTTTTCTACGTCTACGTACTTTAGAATTATCAGTCTAATATCCACTTTTATTTGCATATATTACTTTTGGATAGCTGATTAAAATCCTGAGCCAATAGTTAGCATTCTAAGCTAATGATGAACAAATTTGTAGGTCTTCCGGTGATTATTATTATCTTATTTTTCTCCGGCTCTTTTGGAGTAACACATGTTGATGAATGTGCATATGCACATCCGCAGATTCCACGTGCGTCAAACATACATCATTTGATATACGGAATGTTTTAATCCAAAGCCTACTACGTTGAATTCCTTCGTGAAACATGCGATGTTATTACATCCCAAAGTCGAGTTGCTTGTCTTCATGTAAAGAAACTTTATGTGGAGAAGAGTTTGCTGAAGGAATACGCGAGTGTCATGTTGATACACGCGGTGCAAGCCTTTAACGAATTCTTCTTTTTTTTTCTTCTTCTCTCTTTTAAAGACTGTGGATATATTTAATATTCAGATATGATGTTGAGATTTGTTTTAGAGCAAACAACTTGAAGGATCATTTGATTGAATTTAGTTATACTTTAGATAATTAAATTCCATTTTTTTCTCATTTCATTCTTTTATGAGATAAGCAATGTAATTAATATAACATTTTAAATTTTAATGTTCAATAGTTTATTAATTCTCGTTGTTATCAATCTTATTGTTATTTTTCAGTATTAATTGGATTATAGTGGCATCGATAAATCATTCGTACTTTAATGGCTTTAGTATCAAATTGGAGGTTTAATAACATGTACAATCATATTTAATCAGCAGTATTGTTATATATATTTAGAAAAATAGTTGAAATAATTATTTAATGTTAATTAAATTTTAAATAACTTATTCTAAAGTGTGTAATTTGAAATTTAACAAAAAAAAAAAATTAATATAATTTTCTTTCTTTTTATTAATTTTATAAATAAATTATTTAGTAAATTTAATTAGTTTATTTTAGTTAATTAAGACTGACAAAAAAAAAGTAATATTATGATATAATTAAAAAAGTTTTTATAAAAATATAGTAATGAAAATTTCACTTTATGTTAAAATAATAAATAAAGGTGAGAATAGTTTAAGTGAATAACTGGTTATTTAAATAAATAAAAAAGTTGATCATTTGTTAAAAGTTGGTAATGAGAAATGAATAATTTCATGCTAATAATTCTAATAATAATAGTAATAATAATAATAATAAAATATAAAAGTGAAGTAAGGAGTTTTATGTACCGGTATTTTCCATTTGCAATGTTGTTGTGAGTTTTGCACGGTTATCCGAGCCTTGATGTGTAAACTGAAACGCAACAAAGGTTCTATGGACGTAAATGTATTTTACTGTCTCGACAGTTCTTATCTTACATTTTTATTTTTTTTTTCTTTTCAACTTTTTTGTTTTATTTTAATGCCACGAGGATGTTCTAATTACAAGCAGAGGTGAGCCAGAGTCATAAACATAAAAGAAAGGACCACCAGTGAAATTATTTACGCCTCTTTATGACCATAATGAAATTATATGTAAAAGATAGTGGAATTTAATATGTCCGTTTTGGATAGACACTTTATTACATCCGGGATGTGAGAGAGTACAAGAGTAGTTAGAGTAAGGAGACAGAGTTTTGATCACGTGGATGTTGCATCTTCTCTTGCGTTTGAGACGGGAAAAACTCAACACTCGGTTAGTTAACTCGTTAATCGTCTGGTCACCGTGCCTAGAATGGACCAGTGATTACGTAAGACATCCGTTGATCAGACTTATCGGAGATCCTCTATTTGACTAAACATGAAACACAAACTCATGTACATATTGAGAGATAATTAATTCCATTTTTTAATTTTTTTGCTGATGAAATGAATTGCTGGCAATTTTATATTGAAAAAAATGTGGAAAATATTTGCTGACGCCGCGAATAAATTGTTTAAATATACGACCAGCCATCTGGAGAAGTTGGATTACAAAAGCAAATATTATAAACCACAGTCACTCATGCTGTGGTCTATTCGAAAATGCGCAATTGCTGTTCAACTTCCGACATATTGTTAGGTTGGAAATTATTTAAAATACTCTTGAAAATGAGTATGTAACCAATGACTTATAAGAAATGATAATTAAATATACATTAAATAAATATTAAAATAAAAATATGTGTTACGTCCTGTTAAATATATAATGGTTGATATCTGAAAATAAGTAGCACGCGTGGAACTTTTTCTAAATAAGAATATGATTTTTATGAATTAATTTCATTTTTCAGTTTTATTCTTTTATGATAACAATATTTATAATTAAGTATATTCATGATTACTATTAATTTTTATTTGTATAACTAAAGCTATGACGCAAAGAAACATCTTTTCAGAACAATTGTATATTTATTTAAGATTAGAGAATTTGATAAGTCATTTTAATTCAGTAACCTTTTTAATAATTTTTGCTTCTCAATAATAAATAGTTGTTTTTTTTTTTTTTTTTATAATTAAAAAAGTATTTTATTGGAAGAAAAGATTGTTAAAATAATTTAATTTGAATATAAAAAAATAATTTTTGTTTAGGACTATATTTACGGAGCATTGGAGAGCCGAGGATGACGGCAGAAACTGCAGCACCGTGTGTTCAGGGTGTACAAAGTATACCGAGTGGCGTAATGGTGGGCGAGAGTAATACACTAGACGATCAACTTCAGCAACAGCATCAGAAATCTCATGGAAATTCTACCAATGGATCATCAAGTAGGTCATCAGAATCATCCTCAGGTGTCTCCAGTTCTTCATCAACCACTGAATACAATCCGGAGTACGCAAACATGGAGGCCTGGCTTGATGAACATCCGGATTTCGTTTATGATTATTTTCTAAGGTATTACAAAAAAACATAAACGGCGATGAGATGCTAAAAAATGAGTACTGATAGATGAGTCGTGACGCAACACGTCAATCTTAACTTCAAGTTTCGACTTCCTGCGTTATAGTCTGCAGCCATCATCAGTTTCGCTAGAACTTTAACGTTACATCGCTTCCCGTCTCAATTGCCATACTCATGCAAATCCATAAATTAATCCTGCACACTTTGTTGCGCAGAAAAGTGACGAGGCAGACTGTAGACGCGTGGCTAGTAATGCACGCAACACCAACTTCATCTTCAACAAGTTGTATGATGGACATGAGCCAGAACCACAATTCAGGAAATTCAAATACTTGCAACAGTGGCTCCGTGACATCACCAGGCGGTGGATCTGGTGCTACAACGCCTGTTCGTAAAATATCAGCTCATGAATTTGAGCGAGGTGGATTACTTAAGCCAATAGTTAATACCATTGATGGAACACCAACTTTTCTGAGTATCTCTCCTGAGGATTCAGGCCAACCAGGTGGTGGACAACAGGTCGGTTCGAGCAATTCATCCAGACCACAAAGAAGATCACGAAATGAGCTCAGGCAGCTTGATGAAAGAGATCTTATCTTTGAATTGGTAATAAAAGTGTTGTATGAAGCAATTTTTGCTTTTTTTCTTTTAAATCAAGTTAAATTAGTATCAGTCATTTTTCTTAACATTTGCGAAATTTATAAAATGATTAAATACTCATTATTATTAGAATTAGTTTTCTTTCCTCCCATAATAATAGAAACTAATAAAAAATTTTCTTTTATTTTGTTTTACGTAAGAAAGAGATATGTTTCTTGTACGTGCTGAGTATATTGAAAGTCGATATCTTTATTACTTTTTCAAGAAATCAGCTGCACCTGCTTGAAAAATCGTGTTTTGAGTAAAATCATTTTAAACTTTTAAAAGCAGATAAGGGTGATACTAAAACTTTTATTTCATATGTTTCAAGTTGTAATATCAATAAAGGAGTGCATGAAAAATTGATACATAAATGTATATATATATAAATTCAATAAATAAAATAATGTTGCTTTTAAATTCAAAGTATTATAATTTAAAAAGATTAAAGAAGAAATAAAATTAATAAATGATTTTTGTAGGTCAAGGACATCTGCAATGAACTCGATGTACGATCCTTGTGTCATAAAATACTACAAAACGTTAGCATGCTGTTGCATGCTGATCGTGGATCGCTGTTTCTGGTCCAGGGCGAACGAGTGTGTTCTGGAAACAAGGCTCGACGGACTGGCAACACGGAATGCAATAGACGAACAACTGAATCAACACAGAATGACCATTCATATAATCCACCGTACTCAAGAAGCAGGTGTCTTGTGTCAAAGCTTTTTGATGTTTGCTCTAGATCAACACTTGTAGAAATGGAGAAAAAAGATGAAATTAAAATCCCGTGGGGTACAGGAATCGTTGGATATGTAGCAGAAAGTGGAGAACCAGTTAATATTCCTGATGCATACAAGGTTTTTATTTTTATTTTTTCACTAGTCATTTTACATGAAAAACTTGTTTCTAATGAAGTATGATTAACCAGCTAATTATATTTAATTATGACATTTTTTAAATCGATTACTTAAATTACATATCTTATTGAAAACTTTTTTTTTCATCCATATTTCATCATATTTTAATAATTTATTCAAAACAAGACATCATAGGAAATATTGATATTTATTATTTTTAATTGGAAAATTGTCATCGAGCACACGCACCAATGAGCAATTTTTAATTGAATTTTTTTTTTTCAAATGATTATCATCTTAGTAAGCATACTAAAAATAATATAATGAAACAAACAGAATAATTATTATTTACATTTATTGTTTTATTTCATTCTAATGAAAAAAAATTTTTTTTTATTATTAAAGATATGAAGCTTTATAGTAATTTGAATGTTTTTATTATACCAAATATATTTTAGATATTTGATGATGGTCAAGTATAACATTTTTTCAATCAATAGGATACAAGATTTAATCGTGAAATTGATGCACTCACTGGCTACAGAACGAGAGCTCTTTTATGTATGCCGATAAAAGATTGTAGCGGTGACGTAATAGGCGTCGCTCAAGTTATCAATAAGCTTGGTGGTGAAGCACAATTTACTGCCCAAGATGAAAAAATATTTGCTAGTTATCTACAATTTTGTGGAATTGGTTTAAGGAATGCACAGCTATATGAAAAAAGTCAATTGGAGGTCAAGAGAAACCAGGTAAGAGTTCATAGTTGAGTTCAAGTAAATAAAAAAACTTGGTTCAGAGGTTGTGTTAAAATTAATTGATTGTGTATTTTTATTATTTTATCCAGGTGCTCTTAGACTTAGCTAGAATGATCTTTGAAGAGCAAAGCACAATTGAACATATGGTATTTAGAATTTTAACACACACACAGTCACTTATCCAGTGCCAACGAGTCCAGGTAATTTTTATTATGATTCATTAGATGAGATAGTGTTTGAGCATTAAAGTGGCTAATATATATTTTTTCAGGTACTTTTAGTACACAAAGCATCGAAAGGCAGCTTCTCACGCGTGTTCGACTTCGAGGCCAATGATCTCGCTGGCGAGGATACGGATTCTCGAATTAGGTGATTGTCAAATGGTATTTTCTTATGAGCAATCGCGCAATTACAATTATTATGCAACGCGACAGCAGTAAAAAAATCAATAAAAAAAAGTTTGCTTCTTGAGAACAATGAATTGCAAAATAGATGTATTAATAAAATGAAAATGAGAATGAAATAAAAATTTAAAAAATGAAGAAGCAAATAAATAATTTCGGATTTAACGAATCGCTGCCGACTGGTCTCTTTACGTTGCAGCCCATTCGAGAGCAGATTCCCCATAAACGTAGGCATCACTGGCTATGTCGCGACGACGGGCGAGGTAAGTTTCACCTCCTACCGACAATCGTTGTATATGTTCATTTTTTTTTTTTTCTTCGTCCACTAAGTGTGTGAATCACTTAGAGTGTACGTCATAATAATTAGTGAGAAAAAGTAATGATAAAGTTTTAAAAAAAAAAAAAAATAATAATAATAATATGAGCTGCTCACGAATGGACAACGTTCCATTGATAATTGTGAAAGCCTGTAGAGTCATCAGCATCATCATAATAAATATCTCCAACAATTTTATCAATTTTTTGCATTTGTACAGACGGTCAACATCCCAAATGCATACGAAGATCCACGATTCGATCCATCCGTCGACGATGGCACTGGATTCCGTCACAAGACCATTCTTTGCATGCCGATCAAGAATTCTTCAGGTCAGATAATTGGTGTCATTCAACTGGTTAATAAATTTGATGATCTGGTCTTCACGAAAAATGATGAGAATTTTGTGGAGGCTTTTGCTATTTTCTGCGGAATGGGAATTCATAATACGCACATGTAAGTAGCTGTAGCCTTTACGTCATGAGAATTATTGAGCTTTTAATACTATTCTTCTTTTTATAGGTATGAGAGAGCAGTTATTGCGATGGCTAAACAAAGCGTCACGCTCGAAGTATTGAGTTACCATGCGTCTGCTTCTCTTGAAGATGCTCAAAAATTAAGGGTTTGTTTTTTACCTTTCATTTAAATTTCAATTGGTTCACAAATATTTTTTATCTAAAATGTTGTAAACTAAAACCCAATAATACGGTATATATATATTTTTTTTTCTTTTAACGTTTTTACTGGGTATAAATAAAAAGGTAGTTTTTTTTTACTTCAATCATGCATGTACTTTGTGATATTTAGATGATAATAATAATCGATATCTATTCTTAAAAATGGTTAACCACTGAGTGTAAATGAAAATTTTTTATTTCATACATTCTCTAATTCTGTCAAGTAATTTTTTGTATCTTTTATCTTTAGAAAACTTTAATTAAATTAAAATTCATTCAAGCTGATGATCTGAGCTAACCATTTTTTGATGATACTTGATCCTACAGAGCTTAAGGGTACCATCTGCAGCACACTTTCACCTCCACGATTTCAAGTTCGATGACATACGAATGGAGGACGACGAGACTCTCACGGCTTGCCTTCGAATGTTTCTCGACCTAGACTTTGTTGAGCGATTCCACATTGACTATGATGTATTGTGTCGGTGGTTACTTAGTGTCAAGAAAAATTATCGTAATGTAACTTATCATAATTGGCGACATGCATTCAATGTAGCTCAGATGATGTTTGCCATATTGACGGTAAGTAAACATTTTTACTGTAACCAAGAATTAGTGTGAAAGTTCTTGAGATTAACGACCGCGTAACCTTTAAAATTTTTTTTGTATCTTGCAGGCTACTCAATGGTGGAAAATATTCGGAGAAATCGAGTGCCTGGCACTCATCATCGCTTGTCTGTGCCATGACCTTGACCACAGAGGCACAAATAATTCATTTCAGATTAAGTATGACTGAAATAAATTGACAAAAATTTTATTCTGCTTTTTTCCACACTTATTCATGTCTTTTAATGAATATACAGAGCTTCTTCACCTCTTGCACAACTTTATTCTACCTCGACAATGGAGCATCATCACTTTGATCAATGTTTAATGATACTGAGCAGTCAGGGGAATCAAATTCTCTCAAATCTTTCACCCGAAGAGTATTCACGAGTTGTTAAAGTACTAGAGGACGCTATTCTATCTACTGATTTAGCAGTTTACTTTAGAAAACGAGGTGCTTTCCTTGCAATTGCTCGTAATCGTACATATAACTGGGCTTTTAGCGAACACCGTGAACTTCTACGTGGGATGTTGATGACCGTCTGTGACCTGGCAGCAATTACAAAGCCTTGGGAAATAGAGAAACGTGTCGCGGAACTAGTCAGCAGTGAATTCTTCGAACAGGGTGATATTGAAAGACGAACACTTAACATAACTCCGATAGTAAGTAATTTGAAAACTAATTAATATTTTATAATCTTATAACTTTCAGAAGAAGTTTTAATCATTATTGTTCACTTAATTTATTTTTATTTACAAATAAGTTAGATTATTATTCGAACTTGTATAATTTCATTTATTTATTAATAATTGTTCTATATAACACCTAATACTTTAAACTTTTAGGATATCATGAATCGCGAGAAAGAGGATCAGTTACCAGTGATGCAAGTTGGTTTTATCGATTCCATATGTCTTCCTATTTACGAGGTACGTAAATAACCTTAATAAAATTTCTTTCAATTTAGTCGTGATTCACATCTACATCTTCAGTAAATAGAACATAAAAGTAATAACATTAATTTAATTTTCAGGCATTTGCAATGCTTTCGGACAAGTTGGAGCCACTAGTAAAAGGTGTGAGAGAAAACAAACAACGATGGTTGGAGATTGCTCAAAGCACGTGCACTTTAGGGAATTGTACAAACCACGATAGGACGTTAACGTCAACAGGAAAAGCGGATAAAGAGGATGAATCTGAACGATGTGTCGATGATTAAATTATGATCGCTTACTACCATTGAGTATTCCCCAAAAATCCTTCGAGCCTTTGAAAAACAAACAAACAAGATAACACATCGATTTATCAGAATGCTACCGCTGTACCTGATTGCATTTACACGGTTGTTTGACTTTTATATAAAAGTGGCATTGGAGACGGCAATGGCGTGAAAATTCACAGGATAGGCGGGGAAACGCAATTATATTCGTTAAATTTATCCGCTTGTTTTATCTATTTGGAATGTATTTATTATATTGACAGTATCATAGAGAGAAACGTATCAGCCGCACGTGCCAAAGACGAATTTATTGAAAGCGTCTCCGGCGCATTTGTTTTAACTTGATTTTTATTTTATACCAAAGTATAATATATATGAATATATATTATATATATACATACACATTTTATTCATTTTTTTCACGTACCAAATCATAAGTCAATGGAGAAAAAAGTACACAATATTCACTTGATAGTCACACACTAATAAAAAAAACTATTAAAGTAAATAAGAATTATATCATATATATATATAATGCAAGGATTATTGTAATATTGGATCGATCTATAGTTATTGTTAAATGTAATATTAACTTATTTAAACTGATTTTGTTGATAAAAGAAATGATTACTTTAGTAATAATTAATATTGTATTTCGTTGGATTAGTTTAGTAGTAGATTGTAATAACATGAAAGTTTTGATGAGAAATAATTTGAGTCTACAGAAGATTTTATTTATGGACTGATCCAATATATTACAAATACGTGGAATAATATGTGATGATAAATGCAAAAGGGAGTTTATCTAATGCGTGAATTAAGTAAATATTTTTTAACTAATGTACACAATTCCTATATGAAATAGATTAATTGATCATTAACTCTTTGTTTCCACAAGTGTTCTATGTGTCGATTAACGAGCTTGTCATAAATATGAAGCATGAAAACGCAACGTGATGATTATGATGATCACGTGTATCGAATAAAGACTGATTGGTGAGGAAATATGCGGTATAATAATAAATAACCGCTGTAATATCGATTTCAAGTCCAAAGCCCCCCATCGAGCTTATCATTGCTTCTAATAAAGTTCATTCGATAAAGGAAGAACTTCTCATGGGACCTATTTTATATTTTTCAAGGAAAAGATAATTTATATCTCTAAAAAGACAAGAATTTATCTCCAAAACTCAATACCCATTTGCGAGAGAAACTAAGTGGAAAAAATGATAGAGAGGAAATGAATTTCTTCTATACATTTTGACATGAACTCGAAGGGCGGACCAAGTCGATAACAAGGAACATCAGTCGCAATGTTTTTATCCTTAAATTAATCATTCTATCTTTAAAGTGTCTTAAATAATTGAATTTTTAATTATTCTTGTCGGTAGTGATTGTTGAGTCAGCTGTGAATGGAGTATGATTAATTGAAGTAATAAAATAATACAAAAGTTAGACAAAACACAATGGTAATTACTGGATTTTTTAACGATGTATGAATCCTAGATTGGTGAAGTTTATTAAATTATTCAAGCTAATTTAAAACCACTCTTTATAGTATATATGTATATTGTATATAAGTAATAGCTAATATATTGAATCGTGAATCTAAAACGACTTTGATTTATTTTATATCCATTATTTTTCATAATATAAAATTACTTATGTTTGATGAAAAAAAGGAGAATATAATCGACAATAAATTGACATCGATTTGTGTTGAGAATTGCAGCTAACTGCGCATTGAATATTTGTCGATGACATCGATCATTAGTGAGATGGTGCTGGTAACGTTGAAGACGAGCGGATTAACCGACAACCGTCGATGACGATGAGCGCAAGTGCCATGAACAACTCGCACACACTCACTGAGTTATTCAGCCATACACGTGTTGAGCATTCATGGGAGATCGGCGCGGCGCAGCTGAGACGAACTAGTTTTGAAGCTTGAGCAGTCTCGAGGTGCTTCGAGCAAGGGTAGTTTCGGAGTATCAACCACTGCGAGTGGTTGACTAAGTGTTGTCAGTTTGCGCCTTTTTTGCTACGTAATTGCAGTACGTTTCTATTCTTTCTTATCATTCAAACTACTTGGCTTTGTTTTAAAAACTTTTAATTATATCTTTATTAATCAATTTACATTTTTTTAATTTACTTATAATAAAAGAATAATCTTGTGAGACACTTGGTAGTTTCAATTATACATTTCTGGAAGCTAGATATAGTGACATGACTAAATTTCAAAAAAATCTAGTTATTCTAAAAAAAAAGTAGAAAGAATAAATAAATAATATCGTATTTTTTCTTGTGTTTGTTAATAGTGTCAGTTGTTTACAAAAGGCTGACAATAATTTATGTATTTATAGACACAATGATAAACAATAAAACATGAAAGAATAAAATATTCATTATCAGACAGTTGTTAGTTTATAAATAAAATAGTCTGTTGTGGTTTTGCAAAAGGGTTGTTTATCGATATTCAAGTTTGGTGTGCGTTTTTAAGTACGTGAGCGTATCAGTGAGAACAACTGGAGGCAAAGAGGGTGAGACAGTTAGTGAGAGAGCTTGGCAGAGTCCCGTAGGCCGCAGGTTGTTGGTTGCTGCATCGATCGACCTATACATTCTCCCTAGTTTCTCATATTTCCTGGATCACATCTTTCTGCCTTTTCCTACTATCAAAACTACCCACTTGTGCTTTTCAGTAACATTCTGTATTGCTTTTGAGTCTTTTTGTCACTTTATTATCACAAAACTTATGAAAGTGACGCTTTAATTATGACTATAATTTATCTCAGATGTTTTCTATTCTCATTTGACAGTTTACTCAAGAATAGATAAATCCACCTGTCGATTCTCAATCGATTAGTAATAATGAGAAGCAAATAACCTGTTAAATTATTAATTACCGTCCTTTTTACTTACTTCATTATATCATTTTCAATTGAATGGTATGGAATTGAAAACACTGAAAATATTAATGAATCATCATATAGAATTTTCTTTAATAATTCTTGATATCAACATAATTAGTTGAAACTTTGATCAAATCTTGAAGAATTTCAATAGTTATTGAACTTTAGTTATAAGTTTCTTATAATTTGTTATGTTCATAAAGAGTTTAACAAATACTTTTTTTTTCTCATAATCATCAACACCGTCTACACGACCTAATATATCTATTTATGGATTGTAAAAGCTTGATACAAAGCATCCAGGTATTCAATAATGTGGTCACCTCTTATCCATAGATCCCTTCAGTCTTTGACAAGCGATTCATGAAATTGCAGACCTTTTCCCGATATCCTCAACTTGATAGTCCCACTTCATATTGCGAATCTACCTGGTGGTTGGTATTTTTCAGCTCAATATGGAAATTGAAATTTAATCCTTCTCATGACGAGTACCATCATCATATCTACCAATATCTTTTTGACTCTAAATTCACGTGGACAATAATAGAAACAAAGTTTACACTTTTCCGGTGTAGAGTTCACTAAAGTTTAATAGAACAGGAGCAGTTAACTATATTAACTGCAAAGTATATTATCCACTTCAGTAGAGTTGGTGTATAACCCACACGTACATCAACATAACTTTATTTATGTTCTTAGAAATCCAAGGTATAATAATGAAAAAATAAAACACTATGGACTCATACCACGCAATTCTATTTTCGTAATAAATACCTGTATTTCACTGCACGATTTTAAAAAGTTATTGATAAAAAAAAAGGTTAACATGAGAGGTTAAATTATTGAAATAATTTGATTATATAAAAAGTCTTAGTAAGCACATAATATTTCCTGGTGTATAATAATATGAAATTTAATACATGCAATTTTAGATCCATCATCATTACGTACCTGTAAATATAATACCTTCTAAATTGATATTTAATCTTCCATGAGTGAGCCCACCAATTACTACATTTCCAACTCTATTAAGTTTTAATTAATCGACATAATTGTTTTATTATTGAATAGAATACTTTCTTGATTGATTAAATTTAAAATTGTATATTGTAGGTATGCTTTTATCAGAATTTATAATGTATCTTTCAAATCCAACGTCCAATAATTCATGCAAAGTAATGGATTTATCAAATTTGAGGATTAAAAGCTTAAAGGATTACAATTAGAATGTTCAACATTTGTCTAGTTTCGTTGAAAACATGATCACTATTTCCAATACTATCATTGTCATCACCTATAATATCGTTGCATTTTATACCTTTTTTTTGTCACTTGTATTGTATATTGTTACTTTGCTTGGTATGTTATCATGCTGTAGCTTATCCAATTTTCACTGAAAGAACCAAATTTATTTCATTTAATAAAAGTAGATGTGATAGAATTATTGTTTATAGTATGAAATAACACTTTATCACTTAAGTACGTGCTAAAAGGTTAAATAGGTTATTTATAGTTAGAAATGCTCCCTGTTAAATTTTATTGTTCTATAATTTTTATAAAAATGAATAGTTTTGCAATGTTGTCACATCTAAGATAAAAATGTTACTTTTATAAAGTAACAGATAAAGTTTTCATCCAGAAAACAACTTTATATGAATTCTTTTCAGTCAGCATCTTTTATCATCACCAGTTCAATTTTGTACTTTTCCATTAAAGAATGCCCTACTAATCTCCTTTCTACCTGAAATATTTGATGATGTTTGTTATTGATTTAAATGATGAAAAATAATATTGCAACATAAATCAATTTCAGTAACATAAAAATCACTGTTACAAAAATTAATTATAAAAATGACTTAACTATTTTTTTTTCTTTTTTATTCCACAGAAGTGATGATTGATGACTTATGATGAATAGAGATGTTTCTATATAAATAGTTAAAAACGTCATCGGAGTATCAAAAGATCTCATTGACGAACAACGTAGGCGTTTTTTTACCTTTGCCTAAGGGCTTTGGTGTTATCAAGGGGTAGTTATGTCAAAGATGAGACCATGTCGGACGGTGCTCCAAGAAGCAACCGTTGGAGTACTCATTCCCGGTGGGGAACTAATATTTGTACATCAGCGGTGGGGTTTTCAGTGTAACTGAACGTCAGAACGACACAATACTAGTAGATAGAAAGAATAAAGTGAGGAAATAAAGACGGAGATATAGGTAGGTCTTTGATATATATATATTTTTTTTTTTCATTACAATTGAAGCTCTTCCAAGCTTTTTCTTTTTTTTCAAGGAAAAGCATGATGAGATTGCTGGAAATCAATTGGTAAATTGTATATATATTCATTTGTTGATGACATTTCAGAGTATATGAGGGATGGAGAACGGCAGGAGTTGGCACATTGCGGCCCTGCATCTCACCACAACCACGATGACCACCATTGCGGTTATGACATATGTTCATGCCACTATGGGAGCCGCAAGTTCTTCATCTAGGAGCACTTTACCACCTTCAACTAACACGGCGATTTCTCGAGGGAGCCTCGGGCCTTTCGACATTCGAAGGGTAAATTGAGAACGCTCGTTATTTGTCAAGCTATCATGAATTCTACTGTTGATAGTTCTCATTCCCTCTAGGGATCCTGTGATATGAAGAACGATTTAGCAAACTCTCATTCCCATTTTCTCTCCCTTTGATCTCAAGCTCAAGTTCTAGTTGTCTTGCTATATGTATACCTGTTGGAATTTCATTCCAACTCGTATCGTTAATTAAATTTTTGTATTCATAACATTCCTTTACAGTTTTGTAACTCTTTTTTACTTTATTCTTATGATGTTTCATTATTTAATATAACATATTTTTTAATATGTCTTCTTTTTAGTCGGAAGTGGAAAAAGCTTTAGATATTATTGAAGCTGCATCAACTAACTCATTAGGCGAAGATTGTGCAACAACTGCTGGTTATAAATCTTTACCTGCTGGCGCAGCTTTAGATCCACGACGTTTTGATGTTGCGAGACAGAAGATTGATATGGCAGCTATGATGTTACGGAATATTGGATTAGATAGTCATTCTCGTAAGTTTCTCATTTTTTTCATATTATATTTTTTATAAAGCACTTTAAATACAAGTACAAGTTTAACCATCAGGGAGTTTCTTTGGTCATCATGTTATGAAAAAGTTTTTATTTGATAATGTTACTCCCTTAAGAGAAATAAATCTTCCTTATCATAACATCATAAAAAGATCGTAAAAAATTTCTACTTTTAATTTTAGTTATTTATTAAATTAAAAAAAGAATAGTTTTTTTTTGTTTATGTTCATAATATTATTTTCATGACTTCATTGTCTATAAAGTTTATTGTATGATTTTTTTTTTCTTTGCTGAAAATTAAAATGACTCTGTGAGACCTCATTTAGCTTGTTTTTACAGCCGTTATTTATTTTAACGATAGAATAGGTATGTTTTTAAATGGAATAAAAATGTAAAATCGAAATAATTGCATTTACAGCAGGACTCCTGGAAGCAGTAGCAAAATCACTCTTGTCTTCAGTTAACAATGCAGTAGCAACGAGAGTCGTTGTTCTGAATGCCTCAACGGATATTGTGATCACGGAAACCTGGTTAAAACGCACTCCGGGTAGTGTGGGTGAGCCAATAAAACTCGAGAGCGACACCCTGCGCGTGGGATATCGACCGCATCCAGAACTCCCTTGGTTCGAAAATGCTGAAGGCTCTAGTTCCCAATTGAGGTTCTTTTACACTTATTTTTAGTATTTTATACTATCTATAGATTTTTTCATATATTATTCCTTTACCCTATTGCATAATTCATTAAAAACTGTTGAATTAAATAAAAAACAATGTATGTTCATGAAATGAAAGAAGTTTTTTCCAAATGTGCTGAGAAAACTTATTTGATATTTGAATAATTCCAGGTCTCCAAAATTCATCCAATCGGCACCAGTTGAATCTTACATGGGTTGGTGGACTCTTCCATATTTATCTTGCAAGACTCAACAGTGGCTTATGTCGTATAGTGTTTACGTGAGACAGTCTGACTCTAAAAATGGGTTAGTAGTTTCACCTTTCATTGACTTATTCTACTTGATATTGGATTTTTGTCATGCACAACTTTTTTCACAAATACATACTAAGTATTCACCATGCATCTTCAAGTTTTTTGGTTTTAAAATTTGATATTGATTTACGGAAAAGACGAAGATGAGCGAGAAAAATTTATAATAGCTTTGCAAACTGAATTGATTAAAAGTTTGTACAAAAGTGTCTTATTTTGAATGTAGGTAGTTCAGAAAAACTGTTTTTCTTATTTTACTCTAGGAGAAATTTCTTAATAAAAAGGTTTATATTTGTTGATTACTTCTTAAAGATCGTTTAGTTAATATTATCAAAAATTTAAAATACAATTTTATTATGAAATTGTAATAAATTATTTAAATTTATTAGAAAATTTTTAATAGAAGTAGAAGCATCATTGAAGAGACAATTAAGTAAAAAACAATTTCATTTTATTCAACATCTTGATAGAAATAATAATCATACTATTTGATTGTTTATTTAGTAAATTTGCTTCACAAATGAACTGAATAACTGGTTCATTTAAAATTGCTGGTGTTCATTATCAGAAGGATTAATTATTTCAGCGTTCGAGATTTCCTGAGTGTAGATATCGACATCAGTGGATTAGAAGTTAACCAGTGTGATACTCCAGCATCCTTGAAACCCACTGAAGAGTATCAAAAGCTTCTAGATAATCAAATAGCATCATTTAGAGGTTCCCACAAGTGCCACGACGATACCACGCAAGTAAACATGACAAACAATAATTAGATTAAATTTTATAAAACAAATAAGTGAATTTAAAATTCTTATGAAAATACCGTGAAGAGTCGTAGTTAATTAATGAATTATTCTCTTGATATAGTGCGAATACAGAGGACCATCAAGCCATAAAAATGCTGAGATCAGCATGTCAACTGTAGCTCCCGGATGGGTAAAAGGTGCGTACGTATGCAGATGTCGGGATGGTTTTTACAGTCTTGATACTAGAACTACTACTGGTGAAGAGCCTGCAGCTTTTGATGGTGTACTTGTCGAAGGTATAGAGATATATTAGTTTTTTTTCAAACATATTTTTCATTACTATATATTTAATATTTTTTTTGCTGTTTTATAGCTGTGTGGAAAGAATCGCAGTTAAATAAAAGTAATTTATATAATCAAATGTTCAAATGTACTCGATGTGCTCCTGGATGTATTACTTGTAAGGGTCCTGAACCTTGTTTAGCAGCATACAATTGGCCATTCAGGTAAATAGCAAAGTTTTTACCCATGAAAATATAATTGCAGGGTTTTTTTTTCATCCATCAGAAAAACTATACATTCTTTTATTTCATTTATAGTTGATGAGATAATATTCATTAAAAAAGTCAAATAAATAGATTTAATAAAAAATAACACACCAACTTGTATGATTTACACTGAAAAATTGTAGAGTAAAAATGAAAATATATTTTAAAAGTAAATTGAAAAAAGTTGTCTGAATAAAATGTCATGAAGAAAATTTTTAATTTATCATGTTGTTTTTGGTGTTAATTTTCATTATTTATAATAAAGAAGAAGAGTTTTAATAATTTTCGTGCTAAATAAATAAATTAAAATATTCATTTCAGAATTACTTTGCTAACATTCTCCATATTTTGCTCTTTTTGCGCCGTCCTTCTCATACTCTACGTTTATAAGCACCGGAAGCTCAAAGTATTTAAAGTGGCTTCGCCAATTTTTTTGTCCATTACACTTCTTGGATGTGCTATAATGTATCTTGAGGTAAAGTTCAACTTTTTTAAATGATTTTTTTTGGCAAATCCAATAACATTTTCATCAATAAAACTAATAAAACATTATTTTGATTACTCTAGATGGCAGCGATATTTCCAGTTCTAGATTTATACTCTTGTATTGCAACTAAATGGACAAGACATCTTGGATTCTGTATTTCATATACGGCTTTACTTATGAAAACTTGGAGAGTCTCATTAACGTACCGCGTTAAAAGTGCTCATAAAGTGAAGCTTACCGACAAGCAGTTACTTCAATGGATGGTGCCTATTTTACTGGTTATGCTTATATACTTAAGTACTTGGACCCTTAGTGCACCACCTGACGCTCACGTCATTGCTGATAGCCAAGGCCTTGAGTTTTATCAGTGTGATTATAATTGGTGGGATCATAGCCTTGCCATTGGTAAATGACATTTACTTTCATATTATTCTCAAATAATTGCAATGGTCTAGAACAGAAAATTTGAATGACAATTAAAAATAAGTGCTCCTTGAAAATATTCTGAAGTACAACTTCATAATGATTGACTTTCAATTATCAAATTCAATAGAATAAATTATTTTTAATTAATATGATTTACTCTGTATTCTTATAAATATTAATTTTATCATATTTCAGGTGAAATTTTGTTTCTTGCTTGGGGTATTCGAGTTTGTTACAACGTTAGGAATGCTGAGAGTCTCTTTAATGAAGCTCGTTTGATCAGTTATGCTATTTACAATATCGCAGTTGTAAATACAACGATGATTGCAATTCAGTAAGTCTATAATTATCTGCTTTAACAACTCCTTTTTTAATACTCTATTTGGTCAAGATGAAAACTAATAATAGTATTGCTGTGAATATAAAAAACTTTTTTTTCCCAGTCTCTTTATATTTCCACATGCTGGACCAGATATGAAATATACATTGGGTTTTTTGCGGACCCAATTATCAACTTCAGTCACTGTATTCTTGGTTTTTGGTCCTAAGGTAAATTATAAACTTCTCTTGAAACTATATTGTTCACTTAGTTGTTTGAATATAACGACCCTTCTTATATAGAAACTCCATTTCTATTGTTGTAAGTCATAAGCTAGATATTTTAAAATTCGCGTGACTGAAATTGTTGAATGTATTTTTTATTACTTGGACGTTGATAAATTTAGGTCTTGCGAGTTTTACGAGGCCAAGGAGACCAGTGGGATAGCCGTGCTCGTGCACGCGGTATCACAGCAAGTTTTTCTCTCAATGGTATACGTGGCCTTGTTGCTGAAGAGACAACTGATTTGTATCAGGAAAATGAAGAACTCAAGGAAGAAATTCAAAAACTTGCTGCACAAATAGAATTCATGAAAATTGTACATATGGAGATGCATAATCGTCATATTAAACCAAAAATGGGCGGTTATTTCAGCACCCATGGTCACAATTGGGGTGCTCAGAGTCCAAATGCTAAAACTTCCTCAGCTAGCTTTATCCTAAAGGTCTATATATTTATTTGTACTATTACTTTCTAAATTAATCATAAAAATAGTCAAAGTATATCATATAATTTTATCTGACACTTTTTAAATAACGTTGTTGCTTTGAAGGAAGTAAAGTAATGTTTTATACGTGATGAAAATATAAAATAACATTTTATAAATTTAATATATAAATCTTTAAAATACTTTATTCATTCTTTTAGACCGTTGTTGAACGTGGTGCTACAGCAGCAGCTGCAGCAGCAGTAGAAGACTCGACGTTTCCGTCAGGAAGTTTACATCGTGCTCGAAGAATGGAACTTTTAAGAGAAAGAAAAGCTGCGCGAGAACGAGAAAGAGAAAATCAAGAAGCAAATAGACAAACCACGAGTAAAAGTGAAGGAGTTTCTGCAAGTACGAGTGAAGGAGAACGTGTTTGACTAGTGATCAATAGTGAAGAAGTAAGTTGTAATGTTATTGATAATTAAAGTATTTATTATAATAAACAATTAAATAAATAATCTTTATAAAAGTATTAATGTTTTTATTGTTTTTTATTAAGTTCTTTTATTAAAAGAATATTGTTAAACGTTTTTTAGGTGTGGCTTTGACAACAAAGAAAAATAAAACAGGAGATGAAACAAAATCACTTACACAGACAGAATTATTTTCTACATTTTTTGAACATTTCAACAAAATGTTTTGTACATCTGACCTGCAAGCATTTGCTTGCATTACAAAACTATGCCATATTTTTATCATAATGATACAATAATTCACACAACTTCTTATTTATATAACATTAAAACTTTACAATAAATGAAACATAAACTATAAAATCAAAATACTAAAGAATAAAATAAACAAACGCTACAATTCCTAAAAAAAAAAAAAAATAATAAAAAAGAAATAATAAATTTATTATGAAATTTGCATTGAAAGTAAAAATGATTTTTGGATAACGATATTTTTAAAATATTTATGATGGTTATTGATTTATTAAGATTTTTTAAAGAAACATTTAGATACAATTCAAAGAATTATATTTTTACAGTGCAATCAATTGAAATTTTTTTTTTTTTTTGCAATTCTCTTAAGTAGCCACACATTTTTCAATTATTTTTATTTTTAGTGCAATATAAAAAATTGTAAATATTAATTGTTGTGTAAATGCCTTATTAAAAGTGAAGAACGTGTAAGAGCTTTCCTCGAATGTTCAAAGTCATCTTAAAAAAAAAAAAAAAAACTATTAATGCGGCTTATCATGTAAACTTCTGTTATATTTAATTCATTAATTCAGAAAAGAAAGTATATATAAAGAGAAGGAGAACGTCAATTTTTTCACTCGTACTAAAATCAAAAGTACAACTTGCTTGATGTTAAATGAAATGCCAGTGGCTCAAAGTATATATCAGATAGATTCAGAAAATATTTTATGTGCATAATAATGATTCATAGATGATAAGACCCTCATCTAAAAAAAAATTTCAGAAAATTGTGTCCCTTTGTTGTTAAAAACACATGTGTGATTAATTATTCATTAATGTATATCTGAGTAAAATATTTTCATTTATACAAATTGTTTTTAAATAAATAAATATGACACTTCCAAAATTAATTGAAATCATAGACAGAACTTATTACTATTACTATTGTTGTATAGAAATTATCATATATAAAATAATTAATTAATAATGCTTGTGTTCTGTCTAGATTATTGATTAATTAATACGACAACAAAAAATTCATTGTGCTATAATTAGCAGCTATAATACCTTAGTTATAAGAATCGTTGTGATAATTCGTTATTCACTTGCATTTTAATGACAATAAAATCATTTCCCTTATAAAAATTAATTTTTTTATACTATATAGTTACGAGATTAATGCAAACATTTCTATAAATAAAATTTATTTATTATTTTAAGATCATTTAACAATAATGGAAAAAAAATGATTACAACTGAAGGCAAAAATCTTCAAACATAAACAAATGGCGCGCTATCGATGGATTGTTCGATTAATCGTGATCAATATTTTTTTTTGCTAATTCGATTAAACGCGATGCGCACGCAATATTCTTTCAGTCATCAGAAAGTAATGTTAAGGTTGCACATATAGTGCTTTTGTGATTTATAATAATTAGTTTATGAATAAATTTAGGTTATTAAAATGATGTTTGGTTTATAGATTATATATTTAAAAGAATATGATTAATGAAATACAAAGCAAAAAGCAAATATTTTCGAATAATTGATGATAAATCTAACATCTGGTAAAATTAACAATCCCGCGCTTTTTCTATGGCCATTCAGCATATTTTTATCATCAAAAGACTCCAAGTAATAAATATTGACATTTCAGTGTTTACGAGATTTTTATTGAATAATAAAATCAAATTGCTGAACGTTTTACGATTTAACTTTCACGTAAGTTATTAATTGTATCTATTTTATGTCTTTTCTTTATTTTTATTTCATATTATAAATAATTAATCAGTTTTTTTTATGCACAAATAAGAAAATAGCCTAATATATGTATTTCATTTTTATTATGTTTATTGCAATATTTTATGATTTTTAGATTGCCTTTATCATCATAATCACACATTTGCTTTTACATTTCATTTTTTAGAGTAATACTTTTAACAAATTGCTTACTTACATTTCCCATGCTATTATAACACTGAATAATCGATTGCTGTGTTTTAATGGATTCAATATTCGGAGCAATCAGAATTTTATCTATTACACTAGCATGCTCTAAAAGTAATGGTAATGCTTGCAAGTAATAACCGTCATACATTTTACCAATAGCTGCCATTCGTTTTTTTATAGATTTTGTTAATTGGTCATTCTGTTTTCTGATGTCGATTTTACGAGAACACGTGGGTAACTGACATCGTGGTTTTACTGAATTTACTGGTGATCCACATGCTGTACAACGTAATTGTGGGTCAGTGGACATAGATAATTTCCAATTAAATTTACAAGGATCACATACACATGTAAAGTGATATTTGTTTTGTAGATATTTTTGCCGAGTTGGAAAATCATCAGTGATGAAGTGTGGTCCATAGCAATCTAGGATTTCAGTTCCTTTTTCAATAAATCTCAAGGCACGAACTACTACTTTTCCTACGAAGAAAAAAATATTTATATTATTTAATACTTGCTATTTATTTCAACTGATTCAAACATTTTTAACATGATTTTTAACTGACTAGTAATTATTAATATAATTTTTTTGATCATCAAATTATTTTTACTAACCTCGGGGATAAGAATGTCGTATTACATTAGGATAACAGCTATGATTTACCAAACTCACAGTAGTGTAAATTGCACCACCAACATTCCGAGGTTCCCATGTTTTGCTTGCTTCATCTCGAATATTTTCTACTATTTCATAAGCATTGCAATCGATAGCTTGCATATGACGAAGCATTCCTACTGCTAATAGACAAACTTCATCTTCTCCAATTATTTTTTTATCGTCTTGCTGGTCTTTATTTTCTGTTACAACATAATTAAGAGATTTTGCTAGAAAGACAGCTTTTACTGATCGCAGAAAATTAATTTTCACACTGGCTTTATCACAATGAGTTTCCAAAGAATAAACTGTTTTATAATCCAAAGGATCATAAATATCTGTATTTATATTAAACATTAAGGATTCATTCTCTTGGCTTTGTTTTTTTTGATATTTAAAAAATTCTTCATTCAGAGCAGCTGATTGTTTATCAACAGCAATAGCAACAGTTGCTCTGTAGGCCAATAAAAGATGGGATCTTTGATCACTTTTTGATTTTTCAAAGAAATTATCAAAAATAGAGCATTCATATTTATGATAATTATTCCAAGCTTCTTTACGACATTTAGTGGAGCAGAAAGCGACCTAAAAACCATTTGTTATGAGTTTTTTAAATATTAATTATTTTTTAAACAATATATTAAATGAAATAAATTAAAAAGGTAATACAAACTGTCTGACAATTGATGCATGGAATCAGTATTTGCTCGTCTAGACGAAGCGAAAGATGACAGTGGAGACAATTAGTTGAAAGTGCTTGTTGATCAGTGCTAAATGCAAAAGGTTCATCAACTATTAAAACACTTCCAGCTTTAATATTTTTTGTTGCAACAAGATGTCGTCCTTTAAGAGGACTGTACACCATTGCTACAGCATCACTACTGCTTGTTAATTTTTTATTTCTTTTTCCATCCACTTCAGGAATGTTTAATGGACTTTCAATAATGTTTTTCACTGTTCTATCATTTCTTTTATACATCAATTTTAAAGCCTTTATTTTTAGCTCATTAAATTCTGTCTTGTATTTTTCTTTGTTCTGATAGTTCTTAGATTCTTCACTGTTCAATGTTTCTATTGCATAATCACAGTCTTTGTTACACTTCGTATAAAATTCCATATGCAACCAAAGCTTGGCTCTGGCTAGAATAATCTCAATCAACAATTCACTGTTTATAGTCACAGCTGAAAGTGCTTCATTTAACAGATTAATTTTAGAAATGAAAGAAGCTATTTTATCAAGTTTTTCGTTTGTTTTCCTGGCATTTTCAAATAATTTTCGTGCTTTTGTGTTGTCTTTTTCACTAAATAATATCTTTATTTTAAAATCCAAAGTTTCTTGACGCTGCATAATCATTTCAATCATCCCATGTCTATCACTAACACTTGAGTGTTGATTGAATTCTTTCATAAAAGCAGAATCGTTTGTTAAATGATTTAGTGAGTTGATAAATTGACCAATTGTTATTCTAAAAATGAAATTAGAAGTTTATGAGTGTTAATTATTGTTTTATACTTTAAATATGTGATATAAAAGGGACTTGCCTTTTAGAATTAGCCATCCTGGCCAGCTGGAGTCAATCATCAAGGTGGTTTACGACGTTGTGCTTGGCGCAAACGGTTCGTTAGAGACGAAAAACAGAAACTAAAATTAGATGTCGAAGTTTCCATCGTGTTTTGTATCTTGTTGTCTCTTTTTCAATCTTGAATGCGTAGACACTGAAAAAAATCCATTTAAGACAAATAAAAGCTAATTAAAACTTTAGAGTAAATTGACTATTTAATGTATACAACTGTCCTCAACATCTAAAGTTATATAAATTCTACTTTATTACCTTTTTGCTTTGATCTAGGAAGACAATCGACTCTTGGCTTCTTGACAATTATTATATCTTTATTATGCTTAAAAATAACATTAAAAAATTTGAAGCAGATGATGTTGAAATAAATATCAATAGCCGACACCTACACTTCAACAAACAGCTACAGCTGATCTTACATCATAGATGATAACTTCTTCAGATGGATTATCGTTGCTTTGAAAGGGTTGCTATGTAATGGTTCAATTGAATGGATAATTCAGGAACTACAATAGAACTGTGCTGAAAATATTGACAACTTCTGCAGGCAAAGTAGGAAAATTTCATTAATTTAAGGTTACTTTATTTATTTTTTATTCCAATAAAAAATATATTTATATTCATGATATTGATGGCGTGATATATTTTTGTCTGTGTTTATTTTTATATTATTGAGGCATTTAAACGTTAGAAGTTTCAAAAGCTTCAGTAGGCAAAGTAGAAAAAATATTCCAATCAATTGTCTAATTTTAGATTATTATAACATCTTGAAGATTACGAATTACGAAGTAATAAATACTTAGAAACTTTTTGAATTAAAGTCCAAATATAATATTTAGTTAAATCACATTTATATTCTACATGGATTTAAACCATTGCTATTATTGATTTCTGAAAGTTGACCTTCAAATGCCCCTTTCTTAGGGATGTAGGATGTTCCATTAGTTATTACGAAATTCAACTGAACGTTGTACGTTCCTATGTGACTAGAAGTCATTTGCCGTTTGACAAGAAAACTCGGCCAAGGTCAGAATCATTATAAGAATGATAAAAAGTGTGAAATTTTTTATTATTGTAAAAGATTAAGTGATATAGACAAATATTACGTGTGCCTATCTACAGAATTATCGTACTTAAAATCAAATAATTTGATAGTTCATTATAAAGGGTGAAATAGTCCAAGTAACCTACACGTGACACAATGGTTGAAAAACAATCATTACAACAAGTTATTAAGTCTTTACAACTACCAGCAGTTGTGGCATTTGGTAATCCACTTTTAGATGTTGTCGTAACTATTCGTGATGCTAATCTTTTGGAGAAATACAAGCTTCAAGTGGACAATGAAGTTGAACTGCCTGAAGAAATAATTCAGCAAATTTTGGCTGATTTGCCAACCGAGTAATTATTAACATTTCTTTCTCATTATTAATAAATAAATCATTCATTGATGGAATTTTTAATTCATTTATTTGTTTCAATTTTAAAGAAAAGGGACTGATGCAATTCTCAAAATTCTAGTTTTGCCAATTGGTCATTCATTATTTTTGATTCATCATTCGTTTATGGCTATAATTAACCTGGGTATTTAGTCATTAATTAAAAGTATCAATCAATTATTAACGCAGAATGTTAATATATTGTTAAAATAAATTAGTCAGTAATTAAAGAGATCATTCAGTAGTCACATAATTATAAAGAAGATTCAAATTTAAAGTATGTTTTTAATTAATATTAAATATTTTTTGTCATCAATTTCATTTTTTATTTTTATATCATTTAAAAATTTTCATATTTGAAATTATATTGAGTCTACAGACATTGATTAATATTAATCAGCTTAGCAATTTGCTTTCCTAAATCTTTCATGACTAATTGGTTTAATGAATGATAAACACCAGAGATAAAAAGTGTTTTTTCATGTAGCTCAAAATATTAGCTTGAATATGTGATAATCTTATTAATAAAATATCTCATTAATTTGTCATCTTTGTTGTTGATGAATAAATGAATCAATAAATGATAAAGTACAACTTGACACATATTTTATTGGTATTTTAAATCATGATAATCCATATGACAGCTTGCATCATCTCTCATCTTAGCCCATTACATCAACCAAGTTCATTAATACTTCCAATGTTTTAATTATCTTTATCAATTAATAATATTTTTTTAGTTGGGATCAAAGAGTTGCTGCAGGAGGATGTGCTCAAAATACGGCTCGAATACTCCAATGGCTTTGCGGTGGTCAAAAGGTACCTCACGTTGTCATATTTTGTGGAGGAAAAGGAGATGACTCTAGAGGAGCAACTCTAGAAAAATTGGTTAAAGCATCTGGAGTAGAAACAAGGTTAAGAAATGTTCATAAATATATCTTTGATGATTAAATGATAACACTTAAAATGAATATAATGAAAGAAATGATTTATCTCAATGTTCTAATGACGTATAATCATTTAGATATGCTGTCCATACTGATCTCCCAACCGGCATTGCTCTCTCATTATCAAGAGACTCATCGCGAAGCCTTGTTGCTAATTTGGGAGCAGCAGGTGTTTTCACTCTGTCTGACTTACAAAAAAGTAACCTTCCGTTGGATAACTTAAAAATTATATACATAGAAGGTTTCTTTTTAACTCACGGTTTGGATGTTGCCAAAGAGGTTGTTAAACTGACTCAGGATAAAAATGTTATTATAGCTTTTAATATTAATGGAGAGTATATGGTTCAGGTAAAGTTGTTTTTTATCAATGATTGTCATTTAAACATCTATAATTGATACTTAAAAATTTCTTATCTTGTATTAAATATCAAACATCTCTTGTATTAAGAACTCTCAAAAGATTATTTAATTATGTGAAATCAAAAAAAAAAAATGCTAATTTTATTTTTATGCTGAAGATTTCTAAGAATTATTTGAAAATAACATTTATCAATGATAGTTATAATGAACTTACAGGATTATCATGCAGCTGTTTGTGAAATGGTTGGCTTATCAAAGATAGTATTTGGCAATGCCCGGGAAATGACGGCATTAGCAAAGGCTCTTAACTTGAAATTTGATAATGTTGCTGATATTCCGTTCCTCTTAAACAGTTCAAAGAGAGTGACTGTTGGTGTATCAAGTGCTGCTTGTTCCAGTGATGATTGGTTGATAGATAATGATATTTTCGTTATGACTCAAGGTGGGTCAGCACCTGCTATTGTAGTCTGGGGCCAAGGTCATTCTGCACAGGTAATCAATTATTTCTTTCATCAATGTTTGATTTATTTATCTCAACAGTTCATTTAATTATGGAATTATGATAATTATAGATGAATAAATGACTTTTTAATTTCAGGTTCAACCTACAAAACCAAAGACAATAGTTGATGCCACTGGTGCTGGTGATGCTTTAGTAGCTGGATTTTTAGCAGGTGTTTTGTGCCATTGGGATCCTAAATCGTGCTTAGAGTGTGGATGTAAAACAGCTGGAATGATGGTCGGAAGATTAGGTGTTACATTGCCTGAGACCGTGCCTGATGATTTGTTAAATTAAATGCTTAAAATAGAAAATTGGAGTAGCTATGAAGATTCGATAATATAAAAAGCGACTGGGTTAGTCAATGTGTTGTGTTAAAAATTTTTGTTCGAAAATAGTCAATACGACGTGCTTTTTCCAAGTACAAATAAAGTATTATCAAAAGTTATATCTTAAAATGATAAAAGTGCACTCATTTACTTATTAAAAGAATAACATGTATATTTTAAATATTTATTATGAATTTGATACCTGGTACATTAATTTTTTGTCTCCATCAAACACTTTAATCGTAAATACTTTTTGAACTATTTTATTTTGTAATTAATAACTACAAGTATTGTTTATAAATTTATTTATTGTAAAATGTTGAGATTAAAATAATTACTAAACATAAACTTTTTGTTTTTACTAATATAATGCCATTAAGGCTGGGCTGAAGTCAGAAAGGCGACTGATTCCCCCTATCCAAATATATGGGTTCGGGAAATTTCTAATTTCTTCGCCAATTTACGATTATTTCTATAAAATTAGGTACCAAATTACAGAAAAATTAATGCCGGACTGACGTAAACAACAATTTTTTGTATATAGTGAATATTTTTATTAAAAAAATTAGAAAGAATAATGAAAAAATTATGAATTGACTTGCCGCGCTTAAATTTCAAGATGGCGGCCACATCATTCAGATGAAAAATCACTAATTATTTCATTTTTATACGTTTTTCGCCCAAAATTCGTGTTTGCGTCAGTCCTTGCCACCTGTCTGAATGTCAAAAAAATCAATTCATAGTATAAAATTGAATAATTTAGAAATAATTAGAAAATCTTGTATTCCAGATGATATTCTCCGGAAAATTAGTTTGAAAAAATTCTGATAGGTGACAGCATTATGCTCGCAAATGACCTCAGTCATCCATATTGAAAAAATGCTCAATCCGTATCCAGAACTGATGGTGCCCTGCATTTTGGCGAGTAAATTCTGTATGTGTGTGTACGGGTAATATATGTATGTGATGTAAACATAGTGTATCGCTTTACAATGCCTTATACTTTGATGACTATTGCAGTTAGAATAAATAAAAATGATGATACTCATTTAACATTAATTAATATAATACCTGAAAATAACTTCAACAAATATTCATCCATTATTATCATTTTATTAGGTATAAATGTTAATCAAAAAGCTCAATTCCGAGTCGGCGTATCCAAGCATGTAGTATAAAAACAAATACACATAAACTTAATATCGAGATTATGCTGGCCATGTGGTTAGAGCGTCAGAGTTCTATTTTGCCGGGCAGGGTTCGATCCTAGTCATAATCACTTTTTTTTCTACTTTATTCGTTAGATTAGCATGTAATTATAATATTGACATGCCATAATTGATCCATTATAATGATTTGATTTTTTTTTCTCTTTACTCATTGAATTTATTGACACTAAGTCGGAAAATATTTGAACAGAGCCATGTCTTTTTTTTTGTATAAATACATTGATAATAGCCTGTGTTTAACAACTTATACATCTTTACATGTATTAACAATGTTATGTTATTAACAAGTTAATCATATTATTATTAACATTGAAAAGTAGTTTAAACAATCTGTGGCGAGTTTCGGCACTTTCCCGGCAAGCTCTACCCCCACTCTCTGTGCCCAAGCCTGCAGCTTATAATTTTTAAGCATATAGAAGCGTACTGAAACCATAACAGCTCAGTGGTTACAGCATCGGTCTTTTATTTTGCTAGGCAGAGTTCGATTCCAGTCATGATAAAGTTTTTTTTTTCTCTTTTATTTGTTAGATTTGCATGTAATTATAATATTAACATGCCAAAAGTAATTGTTTACAACGATTTGATTTTTTTTTTCTCAATTATTTATGTAATTTATCGACGCCGAGTCGGAAAACATATGAACAGGGTTATAAACACTTTTTTTACTATAGCTATATGAACGTAGCTTTTTTTAAGCAATTTAGAAATATTTAGAAGTAGTTGAAATAATCCACGGGGATTTCCGGCACTTTTGCCGGCAAACTCTATCCCTACCCTTCGTACTCAAGCCTGCATTATACAATTCATAAACATAAACATAATGTCAGAGATGATGTGTTAGCTCTGTGAGTAGAACATCAAGTTTTCATTTTACCGATTAGGGTTCGATCCCAGTCATAGCCAATTTTTTTCTTCCTTTTTTTTTCATTAAAATTTTATATAAATACAATAATTGGTTGTTCATATAAGTTCAAAATCAATTTCTATTGTCTTTTAAAGACAACACTTTCGAAAAAAGAGAATTCATAGTAACTCGTTCCTCACCCTCAGCTTATTTTCAGAAAAACAAGTTGTTCTCCGTATTAATTGGAAGAATAATTTAATCAAATATATGAATTAATTTATAAGTATATAAAGTCACTTAAGCAAAAAAAAGAAAAAACAATTGCCTATGACTGGGATCGAACCTTGCCCAGCAAAATAAAAGATTGGTGCTCTAACCACTGAGCTATTATGGTTTAAATAATATTGAAGATGCTTGAAAATTATAAGCTGCAGGCTTGGGCACAGAGAGTGGGGGTAGAGCTTGCCGGTGAAGTGTCGGAACTCGCCGCGGATTGTTTTAAACTATTTTTATTGTTAATAAGTTGTTAAAAAGGCTATTATCAATGTATTTGTACAAAAAAGGTTAATGACCCTGTTCAAATATTGTCTCATTTGTCATCGATGATTGAAAAATAATTTTACATAAAATTGAAATTTAAAAACTCATTTTTGGCATGATAAAATTGCAATTACATGCAATTTAAATAAAAAAACAATTTTGCCGCAATTGGAATCGAACACCGTTTGGTAAAATAAATGTTGAATCTTCTGACTACAGAGCCAACATATTTTCATTTGCTTTGTTTACGTTTAGATATCATAAGCTTCAGGCTTGGTAACAGAGGGTGGGGGATGTACTTGCTCGTCAACTGTTCGAACTCGCAGTCTTCTCTGAAAAATAAGACGGAGATAGATAGATATATTCTGTGCTCTGTCTTGCTCGAAACAGATTATTCAAAAATTTGTAAATTTCTTGGTGTCCTAAGGCTCCCTTTTTGTAGTGCATCCCTGAAAATTATCATTTTTCGAACGATTTCCCTGTTACCTACTCAATTTCAGTTGATGTCAAGCTTCGGCCTTTTGCCGCACAACACGAGGGCGTAAAGTCAACTCCGGGAAACTTTCTGACTTCAGCCCAGCCTTAATTAAACATTAATGCTTTTTAAATTTAACATTCGTAATCTATTAATTTTTTGATGGTTTTTTAAAAAAAAAACTTCTTGCATACAAAGAAAGAATTATTTCATTATTTTATTTTTTAACTAATGAAAAAAAATTAACTTTCTTTCAAATTGTATCTTTATCAACACATCAAATTCTGAACTCACGAGTGGATCTTTGTGTCACTAGATAGCTCCACTATGTCCATTCATGACCGTCTCACGTGTGATGCTTTCATTTTTTAAGAGGTTATTTTTTCATAAACAACAATGAATTTTTCTGTACTGTTTAAATGTTAAAACAATGAATAAAATATTGTCAGCACCCATAAAGCAAGTAAGTGCAAAAATAGCATCAGGTGAATTACTACCTTCAGAAATTTGTCAATCAACTCTTACATTAATTTCACTAATAAAACCTTTGAATGCTTACATTCATGTGGTTGATGAAATAGCAAAAGAGCAAGCCAAAGATCTGATCAAAGACAACGTGATAGAAAGCTACTAAGCGATCTTGATGGTATTCCCATTGCTATTAAAGATAATTTTGTACTGAAGACATCCCAACAACATGTGGGTCATTGATGTTGGCTAATTTTGTTCCTGGATACAATGCTACTGTGTATGAAAGACTAAGAACAAATGGGAGCTGTTTTAATGGGCAAAACTAATTTAGATCAATTTGCTATGGGTGCTGGTACAGTAGATTCTTACTTTGGACCAACGAAAAATATTTGGAGATCAGATATTATGTGCAATTATACAAGTGCTAATTCGTTTTGTTCAGAAAAACTTCAAAAGTGTCGTCATCTTCATGATGATTGGTTTATTGCTGGTAGGTTACTTTATGATGTTGATTTCAATTTAACCTGAATCTAATTATCATTCTCATAAATAAAATTTAATTAAGATCAACTTTACATAATTGGAAAAAAAATGTTTATTTAAATAAAAATAAATTAAGTTAATTAAATGATAAATCCTCTTTTCTAATCATTTTAAAAATAAAAATTTTGCTTTAAGGCGGAAGCAGTGGAGGATCAGCAGTAGCAGTAGCTTCAGGAACCTGTTACGCCGCTTTAGGATCAGATACTGGAGGATCAACAAGAAACCCCCGCTGCTTACTGCGGTCTCGTTGGTTTTAAACCAAGTTACGGCCTTTTATCTCGTCATGGGTTAATTCCTCTAGTAAATTCAATGGATGTTCCCGGCATTTTAACTAGAAACATTGACGATTGCATTCTGGTTTTCAATGCCATTGCCGGACCTGATTTATTGGACTCTACGACTTTAGATAAGGAGTTTAATCCAGTGAAATTAGAAGATTCTTCAAGTTTAAATATTACAGGGCTTAAAATTGGTATTCCTAAAGAGTATCATCTACCAGAGTTAGATCAGGATATTGCAGAATGTTTGAAAAAAGTTTCAAATTTATTAGAGCAAGCTGGAGCTTCTGTTATTCCAGTATCTCTACCACATACTAAATATTCAATAGTTTGTTATTCTGTGTTAAACCAATGTGAAGTAGCAAGCAACATGGCAAGGTATGATGGAATAGAATATGGTTTTAGGGCAGATGAATCATCTTCTACCGAGGAGTTATATGCTAAAACGCGAAGTCTTGGATTTAATGATGTTGTTAGAAGCAGAATATTAACAGGAAACTATTTTCTTTTAGAAGATAATTACGAAGACTATTTTGGTAAAAGCCATGAAAATTCGGCGATTAATTGCTGAAGATTTTGACAATGTTTGGAATTCGAATATTGATATACTTTTAACACCTACAACACTATCAGACGCTCCACTTTATAAAGACTTTATTTCAATTGATAATCAAACTCAATGCTCGGTTCAAGACTATTGTACTCAACCAGCAAACATGGCCGGTATTCCTGCGATCAATGTGCCTATTACTCTTTCTTCTAAAGGTCTACCACTCTCTTTGCAATTAATGG